CCTTCTTGTCTTCTCCTCCTACTTCCTCCCACTTCTTCTTTCCCCCCTCCCCCCCCCCCTTCTTCACTTGCGTGTCGCTTTTTCCTGTTCGCTCGGTTCCTTGACGGGTCGACCCATTCTACTTCTTGTTCATATTCCTCGCCGTTATCTCTCTCCGCCTGGGTTGCGAATTCTCCCTGACCGGTTCGATTAGCCTTTCCCTTAGCAGATACCCGCTCCAGTTGTCACTCCGCCCGTCAAGCCACTATTCAATACCCCCCCCCCCCCCAGTCGTCCTAGCTCCGCTCGTTCGATTTTGTCTTCCTCCGTCTGCCTTCTGCCCTCGCCGTGGCAATTGCTCCCTCCTCTCCTCCATCTGCTCCGCTTCCATCCTCCGATTCCCAGCGACAATGGCGACCGGTCCAGCTACTCAATCCCTCAAGGTCAGCTAGCTCGCCCCTGCTTATCCGTCTGTCGGACGGCGGCTAACGGGCCATTCTGGACAGTGTGTGGTGACGGGTGACGGTGCCGTGGGTAAAGTGCGTTGTCTCGCCCCTATGTTTCACCTCGGATCGGTCGGGGTCACTCTCGATAGCTAACCTCCCCGCCAGACATGTCTCCTGATCTCCTACACGACCAACGCTTTCCCTGGGGAATACATCCCTACCGTGTCCGTGCCCCGTCCCTGCTGCCCGTCTGATGCGAACCCGTTGTTGACCCGGTCCCCAGATTTGACAACTACACCGCCAGTGTGATGGTAGATGGCCGCCCGATTAGCTTAGGACTCTGGGATACTGCTGGACAGGAAGATTATGATCGTCTTCGCCCGTTGTCCTACCCGCAAACCGACGTGTTTTTGATCTGCTTCTCCATCGTCAGCCCGCCGTCCTTCGACAACGTCAAAGCTAAGGTGCTTCCTCCTCCCGAACGGGCGTCGGGCAGCTGCCCCGCCCATATCCCCCCTCCCCCCTCCCCCTCCCCCGTCCCGCTCACTGACCTCCCTGCAGTGGTTCCCGGAGATTGAACACCATGCCCCCAACGTCCCCATTATCCTGGTCGGCACCAAGCTCGACCTGCGCGACGACCGTGGCACCATAGACACGCTCCGACAGAGAAAGATGGAACCCGTCTCCTACGAGCAAGCCTTGACCGTGGCCAAGGAAATCCGGGCACACAAGTACCTCGAGTGCTCGGCGCTGACGCAGCGCAACCTGAAGAGCGTGTTCGACGAAGCAATTCGGTATGTCAGACGGTTGTTGAGCTGGATGTGGGCGTGAATGTGGACTAACCCCGTCTAGTGCTGTGCTCAACCCCCGGCCCACGGCCAAACCGAAGAACAAGAAATGTGTGATTCTGTAGATCCCTCCCTCGGTGCATGTCCGACTCATAATATAAACAACTAATACGGCGTCTGGGTTTGCGGGGCCTGCAACGCCCCATCTTGATGATTTTGCCTTGTGTCCCCGTTCCGTGTTTTGGGGCCATGATCCGGATGGTCTTGTCTATTTTCTTCGGGTTCAGGATAACCTTACCCTCTCATTTCCTTCCCTCCCTTCTAATGCAGTATAAAGATGTAACATGCCATACAATACCACTCAATGAACGTGTCACTTACGGGCGGTGGCCGGGGGACGGACTCGGAATGTGAGCATGAGCAGGTCCATTGTATGGTGTAGAGATATGTACTACCACGAAAGTAACGCACGCTTTGCTCGCTGCCAGCCTGCTACCGGCGACATGCAGTGTCATCGTCCCAGATCTATATCCCTGCCTGACTCATCCACGTATACACATCAGAACAAGAGAAACGGAAAGGATATCTCTAAGCAAACAAGCACCCAACTTTTCTAACCCAGCCAAATCGTAGAATATTCACATATAACAAACAAACTAGGCCATGCGGCCCATGCGACTGGGGTGAACATGAGCAAAGTCACCCTGGCCGCCCTCCTCCTCGCGCTCTCTCCGCTCCTTCTCCTTCTGAATCGCCTTGGCATTCCGTTGTCTCTCCTCCGTCAGCTTGATGTTCTTGGCTTCGATCTTGGCTTTCCGGTGTTCGGATTTCCCGCCGCCGCCGGCCCTAGAAGCTGTCAGTCTCTCTTCCATTCATTCGTTGATTCATTCATTCCGGCGCAATGCAATGCAATGCAATCAATCACTCACGTCAATTCCACGTTCATCCGACGAGGCGGGTACTTCCCGTCGTCGAACATTGAGTGGTGGTACAGCTTCAGACAGGTCTTCATGCGGTCGTAGTTGTCGAACTCGATGAATCCGAACCCGCGGCACTTGGTCGGCTTGTCTATTTGCGTGGCCACCCGCACGGACACCGGCGGGATCTTCTCGAAGTGCTTCTCCAGGGATTCGCGCGTCGCGGAGTAGGGGAGGTTGCCTGTTCGAGGAGATATTGGTTAGCATTATCATCCACCGGACTACCGGATTGACGGTTGACGGGAGCGCAGGAGGAAGAGGAGAGGAGCATGGGGGGGTGTTGGGTGGGCATCGCGTATCACGTACCGACGAAGCAGATGAACCGGCTTCCCTTCTTGCTCTCGTCGCCCTCTTCTTGCGCAGGCTCCTCGGCGGGGGTATCAGTGGGTTGGGCGGGAGCGTCTGTCTTCTTGTCCTTCTTCTCTTTCTTGTCCTTCTTCTCTTTCTTGTCCTTCTTTTCCTTCTTGTCCTTCTTCTCCTTCTTGTCCTTCTTCTGCTCCTCCTCCTTCGTTACCTCCTTCTCAACGGGGGCTTCGTCCACCTCCATGGCGTCGGCGGCGGGCTCTGAAGAGTCTGTCGACTTTTCCTTCTTGTCTTTCTTTTCCTTCTTTTCCTTCTTGTCCTTCTTGTCCTTCTTCTCCTCCTTATCCTTCTTCTCCTTCTTTTCCTTCTTCTCCTTCTTGTCCTTCTTCTCCTTCTTCTCCACCACCTCCGCCTCCACCTTCACATCCTCCACAACCTCCTTAGCCTTGCGCTTCTCCTTCTTCTCCTTCTTATCCTCGCGCTTGGCCTTCTTCACCTCGGGGGAGGTAGCCTCCTCAGCGAGCTTGCGCTTCTTGTCACCCATTTTCAAATTTAAATGTCTGCTTGGGAAAAAAAAAAAAAAAAAAAAACTAAGTTCAACAGCAAAATCTGAAGTATGAAAAGAAAAGAAAAAGTTCTGGGCTCGGTCGCAATCCAACGCGGGAACCTAATCGGCGGAATCGGAAATTTCCTTTTTCTGCCGGGCGGCGGGAAACGGCGGTGAGGCCGAGGGGGAAAAGGTGGAGTACCTTAAGTCTGAAGTCGGGCCTGAGGTGTCGATCGATCTTCTAAGCATGGTTTGGGGCATCCATGGATGGTATGTAGAATGTAGACACTCCCATCCATGGTACGGATTCTTCAAGCAGGTGTCTTTGTCTTTGTCTAGCTAATTGTGTTTCCGTACGCATTGTCCCCCCCTTTCTTCACTATTAATAGCAGTGACTGTCTCTTTGAATCCATACAATGATGGGGGATATATATCCGGCTTCTCTCTCTCTCTCTCACACATCCATCATCATACGTCTCCCACCTCCTTTATGTCATCCTCCCACTCCATCCATCCTCAACCCATCCATCTCAAAGACCCCATGGGGCCCAAGAACCCCCAACCATCCAACTAACATCTTTATATTATATACCCGATACAACAATATAACCACAGAGCCAAGATACTTGGAACAAACGCTCTATTCCAGGAAGGAATACTCCATCCATTCATCCATCCATCAAAGTAAGACGTGAGGGCAGCGGCGCGTCTAGTGATACTGTCTCACCGTCTGCCTGTCTGCCTGTTTACTTTGTTGGGGGCATGGGGTATTCCTACCCATCTTAGTTCTAACTGGATAGACAAAGATCGTGAGAGAGGCGAGATGCCATACTCAGAAACCAGATATTAATCAACACTTGTCTGCACAGGTCACTGTTCTGGATGCTGCCTATATCCTGGCGATCAATCGGTGGTAATCGTTCAGATTACGCTTTTTCATCTCCTCCGGGGGTATCTTTTTGAGGGCAGTACGAAAGGAGGATGATGATGATGAAATCACGAGGGTCGACATGTCTATATCTGTCACTTACAGAAGGCCTCGAAAAGACCAGTTACTGCGCCGCATTGTGACACGAAGCATGCAACAGGGATGCGGTCGGTCCTTTGAATTCATTTTTGGATGTTGGAAATTAAATCCACTCGTTGCCAATATGCAGTGGGTATCTGGGCTGGGACTTTTGAAATACCCGGAGACTTCATGATTATCCACAAGTTGGAAATATGACGTATGACCAAGTGGCTAGAAAGGTTTCTCCCAGAGTAGTGACCGGAACCTGGGTCGTTTTTGTTCGGAATTCCACTTGAGTTCCACTATACTCTCATCCAAATGCTTTATCCGTGTTGTGAGTTTCCGGATGATTGGGTATGATACGCACGGAACCGAGGAAAGGTCCTTAGATGGTGCTTGTCACACGGCTGGCAGATAATCTTGAACGATGTTGGAGTTATGTGCAGATGGTGGATCGTCAGCTTCAACGGTTTTTGAGATGAGAGTCTGATTTTGGAGTTTACTGATGGAGAAAAAGGAGATGAGGTCTATTGAATCCTGAGTTGCTTGGCCTTTGCTGTAAGTGAGAGGGCACTCAAGTTGGAATTTGATATTGACATATTCTAGGAACTTGATTGTCACTAGATAGGCTTATCTATTCCGAACAGAAAGCATACCTGGGTTACTTTGATCTTGAAACATCCAAATTTTACTACATCTTGTTGTTGTGTTTCTTGCGTTCAGAATGTCAAGCATATTGACTTAGCCCTAACTTGATATGCTCATTCTCGACCAGCTAACTTCTAGCCTCGTGCAAATGGCAGTCCTTTTGTTATCATAATCATAGGGCTAAGATTCCAGAGCTAACGGCATAATAGACACTCGGTATTATAATGCCAACAAAGCCAGCTTGTCAAAGGACCCCCCCCCTTTTGTCTCAACGAATCTCAACGACAGACAGAAGCCCCCTTCAGAGCAAGCTGCTATTGCCGAAGTACAGACCGTCTTTGTCCGACAATCCCCTTGTCCACCAACTCCATTGTGCCCAAGTCTTTGTTCACACCGGTAATATTCCTTCAAGAGCCCAAAACCTGCGTTTATATAGTGCCCGCTTTCTCTACACAATCGTGATTATGCTGCCGCCGACACAATGCAAACTTTCGACCATCATTCAAGAAACAACCCATGCCTCGAAACCTCCACGAGCTGCCCGCGGAGCTATTGCATAGCATCGCGGGATTCCTCCCCCAGGAGAGTCTGCTGTCCCTGCGGCTGGTATCCCGGAGAATCAACCACTGCCACCGTCTGCGGCCATTCGAAGCCCCAAGCCCGGCCATCGATCCCAGCCCAGATACTCCAGAGTACTCACGCCTCGAACTCCTCCCCACCGAGCTCATCTGGATGATCGCCGAGTACCTCCCGAAGCAAGCCCTGCTTCACCTCCGACTAACCTCGCGAACCCTCGAGCAGAAGACCTTCGAGCCCACCCGTCCCATCTTCAACCATCACCTCCGCACCCTGCACACCAACCTATCCAGCTACAGCCTGACCAGCATCCACCAGCTGGCCACCAACCCATCTCTCCGCCACATCCCCCAAACCCTCAAAATGACCCCCCGCTACGCGCCCCTCTCCCCCAAACGCCGAACCGGCGTCCACCGGCTCATCAAATCCCCCACCTCCATCCCCCAAATCCGCACCCTCAAGTCCGACCTGAAACACTCGCTCACGAACTGCAGAAACTTCGACGTCGGGCTGGACTGGCAACGCCAGCTCCACAACCACCTGGACACCGACGACGTCCTCGACATCCTGTACCACATCTTCACCGAAACCTCCCTCCCGGTCGAAGAACTCACCCTCTTCACCCAATCCTACCTTACCCCCTGCGAACGTCCCATGACCTCCTACGACCGCCGGAGACCCGCCATCCACGCCCAACCACACCTCGCCCGCGCGTGGACCAACCTCCGAACCATCAACGTCTGGCACCCCTTCATCAAGCCCTTAACCGACCACCTAATGGCTCTTCTCCCGCAGATCATCACCACCGCGCCGCGTCTCGAGCGCCTAATCATGAACGGCGACGCAATGACACTCAATCTCCTTGAACTCCAGCGCGCCATCCTCACCGCCACCCCGAGGTCCACGATCAGACACCTCGAGCTCAGAGGCTGCCAGGTTCACGTCGGCTTTCTGCGTTCGTGGCTGCTGAGGAACGGTGCCGGGCTGCATTCGCTGGTCTTTGATGGCTGTTGTATTCTCGAGGACAACTTGACTTGGGTGAGTGTTGTGCAGTGCACTAGGAAGTTTTGCCCGCTGTTGAGGTCCGTTCGCTTGATTCATGTTTCGATCTCCGCCGGGGTGGAGGCGTTGAGGGATGAGTGTGTCGGTGTGGAAAATTTGGGGGATGGGTTGGAGAAGCTGCAGGCTAGGGTCGAGGGTGCGTATGGGGGTATGGATTCTAATTGGTAGAGCGAGTGGGTGAGTGGGTGAGTGAGTACTAGGAGAGTGGGTGGGTGGTATATACTAGCATCTTTCATTCGGGGTGTTGATATTGGCTTGAAGCGTGGCGTTCTGGAAGAAGGTCCTTTTATTTTTTTTTTCTTTCTCTCTTTCTTTTATTTTTCGGTTATACTAATACTGATAATAATCCAAATATGGTTTGACACCGTACTGTGAATGGTATATTTCTATCGAATAGTAATAGTAATAATAACAGTAGTAGTAACAGGCTCCAGCTCAAGCAAAAGCCCATCCATCTCCAACCGCGTTAGAAACTTTTATCGTAAAGGCGAGCCAACTCCCATAGACTTTGTACAATACAACACAACACAATCAGCTCAAGGTAAACAGAAACGACCGGCCGATCAGTCCAAGTATATATCAAAAAAAATAAACGCCAATCACAACCCAGACAATCGCTGTGCTTTGCATTGCTTAAAAGACCAAGATCTTGATCCCCTTCTCATTCGCACCGTACCGCTCCCGCAGCTCGGGGCGAGTCAGCAGCTGCAGCAGCGGCAGATGCGTATCCTTCATGTCGAAGATTCCGCGCTGCTTCTGGTCCACGTAGGAGCCGTCGATGACGATGCGTTCGAGTTCGTCCAGTTTGAGGGACCCTGCGTTGATGAGGTCGGTGATACGAGCGGGAGTGCCGGCTCCGATGCCCGTGCTGTGGTACTGGTTAGTGGTGAACGTGACTAGGGCTATGGGTGGCTGTGGGTGTGGCGATGCTTGCGAGGTACGTACCGTGCGCGCTCCAGGAACTGCTTGGCTTCTTCGAGCTTGATGTGCTTGGCAAACAGCTTTCCGACGATCGATTCCTTGGTCTGGAAGGAGCGGAGGGCTCTGTATGATGGTGTCAGGATCCCAGTATCTTGTGCGGTGACAGAAAGCAGCAGCCGACTCACCTGACGGTATCAGCAGCCCGAAGTCCAGAGACAGAGATCACCAGTGTGTGAGGGGTGCCCTTCTGCTCCGACGCCTTGGCCAGCTCCGCGCCGTTCTTGGGGCTGAAAGCTTTGAGGAACGTGGGGATCTGCTCCAGATTTCTGCTCGACTGGAACGAGGAAGTATCGAGGAAGGCGGAGTCTGGCAGGTCATCAGTATACACTATACATACAGCATTACACCCCGGGAGGGCAGAGGAAGAGGGTTCAACATACCCGGAACAGACAGATCGTCCAGCTCGACAGCGCTCAGCTCCTTGTTATGGCGTCTGACCTTCTGCGCAAAATAGTCGGCCAACAACCGGCCGTCCATCTTTCCGATGGCCTCGTCGATTCCGCCCTTCACCTCAGTGGCCTTGCTGTCGCCAGCCTCCTTCTTCACGGACTTGCCACCCTCCTCGGGCTTCTTGCCCTTGGCCTTCTTGTTCTTGTCGTTCTTCTTCTTCTTCTTGCTGGGGCCCTCGCCAGCGCCGGCGGGCTTTGCGGCATCAGCACCAGCAGCATTGCTCGGCTTCGAGTCCTCGGCTTGTCTCTTGCGCTTCTTGTCGACCTTGGCGGCGAGGCCGGACGGCTTGGGGGTTCCGTCAGACATGGTTCGAGGGGGGTTCCTGCGACGACAGCGATACTAACACAGCTCAGGGAAAGCTTCAATGGCCGGCTCTGCGTGACGATGGGGTTGTTGTCGCATGAATTGCTGCTTCTGGCGTCCAACTTTTTTAGGCTGACTCAGCGTGCTTATCGATAAGCCCTCCGCCAATCAGACGGGGTTCCACGCACCGCACCCGACCGCCTGCCGGATCGGGCGAGGGGATCAGATCACGACGGAGACGCGCTCGGGCGTCGCAACAACCCCTCGCCATCACATCACCATGGACTGCTGTCCTGTCCCGGGGACGCATTGAACATTGATTTCCTTACCATCCCTTCATTGATAGTATTGTCTGTGTTCAATTGCTGCATCTCTCGCATCGCCAATGGCGACCACCCCCAACCCGCGCCGCCGGTCACCTCGAGTGTCTGACGGCTCGGAAGCCTTCTCCCCCGTTGGGGACACCACGCTCACGGGGGTAAGTCCAATCCCTCCTGAACCGGCTCGATTCAGCTAACTGGAACCAGCTCCAGCGTCTCCCGGCGCATACGAAGTACCCTCTCACCCCGAGCCGGTTCGCGGGAACCGGCACCCCGGCCGCGAACAGATTCACCCCGCGCAGGGGCGCCGGCGCGCCCTCCACGCCCTACAGGGTGCAGGCGATGCAGCAGCGACGCGCCGCGAACACACCCGCACGCGATCGTCGAAGAAGCGGGCGCGTCCAGCGCGAGACCACCTTTGATATTCTGCAGAATCTGGGACGAGGTACGGAGTCAATGTTGTTGTTGTTTTGCTTGGGAGCGCTTTGTTGTTAATTGGATTGCAGCTCTTGCTCCGACTTCTCAGGTGATTCGTTCATCGCCGCAGGTACAACCCGAACCAGAGCCCGTGCCCGAGCCGGTGCTGGATGAGATCGAAGAGCTGGATAACGAGCCCGAGATTCCGCGGCCGCGGTTGTCGTTGCCTCTGGATGACGTCGAGGAGGTCGATGAGGAGCCGGAGATGCGTCCGCCCCGGCTGTCGTTGGCGTTCGAGGAGGAGGATATCACCCATACGTCCATTGAGTATCCCCGGCGAGCAGCGGGGGATGAGAAGGGGAGATTGTCGATGATGGGTCCTCGGATGAGTGAAATTGGAGATGGGACGAGACTGGAGAGTGATAGTGAGGATGACGATGATACGGGCATTGTGCGTGACGGCCATGGGGATGAAGGGGACGATACGATGATAAGCCAGGGGGAGTTTGACAAGGGGTGAGTTCCTTTCGTCCAATGGTTGGGTGTCTTCACTAACGGGGTCTACAGAGGAGAAACGGAAGATCTCGGCCGGTTCAACTTCGACTTCAATTTCCCCAGTCCTCCGCCCCCCGGCGACGATCTGGACCAGGATGTGCCCCTTGGCGACGACGAAGGGTTCGAACTCCCAGTTGACGTTGACTTGCCGCTAGACACGCTGGACACCGGAGTCGGATCGGACGATGATGGCAGCGTGTCGATCGCTGCGGGCGACTTTAACGCGGGTGATTTCGGCATGCAATCGCCGCTCCCCGAACACGAGCCGATGGCGATGAGCGAAAGCCAAAGTCCGGGTCTAGTTGGGGGTGGTCTGCGAGAGGAGGACCGGTTTGTCACTGGCGGAAAGCAGAAGAAGCTCTCCCGGCATGGCATCCCTGTTCCCAACATGCCCGCCGGGGTCGTGAAGAAGCTGGCCACCCGGTTTGCGCGGGCACGGAACGGGTCGAAGGCCAAGATGAGCAAAGAAACGCTGGCCGCCATTGAGCAGGCGTCGTCGTGGTTCTTCGAGCAGGCGAGCGATGACCTGGCCGCCTATTCCAAGCACGCGGGGCGCAAAACGATCGATGAAAGCGATGTGGCGACATTAATGCGGAGGTGAGTTCCACCCCCCCAATCTGTCTACGAGTACAATACCAATACTAATGACCGATGCAGACAACGGCATACCAACAACGCTACCACGATCTTCTCGCTTGCGCAAAAACATCTGCCCAAGGAGCTCCTGCAAGACATGAGATTGGCGATGCCCCCGTGAATGATACATGTACACGAATCCTATAAGATACAAGCCGAACGCCATGATTGAATGCGGGACCACGCGCACGACAACACTACCAGTTCCGGTTTGCACGAACACGACGGACGGCCTCGTTGGGCCGTTTGCGAATGATCATCCACAGCATGATGGACGTTGCCAGAGACAAGCCGTACCTGCAGCGCATCAGCAAAGCCCCGTCACCGGGTCGTATGTTGGATACCAGCCAGGGCGGACAAAACTCACCATGTGAAGATGTACTGGCTGTGGTTATTCCTCAAGTTGACTTCCGCCGCACGACCGATCGGAATACCCTTGGCCTCGCGGGTATAGGCCTCCACCAGGTCCGGGACTAGATTAGACCGCATAGTTAGCACCACGCATCCATCCATAGACATAATCCATAACCGTCCCACCAGAACAAGAACATACCCATAGTCTGCTCAATCCAAACGGGCTGACTCCCCGTCAAATCCGCCATCTGCTGGACATCGGGGAAATAAAACTTCCCATCCTCGGGCTTATTGTCAGGCGTGAAATAATTCTTCTTCCACGGCTCCCGCAGCAACCCCTCCACCACGACCTCCCCCCTCGGCAGGCCCTCCTCGCGATCCTTCTGATTCATCATCTTGCGCGAAATCCACCCGCGGTTCACAAGTATCGTGCTCTCGCCCTCGCGCTCCAACGGCGTGATCACAAAGAAGCCATCCTCACCCTCGCGCATCCGCGGCCCCACCAGCATCTCCTGATCATGGCGCAGGTGTCCTCGCGCCGTGACGCGCCGGTAATCGAACTCGGAGATCGCATCGGGGTCGACGCGGGGTGGTAGCGGCAGGGGGGCTTGATGAGGCGGTCTTCGAATTTCGCGATGGTTTTGGTTTTTTGGTCCAGCCGTTGGATTTGCCATGTGCCGAGACCGAAGGCGATGATGGGGATTAGGGCTGGGTTTCTTGGTGTTAGCTTGGTTTGGAGGTTGGGTTGGTCGTATAGTAGGGGCTGTTGTGGTTGGGGGCGTTTTGGGGGAGGGATGATACCCAGAATAATCAGACCCGGACCGTGATTACGTCCCGTGCGGACAATCTTGGCGGGGTTGTCGACGACGGAGAGCCATTGTTGGCCGTCGCCGTTGTTGTAGAAGCGGATCTGTTGGCGGCGGCACCGGAAGCAGATTGAGTTGAGCTTGGAGGAGGTGGTGGTGGTGGGGGTGGTGAAGAGGGTTTGGGGGTGCGGAGGGGACGGAGACGATGGAGGGTGGAGGAGGTGGAGGTTGCGGAGGAAGTCGCGGTGGTGGTGGCGCGTTGGAGGAGGGAGATGAGCGAGCGCATGATGATCGCGCTGGCGAGGGTGCGAGACTTGCGTCTAGGACCGGACTGGGCGCAATTGGGGGGAGTTGAAGGAGGAAACAGAGAGGAAAGAAAGCGGAAGGCGGAGTGACGGAGTGACGGACGGACTTGACTGGACGGGGTTCGGCCGACGGCGTGATTTCCCGCCGAGCGGCGTTGTTCTTATCGATTACCGGCTCATGTCATCACTCTTCACTCTTCAACTGCCACTACTGCTACGGAGTACTACTCCTACCCATCTGTTCATCGACTCATCTACTCCATCAATTATGGTTGACCTTTACTCGCTCAGCATGTTCTATGAGGGGAGTCTGGAGGATGGAATCAAATCCGCCGTTGAGGACGAAAAGATAGTGGTTTGCTTTGTACGAGGTTCGTGGTCCTCTTTTGTCTGTGGTCTCCGCAGCTGGCGATCGATGGGCTAACAAACAACGCCTGGCAAGATGACGGACCGTTGAGCGACGAGTGGGAGGCTGGGCATTTCAAGTTCCTTGAAAACGTATACATCCTCCATCGTAGAATGTTTGGGTAAGCGCAATGCTAATCCGATTGGGCCATGTCCAGTCCGTGCGATACCTCTTAACCCGAGCAGTGGTGTTGCGCTTGACCAAGGATAGCGAGGAAGCAGGCTTCCTGGATTCCTTCTGTCCCATCGAGAAGGCCCCCGCGGTGGTTGTGATAAAGTATGTGTGATTTCGCGGGTGCTGTGAGCTGCTGCTGACCGTCGCAGGGACGGCATGCTGTGCGAGTATTTCGGCCCGGATACGGAAAGGGAGGACTTTCGGCATCGACTGGTTGAGAAATTGATCGAAGATGATCCGGATGGTAGGCCGCTGGCTGTGAAGCCTAGACCAGTTCAACCAGCTCCACCAGTTGATAGCGACTCGGAAGAAGATGGATACCGGTTTCCTGTACCCGTGGATATACAACTAGCACTTTTGGGGCCTCCAGAATCAATCCCGGACAACTCCATTCCCGCTGATTCGCCTGTGGCAGCGCTCCCATACAGCATGAGCAGGATTCCAGAGAGTCGGTTCAAAAAACCCCGGGACAAACGCACCCGCGAAGGAAAGAGGCGAGACAAGGACACCAGAGCGTCCGAGCCAGAGAAGCCGCAGGACCAGAAACCAGAACCATCCAAGCAGAGCCCCAAGCCCTCGATCGAAGTGGAGCCGGCATCCCCAAGTGCTCCCAAGCCAACCGAACCCACCGAAGTACCATCGTCCACCCGGTCATCTCCAAACCAGTACCGTCTTCAGGTCCGCCTCTTCGACGGCCGCTCCGTCCGTGGGAGCTTCACGCCCACGCAGACCATCCGCGCGGATGTCCGCCCCTGGCTCGAGACCCAGATGGAAGATGAAAAACACCCCTTCAATCTCAAGCACATCATCACCCCTCTGCCTAGCCGCACGATCACAATAGCCGAGGAGGAGCGGACTCTCGAGGACCTCGGACTGGGCTCCACAGCCACCCTGGTCATGGTCCCGATCCAGTCCTACACCGAGGCGTATGCCGGATCAGCGGCCAGCCTGCCCGCCAGAGCGGCCTCGTCCGCGTATGGGCTGGTTTCGTCTGCCGTCGGCACTGCGACAGGTCTTGTCGGGTCCTTGTTCGGATACGGGCCAGCTCCTCCGGCAAATGAAGCAGCGCCGTCCACGTCTGCTTCGAGGTCGACATCCGCTGATGGCGGAAGCAGACCTCGTCCGTCTGGGTCTCGGGGACCCGTTATCCGGACCCTGAGCGATCAGCGGAACGAGCGGGATGATAAGCAATTCTATAATGGAAACCAGGTACCTCCAACTTGATATGATGTATGGGATTCCGGTGCTAACGAAGTCGCAGCTCAATTTCCAACCGCGACATGACTCCGACAGGAGATGAGGATAGACTAGACTGACTGATCGGCTGTAGTTATGCACACTGCATGTACAACTCTTCAATCCTTTGTCTTACAGTAAGTGTGCCATCCTCTCTCTGTCTCTTTGATTCATGTATCTATTTACCCACCAGAATGTCAATACTACATACCATTTAGGTTAATATGTACTCTGTACTCTGTACCCTCTACAAGAATGCCAATACTACCCAGGAGTTCAGGATAAATCTACGCCCCGCGAACCGCAACCGCACCAGAATGACGATGAGTGGAATCTTCTTCTTTTTTTTTTTGTTTGTTTCAATCTATCCAATCCAATCCAGTAGATAAAACACAAGGACCAGGCAGCGTAGCCAACCTCTCGACGATGTGTAAAAGAAAAACAATTGGTATAAGTATACAAGAATAGGTAGTGGTAGTTAGTAGTAGTAAGAGTGGTAGTAGTAGTCGGAGATCACGCCGCTATGCAAACAACATCGTTGTCGTCCCCTGCACGGATCAATACCAGGGCAGTTTAGCAGGAAGCCAGACCGACTGGGTGGTTGATTCCGTGGTTGTGTTCTGTTCAGATTAAGCGCCAAGCACCAATCCATCCATCCATAAGCTCATTCACATCAATGCCATCCATCCATCCATCGATTTTGTTGGTAATGTTATTGGTACAGTGGCAAACTTAGTACTGCTTAGCAGCAGCCTGGCAGGCTTTCTACACACAAATCATAATTAGCACACATCCATGTATACCCACAACACCTCAATCACCAGCCCTCAACCCTCAATCAGGAAAAAAGAAAAGATAGAACGTACCAGCTGATCCAAATACCACCCACAGATGGACATGCTACCCTGGTTCTCATCCATGCACTTGCGGAAGTTCAGGGCGTCGGTCTGACAAGCGGGCGCCTCCCAGGAGCTGTTGGTGGCGTTTCCAGCCCAGAGCCCGTTGTCCATGGACTGGGACTCGACCGGGGGAGCCGGAGCCGCCTGGGGCTCGGCGGGCGCGCTGGAGCTGCCGCCGCCGCCGCCGAAGAACATACCGCCGATGGCGTGGCCGATGGAGGAGCCGACGGCGACACCGCTATGTGATGTAGGAGGTTGCGTTAGTGGGTGGGTTTCATGTTTGGGAGAGAGATTTGGGATAGGGTAGGGATGGGGCAGGGCTTACGCAGCAGTCGAAGCCATCTGGCCGAACAGACCGGGGCCCTGGCTGGGGGCAGCAGCAGCGGCCGGAGCAGCAGCAGCAGGAGGAGCGGCGTGGTGCTGCTGAGGGGGAGCGGCGGAGGTCGAGTGAGGAGCGGACTGCTGCTGGCTGCCGTACGGGGCGGCCGGTCTAGCGGGCGCGGCGGTAGGGCGGGAGGGGGCGCTGCGCGCAGGGGTGGGGGCGGCTCCGCGGCGTTGACGAGGCATTTTGGTTGTGTTGTGTGGTTGTTTGTTTGCGAGGATGGTTGTGGTTGTTGGGGATGGAGGGAGTGAGGAGGCGGTTGTTTTATATCGAAAAAGAAGCCGCTCGAAAGTCGGGCGGAGAAAGTCGAAAACTCCGATCGATGTGCTGATTCTGCGCATCTTGATTGGTCGCTCCGGATATTAGGTCAGCAGGTTGGTCCGGTCCGGCGATTACGGATTCAGGAACTGCCGGCCGTATTGGCCGGGTTTAACTGGTCGGGGCCGGTATTTATGCGTATTGCGCGGTATTGATAGGGATAGTGGCGAGTTGGGGTTGAGGCCAAGCTTGGATGCTATCAAGAGGTCTATTGTCTACGCAGGAGTGGTCTTTACTCTGTATACTAGTCAAAGCATTGGTATTGGGGAGACTGTCATTTGCTATGATAGTGGTGGTAAGCCTATGTACAAAGCGCGCTCTCTTCCTTAACTCCGGCCTCTGAGTCACGGCCATCGTGATCCACAGGGCTGAGTGGCCGATTTCCTAGTTCCGTCATATAGAACCTGCGAGATGGCACTTGCCACTACGTAACTGGTCAAATGACTCGAATAACACGATAGGCCATGGAAGAGTTCGCGCTTCGCCGGCCGCAATCCCAGCACCGATGACCGGGGAGCCGGATAAATCCAAACGGATCCTAGATCCTCCTCGCGTCTGTACCATCGGGTCATACCTCTGACGGGATCGCGCATTCCATAGGTACACGAAGCGCATACATCCGGGAACGCTGTTATAGCAGTAGCATCAAAATACGGACCATCGGCCAGAAACCCCACCGATTCATCGGCGAGAGCAGAGCCGGCTATCTCTGTTGACTTTGCAAATAGCCAATATTCAAATCGGACCAGCCGATCGAACAGCAGAACCTAGTTGTCTGCCAAACCGTAAACCGTCCGCTCATTTCAGATTCTTCGTCTTGCGCATCTCACCCTTCTTCTTCCTCCGTTCCTTCTTCACCTCCTGACGCTCCTCCGGGTTCAGGTTCTTCTTGTTTTTCTTGTCCTTGCGCTTCTTCTTCTTTTTGTCGTCCGAGGTGCCTTTGTCGGATGGCTTAGCAACCGGGGCTGGTTTCGCGTCCTCCTCGTCGTCCGAATCTGAGTTGCTCTCCGGGTTCTTGGAGGATTTCTCAGATGTCGCTTCAGCCTTCTTGGCCAGCAGCGACGCCTTCAGCTGCGCGCGCGCTCTCTCCTTCGCTTCCAGCTCTTTGCGCGCCAGATCTATCTTCTCGTTTCCAGCCTGTCCATATTAGCCACCCTTCTCACCCCCAACCAAAGACACATATAACTCACAAGACCATGCTTGATGAACCGACCGGCCGCCTGCTTGTCAAGAGTTAGAGTACGCTTCTCCGGCTCGGTTTCTAGCGCCGTGATCTTCGCAAAGTACTGCTTGACTCTGGTTAATTCTCTAAACACGGGGTGCTCCCTCGCATTGACTCCATGGAGGCGGAGATAGGCTATATACTCTCTAGTTAGCGCGTGCGACTCCACTGTAAGCAGCGCATGGGGAGACACGTACAGAACAAAAGCGACTCCAGCGCGTAAGTCACGAGGACATGAAATTTCGCCTTGTCAAGCACCGGGAGCTTCTTCGAGGTCTCTATGACAGAGCCATCCAAGATAGGCTTCAGGGCCTCTTCAAGGTCATCGATGTTATCGTCCAGCTGCTCAAGCAGCGGAAGTAGATCCGTGGCGTCCATTACTGCGCGAGGTTCTTGCAGGAGGGGAATACGAAGAAAAGCCATCGGGGAAATCGGATAATGTCGATTTTTTATCTGCGGGCGGTGAGCCCGGCGGTGAAAAGCTGCACGGTCCGCCTTTCTCCCCATTCGGCCTCAGTTTGGATTCGCCATCTCGAAGTCGCTTTCTTTTGCGTGAATCTTTTGGCTTTGCGAGGACTACCGGTCGGAGCTTCGCTGTTACTTGTGCTTGTGCTTGTGCTCGGGCTTGATCTGTTATGAGAGCCTAGGAGGGATTGTGGCTACTCTCTCGACTCCGACGGCACTGCAACCGGCACCGCCACCTGGGGATCCGATCTGAAGAGACTTACTCGTCGCGCCGTCAAAGTGTCGTACATACTCGGAAGCCGTTCGCTTTTGCGGACGGGGATATGCGAAATATGTCTTATTCCAAGACGTGGCGCCCCGCGGACGGCCTCGGGGCGCTTCAATTCGACATGGAAGCAGACGGCAGAAGCCGTATCGTCTGACAGCCCCAGCCAGAAATCTCCGTTGTCCGGACGCATACATATCCTGGGGCTGGGAAATATCGGGTCGTTTGTTGCGCATGCGCTTGCCAGTCGGCCGTCCCCGCCGCCTATCACACTCTTACTACACAATCCGGAGATGTTGCGGTCGTGGCTTAAGCAGAAAAGGACTATAGAGCTCACCTTCAACGGGCTGAATGATGGCAAGAAGGGGTTTGATGTCGATGTGCTGGATGGGCAAACGTGGCATTCGATTCCGGATGGGTTTATGGAGGGGGGTCTGGGGAGGGGGGACAATAACCCCCCCGCCATGTACGAAATAGAGGAAGCGGAGGAAGCGGAGGAAGGCGAAGATGAATTCGGTGAGGAGGAGTTCTACGAGGAATTTGAACTGGCACGCGACCAGATTGCCGAAGCTGAAGAAGCTATTGAGTGCTTGATTGTTACGGTCAAGGCCCCTATGACTGCCCTGGCGTTGGATTCCGTACGACACCGTTTGACGCCGGAGTCTACGGTGCTATTCCTCCAGAATGGGATGGGCGTGATTGAGGAGATCAACGAGAAGCTCTTCCCGGATCCGCAGACGCGGCCGAACTACATGCAGGGACTTATCTCGCACGGGCTTTCGGGGAGACAGAAGCCGTTCCAGGTTGCGCATGCGGGCGTTGGCACGACGATCCTCGGGCCCAGCGAGAACAAGAGCGTCTGGGCGCCCAGTACCAAGTATCTGCTCCGCATTATGACCCTCACGCCATCTCTTGTTGCCGTCGCCGAGACCCCATCCTCGTTGATGCTGTATCAGCTCGAAAAGCTGGCGATGAACTCCGTCATCAACCCAATGACGGCCGTGATTGGCTGCAAGAACGGCGAGCTCCTCTACAACTACAGCTTTACTCGGCTGATGCGGCTGCTCCTGCTTGAGATATCGAGTGTGATCTGCGCCCTGCCGGAAGTGCAGGGCATCCCGGGGATCGAAAGCCGGTTCTCACCGGAGCGGTTGCGATGGATGGTCACGCAGCTGGCGAGCAAGACGGCCGAAAACCGAAGCTCCATGCTGCAGGATGTCACCCTCGGCAAATCGACAGAGATTGAATATCTGAACGGCTATATTGTGCGCAGGGGCGAAGACCTTGGTTTCAAGTGTGTGGTGAACTATATGATAAAGCACCTGGTTATCGGGAAACAACTGACTACGAAGAGCAAAGATGCCAGCACCATCCCCATCGACATTGAGTGAGCTGACTGCCCGATCGATACTTGTGTACCTATTCGATGATATACCCCAGAATTAGTCTTGTCTTTCTTTCTTTCTTTCTTTCTTTCTCTCTAGATCCGGTATTAGCAGGAAACTGCATCTGCGGCCCCCTCGCAGAGGCGTTTGATTTGAGCCCATCGCCGTAGCAGCATCCTGACTTTGTCTGGGTGCTTGTCTGCTTCGCGACTGCGCTGCTCCAACAGGGTAATCGTCCTGTCCGATTCCTTGATATAGGCATCGATCCACCCTCGGATGACAGCTTCTGATTTCCTCTCGTCCACACCTCTGGTGGAGTACCCGAGCACGTAGTTCTGCCAGTCCTTAAGGGGCATGTATGTTATGCTGGCGGCAATCTCCGTACGGTAGCAGACGCCATCCGCGGTCAATTGGTAGTTTCTGCGCCAGTCTTATTAGCGATGTGAAACTAATGGACGCGGTGAATCATGCACAAACCCATAATATTGGTGGAACTCAAGCTCCTCCTGCAGTGCCGGGCTGAGATCCCGGAATATGACATCGTCGAGGTAGAGCGTCTCCGACGCATTTTCTTCCAGATAGAAGCCATCTAAGTAGTAAACCCGTCAGCCCGCGCCGAGTCCACACGCATTGCAGACAGACAGCCACTTACACTCCGTAAACAGGAAATCGTTCGGATGATGTCCGTAACTAATGTAGATTTCCTCTCCCTCCTCTGCAATGGTTATTAGCAACCACCAGCCAACCACCCAATGAACGAGCAAACATACCATACTCTTTCGCCGCCCAAAACACATACTTCTCCCCGTCAAACTTCACATTACACTACCCCCGTCAAGAACTCCGTCAGCCTGCACCCCCCCCCCCCATAAATTCATCAACAAGAGGGCAATACATACCACCACATCCGAATGATTGAAATAATCCGCGAAGGGCACCAACGCCATCGCATCATTGCGATCCTCAGGCGGCTCTTCTCCGGGCATGAGGTAAAAGAAACTCCGCGTGTTCACAACAAGCCAATGGTACGAGAACCTTTCCCAGTCTGTCTCCGGGAAGACAGATACCACGGTGTCGTATGCGCTGCGGAGTCGCTTCTCCTGCTGAGATAAGAGGTTCTGGTGTGGTGTCTCGTATGCGTGGGTGTGGGGTTGGGTGTGCGCGGGGATGGTGGTCCAGTGGGAGGAGATTGAGGGGGGGAGGAGGGATGGACTTGTGCTATTGCTATTGCGAGGAGTAGTAGTTGTTGTACTTATCGGATTGGATCTCGGGGTAGAAGATTTTGAATTCGATCCCCGAAAGAACTCAGGCCAGAGAATCGGCATGCTTTCTTCAAAGTCCGAGCGAGTGGGCCAGGTATCGCGCCAGAGGGCGTAGGGACGAAGGTCTTCCGGGGAGCCGTGGGTGAAGTATGCGGCGTAGAGGACGTGGGTGGGCGTTGCGGCGGGGAATTTGTTGCGGAAGGAGACAGGGATTCGGGTTGGGGTGAACATTGTTTTGTGTGGGACTGTGATTATGGCTTCATCTTTCTAAAGAAAAGGTCAGTATGTATAGATGGGCATGGTTTGGCGGGTGGTTTGGTCTGGCGTCGTACATTGATCTTCCGTGTGGCTATCATGCCTAGTCCGCGGCCAGGGAACCGGGCTGGGCTGACTCCATTGATGATGATGCCTTGGGATATGGCCCACGCCGTGAAGAGCTCGTGCTTCTCGCCGGGCCACCAGGCGGGGTTCATGGTGGTGGTGATGGTGAAGTGCGCGTGGTTTGGTTAGTTGGGGGGGGGGGGGGGAGGAAAAAAAGAGGGGTGGGGATGAGCTGCTTAAGGGAATTGACAATTGACTAGCAGCATGTCCGATATGAGAGAAAATAAAGGGATTAGTGGTTTCGGATTATACGAAGCAGCATCCCCCGAGCCCATACACAGCACCAAAAACCGCAATGCGTCCAGGAACGGCGACAGTGGAAGTGTTTAATGTCTAGTAGACTGCAACGCGATAAAGATGAGTATTATCTTATCGAGCTTTAGTTATCGGCAGTACGGCGACACACGGCCGCCGGAGCTGCCATCGGGCGAGGGCCTCGGAGCATCGTACCACCACCGCATCTGCATCCATCCGCCAGGCTCAGGCTCAGGCTCATCCCAAGACCCAAGACACAAGACACAAGATGTCGGTCCTCGGAAAACGCAGCGTAGTACTCGCTGCGCGCGACCTCAACCTCCTCTCCTTCTCCGCCCCGCTCACACTCACACTCACACACTCTCTGCGGTCTCGTGCGCGGCCATTCTCCGTCTTCAACCGGCCTCCGCCAAACTATCCCGGCCATGTGCCGCTGAACTTCGTCGAACGGGGCGCTCTGGCCGTGGGGTCAGCGGTCGGGGCGCTCCTGAACCCCCGACGAGCAGGTAAGCCTTTTCTCCAATTTGCATTTCACGGTAGCATTTCATCTACTAACCCCCCCAACCAACCCCAGACCTGATCGCCGCGTGCGGCGAAGCCACCGCAACACCATACTTCATCTACCGGCTGCGCGACGCGATGCTCTCGGACCCAACAGGCCGCCAAATCCTGCGCGACCGACCGCGCATCACCTCCGAATCCCTACAACTACCCTACCTGCGCACCCTGCCCCCCAACACCGTCGGGCGAACGTACGCGACCTGGCTCGACCGCGAAGGCGTATCGCCCGACACGCGCGACAACGTGCAGTACATCGACGACCCGGAGTGCGCGTACGTCATGCAGCGGTACCGCGAGTGTCACGATTTCTATCACGCGGTCACCGGCCTGCCGATATTCGTGGAGGGGGAGCTGGCGCTCAAGGCGTTTGAGTTCCTGAATACCCTGATTCCCATGACGGGGTTGAGTCTTTTTGCGTCGGTGCGGCTGAAGCCCGCGGAGAGGGAACGGCTGTTCAAGATCTATTTGCCGTGGGCGGTGCGCAGTGGCTTGAAGAGTAAGGAGCTGATTAATGTTTATTGGGAGAAGGTGCTCGAGATGGATGTGGATGTGTTGAGGGGGGAGTTGGGCATTGAGAGGCCGCCTGATATGAGGGAGATTAGGCGCTTGATCAGGGAGCAGAAGAAGAGGGAGAGGGAGTTGCTGGAGAGACAGGGGGCGTAGGTAGCCTGTGTCTTGTTTGGGAGGGGAGGGGATGATGGATCTGGGGTCTTAATTAGATGTATTATATTTGCGTGCGGGTGGCGGGGGTTGCCACTGGACTACCTAAATAAAGATATTGGCAAAGCTTCTTTCATTACAATGCAGTACAGTGTGCAGTGTGCAGTTGGGGAGATCGTAGGGATTCGACGAAAATTTGAGTGGGACTTTTTATGGCATTCTGGGATCTTGGTGGTTGAAGTACTTTTCTTTTCCAATTGGATATTTGTCCGTTCCATACTGAATAGGAACGGTTGTACCACAAAACCGGTCAACGCTTGGGAAGGCATAAGACGGAGAACCGCAGGTATAAGACGGGAGCTGGAGGTATCATAAAGAGATTGCACGAGTCCAATCCAACTGGACATCCTTCGCTAAAATTACTCGTTCCTCACAGATCAAGCAGGTCATCATCGTCATCCCAGCCGCCTTTACGACGGGTAATAACAATCTTGTGCTCCTCCTCGTCCTTGCGCTGGTTCTCCGCCATGGCGTTCAGCAGCTGCTTGAGCTGGTCCTCCGAGACCTTCTGGCGCAATTGCCCCGACTGGGCGAGCATGATCAGTCGGCTTTCGACGTCGGCAGCACGCGATTCCTTGACGAGGCGGATACGGCCCAGCCGATCGGCGGCTTCGGGTTCCAGGATCTGGTTCAGGATGGTGCTGCGGCGGTCGGCTGGTGGGTGTGGTATAGTCAGTTAGATAGGTGTTCGGGGGCGCATGTGAGAAAAAAAAAAGGATGAGATCTGCCGGGAAGATCTGCTTTCCTGGGGTTTCAGGTGTAGAGTCAAACATGGATGCGCATACCTTCAGCTTGTCTGGAAGAAGCGACGGGGTCAGTATGGTCGTGCAATGGTCAAGATAAAGCACAAGCGCAAGCTTGGAAATCACACCTTCTCTGTTCTTCCTGTCCACCATCGGCACCCCCGCGGGGGGCACCACCACCCTGCTGCTGAAGCTGCGCAAGACGGGCACGTCTGATCTGTTTCTCGTCTGAGTATGTGATGCGGGAAAGGGTTGAGATGACAGAGCCCGAGCGGGGGGGGGGTCAATGCCACGAAAAGGCGAGCCCGGAGAGAGTGGCATCCCCGCTCAGACGGTTTCTATACTGACCTCCTCCAGCTCTGAGTCGGCCATGGCTGCTTCTGCGTGCTGATGGCCTCGCAGATCAAACTTTGACGATAGGAGATTTTCGCAGGCGATGCGGGGTAGATCGCGGGCTGTATCGCGGTAGTGGTAGTAGTACAGAGGGAATAGTCCGATTAATCCTCACGATTCGAGACTATCGATTCGGCGGGATGATTCAACCCAATGTTGGAGAACTTTCCAACCCCACCTTCGTCGAGCGCTGCCTGCATGCCTCAGGCGCCCAGGCAGGCGGCGGTGGGGCGCCATGAGGCCCGGGCATCCCTGCCCGATCGGGCAATCAATAGTACGGGTTGGACAGCAGGGACTGCGGAGTATGAACACCTCCTAGATACAAAGTTAGATACTAGATAGATATCTACACCGTACACCGCAACTGGAGAAAAACCCTGGGACGCGCTGAGATTACCAGGACTACGGGTAAGTAGCGGGGTGAGGCTGCAGCCGGCCGCTGCAATAAAGAATGCTCAAGCTTCGCGTGTCTCAAGTTCAGAGAGCGTCCGTCCCCTTGTTTGCGCGGCGGCGCGTGTCGTCATCGGTCCCGGAGGTGCCAAGCGCCGAGTTGCCAGCATCACCCACGCCGATGATCCGGCTCGATTCGGTTGAGATTGGCTGGTGTGACCGAATTAGAAGCACACCTCCTCGGCCGATGGATCGGTCTCCGGGACTATTGAAAGCATGGAAGATATTTTCCAATTCCAATTGCAAAGAGCCCTCAGGATGCTTTAGCCACCCCGTCGGCCCTTGCGAGAGATCTAGTCCGTATCGAGATCGAATCCCTCGGGGTGGGAACCGATAACCGGGTAGGAACGTGGCTCAAGTGACCAGTGGTGGCATTTTGCGGCAGGGGAGTGGTTGTATTCTGAACGGTCAGTCTGGACGGTCAGTCGGGGGACACTCAGGCACTGGAATGACCAGGCAGGTAACTTTCGGGCGTTAAATGTCCAGTACCACGCGCTGTGGAGGTCGCAAAAGTCAAACTTAAGAGGAACCAGAAAATGGGGAGGGATTTCCTCAATTTCGCCTGGACAGCCCGGGGATGGATTGGCGAGCGCAACGGAGCGACGTGACGGCGGGAGGCGATCGGCCTGCCTGACTAAGTGCGGCAGTCCACTTCTGGGGCTGTGATTGGGGGGCGGAGGGTGGCGGGTGCGTCGGCACTCCGTAGGCGTATGAAAGATACACAGCTTGGTATCGCCGTATCGTATCCACCGCGGCGGCGATACCCAGTCAGGCCGTCACAACTTACAAGTGCCTGGCGCTGCTACCTTAATCCACGACGTGCTCCTCCTCCTCCTCTTCCTTCCACCAACCAACCACTCCTCGTCTCTCCCTCCTTCACTAACCTGCTTTTAACCTCTTAACGCCTTCTATCTTACTCTTGCCTACCTCACTAATAATCAAACTAACCCCGTCTACGCCTGCTTCCTTGAAGAAAAGAGGGGTTACGTTACGCCCACTAATTCCCACTCTCCCTCCCTTCCTTTATCTCTCGCCTCTATCGTCATCCTTCCGGTCTATCCTTCCCTACTACCACCACCTACCTACTTACCGACCGCACTGCATTCTCTCTTTTAACCCCCCCCCCCCCCCCACCCCCAGCGGCTTCCGTTCGCTACCTGCCTCCATTCCGGTCCTTTCTCCGACTCAATGCTTCGGCTCCCGACTGGCTAATCCCTCTCCAGTCCGCGCGCTGGCGGGGACGTTGCCCTATCTCTCCCCCCTGCTTTAATCGTTCATGCACACGTCGTCTGCACTCTTTCTGCCAGGAATTGCAGATGCGAACAGTTAGCGACCTGCTATATACGTGGTTGTGATACCCACCTGCCATAGCTGTGATACCCAGTCCTTTCCAAATCCCCATGCCCAGAGTTCCGGTCAACATGGCAGAGTATGTCCTCTCAAACACCTCCAATGCGCTTCCTAACAAGCCATCGCTAATTTCTGGGACAGTTTTCTCGCCTTCCATAATTATTATTCTCGCCACAACTTCCTCGCACCCTCTACAATGCTTCCGCGCCCGACCAGCCACAAACGCACCAACTCATCCGAGAATAACTCCCTCTCCCCCGATAAGACCGTGACCAAAGCCAGGTCCACAAATGATCTTTCTGGATTCAATACTGAAAAGCCGACACCAGGTGTTCGTTCCTCCAGTGTAGGCAACTTTCATGAAAGCAGCTTCAGCACCCTGAAGGACCCGAGGCTGGCCAGTACCTCGGAAGAGGAGGAGGTGCCAGTTCCATCGCCGTCGCATCACCCGGATCTCAATAATGAGGTTGCTGCGTTGAGCCTGAAGCTTGTCCAGGCAATCAACAACCAGACCACCCTTGATGACAATCTCGTCGCTACCCGGCAGGAGCTGGAGCAGGCTCAAGCTAAGGTCCGGGTGCTCGAGGTGGAGAATGAAAAGCATCGCCGTGATATTGCTCAGGAAGTCCTGATCAAGAAGTCCGATGTCGACTACGAAATGCTGCGCATACAGGCTGCCTTGGCGGAGGAGAAGGCCCAGCGCGCACTAGTGGAAAAGGAGAAGAAGGGTATCGAGCAAGAACTAGAAACATTGACGGCCGCGCTTTTCGAAGAAGCCAACAAGGTAAGAGATGTACAGTTACTTTGCCTTGGCTCACGGTCTAACATTCTGCGAACAGATGGTTGCTGCCGCGAAGCTTGAGCGTGAAGCTGTCGAAAAGAAGAACGAGCAGCTGCGTTCTCAAGTGAAAGACACCGAAGCGCTCCTTACATCGCACCAGGAACAACTGGCGGAATTGAAGTCTGTTCTGCAGGCACTGAACATCTCTAAAGATGATATTGATGCCCGCACGATCGCGTCGACCGCCCCGTCCTCCCCTGCGGTAACACGCCATTCTATGCCCATTAATAGAAACATCGAGACTCCTGGCATCCCGGAGGAAGTGGCACCATGCGAAGAACTTGCTCCAGGCCCGTCTACCAGCTTTCCACATCTAATCAAGTCTGTTTGCCGGACAGATATACAGGCATACGAGGATTTCCGGGAACTGTTTACTACTTCTAGACTTTCCAAGCCACCCAGTCGGGCCACAAGCGGGTCTTATTCCGGCTTGAACGTCATGAGCCTGGCTGGCCTGAGCAGCGGTAGCTTCGGTTCAACATCTTCTTCGCCCGCAAAATCGCAGACGCACTCTCCCAATGGAAGTGTATCTTCTCCCCAGCCCGTGACTTCTCACATTCCTCTCAAGGAGACCCGTTTCTACAAGCGGGTGGTTACGGAAGATGTGGAGCCGACGCTCCGGCTTGATGCTGCTCCGGGAATATCATGGCTAACTCGACGCTCGGTGTTGAATGGAATCTGCGATGGAAGCCTTTTGGTTGAGCCGATGCCACCTTCGGCGATGAAGTATGAGTTCCCATGCTCGCTGTGTGGCGAGCGCAGATCTGGTTCCGTCAATGAGCGAACCCATCGTTTCCGGACTTCTGACAGCGAGACCGCTCAGAGATACCCTCTATGTGTGCTGTGTCTAGAGAAAGTGCGTTCGTGTTGCGAGTTCACTGGGTATCTTCGTCTCATTCTTGATGGACATGTTCGCATTGGCGACACAGAAGAGGAGAAGGATGCTTGGGATGAAACGATCCGACTGAGAGAAAGGATGTTTTGGTCGCGCATTGGCGGGGGGATCATTCCTCTTTTCAGTCAATCCATTGACTTCCCAGAGAGCATTCCCACCGAGGCAGAGGATCCCATACAGCCTATCTCCTACCGCCGCCATGACTCTCGCCAATCCATTGCCTCGAGGGCTTGCGAGAGCATGACCATTCTAACTGAGGATGCTGGTGAATCTGACGACGAACACCATCACGAGGACGGCGATGACCCATTTGTGTCGGCCCCTTCCGAGTCGGAGTCTACAGAGAGCAGCGCTGCACCCTCGCCAACCGAAGTTAACACACCGATGGCTCTCGGGGATGATTCGCATGAGCAGACTACTGTGCGGGTAGTCACATCGGAGACTGGCCATGTTGAAGAGAGCGACACGGGCAAACCTACAATTACGATTGAGGAACCATTTGCCAACCACGACGCCACAAAGAGCGGTGATAATTGATATGATCGATGCTGATTTGACCCATGACTACCACCATTCAGACGGACACATTCGCTGTCTCCTTTTTCATTTTTGAGCCTTGCTTTCTTGATTTCCGATCATCGTCTGCGCACTTTTGCACCTTCTTCTCTTTTTCTATATCCCATGCATGTCTGCTTGCCTAATTCCTCACCGATCCAGTCCTTCGTACCAAGACATTATCAGGCAAAAGCAGCATGTGCTCTGTATTATTACTAATATTTTTTATGCTTCGCTTTTGTATACTTATCCTTTTTCTCATTGCTTTGCCTTTCTCATATATGCCTTTCTTTGCCTTTTCTCATTTTTGTCAGCTTCCGCTTCCTTGTTTTATTCCCTTTCCGAGCGCTGTTGGATGCAATATTTTCATGTGCGAAGGCGGCACACTGGATGAACTATGACTTCGCATCCCAACGGGTGGACTCCGTGCTTCTATTCCATTGGAGACTACCCCTTTCCAAGTTCCTGTTGCATAAAGGTCCTTTTCTGTTGCTATTCCCCCAGTGCGTTGTCTATGATTGTTTCGTTTTTATGCGATATATATATGGAGACAGAGATCTCAGTGTTGGTGGAGCGATGGATACAGGAACGCAAGGTGGTGGCTTTACTTGCATATATCATAGCATTAGTAAAGCGATATGATGATTCATTTACAGACTTTCTTGAACGTAATATATTACGTCGTAGACTTATAGATTCAAGCCTTTTGAGAACTTAACCATCTTACGGAGCGTCGAATACCCATCCTACTCGAAACGCTTACAAACAGGTTGGCAATAACAATGGAAGAGAAAGAAGTATATCAAGATTTTACAAAGAAAGCAGAGACACCACGTCTCGCCTCAAAGAAGAGCTACTTGTCAATCAAATCAAGTATACAGCGCGTACTCCGACGACAGAAGAAATGAAAAGAAAAGAAAACGCCTCCGTAACATATAACACGGTCCAAAAACCCAGCAATACCCGATGGAGTTAAAGCCAACTTTAAAAAAAACAAAGAACATGCTTGATGTAGATGGAATCACTTCCGGGTCATTGCCTGTCGCTCATGAATGCGTCTAATCTGCTCCTCGATATTCATACTTTGAGGATTGGGCGGACCGCCAGCCGGACCAACGGGAGGGGGGGGCACGACGTCGGGCCCGGCGCCAGAGGCAGCTTCAAAGGCCATTTTCTTTCGGCGGGATTCTTCTTCGGGGTCCATGGTTCCGGCGGGTCCGCCGGGGGCATTGGCGTCGAAGACGTCGCTTCGTTGGCTGGCCAGCCGCTTGAGGTTGTTGACGACGTCGATGGTGGAGAGGTTGGTCGTGGCGCTGCGGGAGTCGGCTTTGGCGCGCTGCTCTTTCCAGCGGGGGTCGAGCAGCTCGATGCGCATGTGCTGGTCCAGCTCGTCGACGGGGATCTGCAGATGGCAGTTGGGACAGAGGGCCGTGGCGGCGCTGGGGGCGTTGCCGCGACGGGCTTGTGCGCGGGGAACGTAGTCGGAGCGGATGCGCATGGGTTGTTGGCCGGGGATGGCTTTCGCGGAGGCTTGCACGGCGGCGGCGCGGTCGCGCGCCTCCATCCGTTCGCGGATCCGTTGTTCCTCTTCGAGCGCGGCGGGGGTTGCGAAGGCGGGGGGGACGGGGATGGGGTTGGGCGTGGGCATGGGTTGAGGGGCGTAGCCTTGCGGGGGATAGGCGGGGCCGGTTGGGATGACGGGGACGGGGGCGGGTTCGGGTTCGAATTGTGTTGGGTAGGCGTTGTAGTAGGTTGGGGCTTCGTCTTCGGTGGGCATGGCTTCTTCGATGCGGAGGGGGTTGAGAGACATGGCGGCTTTTTGTTCGAGGGAGGCGGATTGGAGGTCGTTGAGGGAGGTCGGGGGAGGGAGGTCGACTTGGTCGTCTGCATCGGTGAAGAGGACGGTCTCGACCACGACGAAGTCATGCCAGTCGATTTGCGCGTACTCGATCCGCTCCTGCTCCTCCTCTTCTTCCTTCTGCTGCTTCTGCTGCTCCTGGAATTTGACCCATTCGGCGCGCTTCTTGGCGCGTTCGAGGATGTGGTATTTGTATTGCACGTTGCGTTCGAGGTCGGCGATTCGTTTCTTTTCCATCGTCGCGGCGTCGAGGCCTTCGGCGCGGAGCAGGATGGTGTATTGGTCGATGAGCCGCGTGAAGAAGTGGTACAGACTGTGTTGGGGCCGCAGGAAGTCGAATTGGAAGTTCCTGGTTTCGCGCTGGGAGAGCGCCGTCATGAACGACTTTCCACGCTTGGCGACAAAGAGGGCCGTGAGCTTGACGACTTCCAGATCCTTGGCGTTGATTATGGGCATCCGCGCGGAGAAGTGGAACTCTTCGGGCTCCTCGGGGCCCTTGGTCTTTTCCGGCTCAGCAGAGGCGTTGGGGTCGCCCGCTCGCCCTGCAGACACGGCTGTTCCTCGGCCTTCCTTGATCTCGTCCAGACGCCATTGGTAGAACGGTGCGTACGCGTCATTGGCGTTCAGGAAGGAGAATTTCGGGTTGTTGCGTTCCTTTTCGCGAACACGATCTGGGGTGCACGTGAGCCGGTTGGGTTCTTTGCGCAGCGAGGAATAGGGAGGGAGGAAGGGGACGTACCTTCGAAGACGACGCCGTTTCGAGCGACATAGCCGGCCGTCTTCTCGACGATAGCTGGTGAAGGGTTGGTTAGCTTGAGCTCATCGCAAGTTCTCCCATAAAGACCGAACGAACTTACCTCGAATATCCTTGGGTGGCAAGACCACGCCCTCAGGCGGCTTGCCGACCTCTTCCGGTAGCGGAGTATTCCCGTTGCTTACAGACGCCATATTTCGCACACCGATCGGGATGGAGAGAGGCGGGATGGAGAGTCAAACGTGTGGAGGGGAGGAGAGACCGCCAGCCGGATTCTGGATGTCCTTTTCGGCTTGACTTCATTCTTGGCGCGGCCGCCGGACTGACTAAGCGCGGGCGGTGAGACCATCCGCGCGCGTGGAAACGGGGGGCCTCGATTGGCTGGCGGTGCCGGAGGCTAAACCCCGGTGGGACAGTCCCTGGCAGCTCCAGTCAATCTAATTATATAAGGGCCGTCGATGAACGCTGGGGCATCCGCAGTCATAGCTTGGACGAGGAGAGAGTTAGATGGATAATTCATGGACAGCAGCTAGATGGAGTGTAGGGTTGAATGCTAATCAGTCCCAATCAAAAGACTTTTTTTTTTTTTTTTTTTTTTTTTTTAGCTGCAGAAAAGTCCCGGGGCAGAGCAATTCCAGCCGATAGAAAGAAGGGCTGAGGCCGGCCAGGCTGACGGGCTGCCGACGATCTGGCCTTAAACCGGACGACGCTTTCATCCGCCGCCTCCCTGATTATTGTCCCACACGTGTTGCCTCTGCCTCTCCGGTCACCTCACCTCACCTTCTTTGCCTTTACTCTTTCCCTTCGTCTCTATGGCGTTTCTTTCTTAACTTCTTACACTCGTTCATTACCCCTTGGTTTCCCACCCTCCCCCAATTTCCCCGCCCCCCCTGGAGGTTGAAAGTTCCCCTGGAGCACCCTGCAGCCCGGGCTCCGTCATTACTACGCTCTCCCGCTGCAACCTTTCTAGCTCTTGATGATCCATTACCCTTTTTTTGTGCTTCTGCAAGTCCTTTAAATTCAACCCCCTCCCTCCCACCGCCATCCGGCCCCCTCCCTCTTTCCTTGACCCCCCTCCCGATTGAAGCGCCTTGACAATGGCGTCCAAAGGCTCCCTGGCGGTTAGGCCTCCGCCAAACTCATCCCGCTCGCCCAGTCGCTCCCCCGGTCCGAAGAACCGCAAGAAGGCCGCCGCGCAACCCTCCAGCTATGCCTCCGACGGTGTCACGGATAACAATATCTTCAACCTTCCCACCTCCGACTACAAAACCCTCGCTCTGGTGACCATCGTTGCCGCGGTGGTCCGCCTGTTCAGGATCTACCAGCCGTCGAGCGTGGTCTTCGATGAAGTCCAGTATGTGCCGATCTTTGGAAATTCGCAATTCCCGGGAAATACCTCGTGCTAATGCATGGCGAACAGCTTCGGAGGTTTCGCGACGAAATACATCAAGGGCCGCTTTTTCATGGACGTTCACCCCCCGCTTGCCAAACTGCTCATCACACTTGCCGGCTGGCTGGCGGGCTTCGATGGAAACTTCGATTTCAAGGATATTGGAAAGGACTATCTCGAACCTGGTGTGCCATATGTTGCGATGCGAATGCTCCCCGCGATCTTGGGTGTCCTGACGATCCCATTGATGTTCTTGACTTTGAAGGCATCCGGTTGCCGGACTGTCACTGCGGTCCTGGGCGCTGGTGTCGTGATCTTTGGTAGGCAGCTGCATATACATGACGTTTTGTTGATACATGCTGATTTGGCACAGAGAACGGTCTTATTACCCAGTCTCGCTTGATCCTCTTGGACTCTCCGTTGGTATTCTTCACTGCGCTTACGGCATTGTCGTTCACGTGCTTCACCAATCAACATGAAATTGGCCCTTTGCACGCCTTCCGTGCATCCTGGTGGTTCTGGCTTGTTGCGACTGGTCTTTGCCTGGGTGCTACTCTCAGCGTCAAATGGGTTGGTCTCTTCACAGTGGCCTGGGTCGGCTCAATTACCGTTCTCCAGCTGTGGGTGCTGCTTGGCGACTCGAAGAATGTCACACCGGTACGTGCTCTCTATCTCAGGCCGCATAAAGGAGGATGCTAACCTTTCGATGCAGCGCCTGTGGTTCAAGCACTTCTTTGCCCGTGTTTTCTGCCTGATCATCATTCCTCTAGGGTTCTATTGCGGAATGTTTGCAATCCACTTCCTGTGCCTCGTCAACCCCGGAGACGGAGATGGGTTCATGTCGTCCGAATTCCAGGCGACATTAAACTCCAAGGGAATGCAGGACGTCCCTGTGGATGTCGCGTTCGGCTCTCGGGTCTCCCTGCGTCACCTTAACACCCAGGGAGGTTACCTTCACTCTCACAACCACATGTACCCCACCGGAAGCAAGCAGCAGCAGATTACGCTGTATCCTCACAAGGACGAAAACAATGTTTTCGTTCTCGAAAACCAGACCCAACCCCTGGGTCCCTATGGAACTGTGGAGGGCCCCTTGGCCTGGGACAACATGACCGCAGAATACATCGAAGACGGTGCCACGATCCGCTTGAACCATCTGATCACACGGCGACGAATTCACTCCCATGACGAGCGGCCTCCGGTTACTGATGTCGACTGGCAATTTGAGGTGTCCGCTTACGGATACGATGGCTTCCCTGGAGATGCAAATGACCTCTTCCGGGTTGAGATCGTCCCCAGTTTTTCGGATGGCGAGGAGTCGAAGAAGCGTCTGCGGACTATCCAGACCAAATTCCGTCTCGTGCACGTCATGACTGGCTGTGTTCTGTTTTCTCACAAAACGAAGCTCCCTGATTGGGGTTTCGATCAACAAGAGGTGACTTGCGCAAAGGGGGCTAGTCTTCCCAACAGCATCTGGTATATCGAGTCGAACAGTCACCCCATGCTCGCAGAGGACGCAGAAAAGGTCAACTACCGGAATCCTGGATTCTTCGGCAAGTTTTGGGAGCTGCAGAAGGTGATGTGGATCACCAATGCAGGCCTCACTGAATCGCACGCTTGGGACTCTCGTCCGCCGTCATGGCCCACCCTCCTTCGTGGCATCAACTTCTGGGGCAAGGACCACCGCCAAGTATATCTTCTCGGTAACCCTGTCATCTGGTGGTCGTCCACGGTGGCCATTGCGATCTACGTTGCTTTCAAGGGCATTTCTATCATCCGCTGGCAGCGGAGCTGTGGTGACTACAACAACGTCAACTTCAAGCGGTTCGACTACGAGATCGGTACCAGTGTTCTTGGCTGGGCTTTCCACTACTTCCCCTTCTACCTCATGGCGCGCCAGCTCTTCCTTCACCATTACTTCCCTGCCCTGTATTTTGCCATCATTGTGCTCTGCCAGGAGTTTGACTTTCTTGCGAACCGCATCAAGACCCTTGGTTTGCCGTCTAGACCTGTCATTGGCAAAGCTTTGGCCGGTATCTTCCTCGCGGCCAGCATTTTCACCTTCACCATCTACTCTCCCTTGGTATATGGCAACCCCTGGACGCAGGAAGCTTGCAACAAGGTCAAACTCTTGGATGGTTGGGATTTCGACTGCAACACCTTCTACACTAACGTAAGTATTCTACGAGAACCTCGATCGCAGACGAATAACGGCATCATTTTAGCTTAACCAATATGTGACCCAGATCGTCGATACCAATGTGGCCGTTCCCACTGCACAGCCATCGGTGCCGCAGGTACCCGTTGGCGAGCAAGGCCCCCAGAAGCACCAAGGAGTACTGGCAGAGGATGGCCAGGAAGCCGGCGTTACTGCCCGGGCTCAGCACAGCAGCAAGGCGCGTGTGGAGTATCGCGACCAGCATGGAAATGTTTTGGACGATGAGTTGGTGGCCTCGTTGAAGAAGGAGGGTAAGGTGCAATTCGAGACCCGCCACGAGACCAGGACTCGCCTGGACAATGGACGCATCGTCGACATGGTGGACGGTCAGATTGCACCCCCTCACCCGGATGTTGAAGGCCAGAACCCGGAAACTTTTGGCCAGCAGCAAAACGTTGCTGAAGACCGTCCCGCCTCAGCTGCCGGGCAAGGCAGCGCCAAGGAGGCGCAAGGCTCCGTTGACCCTAAGCCGGCCAGCGAGGCCAACGAGGCCACCCAAGCCGTTTAAGCTTGGCATGGCGTTTCCTTTCTTTCCATTTCAGGCCTTGCTCATCTACTTCTTCTGTATCTCCTCTTCTAACAGCAACTTCTTCCTTTTTGGGCTAACGAAATGTGACTTTTTGTACATGACTACCTCTACCTGTTCCCGGAGTTGGCAGCCTACTAGATTGTGTACATGTCTTGCTGTTTGGAAGCTTAGTTGTAGCGCAGCGAAAACAGTCTTCAAATGAATCTCATCAAAACAAACTATGCACAAAGGTCTTGCAAGAGAGCTCGTCCGCCCATCTCTAGTCTTCACAAGTTTTAGTGTACAGCGATCAGCGCCGTTCCTCAACTTCCCCCTCACCATCCACCTGTCCTGCAGCTTGGAGCTATTTAGTAGTCCCACTCCTCCTTTCCGTACTTGTTGAAGCGCTCGTGGAGGTCCTGAGAAGCACGACGAAAAGAAGAGCATTAGCCACTCTGGCCGTGACATGCATTGGTCCCGGACATGGAACACAGATGGGGTACGTACCACGGGCAGGGTGACGTTGGGCACAATGACAGTGTTCAAGGCACTGGGGGCATTGCGCAGGGGCTGGCTCTTGTCGCCGTGGGGGTGGTACTGGTACTTGTAGACCTTACCACTCTCGTCGGGCTTCTCCCAGGGCATGGCGGACTCGCCAATGCGGACGTTACTCTCGGAGGTAACGGAGGTGGGCTTGCTGCCGAAGTACCTGTAAGTCGAGAAGAGAGGTGGTTAGCACGATGGAGCCGGGTTGGTGAGACGTGGAAGGTGAGATGAGGTGACGACAATTTTTGCCATCGCGGGCGTGGAGGGGGGAGTATTCACCATCCGGCAAGCATGAAAGCACCAGACATGACACCGAGCAGAACCTAGAATCTGGTTGTTAGAGATGGTCCCAATTGGGGTATCGGGGTGCAGTGGGCCAATGGGTCCGTACGTAGAGCTCGGGGTCACGCTTGGGGGCCTGGTCGAGGGTGGCCTCCTCGACCTTGGAGGCGCTGTACAGACGGCGCGGAGGGGCGCGGAGAAGCGACTGGCGGGCAAAGGCCCGGCGGGAAGCCATGGCAGCGATCGAAGACATTGTTGCTGGGGTTGCGAGGGACGGGGATGTCTGCCTGCGAGGATTGGGGGGGGGGAAGGCGGATCTGGAAGGAGGAGGTGGGAGAATCGGTGGGCGTCGGACGATGATGTTGCCGACGCATCATCAGGTGACATCCCGTTGGTCAGTTTCCGGCGCTGAGTCAGCCCGTGTGGGTGTGGGCGTGGCCTGACTGCCTGAGGCCGAGCCGGCTAAGTCGTACGGTTGGTTTATCGGCCGGTCGGTCGATTGCTGCCTTGCGAGTTTGTTCAGCAACTATCCCGTTTGCGAGTATACTCAAGGCTAGCTGCCTCCGCGGCCTTCTTGGGGTTCATGATCCTCGCTCAAGCTGCAGCTACTCCGGTCTTCTCCGTTGGGTTCGTAATGTGACGCGATCCCACGTGTCTTGCAAACCAGCGCAACTCCATCTCAAGGTCCGTCCGTCTGTCGTGGTGGCACTCCTTTCGTCGGCACAGGACAGGGGGGGCTCGGCCTCGACGCCGGGAATTCATGAGGCTAATCGGGCACTGACCAGGATAGGTTGCTTCACATTCTTTTCTGGATCTGGACTCTATTCTATTCTATTATTACACCTCGACTTACATCTTCTCGTCACTCCTTAACCCACCTCACCCCTAACGCTTCAAGAACCGTTCTGCCCGTCGATATACGCCGTCCGGTCGAATCGCTTCATTTCCCTCCAGCCACAACACGCTATATCGCCGCCTGGACTAGACATACATCATACATCATACATCATACATAATACATCACCCCATACGACATCCATCCACATCGAACACCATGCCATTATCCTCCGCAATCTCGGAGGCAAGCGATACGTCTTCCCCGGCCCCCGCGCAACATGCCCTAGGGATTCCGCGACCCCCTTCCGTGGGAGGGATCTCGTCCCGGGTGACGGATATGGCTTCGGAAGATGGCGAGCAGTCCCAGGCATACACCACGGTCTCGTCGCATCCCGTGCAATCGCGACCGTCCGTGTCCCGACGAGCGCCTCCGCCCGCCAGGAGCTCCATCGCATCCACCAGCCAGGGCACAAATCGACCAGGAAGTTCCGGTAGCAGACTGAGCCGATCCCACATCCCTTCCCTCACGGCGCAAGGCTTCTTCCGCCCCATGTCATCGCAGCGACTCCAAGCACACCGTGGCCGGCCCATGACGAAAGGAACAGCCACAGACACGTCGGAGGAATGGAACGACCATGGGAGTCAGAATCGGCAGAGCTTGGTATCAAACAGCACGATACCCCAGGGGTCCGTTGCGCCCATGGAGCAGGAACCCCCTCCCTCACGCGGCACTGAATTCACCGACCCTATCATCCCGGATCGCAACACGTCGAATGCAAGCCCTGTCGGCAACACGACGGGACGGAGTCAAGGCGAGAGTGCTAAGCTTATCTTCGACAAGGAGAGGGCGTATAAGATCCAACCACCACATCTCAACCTGGGGGTAAGCTACAGTGGCTCGAACGAACCCGAAACGCCCCAGAGATCACCACTATCCTTTCTCTCCCTACAGAACCGGGGTCAGGGACAAGAGAACCGTGACAATCGAGCACACGAGAGGCTATCCTCCGCCGGCTCGACCCCTAGATCTATCGAAAAGCCGCCTCGGATAACCGACACCAGGAGCCGTTGGGGTAAGAACTACGAGTATTTCGTTGGGAATACCATCTTTTTCGGTGGTGGGCGACTGCAGAACTCCAGAGACAAGCCCGTTAACATTGCGACGGGGATCTTTGTGGTTGTGCCCTCTGCTCTGTTCTTCGCATATTCGTGAGTATCTGCTCTGCGTCTGTCTGTGGAGATGCTAACGGTGCATAGGGCTCCTTGGCTCTGGCATCATATTTCGCCTGCCATCCCGATCTTGTTTGCTTACCTCTTCTACCTGTGCTTCTCGTCCTTTATACATGCTTCAGTCGTTGATCCGGGGGTAAGGGAGAGTCGAATCGACTTGCCTTTCATTGCTAACATTTCTACCAGATTATTCCTCGCAATCTTCACCAGATGCCTCCGCCAGATCTCTCTGTCGATCCGTTGGCGGTAGGTCCACCGACCAACGACTGGGTGATGGTGAAGCTGGCAACGTCTGAAGTTGCGGCGATGGATGTGCCGATCAAATACTGCAAGACGTGCTGTATCTGGCGCCCTCCCCGGTGTTACCATTGCCGTGTCTGTGATAACTGTGTCGAGACCCTCGATCATCACTGCGTCTGGCTCAACAACTGTGTCGGCCGCCGTAACTACCGATACTTCTTCACCTTTGTCGCCTCCTCCACGCTTCTCGCGCTATTCTTACTCGGCGCCAGTCTCGCCCATATCCTGGTATATCGCTCCCAGGAGCACGTCAGCTTCGGCACTGCCATCGATAAATGGCGGGTCCCCTGGGCAATGGTCATTTTCGGGGCGATCGCTGCGCCGTACCCGGCCTCTCTGTGGGCATACCACCTCTTCCTGGTCGGTCGGGGCGAGACAACCAGAGAATACCTGAACTCCCACAAGTTCGCCAAAGTTGATCGCCATCGTCCGTTCACTCAGGGCAACGCGTTCCGGAACTGGCTGTCGGTCTTCCTGCGCCCACGGCCTCCGACGTATATGCAGTTCAAGCAGCCGTACCAAGAAGGCGACCAGCGCCTGAGCACGGTGAAGCGCAAGTATCTCCCGCGCCATGTTGAGCCTCAGCCCGACATCGAGATGCAGCATGTGCCTCCTCCGTCTCAACCGGAATCGTGAGCTGTTTGGCTCCCTCTTGCTACTCCCTTCGTATTTTTCTACTTCCCGAGGAGACCTTTCTTCTTATCCTTCTTCCTCACCTTCTTCAAGATATCGAGATCATAATGAATGTTCGCAGCCATCTTTGCAGTCTTTCTTTGAACGAACTGGCACTCTCCGCATATACGTTGACTTCCTTACCCCTCCTTCTTTCCTGCCGTGTCTTGATTTCCAGCGAGTTGCACATACGAACCAGCCGTTGACCACGTTCTTTTCATGATCCTTTCATTCCCTTTCATTCCCATGTACGCGACCTTCACCGTGGGTGTGTTAGTTGCATCTGTTGCGGTGGTTGGGCGGACTCTTATATCGGGCGAGATTTAGGGCTATGTACCATAAGCACACTCTGGGCTGCAGATAGACCACGCATATCATCAATAGATTGGAATTGGTGCACGCGAAGCGTATGGGGTGATAAGCGCGCTCGGAGGTCCGGAAATTGGCAGTATATGCCTCATAGTAGAATGGGGGGGAAAGCAAAGCAGATGTAGTGCGGTCCTGATGACGGCTCTCCCCGTGAACACGATCCCCTACCGAGCAGAGGCTCCGAGGGGCGAGGCAGAACAGCGACCGAGTGAGCAGCCAACGAAATCGGAGCCCGGAGGTGAAACGGGGGGAGGGAAGTGTGTTGCCTGGAGGGTGTCGCTGTCGCTTGGTGTTGGGACTGCATTCCGCGGCGCCGTCCTCGGGCTGGACGATACGGACCTGCTTCTTCCCTCCGCACCTCCTCTTCCTTTCCTCTTCCTCTTCCCCTTCCCTTCCCTCTCTCTCTCTCTCTCTTCTTCCTTCTCCCCTCCCTCTTCCTGCTTCCTTCTTCCTTCTTCCTCCATTCTCTGCCCATGACCCTCGCCTCCCACCCGCCAGCCCTCCCACTCGCGTCCTGTGTCGGCCTTTTTTACGCCGTCGCCCTGTCTCGGGGTTCGGTGTGATCCGTGAGACATAGTTTAAGGCATACCATTGATACGTCTGGTAAGGAGATCCAGCCCCGACTCCTCCTCCCTCCCCCCCCTCCCCCCCCTTCCATTGGAACCCAGCTCAGCCTTTTCCGGAACTGGATCCCCCCTCCCTCCTCTCAACAAGTAAACACCCCCTGAAGACGCGGCTTACCCAAGCTCTCTCGCAGTCTTTCTACTCCTCACCGCATGTCCTTTCCCGAGACCTTGGGGAGGATGGACGGTCCAACTGGATTATCCGGCGCGTCGCCCGCAACACCCGCAACCCTTTCGGACCTCAACAACCACACGCACGAGCCTCTCGGAGGCACAATGGGCTTCGAGTACACCGAACAACTCCTCACCCCCGAGAATAGTCGCTCCGAGACCTCCAGCAACAACGAGAACGCGTCCGCCGAAGAGAAACCAACCCTACGCCGGCGATCTACACGTGTAACACGCGCCTCGTTGCGGGGGACCGCCCAACTAGGTGACGCCCTGGACGCAGATAATCATGGTATTCCAACTCCGGTGGATGAAATCGAGCCTACGATCTCGAGTGAAACCCTCACCGATGGGCTTGGGGCTCGGGTTGCGGAGGTGAAGTCCGCGTCAACCTCCCACCTTCGGCACAGCATAGCGGTTATGGAAACGGCAATATGGAGCGAGGCAACACTCACGCAGGATCATGTCGACGTCGACGACCATCCGTTGGCGCCAGATACGCCTGTTTCCAAATCGTCTCAGGACCCGCAACCCGGTGACATGAGCACGTCGCTACAACAACGGACTCTACGGAGGCGCGTGGAACGGGTGTTGACCCAGGAGGAAAAGAAAGACCAGGAAAAGTCTCGGGAGAAGTCTACCGCCACAGCCAAAGTCGACAGCCCGAAGCCAACGCGTCGCTCAAACCGGCTGAGCATCCTCGACAAGGCGTCAGACCTTGTTGGCCGGGCTAGCAGCGTTTTGGGGAAGCGCTCGCGTGACAAGACCGAAAAGAGTGCCGAACCGAGCCGCCGCGCCAGCCTACGAGTGCGCAACGCCGCTACCCCAAAAGAAGAGCCCCCGGCTCCAGCCCCGGCCCCTAGTGCTCCGGTGCCAAAGAAGAGACGGGTCTCCGAGAGTGATCTACCGACTAAGACGCAGCCCACGGAGGAAGCTGCACAGGAGCCAGCCGCCCCTGCGGAGCCTGTTCCGCGTGTGAAGCGGAAGCGTTGGCTGGCACACGGCCTGTATTCAGGACAGGAGTACACAGACGCCCCGCCTATTCAGAGCAGGAATAAGAACAGGAGGAAGAGTCACCCGGAGCAGAGTCCGGCTCAGCGGAGGCTACTACCGCTGCCGATGTTTGCCGGAGAAAGGCTACTGAATCAGGGGAGAGACTTCCAACTACCGTTCGACATCTTCTCGCCGCTGCCCCCTGGCCAGCCCAAGCCTGACGAGTGGAGGAAGACCAACAAGAGTATGTCAACGCAGCGGTTGGGTTAAACACAGCTAACAAGGTCTAGACGTCTTTGTGGGAGATGCATCCAGTATATGGCGTGCGAACAAGCATTGTGAGCTGTCCAAGTGCATGTGCACGCCCGACACGGGCTGTGACGAGCAATGTCAGAATCGTTATATGTTCTACGAGTGCGACGAAGGCAACTGCGGGCTGGGCCCCGAGTGCGGGAATCGAAGTTTCGAGGAGCTAAAGCATCGGACGAAGGCCGGGGGCAAATACAACATCGGCGTCGAGGTCATCAAAACCGCAGATCGTGGATACGGCGTTCGCAGCAACCGCACCTTCGAGCCCAACCAGGTCATCGTGGAGTACACCGGCGAGATCGTAACCCAGTCTGAATGCAATAAACGAATGCGAACGATTTATAAGAATAATGAGGTTGGTCTTCTGCACGTCTTGACTGGTCATGTTGCTAACAGATGCAGTGCTACTATTTGATGTATTTCGACCAGAACATGATCATCGATGCCACTCGCGGCTCCATCGCCCGCTTTGTGAACCATTCCTGCGAACCGAACTGCCGGATGGAAAAGTGGACGGTCTCCGGAAAGCCTCGCATGGCTCTTTTCGCTGGGGATCGGGGCATCATGACCGGGGAAGAGCTGACCTACGACTATAACTTCGAGTGAGTTCTCTTAGCACGCGGCCTCGAGACAGTGCTGACTTTTGCAGTCCATATTCTCAGAAGAACGTCCAGCAGTGCCGTTGTGGCTCATCAAACTGTCGTGGAATTCTGGGCCCGCGGCCAAAGGAAAAGGACCAGCGAGCAAAGGAGGCTAAGGTCGAGATGAAGAAGGGCAGCACGAAGAGGGCAAAGGCCGGAACCAAGCGAAAGAGCAGTGACGTGCTCGACGAATCTGCCTCGCATGCCAACAAGAAGCGCAAGCTGCAGGTGGCAAGGACAATCAAGTCGGGCGTCAAGAAGGTCGTTTCGAGGGCACGTGCGACTGTTGCTAAATCAGCTGCTTCTCGGAAGAGGCCGGTGAAGGCGAAGGTCAGGGCCAGTCCTAAGGGAGCAGCCAAGGCCAGTCCTGTGAAGGGGGCAGCCAAAGCCACAAAGACAAAGAGCAGCCCTGCAAAGGGGACGCCTAAGAAAGCCACGAAAGAAACGGCCGGTCCTTCAAAGGGAACACCCAAAAAAGCCGCCAAGACGGCCGCGAAGACAACTGCCAAGGCAGCCCCGAAATCACCTAAAACAGCCACGAAGGCATCTCCCAAGACAGCCGGAAAGGCATCTCCGAAGACAGCAGCGAAGGCGTCCCCGAAGACAGCGAAAGCATCTTCCAAGACAGCAGCAAAGAAGCAACCCGTGAAGAAGGATGAACCGAAGAAGAAGGCTATCAAGTTACCCAAGGTCAAAGCAGTGAAGGCCAAGGCACGAGCCGCGGTGCCTAAGAAGACACAGACAACGAAAGCCAAGACGGAAAAGGCGGCCACATCGCCGACGAAGGCGGCTTCTAAAGCGCCATCCAAGGCGCCATCCAAAGCGCCCTCTAAAGCACCCTCTAAAGCACCTTCTCAAGCACCTTCTAAAGCACCCTCTCTGCTGAGTCGTCCATCCGCAGCTACTAAGGCAAAGATCCTCGCTGCGGCCAAGGGCGTGAGCCCACGCAAGAGGCCCCAGAAGAAGGTAGAAGTCAAGGGAGATGGCAAGAAGGTGACCAAGCCGAAGTCGAAGCCGAAGCCCAAGGCCACGGCCACAGCCACGGCCAAAGGCGCGAAGATTACTGAGAGTGCAGTTCCCAAGGGCAAGAAGTGATCAGCTACTGCTCTGAGAATAATTTTGGATCCCAGAGCGATCCACGTCCTTCTATATTTCTAGTTAATCGTTTCTTCTCCCATTCCCCTTTCTGTTACTTATCTTGGACTGTTCTGGAACACCATCTGCTTTCTTGCCTGGACTGCAGGCGTGTGCCCTGGATCCATTTCTTTCGATCTATCTTCTCCTTTCTTGATCTATATTTTCGGCAAACTTTGGCCCCTATCCCCTAATGTGGTAGTTGGTTAACCGCGACTGGCCCTCCCTTCCTGGATGCTGTATTGACTGGTTTGATTCGGTTTGATTCGGTTTGGTTCGGTTTACGATGGGCGCTATTACCAGATTTTGATTGTATCACCCCATTCTGTTATAGTTTCTTTTTCTTTTTTTTTTTTTTCTTTTTTTTTCTTGTTTCCTTTTCATGTCTGGCCTGATCCTGATGTTTTGATAATTGATCTTATGAGACAGCCTAAGCCTAAGTAAGGTACTTGAGTCGTCAGTGCAAGTCCAGAGATGGTATGGGTTGTGGATGGTTACATGGTAGCGTGCTTGTCTGGTCTAAGTAGCTGGGTATTGTAGGTCTGGTACTTTTTACTTGATTGATTTGGTTGATGAGGTGCGATGTTTATGATCTGCTGGAGTAATTGGAGTTGGGTTAGTAGCTAGCTTGATCAATTGAGTTCTTTTTTTTTTTTTTTTTTTTTTTTTTGATTCACCAGATACTACTAACTTGTATGTGTGGTTTGATGGACGGAGTATTCAAACTACTACTAGTATATATATATTCTGATGCCGACACATCAGTGCACTTCATGAAAAAAAAAACATGGGTTTATATTCCGCTCGAGCTTTTCCCTGCCATCTTATTCATGCAATTTTTTATAAATGGTTCTTTTTTTAAATAAAAGATATATCCCTAAAGAGATGAATCCCATCATAACCTCTGCAGTGTACAGCTGCAACGTAGAACTGTAGAACTGTAGAACTGTAGAACTGTAGTAATATAGAGCTATACAGACAGCACAATAAACAAAACCCTCGCCCATACAATAAAACCCGACATAGTACTTACTCTCACTAAGCCTGTTTCGGGGGGAGAGGGAGAGAGCTAGACCGGTTCGGGGATGTTAAGATTTAGATGAAGATGAAGATATCTTATAGTAAGAGTTGCAGAACGTCTCCTCTCCCAACATCTAGATTGGGAAGTTGAAGGGAAGTCAACGGCATATCAATCAGAGGTCAGGACGCTAAACCTGACGAGCGAAAAATGCCTTCTCTAGGTGATGTGCTGCAGCTGGGCCTATCTAAATAGATACAGTCACCTACAACGGGATAGTTCCTTCGCCCCCGTGCCCCGCTAGTCCAAATCAGACGGCCTGTCGCGGTTCCAATGATTACGATTACTGCAAATGCAATAAATATTCCAACACTGCTTCACGTCACATCTCCATGTGTTGGATCTCCTATTTCTGGTTGGCATAGTCGTCGTTTTACGGCTCGTGATCGCTTTGAGGTTGGCCGACGTTTCAATGTGGAGCGGTGAAAGTCAATTATTAGCGCCCGCCCAAGCTCTTTATTCCACAGGACATTATCACGCCGAAGGTCCTCGTGGATGATCCCCAAAGCTCTTATTTCCTTGTTTGACTTGTGAATATCCCGGAGAAGCTCCGGTGTTAGCTCCATCGATGCCGTACTGTCTCCCCCCCAGCCCATCACGAGCATATGGCGAATCTCTCCAGCTCCGTGAAGAAAATAAATTTTCGCCAAGTCGATCGTACCTAGGAAAACAGGCACAGCAGACCCTTGCGCCTTCTGCAGAATTCGGTATACCTCCGCTTCGCGAGCGACTTCTTTCCACAGTCCCGATGTGGTTCCTTTCCCGACGACAGTGTAGCCATGTATGCAACAAGTAAGTTTGAACGGCGCACCGTACGCCCCGCAACCTCCAAGGGGTGTGCATCTGTCGATATTTTCGTCCAATTGTGCCTTGAGTAAACGCACCAAATCTTCCGAGGTAATCGGATGCTGCAGATCGTCTTTGCTTCGACGATGGAGCATCACGTTTGGACAACGGTCGTCTAGAAGACCGCCAGACTGCAGCCCGAGTAAACATCGCTGGGTGCAAAATTGTGCATCGCGGTGGCGGGACTGGCTATCTCGGCCTTCAGCATCATTTGTGTCTCTTTGTCGAGCCACGCGTTGGGCAGATGGAGAAGACGAAACTTGACTGAAGGTTCGCTTACGGCGTGTTGCTGGATTCGAATCGGGGTCGGGTGATTGTGACGACTGTGAGCGATGCCGTACACCTGACGGCGCACAGCTGGCCTGAGACCTTGTGGGCACCCTGCGACCTGTTGCTGTTGGAGAATCTGGCGGAGATGACGGCGGTTCATAAGATGAACCAGACTCCGGACTTGTGTACTGCAGTGTTGTACTATCGGAGTTCGGAAGGGTCTGTGGCATTTCTGCTTGGGGAATCTGAGAACGAGTGTGGTGAAAACTAGTCGTCCAAAGAGGAAGCTCCGGTCGTATGGCATTTCGCCATTCCTGGCCACGCACAGTTGAGCGAAAGGCCATCAAACACAGACATAGCGTTCTTGCAACAGAAGTCTTCGGTAGCTGGAAACTATCTTCAACTTCTGTGTTCAACTCGCCGTTAGAATCACATAAGAAGTAATAAAGCGTGCTGGGATCATCATGTGGAACACGGAGAAGGACCCGAGCAAGCCCGTTGGTCACGTAGGAGTACTCGAGCCCTTCTTGGATCATAACATGATACTCCTGGGCAAGGGCGGAGCAGACAAGTCGCTCTGCATTATACCTCAGCTTCGCTGCCTGGTCTGTGGGTATTTTGTTTGATCTGACCATATCCTTCCATAACTCCATTGGTCGGAGCCCCATACGAAGGGTGGCGACAGAAAGTTTGTGAGGCGGCTTATACTCGACAGAGGTGAGGAGAGTGGTAGTGTTGCCGTCGACACGATGAATACAGAACTGATCAGGTCTTGGGTAGGGGACACTTGATGCTTGGCTTGCATCCGCTTCAAGAGCCTCGTTCTCGTCTAAGGAATTCGTATGACTGCTGAACTGGATTCCATCGCCGAGGCCGAACTCGTCGCGAGCAGCGGGTAATCTGCACAACTCGGTAATGATGTCGTGGACATGCTCTTCCACGGCGAATCGCTCATAGGCCTCAAGTTCTTTCTCGCTGCTCATAGGCTTCCGACAAAGTCGTCGGCCTAATCCTTCTAGTTCATGCAAAGATAAGAACAAATGAGGCGCCCCCCCGGGTGTCAACTGAAGGTAGCTGTAGGCGGACCTGTAAAGCTCCGACTGTAGTGCCGAGCAGTCGGCCCAATATTCCAACCGTTTTGGGCAATATTTCCCCGTGGGAAGGGGTATCTTCCCGGTGGTCGAGCGAGAGGGTGTCTCCACTCTCAGCGGTCGGGAGAGCAGGTTATGGGAATGACGCAAGAATTCCTCGAAAGTGGTCGGTCGACTAAGCTCTTGAAGTTGCTCTCGTCTCTCTATTTCCTGTCTGCCTTCATCTTCGGCCTGCTTCTGTCGCTCTTCGGCCTGCTTGCGCCTCTCTTCTTCCTGCTTGCGCCTCTGTTCGGCCTGCAGAAAGAGCGCCTTGTAATCTGGCGAGTTGTTGTCGGCCATCGATCTATCAGAGGGGGAAATGGCTTGAGACAAAGGTCTCGATTGGTAGGCACTGTTGTGTATCCGATGCTTCGTATGCTATGGGTGTACTGCAGGTAGGCAGTACTTGTCAACAATATTGATAATTGAAAGATCACTAGTAAACTGATAATATTCGTGCTAGCTAGAAGATGAGAAGTGAGAGATGAGGCTATCTAGGTGCTTGATCTGCAGGTGGCAATCGCCCATTATGGCAGGTACGACCCCCTCTCTTCTTGACCGCCTCAGGCAGCACCTTAGTTAGTTATCCAGGATGCTGATGTCAGCTCATCCCGGTTTCGGTAGAAGTATTTACCCGAGAAATGACGGAAGATTTCGGAATCTTTTATGACATAATATCCCCCTCGTCGACAAAAGATGTTCTGTATAGGGATATACATACCAACTAACCAACGGCAACAAAAGTCAGACATACAGACAACAGACAACAAGACAACAAGACAACAGACAAACAGACAAACAGACAAACAGACAAACAGACAAACAGACAAACAGACAGACATAGTATTCTAGATTCCATGTATGTATGTATGTATGTATGTATGTATGTATGTATGTATGTATGTATCTCTATTCATATCATATCATACGTTCGCTCACTCGCTCGCTCGCTCGCTACTACACAAGCAAGCAAGCAAACAACACAACACAACACAACACAACACAACAGCGAATAGAATCCCTATGATACAAAGAAAGCAAGATATCCGTGTTGAGATCAACAATCAACAATCAACAACAATATTCACGTAAATGAGTAAATAAATGGATTTCCCCCGGTAAATGCGCCTGTACACCGCGCCGGAAATTGTAGACAAGATTGCTGCGAAGAGTATTTCTGGTGGAGATGGTAGCTAGAGAGAGGGAGGGAGGGAGGTTGGGAGGCATGGGATATGAGGTTTATGCGGGGTTGGTGGTGGAGGGGGGTTGTTCGGTGTTATCTGTGCTTGTGTCCTCTGGTTTTGATTCCTCTGGTTTTGATTCCTCTGGTTTTGATTCCTCTGGTTTTGATTCCTCTGGTTTTGATTCCTCTGGCTTTGGGACCTCTGGCTTTGGGACCTCTGGCTTTGGGACCTCTGGCTTTGGCTCCTCTGGCTGTGGTTCCTCTGTCTTTGCGTCTGACTCTAACTCCTCTAGCTTGGCCTCTAGAGATGTAGAGTCAACCGGGGCCGAGGGGGAAACAGGAGCAGGAACCGGAGCAGCAGTAGAGACAGGGGTTCCCTCTACAGATCCCCGCGATTCTTCAGCTTGGGGTTGCTCTGGCTCTGGCTTTGGCTCTGGCTCCGGCTGTTCTTCCGCAGTGCCAGTTAATACAGAAGGCGTAACCGCATCTGGTTGAGGTTCCTCTGGCTGCTGGAGTGGAGCTTCTTCTTTCTCCTCTTCTTTCTCCTCCTCTGCCTGGGGGACTGAGTCCTCAACCTTGGCGGATGTTTGGTCCTCCGGTACTTCTGTCGACTGCTCCGTCTGTGGCTCTGAGGGTTGCTCTACAGCTGGCTGCTCGACTGCGACATCAACATCGGTAGCTGGAGCTGCATCCTGGGCTGGAACTTCTTCCGGGGCCTGTGCTGTTGGTTCGACGGGCTGCTGTTCTTCCGTACTAGGGAGATCTTGCTGGACAGATGCCTCTGGCTGAGGTTGCTCCGTGACTTGCTCCTTTGCCTGCTCTTTGACCCGCTCTTCGGCCTGCGCCGCTGGAGCCTCTGCCGCGGATTCAACAGGCTGTGGCACAGGCGCTTCGGAGATCGGTTCGGTGTGCTGCTCGGTGGTTGGTTCTGCAACCTGCTCTTTTTCTTCTATCACAGCCGGTTCAGTGGCTGGCTCAGTGACTGGTTCAGTAGCCGGTTCCACAGCCTCGATGACTCTATCTGCTGACTCTGCCCTACTTTCTGCGGCTATATTCACCTGAGGAGGTTCTAGCGTAGTCTCTGCGACGGTGGGCTGCTCGACCGGGGCTTGTGCATCCGTGTTCTCCACGTCCATTCGATCGCCGTCCTGCCCTTCGTTTGGATTGCTCAGGCTCGCTTCGAGATTACCCAGAAGGTCGAATTCCTTGGTCTCTGCACCTTCCTCGCTTGGCTGGGGGGGACTTTGTTCAGGAGCAGCTTGCTCGACTTGTTCCTTTGGAGCCTGGTCGTGCGCAGCCTGTTCAGGAGCAAAGTCTTCCATAACCGTGTCCATATCCTGATCAGCCTGAGACGGTGCCTGAGCCGCTTCTTCAGTGCCTGGTGCAGCTGTTTCCACTGGCTTCTCTACGGGCACTTCGGCAACGGCCTGTTCCGTAGCTTCAACTGCGGGAGCTTCAGGGACAGGAGCCTGAGGAGCCTCCTGAGGCGGCAAGCTAGGGGCATTTTCGACGCTTTCCGCGGTTGGCTGTGGTTGCTGCGCGTCTGGGGCTTGCTGAGGAACAGGGGTCTCTTCCGGTTCAGGCTTGGCTTCGGTCATCTCCACATCTTCCATAGGCGTTTGGGTCTCACTCTGCTGCTCGGGAACTGCAGGCGTGGACAGACCAGTGGCCTCCGAGGGAGTTTCGGCAACTAGGGGTGTATCTTGAGCCATAGCTGGCTGCGTGGGAGCTTCTGGCAGCTCAGCGGACGGAGCCTCAGGCAAAGACGTGACAACTTCCGCAGTGCCTGCTGCAACCGTCGCTGTTGGTTCGGGTGCTGTGGCAGGCGCAGAGGCAGGCACCGAGTCAGCTGGGGGCTCAGTGCTGGGACGAGCCACTGGAGTTTCCGGGGTCTTCGCATCGAGCATGGACTCATCACCCTCGTCGCTCTCGTCACCCTCGTCACCCTCATCATCTTCTTCGTCCTGCCCGTTCTGGTCGACTGGCGTCTGTGCCGCATCTCCATTTTTGGGAAAGTCCGCCGCGCCATCAGCCCCAGTGGGATTGGCACCATGAACCAAGGCTGCATCCGTACCCTCTCCCGGGGCAAACATAACCTTCTTCCGCCGTCCCTTCGCGATGCCCTTACCCTTGCGCTTGGGAGGAGGCGGACGTCTTTTCGAAGGAGTCGTTACCGCCGCGGAGGCGGTATCTGCGACGACGACGCCCTCGGCATTGACGACCCCGACGCCATCGATGACCGTGCCCGGAGCAGGCGCCTCCGGAACCACCGCGCTGGTGCCGTTCTCCGCCACGAACTGAGATTCATCGGCGATTTCTCCCTCGATCTTGTGTCCCTCCGGCACCCAGGCCTGGTAGATCGAGATATTCCCGGTCGTCGGATCGACCTTCTTGAACCGGGTCTTCCTCATCGGCGCACCAGAATTGGTCGCGTCCACCGCCGGAGCACTGGCGCCATAGAGAGACGGCAGACCCGGGCGTCTCTTGGCGAGGAATTCGACCTCCGAGGCTTCCAGGTGTTTGGGAATGGTCGCCCATTTGCGGGTGACGAAGCTACGTTCGGTGCTCTGAGCCAGCGGCAGTTCCTCTCCATCCGTCGCCTCCTTCTCCTCATCTTCCGAGTCCTTGGCCGCCGCCTGGCGGATGTAGATGCACCCCGAGCGGGCAGCTCGCAGGAGCGCTTTGCTCATCGGGGCCAAAAGGTGGCTGTCTCGAGGCATTGGGTGTTCGGGGACATTCGGCTTGCCGCCCGGGCCCTGGTCGTCCGCTTCTGTGTTTTCGGTTTTGGGGACTTGCGAGATGGTCTGAGTCTGACGCGACCATCGCCGCACAGGGAGGCCCTCGAACACATCGTGGTCGATCTGGCCGGTTCTGGTGCGGTTGGCGCCATCGCCGAATTGGCGCCCGGAACGGGATGATCTGAACTGAGAGGGTGTTAGCGAAATAGCCATGATGTGGCATAGGCCTGTCCGACGAGCTTCGATGCAATGGGGTGCTAGCTGGCTCATAGCGGGAGGTCGGTCGCGGCGAGGAACTTACCGTGGGGGGCATGGTGAGCGTCTAGCTCTGCAGTCCTACTCCCAGACAATGGAGACGGCAGTGGAGGAGTCCAATCCACTGGATCTGTAGAGCTGGAGGTTGGGTGAGTTGCCAGACCGGAGGCAAGACACTCTGTCGTTCTATTGATCCGATTGTATGAGGAGGGAAGACGAGGCGCGATGCGATCAGTGAAGGCGGCGCGGCGACCGGCTGGCACGTGACGGCCCGACTGACAGACTTGCAGTCGACTAGACGGTCTATACTGTCCGGCTGCTCAATTATGATGGGATTTAATTTACCGAGGCATTTGACGGTGAGAGAAGAATCGTATTCCGGACCAGTAAGGCCGGTGCTACCTACAACACGGTGGTTTGGAGTAAAAATACAGAACACCTCCATTCTATTCCCTATGGCCCCCCCCCCTGCAACTTCCGGCCATCGGCGCAGTGGCCCTGAGATATCAACGCCCTATGGTGCTTTAATTGTCCTCAACTCCGGACTCGCGCTTCGAAAAACAGATATCCAACATAAAATCCCTTAGTCCCAGCTACATCGCCGTCAGTATAACCCGGAAGCCATCGGGAGGAAAGGAACCATCTTACCCAGTATCCTTCTGGCGAACAATGTTCCCTTCGGAGCCAGTTTGCGCTCCCTGTCCGGTATCAGCACCATGGCCACGACAGATCAACTCGATTCGAGAGTGCATGCGGTGCTAGGTGCTTACAGTCTTCTGGCCCTCCACGACCAGTCTATCCATCTGGTAGAACTGACTGATGACGGTTTGCCTCTGTCGCGGTATTGCATTAGCACGCCGTGAACCCCCGCTGTGACGCATCGCCTTGCCGTCACCGCACAAAGCTGCGAATCCGTACTCACCTTCAGCAACCGCAAATTCTGTAGTCCTTCCTGCATCAACTCCTGTATCCGCCGGTCCTCCGACTCCTTCTGGTGCTCGCGGAAGGCATCCAGCGTGCGCCGACGCGCGTACTCGCGGAAGTTGTAGTTCGAGAACTGGTGAGATTGGCGGAGCAAGGAACGGAACTGGATGGGAGGGGGTGATTAGTTTGGCACAGATGTACAAAAAAAGGAAGAAAGAAAAGGTCGCGGTGGCGACGGAGGACGAGGACGAGGGCTCGTCCACGCGGGGAGATGGACAGATGAATAGAGAGAAAGAGAGAAAGGAAGACATACCAGAGACCGAACCTGGAAGGCCGTGTCTCGCTGCAAGGCCGGCACAGACATGATTAAGAGTGGAGAGGGGCGAGTATCAAAGTGATCTGGTTGAAAGAGAGAGGGGCGATGGAAGGAGGAAGAGAACGGCTCCGCCCGAGATGGCAGATGCAGCTATCGCCGATTTCTAATCGCCTCGTCTGGCCCGCGAACGTGGGGAGGGAGGCGGAGGGTCGATTCGACGATGCTATTCGCGTCGGAGTCAACCTTTTCTGCAGTCCCGATTAGGAACAGTCCGAGATGGTGATTGCCGAAGATGTCCGATGCCGAGAGGCTCTGGGGATGGGGATTGGGATTGGGGATAGTTCTGGGTGGGAGGTACCGAGGACAAGCGCAACGCAGTGGCGGCTCGCTTCCAACAATAACAACGACGAACAACGACGGGCTGGAACAGCGTTTCTGGGACTGGATTTGTCGCAGAGGTCAAATTTAGTCGACGGAGGGGAAAGAAGCAAAAACGGACAGGTCCGGATGGAGGGATAGGGAATAATTTTTGCTTTTGGGATGACGGAGTTATCGGACCTCCACCGCGGAGGTTCGGCCTCGAGATAGTCTAATTGTTGCCAGCTCGCCCTCCGCCCTTCGTCACAAGTCCCAAGTCAACCGTCAAGTTCAAACCCCCCCCCCCCCCCTCATCCTCCCTGGAGCGGTGATCCACGAGCTTCCACGGGTCTTCTCGAGCCATAGACTATCAGCTACTGCGATCATTCCCGCAGGTTGGCATTCCAATGGCGCAGATCCCCACGCCGCCGGCCTCGCGCTCTCCTACCCCGGCCCCCGAATCCGATGCCGGGCTCAAGCAGTCCCAACCCCAACCCCCCGTAGCCGATTCCTCGACGGATCTGCTGCAGTCGCTGGATAGTCTCCTGGAACGGTACCTGCATCTTCTCGACCAGCACCAGAAGTTGCAGGCGGAGCTCGGGTCCCAGCTCTCGTCGGTATGGCGCTCTGCCGGTCAACTGCGGACGGACAATACTGAGATGGATGATGAATGATACAGGGCTTCCTCTCTCTCGCGCAAGCGAACTATACCTGCCCCCCCGGACGACATTATGGCGCGGATTACTATGACGAGCGCATGAAGGCGACGAAGAGAGTGTGGGTCTGGCCCTGTCGTCTCTACAAGAACCAACCCATCGCTAACCCATGCGAGCTAATCAGGACCCTCGAACCTCCTTCGCACCTAATTGATGGACACCATACGCTTCAGACTGAAGGTTCGCTGGAGACGGACTCTGCGGACGCCAAAGCTAAACCTATCTTTGCCGTTGAATCGGTGACAATCAAACACCCCGAGCATGAGGGTGAGGAGGAGACTGAGGCTGAGGCGGACGAGAAGACGGAATCAGACACCGGTTCGTCCCAGGAAGATCCGTCTAGACGTGAGGAAAGCACACAGACGGGCGAGTCCGTGACCACGGCGGAGGATCAAGCGCAACCGGATGTGGACGCACATGCGAAGCCCAGACGGCCGAAGAAGAAGTTCCGCTCCTCGGACCCGATCCACTGGTATGGGATCCTGGTCCCTCCTTATCTGCGCAGCGCCCAGAAGACCTTCACGACGGCCGTTGAGGGCCGGCTCCCCGAGTTGGCCAGCGTCGTTGTTGAGATGCAGATGGTGGAGAAGGAAGTTACTCGGGTAAGGAGGGAGCTGGGCCGGGTTGAGTGATATTTGTCTTCTGGCGCCAACAGGCAGGCTGGCGTGTGAGCTCCCAGCCGTGAACACTGAACGGCTCTGCGAGTCAAATAGGCTCGAGCTTCATCAATATAGATAACAATGCGGCGTATAAATAGAAATGGACATGGGAGCTACGGCAGTTGCCAAATGAAAGATAATATCGAGCGAGAGCCACCGAACCACCGAACCACCGCACCCACCGATTCCACCGATTCCACTCATCTATTTTTACTGGGATGGGATGGACCTGGACTGGCCGGGAAGATAAAGTAGATATCACTAGATACTGGATAGACATCAGAATCAGATATTAGATCTGAACATGGAAGACATCGGATATCCACCTCCACCTCCCATGGGACACGAGGAAGGGGAAAGCCTCGAGTCCCTTTTTTTCCCCCCTGAATCCGATTGCATTGTGGCTGCAGGCCTGCAGCCATCCCCGGCTTAGTTTTCTGTCACTAACACTCTGACTCAACTGCCAGACAAGAAAGAGGGGCCGCTCCAGCGACCGTTGCGCCCACTGCCTGCATCCAGTTGGGCCGCGTCGTGGGCTTCTTTCTTTCTTTTTTTTTTTTCTTTTCTTTCAGCTGGATGTGCAAATATCTATCTGAGCTTGTACCACCTCCCTATCGGTCCGCTACATTAGCCCAGGGAGACTATTGATCTTTTAGACGCTTTAGACTCTTAGAGTCGGACGGAAAAGAAAAAAGGAGGATGCTATTATTATCCGCGCCCACCGGTCAGTGCCCTCGTACGAGGAGATTCTTGATCAATCCGCCATTGATTGCGTTGCTTAATCTCCGTGCCTTCGCTAGTCCGCAACCAGGTCTTCTTCCCGGCAGACAGACAGACAAAGACCACCGGTCCATATTAGTTAGTCCGTCCATGCATGCATGCATGCTAGCTGCCGACGGCGCCCTCTGTTGGTCGCATCGCAGTCGCCTTTCCCTTTCAGCCAGGACGAAAGGACTCGATAGATAACTATCTAGGAGGAGAAACAGTGCGGATGATCCGGGTGGACGGCATCTCGAGTTGCAAGTGTGAGACTGTTCAGGTTTGAAGGCGAGGATCTACCCGAGCCAGGACCAGCGGCAATTCCCCTCATCATTGGCCACGGCACACGGGAGGGCCTTCATCCAGGGTTTCAGGTTGAAATCGCAGGAGCCACCGACTCACGGCTCCTCTGCTCAAGCTGAGACTTAGTGTCAACCCCCGGGCCCAATCACCGTCCGCTCCGTTTATTCAGTCATCCCAATTTGTGGTTCCTCCTCCTCCCCCCCCCCCGCTAACAGTCGGCTCGCATACCCTGCTCACTGCTCACTGCTCACTGCTCACTCACTCACTCACAGTAATAATGGCAACGGCACTTGTCTTCCTAACTCTGTCTGATATCCAGGCCACCGCGAGGCTGCCCTCCATTCGTCGCCTCAGCCGTATCCCCATGAAACGAATCCCCAGCGCCGGTGTCGCCATCGTTAGGCCTGCCAGCTGAACTCTGGACAGAGACCGGCTCCAGGCTGGCTTAACGAATATGGATGAATGATGATGATGATGATGATGATAGCCACCAACAGTCTACAAACGGCTTTCCGTGTCTGTCCCCGCGCTATTGCTCTGGAGCAACTCCAGCAACTCCACTTGCTCTGAACTGGTCACACTCCCAAACGTCCACCACGCCCTGAGCCCGGTCCCATGCCCTTGGCCCAGCCATGCACGGAAATGAAGCACTTTAATATCAACGTCTGACTTTTGGTTCGCCGGGTTACTGGAGAACCCTTCCTTGGCCTTCTTATTTTCCCATCCGTGTGAGGCCTTGGCTAGCTAGCTATCTATCGCCCACGAGACGGTGTCTTGACGCGACCTGGGGTGCTGCCTGCCCTTCTTTCTGGTTTCTACGTCTTTTCCACTCGCTCGCTCCTTTCCCCCTTCCCCAGTCAGGGCTAGAAGCTCTCTGAGTTTTTTTTTTTTCTCTCGTTGTATTTTTTTGTCTGCTGGTTGATTCTTTCGTAAGTGCCCGAACTAGTGCCCTCATAATGCTCCGGCTGGGCTAACATCTCCCTCGATGCGCTCAGGGGTTTTGGTGGACGGCCAAAGGTTCTTCTGAGACTTTGCAAGTCTGCTATTATGCTTCTGTGACCTGGGTCTCTCTTCATTCTTTCCTTTTCCAATCCAGGCCCTCTCGTTCGGTACGGATTCTTTAACTTGACTGTCTACCATGTCTTGCTCTGTAACGTCGACTTACCCATCTCCTAGAGGCATTGAGTGCCATTGCAGCCCTTGTTATCAACCACGTTCCCTTCATTGCACCTGAGCTCACTCACTCATTTCCCAAGTCGGAGCTGCTTGCGCATCGACAGCAGTAACACTCACTGGTGTCGCTGTCCCGACTGTTCCAACTGTCTTCGTTCATTTACATTCATCTGACTTCGTCCTGAGCACGAAGTCGACCTGCATTCTGCTCGCGCTCCTGCGTTGAGTGCTTCTATGTGCTGGCACCTGCTGGCCCCGGATCTCTCGACAGCGTCTCACGACTGCTAGATACGGTGCCATCTAACCCCCGATATTACATGGATCCCAGCAACCCTGAAAGTGCGGGCCCCAGGCCCAAGTCCCCCGAGGACGTCTCGCGAAAGGGATCCGTCAAGCGCGCGCGACAGATGCTCCAGGCTGGCAAGCGTCCGGAGAAAGCCCAGGCTCCGATCCCCAAGCCGCCACCTTTCCGAGTCGATCCAGCCCATATGACACAATGGCCTCTGCCCGACACCCGCGTTCTACCGGCCAACCTGGCCCATCCGCAGGCAACGTTGCACGTTCCAAAAGGACCTCCCCCGAAGCGCCCCCCTCGTCCCGATTGCCCTTCGCCGTCGGTGTATTCCGAGCGAAGCGTGTCCGATGCCACGGCCCCCAGCCCGTTGAACATCAAGCGGCCGGTGCCGTCCTTCTCGCAGCCTTTTCCGCTCCAACAAGGCCAGCGTCCGACCATCAGAATCCCCATCCCCCGACCTCCCAGCCCGGAAAGTGTTGCCGGCTCAACACCCCGCCTATCAGTCACGACAGATGAACTCTTTCGACGGTCGGGGGTCTCCTCGGTGGGAACCTTCTCGTCGATCACCGAACTCCCCTCCGTGCCTATCGAGTACCGCGCCCCCTCAGCCATTGCCCCGAAAAAGGCCGCCAGCCTGGCCCCCCCAGCGCCCCAGAACCGCGGCTCTGTGTCGCCGATTCCAGAGGAAATCCCGGACAGCCCGACTATCTCGAAAACCCACTATAGCTCGGATCGAGGGTACCCACCCAGTTGGTGCTCTGGGCCGGCCGAGTCCTCCATTCTGGGTACTTATCTCGATGCCGATTCCGACGAGGACGACTCCGTGCACATGGCGCAAGGCGGCGTGGTGACGCTTGCCAGACAGGCCAGCGTTGGAACCCGAGGAAAGCCTGCCCTGCGCACCATCATGAAGTCGAATGCGAGCTCGCCAGTACCGCCCGCGGAGAGAACCCCCATTTCCGCCAGGCCAATGACGGCCGGAACCATGAACACCGAAGCCGCGCTGAAGGAAATCGCCATCGCTGCGAATCGTAGGGCGTCTATTGGGTCCAACTCGACAGCGTCATCGCATTTCGATCTGGAGAAAACTTCGATTATCTTGGACATCGGCACGCCAACCGCCGAATCGGCTCATCCGTACAGTGACGTTGGACCCCTGGAGAAGGAAATCGGAGCAGCAGCGCTTCCCAAGGCAGCCCCGACCATGAGCGACAAACGGCCCGGTGCCCGCAGACCCCCTCGCCTCAACATGGGCGCCGTCCGTGATGCGGAGATCCGAGGAAGTCTGACGAGTCTGCCCGATCTGATCCGGCGTGCGACGAAACTGGCATCGAATCTGGAGCATGGTCGGACTGCCAGCCGGAACGATCTGCTCAATGGTCCCAGGTACCCCTTTAGTATGTTCTGGCCCTGCATATCCCCAGAAGTCCCCACTGACCATGTCCAGATGACCCGCGACGCAAGTCGGGATCGATCAAGAGCATCCTGGCCTCGTTTCCTCCACCTGCTGCGACCCCCGAGGGTGGCCACTCTTCCTGGCCGTTCTTCCTCCGAAGGTCCACGCTGCACCAGATACAATCCAACGACCAGCCCCCCGCGCAAGACGCGGCAGACCAGGAGAAGGCTGCACCAAAGCAACCCCGTCGGTGCTGCGGTCTGCCCCCGTGGCTCTTCGGCCTCATCTGCGTCATAATCGTCATCATCATTCTCGCCGCTATCCTCATCCCCGTCTGCCTTGTCGTCCTCCGCCACAAGTCCTCGGGCTCCAACTGCGCATCCACTAACCCCTGCGAGAACGGCGGCGTGAGCGTCTCGAGCGGCGATGTTTGCTCCTGCGTTTGCGCCAACGGCTACACGGGATCAAGTTGTACGGTCGACGGGGACGCCAGCTGCGTCACATCCGAGGTCGATAGTAAGGAGGCCACCATGGGCAGCGACCTTCCCGACCTCTTCGAGTACTCCCAGTCAAACTTCAGCATCTCCCTGGACGCACTCACCATCATGGCGCTGTTCAGCCAGAGCAACGTCTCCTGTACGACGGAAAACGCCCTCGTCTCGTTCTCAGGCGTGTCCACCAAGAGCAGCAGCAGCAGCAGCAGCAAATCCCGCCGCGACGCTGAGCCCTCAATCTCCGACTACCTGCTCGCCAACCTGGCGCAAGTCCCCGATCCCACGGTCGACGATTCCACGCACACCTTCGTCCTCGCAGCCCGCGACTCCGTCGAGACCACCAACGGCATTGTCTTCGACAGCTCCCCGCCCGCCAAAACCGGCTCTCCAACCGCAACCGCCGTCCACGAGACCGTCGCCACCGAAGCCGCATCCACCTCCACCGCCACCGTTGCTTCAACATCATCATCAACGGACTCCTCTTCTTCCTCTTCTTCCTCTTCCGCATCATCGTCATCCAACTCCACTACCACCGTCACAACAACAGACCTCAACTTCGCCCGCGTCGCCGTCCTCTACATCCTCCAGGAAACAGGCACCCTCACCGCATCAGAGTACTCCGAGAGCAGTATCCAAACCTACCTGAACGATGAGTTCTCGGGTGAAAGTACGCATTCTTTCACTATCGACCTTACTCCTGCGGGGATTATTGGCAATTATACTCTCGATTTCGATGATTATGAGATTACTTTGCCCAGTGGGAGTGTTGTTGGGAAGGATGGGTAGATGGATAGTACCTGGTGTACTTCAGGATGGAGATGAGATGGGATGATGAGATGAAGGGATGGATGTGGTCAGGTGGGATGAGGTGGGATGGATGAGACGGGGATGGAGGTTTTACTTTCTAATTTAATCTATCTGATATTATTATACATACTTGCACTTGCATACTTGCGCATTTGCATATTTGCATACTTGCACACATACACTCACTCGCACATACGTTATACACAATCTTGCCTTGTATCTTGTCCATTGTTACTATTACTGTTACTATTACTGTTACTATTGTTACTAGTACTGTTATTATTGCTGTGGTTACTATTTTTACTAGCACTGTTATTATTGCTGTTGCTGTTGCTGTTATTTGCCCTAGCGTTTACTTGATAACGGTTTATCTATCTATCTATCTATCCGTCTGCCTGTCTGTCTCTGTCTATTGTACCTTACTCGTTACCACACTTGTGAGATACCTAGGATATAGAACACTCATCTCCCTCCCTCCCTACCTACCTACCTCCCTACCTACCTACCTACCTACCCACCTATCTACCTACCTACAGGATCCATTTCCGTACCGATCCGATCTAAACTCTGCTGTGCAAACAAGAAATGGTAATCAGATCCTGCTAAGATTCAATTTTGTAAAAAATAGAGATGAGAAGGAGAGAGAGAGAGAGAGAGAGAGAGAGAGAGAGAGAAGTAACATAAACATACACATAAACATACATACATACATACACATAACATACACATACACATATACGTGTCAATGAATTCAAATATGAAATCTCGCCCAACACCTCTCCATGCACGCAGAGAAAGATCAACAATATACAGTATACAATATACGGTTTCGACCAGACCAGGCCAAAGCCAAATCTAGCAAGGTAACCACGTCAAGTAAACAGCGAAACATTCGGCGCGATGCCCGCAAACGCAGACCCATCATCCGTATAGGCCTCCAGTCTCTTGGCACGATCGTCGAGAATCGCCTTCTCAGCCTCCCACCTCCTCCTCTGATCCTTCATCTCCACCACCTTCTTCTGCCCACCATACCAGGCGGACTTGGCCTTTTCGACCGCCTCCCTCTCCTCCCTGTCCGCCAACACGACAAGCCCCGAAACCATCGTCTTCCAATTCCCCAGACCCACACGCAGACAATCCGCACACCGGGCGCGGGGGGCACTAAGTTCCTCCGAGTTGCCGAGATCCAGGATCGCCGATTCCGCGAGATCGACTGCGTCGCGGGTCCACGCGAGACCGGATTCCTTGGACGAGGAGGCGTAGATGATTTCGCCGATGTAGGTCATTAGGGCGGCTTCGTCGCAGGCGGAGGCGAGGGTGCGGAGTGGGGGTTCGTCGCCCGAGGGCTGCGGTGGGGGGTATTCGACGGGGATTAGAACGGTTTTGAGACTGTTGAAGAAGTTGAGGAAGATGTCGTTGGAGCGGGGGAGGGAGGGAAGGGTGGGCATTGTGAATGGGGAGGAGGACGGGGCTAGGGAGCGGTGGGCTTTGAGGACGGAGGTGAAGATTGAGAGCGCTGAGGGGAGGTTGTTGTGGCGGGCGTGGTGGACGGCTAGGGCCGTGGACACTCGGATGAGGTTCTCGGTGGGGAGGGTGGTGCCGTCGTTCTTGAGTACGCCGGTCTTGACGTCGATGATTTTGGAGATGTCGGAGGGGGAGGAGAGGGAGGAGGAAGCGCCGGTGGCGGCGATGTCGATGGCCCAGGTGTACATGTCGCGCGCGGTGTCTTTCAGACCCTTGTAGTCGAGCCATTCGGCGTAGGCGAGGGCGGCGTCGAGCTTCTGTCTGGTGTCGAAGCCGCGGGTGGTCAGGATCTTCATGTAGAAGGTCTCAGGGCTGGGGGAGGCGGGCTCGCAGTCCTCCTCGCGGGGGATGACCTTCTGCTTGGTGGGCATGGGTCTGGGACGGGGGTTGGAGGGCCCGACGACGTATTCGGGGGGCGCGGTGATGCGCTGCTTTCGATCGGTCAGCCAGCCCTCGAGGCTCTCGGCGGCCTTCGCAGCGCTGAGGAGAGCCTGGAAGTAGCCGCGTCTCCAGGGCTCGCTCTTGGCGGTGATATCGAATCCCGTCCTCCCGACACCTTCAACCAGGAATCCTCCTTCTCCCTGGTCGACAATGCCCTTTCCTTCCCCGTTGCGGTCCTCGAGCCGCTCCAGCACAGCCCGCGTGTACCCCGCCACCATGGCCCAGTCGGTCATCAGCTTGCCGATTTTCTCGGGGTTCTGCTGCGCGTGCGCGGCGCGCAGACACCAGCGGCTCTTCCAGGACCATTCGGGTGGCGTGGGCCATTGGTGCTCGAGTTCTTCTTGGTAGACGCCCATCCGGACCACCTGGAACAGGAACAGGATGGCGGAGAACGAGATGGTGTATTTCAGCCAGTTGGAAAAACGGCGCTTGTAGTAGTTCCGGCGCTCGGTCGAGATCAGCCGCGCGAAGTGCTGGCGGAGATGGATCGAGAAGGGCGGCAGGGGTCGATTGCCTGCGGAGGAGAGGAAGGGCAGTTGAGGCCGACCGAGTGGTGGGGATATGACCTGCAGTTGCGAGTGCTGTGTGAAGGGACGCGATGGATGGCGGATGCTGTGCGGAATCGGGGACCGCAGGGAGCGGCCGGGCCCCGGTATTCGAGGAGTCGGGACGCGTGGGAGCATTCTGTGATGCGTGGTGATGTGCTGGTGGGAATAATCGCTTTTCAAGTTTCGACTTCGTTCGGCGAACAGCTTCGGGGGAAGAGATGCGGTGTGTTTGCACGGTTTGCATCAAATCCCGCAACCCACCAGTTGACGTTGACGGACGGACGGACTTGACGGAATACAGACCCAAGAAGTGAGGATGTAGACTTCTGTGATTCTACTAGCGGTACGCCGTAACAGATATATGTAAATAAATTCTTCATTGGGGAATCAAGCACATTATTTCCGAAGACAAAAATCTATAGACCAATAGGTCCTCTAATCCACCCATGGTTCCGAAATCCACCGATATCAAACACAAAATCCAACGTTTTCCCAAGCGCCTATGCTAATCTAGAGACGGTCAAAGTAACCCTCAGTCTCGAGCATGAGGATGATCTCGTGGACGATGCTGCGCACGCTCTGCTTGGACACGTCGACGGTGAGGTCGGCGTTGGCAGGAGTCTCATAAGGATCGTCAACACCGGTGAAACCCTTGATCTCGCCGCGGCGGGCCTTGGCGTAGATGCCGCGCTTGTCGGACTTCTCGCAGTGCTCCAGGGGAGTCGCGACGTGGACGAGGAAGAAGTTGCCGCCGGCTCCGGTGACGGCCTCGCGGGCAGCCTTCCGGGAGTGCTCGTAGGGAGCAATGGGGGCAGCGATGACGGCAGCACCGGCGCGGGTGAGCTCACCAGCGACAAAGGAGATGCGCTGGACGTTGGTGTGGCGGTCCTCACGGCTGAAGCCCAGCTCGGAGGAGAGCTCGTGGCGGACCGTGTCACCGAGCAGCAGGGTCACGGAGCGACCACCCTGCTGGTTGAGGGTAACCTGGAGGGCACGGGCGATGGCGTCCTTGCCGGAGTTCATGTAACCAGTAAGGAAGATGGTGAACCCCTGGGAGGCACGAGGGGGGCTGGACTCGCGCAGGATCTTGACAACCTCGGGGTAGGAGAACCACTCGGGGATGTGAGCACCGGTCTTGAGACGGTTGCGGAGCTCGGTACCGGAGATGTCGAGGGTCTTGACACCAGCGGGGACCTCGTCCTTGGGCTTGTACTCGTCGGTGTCGGGCAGGTAGGTGACCTGCTGGAACTCGACGACCTCAATGCCCAGCTCCTGGCGGTACTTCTCGACAGCGTGCTGAGCATCGTAGGGGCCGTAGAACTCCTCACCCTTGGAGTTCTTACCGGGACCGGCGTGGTCACGGCCAACAATGAAGTGAGTGGCACCGTGGTTCTTACGGATGATGGCGTGCCAGATGGCCTCACGGGGACCACCCATACGCATGGCCAGGGGCAGCAGACCCAGGACGGCCATGCCGTTGGGGTAGCGGGGCAGGAGAGCCTGGTAGGCACGGACACGGGTGAAGTGGTCAATGTCACCGGGCTTGGTGAGACCGACGACGGGGTGGATCAGGACATTGGCCTGACGGGCACGAGCGGCACGGACAGTCAGCTCACGGTGGGCTCTGTGCATGGGGTTTCTGGTCTGGAAGGCGACGACTCGGTTCCAGCCGAGCTTGTCGAAGTGGACGCGCAGCTCCGCGGGGGTGTCTAAATTTGCGGTCAGTCAAATCGTCTTCGCAGGTTTCGAGGGGCGCACGGGTAGGGTAGAGACATACAGCGAAGAGCGACATAGTCGTAGTGGTTGAGCTTGTTGACAGCCTCGATCTTTCCACCAATGTAGAACTCCTCAACCTTGGTGTTGAGGTACTTGATGGCAGGGTGCTCCGCATCTCCGCCAAAGACCAGCTTGGCTTCCTTTTGCCTAAATCAGGGGTAAAAGCGCATTGTTAGCCCATCCGCGTCATCCAGACCCACTATCTGCAGATTCCCGACAGCTAGTACCACCACCCGTGGGAAACCGGGGCCGGCGATGCCAATCACACCCACACTTGTTTTGAGAAAGTGCCCGATCAAGCCAAAGGAGTATCAATCGCCGACAGCCCGTTTTCGCCAAGCCCGAAAATAGAAATGAAGTGTCCACTCACTTGTCAGCACGGTAGATGTCGTCGATGGTCAGAATGGCCAGGTTGCGGTCGTCACGGAAGTCGCGCAGGGTCACACGAGCACCAGGCTTGAGGTTGAGGGCGGTGATAACTTGCTGAGAGGCGTCGAGAGTGATGGGCATGGAGAAGAGGTTGCCATCGGCCAGACGGCAGTCCTCGCAGACACTAGAGATGCGCTATTAGCCAATCGCTCAGATTAGCAACCACTTCCCCTCTTTTTTCTGTCGATTCGGAGGCTGGTCGCGTTGTTGATTCCCACTGAGCTGGGGAGGGGAAGGGGTGGGGGATTGTAGCATACCCGTCGAAGTCCTTCTGGTTCATGAAGCCTGCGCCGCGAGTTAGCCAAAATGGGCTCCATCCGCGCCGGGTGCGACGCCACGGAATGCCGGAGGGAATCCGGATAGAGGCAACATAAACATACCCTCCAGGGGACTGAAACCACCGTTCATGATGAGTTCCAGATCGCAGAGCTGGCGCTCAGTGAGGGCGATGGCGGGGAGAGTCTCCGCCTCAGCAGCCAGCTGGTCGTGGCGGGGAGCATCGCGGGCGAGGAGGTCCTTGAGGACACCACCGTGGGGAGAGTTGGCCATTGTGTGAAGAGGATGAAAGAGGGAATGGGAGATGGGGAGGAGGAAGAAGAGGGAGAGAGAAAGAAAGAGGGTCTGGAGAGTCCAGAGGGTTTTAAAGAGGAAAGGAATGGAAACGGAGGGAGAAGGAGGGAAGAAAAGGTGGGAAAGGTTGAGGGGGGCAATAAGGCAGAGGCGGAGAAACTGCCGGGCGACAACCAAGACGATGGCAACGGCGATTCGCTCCAACCTCCAACTACGGAAACTCAGGAGATTGAGGAACGCCAATGAGGATCAGAATGCGTCCTCTGTTCCAGCCAAATGGCCCTCGTCGGGTGGTGGAGCAGTCCGACTCTTGGTTCGGAGAGGGTCTACGTATGCGCTCGCCCTTGAATCTGGATGAACTTCCGTCCCCTCGTCGCCATGTCGCAATTATTGTCATCCACGCCGCGATGGCGCAATCGCCTTCCCAAAGCATGCTATACCCGATTCCCTATTTATAGGCCTTCTAGAATCCCCCTCTGCTCCTGAGGCCCGTCAACCGCCATCCAACGTTGGAACGTACGCCGTACGTAAACTCCGCCTGGCGCTCGGAGATATGGCCAGTGCAGCCACCACCACGGACTCCAGGAGGGATTATCACCCCCCCCCCATCGTCGTCATCCACCTCATGTTGAAAGCCACATAATCTCCCCTTCTGGGTCTACGGCTGCCCAGAACAAGTCATGATTTTCAGGGGTATCAGGTTTGACCGACTGCACGATAGAAAGAACGTCCGATGCCCACCTATCTCCCTGACAATGACATGTCAATCGCAAGCGATCGCAACGCCTTGGTGCTCGCCAGGTAAATTTTTTTCCGCGCGGTCTGGAACTGGCGCGGACGTTTGCCTCATTCAATCTCTGACATTGGAACATTCCAAACGAACCCAGGCGCGCTGCTCCGATCGGAGACGTCAGAGCTGCGACCCAGAGTCCCCAGTCGGTACTTTGTACGTACTCGGCCCATGAAACAATAATTCGCTGGGCTTCCGCCGCCTTGAAACGCAGGCCGATGCAGGCCGGCCCCCGTCACGTGGCAAATCACGACATTTCCGGCTCGGCTTGCGTGATTGTCTACGCCAGCTGCGGCTTAGCCGGTCTTGGCACCGCTTCCGCCCCCGTCCGCTCAGGTGACCCGCTTGCCCTAACCGTGTACTCAGTACGGTGTACCTTACTCACAGGATGAATATCAAGTACAGGTGCAGAAGTGAAGACCCTGCGCTTCATCTTCCAGTGTGCTGAAGTATCCATCGTAGTTACTCCCACTATATCTGTTATCTGCAAGGCCTGATTGTGAATCCAACTAAACCAGCCTCAAGTTCCCCGGGGGAGTACCCTACTAGAAGAAACGCACCACGCATCCAATGCTAGACCTTCAAGCAACGCCCAGACGCCGCTACTATCCAACGCCCATCCACTATCTATACAGTAGCCCCCATCCTGGATCTTTCTGGCCGGCGTCGGTCCGCTGTGGAACTGTGCGCGGCATGTTCGTGCTTAGCTCAGGGTCTCAGGGTCCAGGATGCGGGCGCCTGTTTAAGTAGCGGGAGGGGCCTGAAGACTTACGCAGGGTTCCGGTAGTCAAGAGGACGGTGCATGATCAGAATAATCAATGGGGAGTACAGATCACGTTCTGGGCAGCCAGTAACCGAAAGCCAGTGATTGAAAGCCTATGCCCAAACACCTTTGTAGACTTTCAACTAAGCAGTGGTTTCCTGGTCATGTTGGCTAAACACAAGTCGAATCGTCATATCTAGCCATGAACGAACACAGACCCCAAGCCACAATATATAAAATAAAACATAAGACACAAGCCCCGCCCAAACTTGCCCCCTTGACCCATGGCCCCAAACCAATTCACCCCAGCACGCCACAACCCCATACTCCATACATACCCTTAGCTAAAAGAAAACGGGGCCGAAGGAATTATTATTAGGACCAGAATCTCTCGCGCGAGAAGATAAGCGTCGATAAGATTTTTGTGGTGAGATAAGATTGATAAGATAAGATCACAGGGTCTTGAGTCCTTAACTCTTTAACTCTTGAGTGGGAGCCCGATCAGGATAAATCTGTGTAGGAGGTGGACGGAACAGCTCTGGAGATAATGAGTGAAATTTATGTCTTCAAGATCTTTGTTTTTCCCAGATGAGGAAACCGGAACATTGTTGTTTGGTTCTACATAGAACCTTCTCCCATCTGAGGTTTCGGGAACACCTGTTCGGCCACGGAGGAGCGAAGTCTGGTTCAATACAACTGAATACATATAGACTATGGATGGAACAGCAAGGCCTTTTTTTGTCTTGAGGCTTGGAATTCAAAGTTTCCATCACTACATTAAAGAATGCTGAAAGGATAGAGAATTGTATCCCTGGCCACTTTCTGACCATCACTCAGAGTTTTATTACCAAGTATTCAGAATAAATAACAAACCAAAACATCATAATACTATTTGCCTTTTCCTGCATGAATCCCTTCATGAACTTGGCTGGTCTCCTGGTATTCGAATTCTTAGTCTTGCTCTCACCAAAACCTTGAAGTTGGGTAGGTATGGTTGGGTTCTAGTCTCGGGAAACGCGTGCCGGTCAGCCGGGAATTATCGGAAAAGTGAGACTTTCCCGGTGGCTCGAGCGTGTTCATGGCAATAGGGATCTGCCCTGCTGAGGGCTGAGGGCTGAGGGCTGAGTGGGCAGCTGCATAGGGAAGAAGTAAGGGCCCTGAAAATTCATTTCCGACATCGGACGATTTGACCATACCCCAATAATACTGTGTAGCTACTCCCTATCTAGCAGTCATACGCAGAAAATACATATTATAAGCAGTTATACGAAGAAGACAGATATTTTGAGATCAATAATCATTTCTATCATGTAGGTCATTAATGTACTTGGTTCGTGCGCCGAATTTTGCCAGTCCCGCCAAATCCTGTATGTACAGTCGGATGAGGATTGACGGGGGCTCTTGATCCCATTAGAACCGTTTCCTCCAGAACAAAATATTTCCCGAAATATCATAACACATAACCCCCAAAATTCCGTGCCCGTGGGGTGTTTTTTTGAACAAGAAATTGAACAAGGCTTGGTAACTCCGCTAGACATGAGAACTCCAGATCATAGAACGCCGTTGTAGATGCAAGAATGAAGAGAAAGTAGGCAGTGCCTATTGAGCAGCGGTCGTGAGCGATGTCTGAAGGGCCTGCGATAGGGCTTCCTCCTGACGCTTGCGCTCCATGTCCATCAGGAACTGGGCGTACTTGGAGCGAGGGTTATGGATACCACACTCGGTCTTCTCCTGGCCCTTCCAGCGACCGGATCGCTCATCTTCGTTCTCCTTGACCGGCTGAGTGGAGTGGTAGTCGCCAATGCTCTTGTAGCCACGGTCCAGCAGCTCGTTGTAGGGAACATCGTTCTCCTGCACGTACTTCTTGACCTGCTCGAAGGACCAGTTGGCGAGAGAGTTGATCTTGATGAGACCAGCCTCGTCGACTTCGATGATATCAAGGTCACCACGCTTGCCGCCTTGGCTGCGACGACGTCCGGTGAGGACAGCATGCACGTTCAGTTCACGGTAGGCACGCTGGGCAGGCTCGACCTTGGCCACCCAGTCGTAGAACTGGTCATCGGTCTCCCAGAGACGGGCACCGTACTTCTTGGCGAATTCTTCCTCAGTCTCGACACCCTGAGGCTGGTAGACGTGGATGTTGTTCAAGGGGTACTTCTGGCGAACACGGTCGACAAGAGCCAGGGTTTCAGAGAAGTGGTGAAGAGTGTCGAGGAAGACCAGGTCAACCATCTGGGGCCGGGGCACGTCCAGCTTGGAGAGCATGTCCAGAGTCACAAGACCCGTGAGACCGAAGGCAGTGGTCTGGAATAGGTGAGGAAGAGAGGTGACACACCATCTCAAGACATCTGCCAAGGTGTTAGTCAATGGGCCTGGGGGGGCAGAGAGGGGCAAGGCATGCTGACCTTGGGGCTCAAGGAACTGCAACTGTCTGTTAAGGAACTGCAAGTGTGGCTTCGTGAAGACAATCTCCGGAAGGTAGTCATCGCTGGAGCTGGCACTGGCATAGCCAGACTCGGTGGCACTATCTCTCGAGTCGATGGCCTCCACATCGGAGGGGTAGTTCTCAGAAGTCTTTGCAGGCATCTTGAAGGGATGTTTTTTTTTTTTTCAAAAGGAGTAAGGTCAAATGAATCCAATGTCACCGAGAAGAAGGATGCAAGCGGGTCTATATGTATGGAATGGAGGAGACCGGGGTGCTATGACGGAGGAAGGAGACTGAGGGAGGCGAGGGATGATGTAGATTGAACGCAACAGAGATGACAATGACCAGTCCGATATAAATGAAGGGCAGGACAGGGGCAATCACGACATCATCGGATCCGGCAGCCTGTTCTTCCTGCCCTCAGTCCCCCATAGATTGCCGATCCATTCTGCCGTGATCGATCACGACATTGGCTGTGACCGCCTGCGCGATCGGGCGGCTGGGCTGAAAAATTTCGATCTCCTCATGTCCTGGGGAAATCACGCAATACTTGCGCCTCGGGTGCCTGCAGCTGCCCGCACCCGCTTAGCTCATCCAGTTGGCTGCGCCTTGCTGATAAATCCACCTGTTCCACCGCGAGGTGGAACGGGGAAGAACAGTGATGACTGAGAAAGCGTATTCATCGTCATCGTCTTAGCGTAGCGATGGTTGATTGATCTTCCTGGTCAGGGGCCACTTGGAAGCGCTGCCCTTATCTCGATGATTCGAGCAATCCCTGCTGCAGACCCTTCTCTGATTAGCACTCGGGAGGAGGTGCAGATCTAACTGACAGTTAGCCTCGGGGTTACATGGCTGTTGGGGTGTGAAGATGACAAACCCAGATAGTGGTGGTTTAGTAGCTCAAGTAGTTCCATGACTCTCAAGTGTCACTACACCGATACGGGGTCGATATGGTGACATGATGGCGAAGCTGTCACTGACTCACTCGGGAGGGGGAAAGGAGGAGGCGGAAGTTGGCGTCATTCTGCCATCCTGCCGGGCGGTGAATGAGCTAAGTATCATGTGACGGCGGGCAAGAGAGCCTCTGCGTCGAACCCCACCACGTGCGGCCGATCGGAGATGCAGGGGAAAACCGCCGCCGTCGCCGTTGTTCATTAATTCCCAGCCAGACCTCGTCCGTCACCTTATCTCCATCCGTTTTGACAGCCTCAAGGAGGGTTTGCTCCCGTCGGGTCGCTCCGTTGATTGCTGAGGATCTTCCCACTATCTCTCTTCTGCTTACTCCAAGACCATCCTTTGACCCCCCCCCCCCCCCCCTCCCCCCAGTCCATTCCCGATCCAATCCCCCTCCATCCCCCCCCAAAAGTCTACTAGACCGACCCCTCCGGCAAAATGGCAGCGCCCAACCCCACCAACAACGCCGCTCGTCCTACACGCCCCGTGTTGCGACAGACCCTTTCCAGTAATTCCTTCATCCACGACCACCAGCAGTACAAGCCGTCGGTCCCCATCCAGACTATCGGCAATGTGATTGGCAACTCCCCCGAGTCGGCGTTGGCCTCGCTGTCCCTCAAAACAAACCCCATCAGCCCCGATCCCCAGAAGGTGACCGATAGCGGCATCATCCACAGCATCTTCAACCCCCAGCTGGATCCTTACCACGGTGACACCCAGCAGCTGGTCGCGACTATCTTCTACAAGTCGTCGGAACCGATCCACCCGCACCTGCACCCCGACTCATCGCCTCATACAGGGACTATCCTGCCGTCGCCTATGGTCCCTGTTGGGTCGGCTCCGACGATTGATATCGAGAAAATCCCGCGCGAGCCCCCCGCCCCCGAGCCGGAGCCCCTCGACCATCTGTACGGACCGTTCGTGTCGCAGCTCTGCCTGACCAACTTCCTCCAGATCATCGAAACCCTCCCCACCCCGTACCAGCGCACCAACACTGCGCACCGGTGCCTGGACCGCCACGACCAACCCCGTGTGGTGGAAGTGACATTCTCGCCCCCTCCCAACCCGGAATATCTCACCTTCGCGGATCTCCGGAAACACGAGAGCATATGGCGGTTTGAGCGGGAGTGGAATGTGGAGGTGGTTCTCCAGAGGGAGAGCGTCTTCCGCCGTCACAAGCGGTTGGTGGTGTTTGACATGGACAGCACCTTGATTCAGAACGAGGTGATTGACGAAATTGCCAAGTTCATTGGCGTGGAGAAGGAGGTTTCTGTGAGTGCCATAGGATCTACTGGCCTGTCCGTTTTCGTACTGACTGATGGCAGGAAATCACGGAACGTGCGATGAACGGTGAACTGGACTTCTCCGCATCTCTCCGCGAGCGCGTTGGTCTGCTGAAGGGCGTTCCTGCGGATGTCTTTGAGAAGCTCAAGTCCGTCATTACCATCTCCCCCGGCGCGCGTGAGCTCTGCAAGGCTCTGAAGGCCCTTGGCTGCAAGATGGCAGTGTTGAGCGGAGGCTTCCAGCCCCTCGCAGAATGGCTCGCGGACCAACTTGGTCTCGACTACGCCCATGCCAACCATGTACGTGATCCATTCTCGAGTCTACCGCAAACTCTTACTACCTTGGATACTAATCGCATTGCTTCCTCAGCTGGAAATCGATGCCGCGTCGCAAACATTGACCGGCAAACTGGTCCCCACATACCCTATTATTGACGCGGCCCAGAAGCGCTCCCTCCTCCACTCCATCGCTGCGGAGCACGGGATCCCCATTTCCCAGACCATCGCTGTTGGCGACGGTGCCAACGACCTGCTTATGCTCCACGCCGCCGGCCTCGGAGTGGCCTGGCGCGCCAAGAGCAAGGTCCAGCTCGAGGCCCCAACCCGCCTCAACGGGGAGAGCCTCGTGGATATCCTCTACCTTCTGGGATTCACCACGCAGGACATCGGCGAGTTGATTGCGTAGTCGAACGAAGCGCGTCGTCCAATATGTCTGCGGCGGCCAAGTGACCCGTAGAAAGACACGAGTGCGCTCGTCTGACACTGGTCCGCCAAGCGAGCGAGCATCATGCAAGTTCTCGCCAGGTGCGTACGTACACATTTTAACGACTTGTCGGCGGAATCCAGCGGAAATACCGTCCGATAAGCCTATTCCAATTCATCTCATCACTCCCCTTTTTATTTTTATCTTATTCCCCCCTCCCCCACCTTTTCATTCCGTTATGTATATCTCTGTTCGGCCTGGACATTTTGGATTTGGGATGTGTAGACCAGCCACCGGCCTTACCCAAAGCCCCCCATCCACCTCTCTCGTCTCAGTTCCCGAACGTGCGACTGTCAATGAATCCAAGCGAAAGCCAACATGCACTACACTAGAACGATGATCAACCATCCATCTATCAAGAAAGCGTTTCGTTTTCATGCGGGCGTCGGAGCAGGTAGGCAGGCAGGCAAGGATGCCGGCGCCGGCGGACACACACACACACACACACACACACACACATACAACGGTGGTCCTTTACGCACAGATCTTTTGAATGGTTAGTTGTTTAGTTGGCTGGTTGGATATATTAGGTTGGACGTGAAACGAAACGACCGTGTGATCATGATGCTGACTTTGTCAATATTTCGTCTATCTCATTGGAATGGATGTACATGTTGAATTATGTCCCCTATCCGGTAGAAGAAGGGCCATTGATATCCATATCTGACCCCTGATCTCTGACCCTTTGTCTCTATTCCTGCTATGCTCTGCTCATGCTGCAGATAATCGATCGTGCGTCCGTCCGTAGTAGTAGTAGTAGGTAGGAAGGTAGGTAGGTAGTCTTCGCATAACGAGACCAGCAAACCAACAACAACCACAAAGAAAAAAAAATAAATAAAGAAATAAAGAAAGCAGACCAAGCTCTTAACTTAACAAGGGACAATAAAAAAAAAGCCCATTCATTGCAATGCTAACCAGCGCCAAGGACCCAAAACGAACCCCAGAGAGCCCCAAAAAAAAAGCGTATTAAACAATCGGCGAACGCAAGGCGACATCTTCACCAAACCAAACCGAACTCACGTCGCGGTCTTCCCAGTCGTCGGAAGGCCCTTACTCAGAAACGACTGCCACTCCTTCTCATGGGCATCGGGGTTCCGAAGGGGCTCGCCGGCCTTTCTCTTCTTAAGGACATTCTCAATGAACGCCTCACCCGCCTTATAACTACTGCGGACGAGGGGCCCAGACGCACAATAAAGGAAGCCCATCTCGAGGGCACGAGACTTCCAGTAATCGAACCGTTCGGGACGAACGTACTCATGCACGGGCATGTGTCTGGTGGTGGGACGCATGTACTGACCGAAGGTGACGACGTCGACGTTGACGGCACGTAACGCGGCGAGGGAGTTCTCGAGCTGCTCGTCTGTCTCGCCGAAGCCGAGCATGAGGGAGGTTTTGGTGATGAGCTCGGGCTTGGCTTGCTTGGCAGCTTCGAGGACGCGGAGAGACTGCTCGAAGGTGGCGCGGCGGTCGCGCACCTGGTTGGAGAGCTCGCGGACGGTCTCGACGTTGTGTGCGTACACGTCGAGTCCGGAGCGCGCGACCAGCTTGACCATCTCTAGGTCGCCCGCGTAGTCGCCCGTAAGACACTCGACGAGGATGCTGGGGGCCTTTTGTTTGATCTTGATGACGGTCTCGGCGAAGTGGCGCGCACCACCGTCGGCGAGGTCGTCGCGGTCGACGCTGGTGAGAACGACGTAGCCCAGGCCCCAGCGGGAGATCGCCTCGGAGGTGTTCTCAGGTTCGTGGGGGTCAAGGGGCGCTGGGGCACGGTTTGTCTTGACGCTGCAGAAGCGACAGCCGCGCGTGCAGGTGTCGCCCATCAGCATGATGGTGGCGGTGGCAGCGGACTTGTCGTCGCCGCCCCAGCACTGGGAGATGTTGGGACAACGGGCCTCTTCGCAGACGGTGTGGAGCTTCAGACCGCGCAGGTCTTTCTTGAGACGTTGGTAGTTCTGGGAGTCCGGGATAGGGGTCTTGAGCCAGGAGGGCAGGCGGGTCATCTTCTTCTTGCGGCCGGCGGGGCCGACGAGGGCCGTTTCGAAGGGCTCCTCATCGAGGGCGGGGGCTGTGTTGCCGGAGACGAAGTCGGTGAAGGAGGGGCCGGCGTTGAGTTTGTTTGTGAAGGTTGTTCGACGGCGTGGTGGCACTTGGGCGGTTGTGGTAGTGGTGTCGGTGGGAGATTCGGTGGTGGCGTAGGCTCGACGGGCGAGGGAGGAGCTGGGTTGAGGGAAGAGGCCCCGTGTGGAGGAGCTGAGGAGCCGGAGACGGTGCGTTGATGCGGCGGCCATGGTGATGGTGGTTGTTGTTCAAGCTCGAGGGCCTCGAACAAGCAGCAGGTTGGAGAAAATGAAGGCAGTCGATTGTCGATTCCGCGGGAAACCCGCCGCTGATATCGGACTTCGGCGGCCCTTCCGCCGGAGCTGACTCAGCGGGGATATATGCCTGGGTGCCTGAGGTGGCAAAGGGGGGGAAGGGGGGGGGGGGCTGAGTAATCTGCTGACGGTGAGGATTATTACTCTATTACTATGTCTCGGACGGGATTGGATGGTATTAGGGCAAGGGTATCATTAAATATCTAGGACGGGGGTCTAACTACTACTACTACTAATACTAATTATACATTAGCCATAGGGGCTAACTGCACACGGTACATATGAGATCTGGAGGGCCAGGATGTAAACACAATACAAGGAAAGGGGTTGACAGGCCACAGGCATGTATAACGGGGGATGCGACACGGAAAGGAGATGAAAGGACAGAGTACAGCGAAACGAAAGGCTGGGGTGGAAGCAGTCTGGTCTAGCCAAGAGAAAGACATGATAAGAAAGTATGATCAAAGAGAGACAGAGTGACATATAGAAACATCGGACGAAATAAGAAAACAAGACGGATAGTCTATGGTGTTGAGCACACAAGTGTAAAGGAAAAGAGGGAGACAATAGAAAGAATGTGTCTAGTTCTTGGTCTCAAGAACCTGTGCTAAGACCAGCACGGCGGACTTCAACGTCTCGTCGGCGCGACCGCAAATCGCGAACAGCAGATTATCCACGATGCGATCGAGATCTTTGCGAAGCTCCAAGCTCCTTGACCCGAGAACGCGTTCCTTGATACGGGACGGGGTGGCAGGGCTGAACTGCACCCCTGCGGATGAGGCCGCTTTCTCGGGCACGGTATCCAGACGGGCCAGATTAGTCCGATGGGAGAAATTGTTGGTTTTCCGGTTGGTGGACGCCAGGGATACTACATAATTGCGCGCGATGAGCGACGCGCAGAGCCCATCCAGCAGGTTTTCCGCCACATTGGGGAAAATACTGCGGAACGGGCGTAGAAGAGCCTTTTCGTTGTTGTGGCGGATGAACATGATGACGGGCGAAGTGAGTCGGAGCATGTTGCGAGGGAAGTCTTTCACGGAATGCTCCAGCTGGTCGATGGTCCATTCGTGATCCCACCATTTCTCCAGTTCCTCTTTCTCGGATGTCACCGAGGAGCGTCCGGGCGACGTTTGGATCTTTGGCGAGGTGCTGAACTTGGGCGGCAGGTCTGGTTTTGGCGTAGACTTCGGCGTAGACTTCGGATTGATGTGAATCTGGGTAGGCTTTTTGCAGATGACTGTTTCACCACCGCTTTCTGAAGCAGAGTCGGCATCTGTATAGTCATCGTCGTCCTTATCGTCTCGGAATCCGTCAGGGGACGAACACGAATGGTGCGTGATGTAGCCACTGTCGGACATGTCCATGGGCGTGTCGGGACTGAAGGCTGATATCTCTTGTTGCCCTAAGTCGGGCGTTGAAGGGATGGGATGTGGAGGCGTGGGGAGCGAGTAACTCATTGCTGGGGACGATTGGCGAGAGATATCAACTAACTTGGGTTTGGTCTTGCTGGCTACAGCAAACATCTGTCAAACATGTCAGTTTACGGGCACAGAAGGGTAATACGGTTGTACTCACCACCGCTTTGTCAGGTGCCTTCAAGCGTTGAGGGCTTTTCTGTACGATCTGACACTTCCGTCGGTTCTGTTCTCGCGATCTCTCGCCTGGGATTTCTGCAGTCTCCACGGGAGCGCCCTGGAGCCAGTCTCCACAGTAGGAAAGACTGCTGGGGACCCAGCTTCCTTCGCTCGATACTGTGCCCGATCTGCTCCTTTGCGTCCCTGTGGATGAGCCAGAGGTGCTTCTCTTCCCAAAGGACTCGAAGCCCGAGGAGGGTGCAGGTGATGGTATGCTTTCCGAAGTGGTTGAGGCCGGGGTCAACTGCCCGTCACTCGAGTCGCAGTGTCTAACCAGCTTGGAGTGGGCCATGTGCACGTTTGTAGTCTTCTCTTGTTGCTTGGGGGTCTCCAGCTGATCCATCTGCTGTCGAGGGCTGCAGTCATTGCACGACTCCTTGTCAGGTATGCACGCGCATCCTCTCGGGGTCGTCTGGCCATATTCCGATACCGATTCCGGTTTGGGCGAAAAGTAGGCGGATGAAGGAGAGGACTGGGAGCCGAGAGAATCTGAAAGAGGAGGGCTGGGGAGAAGGCCAAACGAGTCAATGCTCGTCACGTTCAAGTTTTGGTCTGAGCGCCAGGCTCGGAGTGTTGGACCGCCAGACACCTGGCGCGATAGTCGGGACTCTTTGGCGGCAGATGCAATGTTCTCAAGGGATGGGGAAGATGGTAGGCGAAGCTGGAAGGGCTGCTTCATGCGGCGCACTGAGCGGAAGGGCGACATGTACACCGAAGGACGCTCCGCTGGGCGTCGGGACTGCGACGTGGTATACTCGGACTGCTCAGGCCGAGGCGACGTCGACCGAACAAAGGACAGGGAGCTCTGCGCTTGCTGCCTTTTCCATGGCTGTACATTGGGCGAATAGCGCGGAGAATTGTTGCCGGGAGCCATGGGTTCTTCACCTGTTACGCAGTATGATGGCACGCTCCTGTTTACAAACGATGGGGCCGTGTTGGCGGACATATTATGATGATGATTATTGTACTGGGGCTTCAAGGGTGTGCCAATAGGCTGGTAGTCCGTCGAGGACATGGCTGGGTCGAGGAAGTGTACTAGCAGAGAAGAACGAATGATTCTCGGACTGGTACTCAGAGGAACGGAGAGGGAAAGAGAGGGAAAGGAAACCTCAGTTGATGAGACCTGCGGCCGACAGGGCCTTATACTACATAGCAACCTGGGCTCCCAGTATCCCTTGACTGCCTTGCGGTGACGGAGAACTAGTCACCGGGCATGGGTATTCTGCCCCTTCGAGAGGGTCATCTCGCACTCTGGAACATGACCGTAGTGTGAAGGGCCACTACACCCACCGTCCTTGCATACCAGAGAGAGGTGAGCAAAGCAGAGGGCGCAGCCATTGGCTCCAAGGATCGATGTGCGCCACCTGCAGGAACAGCACAACGTGGATGGTCCTCCGCCCAGGGTGTTCGCATCTCATCACTAGCAAAAGGAATGAGACATGCAGAAGAAAGGGTACGGGGAAAGCCCTTAGATGGGGCATTGGGAGGACGTCACAGGTCCTTTCCCAGGGCTGTCTGGTCAACGCAGGCGTTGCACTGGGCAATCAAAGAGCAAGCCCCTAGAGGGGGGCCCCTTGCATCCGTTGCTGGGGATGCCGCGGATTGGCTGATGTTGTTGAGGGGACAAGCGAAATTTAATTTAAGCAGCATGTGCAAGAATTTAGCTTGCCGGTGGCCGCGGAAATTTGAAATGCATCACGATATCTCGAATACCGCCGGAAGGCAGGTAATCAGTTGTCGCGGCTGGAGTTCCTGGAGGTGGTTGAGATGACCGTTGTGGCAGTGGCTCGATGTGATGGAGGATGGACGCAGGAGACATGGCCAAGGGGTCGGACGCGCTAGGCACGTTAGCCATGAAGGAGACCAGGGGATCTAGGAGACCAGCACAGGGTCAAGATTGACTTACTGAGGATTGGAGTTGTTGGACGAAGGAAGAAAGAAGATCGAGGGGTTTAAAGTGCACTTGTGTCTGCTGACATCAGCATATGCACGCATTAGCGATTCGCAGACAAACAGTGCAAACCCGCCGGTGATCGATTGCGAGCATCAAATCAATCGGCCGTCCATCCAGAAAAAAAAAAATCGGTGGCATCGATTCGGTCCCGCGATTTCTCTCCATTCCCCCGCACTTCCTTGGATCTGCCCTCGCCATGCTCTCCGAGTGCTTCATCGCGTCGACGCTGGCGTCTGGCAAAGTGCCAGCGTCTGCGTCCCTCCGAGACGTGGGAGTCTGCGTGCATGAATTCCAGCCGACGCTGAACCTGCGCTCCACCTTCAAGAAGAGCTCGACCGCCGCCAGATGTCTGGCTGTGAGTCCATCGCATGTGTTCGCCGCGCAGGCCGAGAAAGCCATCGTCCACGTGTACAGCCGGGAGAAAGGCAACCAGGAAGCCATTGTCCCTTTTCCGGAGCGGATTCGCAGCATCGCCGTCGCCGGGGGGAAGAACGGCGACGTTCTGGTCCTGGGGACGGAAGGCGGACGCCTGATTCTGTGGGAGGTAGGTCAACCAAGTGTCTTTTGTCTTCTCATAGCCGGGGTGATCTAACAGCATTCGTGTGGTAGACTTGTACCGGACGACAGGTGGCGACGACGGCGTCGCATTTGCGCCCAGTGACCGCTCTCGTGGTCGATCCCACCTCCAACTTCATTCTCTCGGGCTCGTCCGATGCCAGCATCCATGTTTGGTCGCTGGTCGACCTCCTCTCCTTCACCAAAGCCCCGTCCGGCCGTGATCGCCAGCCCCCAAATTCTCCCATCCGTACGTTCTCGAACCACCGCGCCGGCATCACCTCCATCGCCGTCGGCCACAGCGCGGGGCGTTACAACATTGCCGTTTCTGCTGCGGAGGATAACACAGCCATTGCCTGGGACTACCACACGGGTCGCCTCTTACGCACCTTCCTCCTTCCATCCAATGCGATCTCGATCGCGCTCGACCCGGCCGACCGGGCGTTCTACGTCGGTTACCAAGACGGAAGCATCCAGTCGATCGACTTCTATAAGAGCCAGTCCATCCAACACCCGCTCCACGATCCCTCTCTACAGTCGACACCCTCGCAACCCCCCGCCGAAGACCGGTGGCTACCTCCGACTGCCGACTGTGGCGCCGCGCACGCCCTCACCCTCTCCTACGACGGCATGACATTGCTCTCGGGTCACCAAAATGGAAAGGTCCTGTCATGGAACGTTGGAAGAAAGAAGTACGCCTCGACAGTGGCTGATTACACGCACCCGATCACGAATATAATGATGCTCCCGCCCACCGGCCTCCCCCACCCCACTCTCGACCTCCAACGGGTCGCACACACCATCGTTAAGCCCCGTTACGACCACACCCTGTCCGAATCCTCCCAATCGATCGGCACCGTCCCGGCCGACTACACGTTTAGCACCCACCTCCTACCCTCAATCTCATCCACATCCAACCAATTCACCGAAGCGTTCTCCCACGCCTACTTCCCCGAATCAATGATCGAAGAAGGCCTCGCGGAGCTCGCCGCGCTTGACCAGCCCGGCAGCAACGGCGTCCAGGCCTCATCCATGTCGCAAGCCGTCACCGACGAGGAAGCCGCAGCCAAGGACTCGCAGATCTTCGACCTCGAGGCGCAACTCGTCACGCTGAAGCAAAAGGCATCCATCAACGAAACGGCCCGCCAATCCACCACCGACGAAGTGACCAAGCTCCGCTCCGACCTGGCCAACCTACACGACTATATCACGGAGCTCCACGAAAAGCAAGAGCAGGCGCAAAGAGAGAAGATCATCCGCCAGGCCCGCAAGGAAGAGCGCGAGACCCGCCGCCGGGACGCGTGGTTCGCCGCCGAGAAGAAGGGCAAGAAGGGCGATGCGGTTCTCCGTAAAATGGACGCCGAGGATACCCTCATGACGAGCGATACGGATGACCAGAGCAGTGATGAGCAATAGCTCCTCATCTCATGATTATCATCTCTCTCATCGCCATCCCCTCTTCCCCCTTCCACCATCATGAACCTGGTCTTGTATACCTTCATTCCACATTTCGTCCCATATTCTATTACCAGTCACGGCTGGATCTGGATCTGCATTCGCATCTTTTCTGGTAGGCGCAACGGTCAAAAAGTTCCGGTGATTGAGGTGTATCATATCATACATAGCAGATCAATTGCTCTGCGTCTACATGGTTACAGAGCACTTACTGTATATAGATAATAGATCAAAAGTCACGATAGTTTAAGCACATTACCTACGTACATATGAAGTACGAAGTACATCCATCCAGTCAGATAGTACCCAGCCACACTGTTAGCAGTTACACTGCAGCCACTTCAGCACATTCCATGCAGTTAACTAACTACATTACATTATTACATCATCGCTCCACATCCCAATATCTACTAGACAAAGGAGTAGATAGTAGATCGTTATCTAGTAGCCAACCTCCTCCGATCTGCAGAACATGAAACCTGAAACTTGAAACCTGTACCCATCCATCCTTAATCCCAACCACGGGGCATGGGCGATGATTCATGAAACAAAGTGGCTGTCACTCGAAACCCGGGAATGTATGTATGTACCTTCTATCTATCTATCTAGTATCTATGCAGTAGATAGCGGGGAGCCCGCCCGCCTCTGGCATGCATCCACCCCAGGCCGGAATGTACGCACTAGTGCGCATTCCACGAATACAGTATTAATATTCATCAAAGGAAACCCCTAGTGCTATGTGGGAATCGTGTAACAGAACAAAATTAGATGGATATTTGGTTGAGGTTGACATTGTAGGGGAGTATGTAGACTGCAGGGTGGGGTGCTCGTGAGTAGTTAGGTATTATGATTCATCCATTCCAGTGTAATGACTCAATGCTCAGGCTCAGGGTTAAGATTAGTGGGCGGGGCGTAGACGGTCTAGAGAGTCTAGAATTTCCGATCAATGGAGTCAGAGAAAGGAGGTTCGTTGGAATGGAGTAAAGCAGGAGGGAAATAATAAGCCATTGAATTGTTCCTTGGCTCTGGCAATAGGCGAGTCCAAGGAGTCAGTCATATTCTGGGCGTGGATGCCAATGGTACCCACCGGAGAGGTGGTAGTAACATACAATCAACAAGGACTTGTCATCGCAGGGGCATTTCTCTGCATAATGTCAAGGCTCGATTCTCGGCGCTTCCAGTCAAATTTCGGCTACAGTCCCTGTCCTGGCTGGTTGAGGGTGTTCTTCCCAGACCTATCAAACATAGACGTTGCGTCTGTATCAAGCCGCCCGGTTGATCCATTTCATGTCCTCCAGGTCAATGACAATCAAACGGTCAGCTACTTCATCCCGTTTGGGGTCCAGTCGGTTAACCGGGTCGGTCACTCGGATCGCCTTTGATAGAGAGTGGTGGCAGCGATCGAGAAGACCATAAAGAGTGTTGGGTCCCAGTAGCCTTTCTGCTTCGTCTCTTGCCTTTCGCTTCTTCTATTGCAGGTCTCTCCTCTTCTCTTGTCTGATTCAATTCCTCCAGTTGACGTCGCAAGTCGGCGATCTCGTCTTGCATTACTAGCAGCAGGATTGATTCCCAAGAGCCAATAGAGGGGTCCCGTTTTGGAGGCAGGAAAATGAGACTGGAGAGGATGTGAGTACGATGTAGACCATCTCCTCCGCAGTTCGTTTGTTGTTGTTGTTGATGCCTTGATACCGATTACTAAGCTGTATGAGGCCGCATGCCTTAGGCACAAAGTATGCCCTGGAGCCTATTTATGACCAGTGAAGCATAGGGCTCTACAGTAGTAAGTGATGGGTATGTGCGGTATCAATGCTTCTGTTCCTGAAGAAACTGTAGGGTAGTAGTTATAGTGTTAGTGGTGCTGCTCCACCTTGGAGTTGCGGCCTGCGGGGCGGGCCTTCGGCTGTCTCCACCGCGATGGTCGTAGGAAACACCACCACCCTACTACTGTAGTGTATATTATGTGCTGTGCTGTATATACTCGCCGAACAACCAGACCATACAACCCCCCCAGCCTTAAGGATCGGATCTCAATAGTTACCGCTACCATCGCCTCCCACATCACCACCATCCCCCACAATCTTCACCCCGGAACTACTCCCAATCCGCTCGGCCCCAACCTGCAACATCCTCCGACAATCCTCCCTCGACCGAACCCCCCCACTCGCCTTAACCTTTGTGCCCTTCCCAACCAGATTCGCGACCGCGCGCATGATCGCCACGTTCTCAACACTTGCCCCGGGCCCATTAAACCCCGTGCTGGTCTTAATGTAATCCGCGCCAGCGGTGCACGCCAGTACCGAGCCCGCGACAACCTGCTCGGGAGTCAACTGCGACGTCTCGAGGATGACCTTCAGCACCGTCGGTGCGGGGGCTGCGTCGCGCACTGCCAGCACATCCGTGTAGACCTCCGTGTACTTCCCTTCTTGGAGGAGAGGGTAGTTCAGGACCATGTCTAGCTCGGACGCGCCGAGCTCCACGGCCTGTTTGGCTTCCTGTGTTTTGGAGGTCGTGGGGTGTGTTCCTTCGTGGAAACCGACCACGCAGGCTACGCCGACGGTGGGGTGTGCTTGGAGGAGTGACACAGCCTGGGGGACGTGGCTGAGACGGACGCAGACGGTCGCGAATTGATGGGTGATTGCTTCTTGGCATAGGGTGTCGATTTGTTGGGCAGTCGCGGTCAGGGAGAGCTGGGTGTGATCGATTGTGCGGTTGAGCGAGGATGGGATGGCGTATGAGGGGAAGTCGGCGGGGACTGGGATGTCTTTCTGGACGCTGGCGACCAGCTCGGCCCATTCGGCGTCGTTTTGCGGGATGGGAGCCATGGTAATGGTACGCAGAGCCCAAGTGTCGGGTTGGCTGGCTGGAGTCTGCGGGCGTCTGAGATGCGATGATGCTGAGTCTGGAGAGTGTTTCTTCCCCGCTTCGATCTCATATCCCCTCTCCCCTCACGTGATCGCATCAGCTTCCGGCGAGATTATGACCCAGCCAGGCCAACTTTCCAAACTCCAACGACTACCCCTACCCAGTCCCACCCCCAAAACACAACCAGAAAGAGGCAAGTAATTATGATACCAACAATGATCATTGTAGCGCAGAGCAGAGGAGCGCACTCTTAAACTCCTAAACCTCCTCGCAAATCCCCTCAATCCCCCAGCACCACCATACCATCAACACCAACCCCAATATCGATATCAATATCAACCACAGCTCTTACACTCCGGCCCCCTCACATCATCCACGCGACCAATCCTCCTCCCACCACCCGGTCCTCCCGGCCCGCCACCACCTCCACCGCCACCACCACCCCAAGACCCGCCTCCCGCGCCCCAACGAGCGCTCGCATTAGGGTTCTTTCCCTGTCGAGATACATTGAACCTGGAGTTTTGCGCGGCGGTGTAGGGATCCAACTGATAGAGAGAAAGTAGGTGTTAGTAGTGGTAGATCGTAGGGGACGGGATGGGTCCTTGATGTGATGTGATGCGATATGACCAAAGGGAAAGCGTTGTGTCATAACCGCAGATCCGGATACCAGGGCAGACGAAGACGTACCGAGAACAGGCTCACGAAGTCGAGACCCAGAAAGATGTAAATGCTTTCGAAGAAACGGCTGACTCGGACGGTGAGTGGGGGGCTGTGGTTGTTTGTTGTTAGTATGGGGGTTGATTTTGGTGTTTTGGGGGTGGTTGGTTGGATGAATGGATGGATAGGTGGGTAAATAGAGGCGCATGCTTGCTTGCTTGTCTGCTTACCTTCCGAGGACGCGCCCGCCGGACACGTAGGTCTTCGGTTCGGACGACATAATTCTGTCTGTATGGATAAGTTGGAGATAGATGCGGATTGAATTGAAGGCCAGATGAGGCAACGGGAAAGAAGGCAGCCTGGCATCACGGATAACGGCTGGCCGGATGGGGTTAGCGCGGCTGACTAGCTGGACCGTCACCCGATGGGGTTTAGCGCATGTATGATGCTGGCGGAGTTATCGCGGGATGTCGGAGTTAACGTCGCCCACTTCCCCATCAGGAAACTGGTCTGACTTGGATGTCTTGATGGGTATCTATCTATAAATGAGCTGCTCTCAGTCAGTTCAATAGTCAATGAAGCCAGCAATCCCTCTTCTACTGCAGATATCTGAATTCTAACCAGAGAAGTGCAAGAACCATGCTCGTGGAACTTTCCCTCTTCCGTCACCCCGCTTTTCTCCCCTCTGCCTCTTCCACTCTCCAATCCCACCTCAGACTCATCGCCGAGTCATCTCCATCCACCTATATCTACACACAGATGGAAGACCCCACATACATCTACATCATCCAGCCAGCGACACTCACGCGGAAGAATGACAAAGTGGAAGAACTATCGGCTCACGAGGGCATAAACCTCGAATGGACACTTCAGATCGAACTTAACCACCACGCGACAGACACCCCAGAAACTGAAACAACCCAACTCGACAGCCTCCTCCCCACAAAAGCCCCCGTCATAGCGATAGGCAGATACTTCGTTCCCCCCGAGAAGAAGACCGGGTATCTGGAGACCTTCAACGCCACGAAAGGGCATCTGGAAGCATTCACGGCACCGTATCCGCTGGCTGGGGGGTGGGAGACGTATCCGAGCTCCGCTGGGGGAGACGATAAAGAGGATTATGTGTTGTTCAGTGGCTGGGATGCGGTGGAGAGGCATTTTGCGTTTGCGGATACGGAAGGGTTCAACGAGTTTGCCAAGATTAAAGGGTTTTTAGACGGAGGGGATATAAAGCATGTTGTACGGTGGGAAGGGGTTGGTCAGTAGGTTCGGGGCTGGGAAGTGTTTATGAAAAATATCCATTTGTAGCGCGTATCATCTTGATCCCAAAATAATTTACCAATTGTGAACGATCCAACTCATCTAATCCCAAGGTGTATATAAAACTACTATTCATCTATCACCAATCTCTGCTGACTCTCACCCTTCTGGACGTTCGGAATGGAGTCACTCGAGAGTTTCGATGCAGCAAGCGTAGACAGATCCCGGATAGACGAGCCACCAATGATCTGCAACACCGGAAGATCAACAGCTAGCTCCTTGACGAACCACTGCCGCAACTCGATAGCCACAAGGGAGTCCACCCCAAGCTCAGTCAACGCAGCCACCCCGGTGAGTGATTCCTCGTTCGACAGCTGCAGTTTCAAGCGAACCGCCTTGATAAAGCCTTGTGCGATTGCCTCGATGGCGTCGTCCATACTCTTCGCTGATTTCAGTTGCACCTTCATCGGAACACCGTCGCTACTTCCAGACACTTGAGATACTGAATGGGCACCGTAGCCGACGAGATTCCACGCTTTCGGGTTCCGTAGCCACAACGCGTTGGGATTCTCGGCAGGGTCAATGACCTTGTATCCGGCAATGACCTCTGGATCTCGGCCGGAATTAGGGCGTCCTGCGAGAATGCCTTCGGCAAAAAGCTCGTGCACGTCGTGTTCAGTCAAGTCTGGTGTTCCTGTGTTCTTTTCGATCATGTCTTGGACGGCACGATCCGCTCGGGCGAAGTAGCCTACCCCCTTGATCAGCCCAGGGTGAATGATACTGCCAACGAGGCCTTGTTCGCGTCGCTGTTGAATCAGTGCGGACATGAATTCTGTCGCAGCAGAGTAGGCGGTCTGGCCGACATTGCCCAGGGGCCCAGCGGCCGATCCAACCAGTATGAAGAAGTCCAGATCATAGCTGCCAAATACGTCGTTCAGGTGGATGCTCCCTTGGACCTTTGGGGCTAGCACGCGTTGCATATCATCCAGCGTCATTTGGGTAAAAAGGCAATCATTGAGCACCATTGCCCCGTTGACAACTCCTCCAATGGGAGGCAGTGTGCTGCGAATAGTGTCATGGGCACGACAGATAGATTCCCGGCTGGTGACATCCCTAATGTAAAGTGTTATTGTCGGCTCTGATTGTCACTGGCTGATTGAAACTTACATTTCCATCCCTAGGACATGGGCTCCCATTGTCGCCATTTCCTCAATCCATCTTGGATCAATATTGGGGGCCCGACTAGCCAGAACCACTGATCGAGCTCCCCTGCTGATCATCCACCGACAAACAGACTGTCCTAGGTCACCGGTCATGCCAACGAGCAAGTACGTTTTCTGTTCGTACAAGGTGACCATGGAACTTGCAGTCTGGATTAGGACGGACACTTTGCCTGGCTGCGACCAATCTAGAAGCGTCAACTGACTCGATCCCGGCGTATGTCTGGACAGGTCTTGGGCAGAGATAAGATCGACGTCATGAGATTTGCCTAATTGCAGTGCAACCCCACAGGCCATCAAAAGGGTCTGTCCGACGTTGACTGGGCTGCTGGATCGAAGTAGACTTGAAGACATCCGACCCAGGCTGGCAATGTCTACTCGCATGATGTCCTCGGGTAAAAGAGTTTCAATTCGGCAATAAATTCCACATGCAGTCCCAGGGCACTTAGCAATGACGGAGATTGCGGCAGGTAGAAGACGAGATAGATCACGAGAAGAGGTTCTCTCGTGAATGAATAACATATCCTTCTGTGAAAGGGTGGATTGGATGCTGGTGCTGAAATACAGTCTGATATCTCGGGTTAGGGCCAAAGCCGAAAGCGCATCACGAACACTTTCAGGCAGGTTTTCGGCTCCATGAACCAAAACAGACGTATTTCGGCGTCCCTGGTTTATAACATGAAGAGCAATCAAGGCTGCAGCCGTCTTCATCAAAAATATCGGCTCTGTAGCCTCGCTCAGGAGGTCTGGGACTTGCCAGCACCACTCTAGAGGTGCGTCAACCACTGAAGCATTTTGATATGATAATGCCAGCCAGCGTGTCTTGCCTTCTGCATCACGACCAAGAATCAAGTACAGAAACCCTGCGCCATCCACCTTGAATGCAGTGAATGTTGAGTAGAGTACGCGGATTTGGCGATGATATGCTCCGTGCATTTTGCCACGACACTCAGATTGCACTGTTTCACGCAAGGCGAATTCACAACGCTTGCCAGATGGAGCAACAACCTCTAGAACAGAACGTTGCAGATCAGCATGGTGCTGGACCACACGACGGTTGGCCGAGTACCGTTGGTTCATGGAGTCGCTCATACGAATACGTGGAATTTTCAGCACGCCCTGTACAAGCCGCAACTCAAACTCGGTGCTATCCACGCAGGCTTCCAGACTATGGTCATTTTCAGGAGCTGCATGAACCAGACGTATAAAATTTGTAGCCAGGGTCTGCGCAGTCGCTTCTCGGTGGTCGAGAATATTCAAATACTGGAAAACAGACTGAGGGTTTTCGTAAGCCATACAGTGAACCATAGCCTTGCTGACACCCCAGTAGGGTTGTGCGCTCTCAGGACCGGCAGTCACCCATAAAAGCTTGCTGACGTTGTTCATCAGTATCTTTAAGCCATTAAAGCGCTCGCCCATGAGGTTTTCATAAAATTGCGAGTCAAGATCGGTCAAACTCAAAGCGCACCACCCAAATGTGTCATGCAGATTCATGGCCTCGAGACTCGATGTCACAACCAAACGAGAAAAGTGCGGTGCAAGCAAAGTCTTTAGTTCTTGTACGATGTCTGCCGTTGCTTCTGTCGCGCCTCCTACCAGGAGAACCTTATCCGACAATGTGTCCGAAAAGTTCCAGGGATCGTGAAGTAGCTGGGTACGGTCATCAATTGCTTGAGACACAAAGGTCGAGTCGAACTCGAGTTGACCTGCGGGTAGAATTGCTTGGAACCCTCCAAAACCGGTCTTCTTAAGCAGCTTCTCCCACTCCTGGATGCAGATGACTGGACTCCGTGAGATTCCTTCCTCTTCGTCGTACCACCAGCTTTTGATGGAGCCGAACATCAGTGCAACACGGTTTATGTCAGTGTTGGTGCCAGCACGAACAACTAAATACCCTCCAGGCTTGAGCAGCCGGCGGATTTTATGCAAGGTCTGTTCCAGTCTTTTGGGGAGAGGCATTGTACCGGCTACAATGACAAGGTCATAAGAATGCTCCGTAAAGCCTTGCTCGAAGGGATCCAGGCCAATATCGAGAACTTTGTAAAGGAACCGGTCTTTATGATCAGACAAAGCCGTCTGTGCCTCCGCAAATAGGGCTGGAGAGATATCCGTGAAGGTGTATGAGCGATATGACTGCTTGATCTTGCTGAGGATCGTTTCTGTGGCCGAACCCCTTCCTGCGGCGACCTCGAGGATGTTCATCCGAGGAAAGCGAAAGGCTATCTGTTCAACAAAGGTTGCCAGCTGGAAGTTGCTAGACTGACTCTCGAATGGGTCATTGTATGGTCGGTCAAATTGCTCTTGTCCACGCAGCAGCTCAGCGCTCCCTCTGATGAAGTCTAACAATCTTTCCCCTGCCGTCCGCAGCTCGGCCCAGCTTTTGCTTGGTAGCATAGATTCCATTACTCTGACGTAGTCCACGGTGCATCCCAACCAATACGGATGACAAATTGGATGAGTACCGTCACTTGTCATGGACAGAACACGATCCATCCAATCTACGATATGGCGGCGGTGCCAATCAAGGTGTTCGTACTCTGTTGGCGTTATACAGCTCCGTGTGTCTCTTATATGTAGGAGCGCACAGTACTCTGCTAGCTTGAGACTTTTATTAAGCTCAGAATCCTCAGATGTATCGTTATGGGTGACCTGGGGTAGAAGTGGCCCCCAAACGATCTCAGAGAAGATAGGGCGGTCCTCGGGAAGCATGAGGGGAGCGACATGGAAGCCTTCGATCTGATAAATCCCGTGGCCATCAAGGTCAAAAGTGCTGACATCTCCAGTCGCGCCATCGGGCTCGACACTATGGAGGAATGCTTCAAAAGCAAGCTGTTCTTTTGTTCCAGCTGAGCCGTTGCAGAACATTGGGTTTATGGAAACATGATCGATGGCCACAGGTATGCGTAGTGTGTGAAGCTGTCCAATATCCATCGCAGCTAGCAAGCCCTGAAGACTGCAATCTATGGTGGCAGGGTGCAGCAGCAAGGAAGACATGATACCGTTATTTGAGACCGTGCCCATCGACCTGTTTGTGCATTTGGTGAGAGCCTTAATACCCCTGAAGGAGCCGCTATATCCCAGTCCAACCTTTTCCAGACAAGTGTAGAACTCGTCAATATCCACTGGTCGTGTCAACAGAGAAACCGGCGACTTAGGAGGCAACAACATAGCATCGTACTCCCCCATGGTTACAGTCAATTTACCTGAAACACAGGTCTTGAGGACACCAGAGACGCTCGCATAGCATCGGAAAGCTCCAAAAACCACATTGTTGCTGGTAGATATCTGCTCCACTTTGAAGATAATCTCCACCCCGGTCATGTCGTTCGGAATGTGGAGAGCACGGTTGATGAGTACCTCGTCTAGCTCTACTAAACGCAAAGACTGATCGTGTGCTATTACTGCAGCCGCCTCCAGCGCCATGACTATGTATCCTGTTGCAGGAAATACAATCTGAGATTGGAATCGATGACCGTTGAGCCATTCTAATTCTCCCCTGCTCAAGTAATTGCGCCAGCGCCACTCGTTGTCACCTGCTTCAGGACTAAGAGCTCCTAAAAGAGGATGCGGTGGGTCTACACGGTGCAGGCGAGCCTTGGTGAGACGTGATGTAAACCGGTAAGTCCGCCTTTTATCGAACGTATATGTTGGCATGTGCTTTAAAATATGGCTCCCATAAGAACTGTCATTGTCAAATAGGGAAAGATATCGCTGGATATCAATTTTTGGCTGGAGGTATGCCCAGAAAAGCCCAACCGCGTGCGCAAATGTTTCGACACTGCCACCGCCGCGTTTGGCAAGACCAAAGTAAGGTATATCTATCTGTGGTTCTCGATGATTTATCCCGGACAGGGTTTGCAAAACCGGTCCCTTGAGCGTAGGATGCGGGCCGATCTCGACCACCAAATTTAAGCCAGGATTATCTGCAAACGCAGCAGTCACGGCCTGCGAGAATAAAACTGGACGGAGCATGTTTTGGGTCCAGTATTGGGGGCTGAGGTCTTCCGTCGATAATTGCTTTCCCTCGTACACGCTAGAAAACCACTTGGTTGTCAATGGATGTGCTTGGATATCAGATGATTCGAGAGAGTGAAGGTAAGGTTCTGCGCATGGAATCATATGGTGAGAATGGTATGCTGTATACACATGAAGGTGGTTCACCGTGATATCTAAGCTTTTCAACATCCACTCAAGATCTTGCACAGCGTCTGTATCTCCAGAGAATGTTACACTGACTGGTGAGTTACTTGCAGCAACTCTGACTCTCCCGCTGAAGCCACCTTCATCACAGAGAGCTTGTGCTTCTTGCCACGGAATTCCACCAGCAATCATCGCTCCAGACTGACCGTTTGCGCCAGCTTGCTTGGTCACGATTCCTCGAAGATATGCGATTCGAATCGCGTCTGTTGCCGTGATTGCATCTGCAGCATACGCTGCCACAATCTCACCTGAAGAGTGTCCAATAACTGCAGAGAAAGTAATACCAAGGGCGCGTAACATATTGACTTGAATTATCTGGATTGCCGTACGGAGGGGCTGCGAGATGCCTGCTTTGTGGAGACTTGACAATGGTTCGGGATTGGAAATTTCCTCAACCATAGAAAAGCTTGGACGTAACTGCGGTGGAAGAGTATCCAAAGACTCTTGAAGCTCCGCCATCCAGACCAAGGCTTTTGGACTGGCGGAGATCGAATCCCAGAACATCTGTGGGTACTGGGCCCCTTGTCCAGTGAAAATTCCCAGCACCTGCTTGGGGGTATCATTGGCCCTGGATACAATGCTAGAAGACAAGGTTGTTGAATTTCGTTTCTTAAGTTCTGCCTGGATTCTCCTTTGGAGGTCCCCCACTGAGGTGGCCGTGAGTATGACTCGATGGCTAAATGCTGATCGTCCCTCTATTAAGGCTGCTGCAAACTTCAGCAAATCGATTTGAGGGTTCCTTTGCAGAAACTCCACATAGCGCTCCAACACGTTGGTCAGCGTCCTCTCTGTAACAGCAGAGAAGGCGAATGGGAGAACTTGAGGTGACAACTCATGCTCTAGGTTGACCATGACGGGCGGTGTATAACTCTCAATGATTGCATGCGCATTACTTCCGCCAAACCCAAAAGAATTAACTGAAACACGACGAGGGCTGCTTCGGGAAAGGCTAGGCCATGGCAACGGCTCGGTTGGTACGCGAAGATGGGAGGTGACGGGTGCAATTACCGGATTTATACGGTTGAAGAGCAGGTTCGGAGGGATGATACCTTGCTGAATGCTTAAGGATGCTTTGATAACACTCGCCAAGCCAGCCGTGCCTTCTGTGTGGCCGATGATTGTCTTGATAGATCCAACATACAACACATCTTCCGATGGTGTATCTCCGAAGAGGGATTCATAGATCGCGGAGGCTTCCTGCGGATCTCCTGCCTGTGTCCCGGTCCCATGCGCCTCGAAAAGTTGGCATCGATCTTCTGGGCGGCGTTGTGGGTCCAGGCCAACACTAGCATAGGTGGAACGTATCAGCTGCGATTGGGCGATACTGGATGGTATGGTGAGACCCATAGTGCGTCCGTCAGCGTTGACTCCTGTGGCGCGAATGATGCTTTCAATATGGTCCCCCGCAGCAATAGCATCGCTCAGCGGCTTTAGCACCACAGCGGCCACTCCTTCACCACGTGCATAGCCGTCGGCATTTTCATCCCACATCCGACATCGGCCAGTGGGAGAAAGTAAACGCATGTTGGAAGCAGCAATGTACTCTCGAGGACTCAGGATCAGATTACTGGCTGCTACTACGGCCATCCGACAGTCCCCGCTCCTCAGAGCACATACACCCTGGTGAAGGGCCACCAAACTTGAGGAGCACGCGGTATCGATGGTCATTGAAGGGCCACGCCAGTCAAAGAAGAAGGACAGACGATTGGACAGCATCGATGCTGCCGTTCCCGATGAAGCATATGTGGGGATCTCATCCCAATCGCCACTGATGAGGTTGCCGTAGTCCATATTCATGAGGCCACAGAACACACCGGTATTGGATCCCCGAAGCCTCTCCATCTGCAGTCCGGCTCTTTCCAGAGATTCATAGACGACTTCCAATAACAGCCGCTGCTGGGGGTCCATCGACTCCGCTTCAGCGTGAGAGATATTGAAGAAGGGGGCATCGAATGCGTAAATATCCTCAGAGAGGAAGTATGATTCCGGGGAGCTGCTGGTGCCATGATGATTGTCTTGGTGATAGAACGCGCTATGGTTGAACCGGTCACTGGGGATTTTGGAGGCTAAATTGCGCGGGTGATGGAGCAGGTCCCAGAGCTTGGACGGTGATGATGCAGCGCCAGGGAATCTGCAGCCCGTGCCGATAATTGCGACAGGCTCAGGAAACGCCATTAGGAAGGGAGTGAGGTCATTAGGAGATAGACGTTGTTAAGGGGGAGAGACGCCGTTAAGAGAAGAGACATTCCATTGAGCAGAGAGAGGGGAAGAAAATGAAGGCAGTAAAAAAGATTGAAAGAGAAAGAATTGAAGGAATGGAAGGGTGTGAATGCAGTGAAGCTCCGAAGGCCTTAGGAACCCGCGTGTTTCTGCCTGTTTTCTGCCTTCTTTTGGCAGTACGACCTTCTTTGCTCCAGGCATCCTCGTCCTCCCTCCTCCACCAACCTGGTTTCAATCCGCGGCTCCAATTGCACTCTGCCACCCCAGTGGGGTTCGCTAGAGGCACTGCGCTAATAAGGCAGGTCTTCCCTTCCCCCCTCACGTCGTGAACCGTCCAGATGATGCGCCTATTTTCTTTGTTTGCTTCAGGCGCCTTCTCCCTCGAGTGGGGGCCAGGGTGTCGCTTAGAAGCCATGAAAACCGAATAACTCTCCTCACCGTCCTGGGAAAGTCGCCTCTATCAGTGGGTCCTATGCAAGTCATAGCACGGCTGTGATATAGTGCGATAGTGCATACAGGAAAGGAGTCCGGACAGGGTGCCTAGGCCCAAGACAGTCCCTTCTCCGGTCTGGACACTACGGGCTCTGTCCGGGGATGTTGCTTGAAGATCCTCGGCTTGGGATTTCGTTGCTCGTGTTCATGCAGGATGACGGCGGGAAGACGGAGAAATGAGGGGGTTCAGTCCCAAGCCCCTCCGACTCTAGCCTCCATTTTGGCATCATCACTGGCTCATCCGTCTCATCGGCGTTCGATGGTAGTCTCTGACAACGCAATGACAAAGTCGGTACGGCATGGGTCGTTATTTCTTCCCCTCTTCATATTTTCTGCTGTCAGTATATGCTCCGGTGACCGATGAAGACATTCGTCTCTATGAGCGATCAAGATGGCTCGAGAGAGTAGAGTGCCGGTCGATGACAGTCAAGCAATGAATTCGAGGCTCATAAATACATCGAGCTCTAACTTCTCGGAACTTGTCGACGATCAGTATTCCGCATCACATACAAGGGTGAGGCCTGCTTATATTAGTCAAGCTTGGAATCTAACTGACGGAATTCGAATAGGTTGTCAAAAACGTACCCACATCCGCAGATCTGCGCTTGAGAACGGTGGAAAAGGGCCTCGATGGCTACATGGCATCATTACCCGCGGCATTCGGTCTTGTCAGACTACGTGTCACAATCACGTCTGTCTTGGTGTCTGGACACCCTTTTGGTCGAGTGGTTTGCTTCACGGGTCCAATAAGGCCGCACGGCTCGTGCGCACGGACACTACGACCGTCCCAAGCCACCAAATAATAGCCTGGCAGCATCGTGTCTAGTATCATCTATTTAGGGTGAGTTTGACCCAAGCTGGCTAAGCTGAGAATGGGTCCAGGTCTAAGCTGACTACCACTGATTGTCCCGCAAGAAAAACTAAAAGACTCGTAATCCAGGCACCCTGACAAGGGGGGAGGGGACAGCACGAGAATACTTAAGATGCATCTAAAGATCTATCACCCGGCCAACTCTCGTGTCGCAGTTGGTCTTCGTATATAATATGAAACCCTATTGATATGAGTTCCCCTGCAGGTCGTCATACAGACGTGCTCTCCTTCGCTTTTGAAGGCTCCGCCGATTACGATGAACATCGACCACTCTACATTGATGCCAAAAATCCCGCGTCTTGTCTCAATGCCTCTCAGCTAAGGCGTCTGGTTCGGACTTTGATTGCAGGCCTGAGATGCTATATCAAACGGGGAGATTGCGTGATGATCCACCTTGAAAACAATGTAGGCGAGGGCCCTCTATGATGATTATAATGACATGAACTAACATCAGACAAATAGTATGTTTATTCAGCACTTTACTTTGCCATTATCGGCGCCGGGGGTGTATACATAGGCGCCAGCCCCGACAGCTCACCTCATGAAATCATGAGTTTCCTCGATCTGGGAGAGCCAAAGCTAATTATCACGTCGAATCGAACCCTCCAGGCCATCCTGGACATCTCATCAAGCAAGGGTTTCTCTTCTAAACAGGTCTGTCTCTTTGACGAGCCAACCATCTCCAACTTCTTACAGTCGAATCCCAATGACCCATCTGATGCCGCACATCTCACAATAGATCATCTTCTCTCCCACGGCGAAGGCGACTGGAACAGAATTGATGACGAATCCCTCTCCAAAACCACCCCAGCAGCCATCTACTGCACCAGTGGCACCAGCGGACTGCCAAAAGCGGCCGTTCTTTCGCACTATGCTATCATCTCCCAGCATCTCAATATTCATTACGAGGTCCCGTATCATGTCCGCAGACTGCTTGTTGTCCCAATGTACCATCGGTTCGGCGCTCTGTGGCACACATTCCCGATCCGTCAGGGCGAGCCCGCCTACCTGCTGCCCAAATTCGACGTAGTCCAGTTCCTTAAGGCTGCCCATCGCCACCAGATAACCGATACATACATTGTCCCAGCAATGGTCCACATCTTGAATCTGACCACTCAGCCCGCGAAGGAGCTTCTATCATCTATGCGCCTTGTAGACGTCGCAGGTGCCCCCATAGACACCGCATCAATGCACAAGTTCCAAACATTGCTGCACAAAGATGGAACCGTATCTCAAAGCTGGGGCATGACAGAAACTGGCCCAGTCTTCTTAAACAAATACGGCGAGCCACACGACAAAGCCAGCATCGGCAAACTCGTCGGCACAAATGAGGTTAAGCTACTCGACGACCATGACAACATCATAAGTGACGACGAAAGTCCCGGCGAGCTCTGCATCCGAGGCTCCGGTCTCCTGACCACCTACCAGAGACGCTCCGACGGGAAAGACGAACAGGGCTGGTTCCGGACCGGAGACGTCGCCTATCGAAACAACGGATCCTACTTCCTCTTCGGCCGGACCAAAGAGATTATCAAAGTCCGAGGGTACGTAACCAACCCCCTCCCCCCAAACCCCCCATTCCGCACCAACTGACCAGTCATCTATACGCAGATATCAAGTCGCCCCAGCAGAGATAGAAAGCGTCCTCCTAACGCACCCGGACATCACCGACGCCGCCGTCCTGGGTGTCCAATCCAGCGACAAGACCACCGAGGTCCCCCGCGCCTACGTCGTGCGATCACAGTCACCCTCCGGGACCAAGATAAGCATAGACGAGATCTACCGGTTTGCGCAGGCCCGCTTGGCAGGCTACAAAGCCCTAGATGGCGGCGTGGTGTTCGTCACGGATATTCCTCGCACCGCAAGTGGGAAGATTCAGCGGGCTAAGTTGGGGCAGATGAATGCTCAACGCGATAGGATTGCCCAGATCCTTTCTCGTAGGGTCACGGAGGTGGTTGTTTAGTTGGTTGGTATCTAGGGCTTTTGGGGGGGCGGCTACACCATCATGATTTTGCTGCAGTAAGTTACGTTGGGATTTGGTTTTGCAGAGAGACTGGGGTTTAAATTGCAATATAGGCAGTCAGTTGTTGGAGCAGGAAAACAGAACAGAGTGATAATCTGTCAATACTACAGTGGCACAGCCATCGTAGATCTCCATCGCAGGAACTGAATAACTGAATCATGCATAGAGCTAGCTCTCTTTTCATCGCAGTCTAATCATAATCAGAAGTCCCCCGTCAAAGCACCTGATGCTGACACGAGGTGCATACCTTTATTAGATAACACAACAACAGACTGGCTTCAGAAAAGCAAAGATCAATCAATACAAGACTCCCCAAACCCACTACCCTACCCTACCCTACCCTACCCTACCCTACCCTACCCTACACACCTCAATCTCCCACTACAATAAGCAAGTCACGCATCAATAAATCTATTGGGTATCTAAACAACGAAATCCAAATCCAGCCAATCGAATCCACATACACCCACCATAACCCCTCACCTCACTCAAGCCCCCTCGTCTCAACACTCAACTCATCCAGCCCCCGAAATCCCTCCTCGACAACCCATTTCTTCCCCTGAGCAGGATGCAAAACATGGCAACTAGCACCCACGACCAACAGCCCAGGCGGTCTGGAGCCCTCGGCCTCGAATGCAGCGGTGACGTGCTCCAATGTTGATCGGATCACGCGCTGATCTGTGCAAGAGGCGCGCTCGATGATCGCGCATGGAGTATCTTTCGGCCAGAGGGTGCGGGGGCGGGACACCGATCCCGACTCCGACTCCGACTCCTCAGCTGGCTCAGTGGGGGTGAGGGTGGTGAGGGAATCGACAAGGGCGGAGAGCCGATGCAACGCCATTAGAAAGACGACGGTCTGCGAGGGAACATAGGTGGGTGGATCAGGGGCGGCGCCTTTCCGTCCTGTCCCGGTGCAGACGAGGACCTGGTCGGAGACGCCGCGGTGGGTGGCAGGGATATCAGCGAAGAGCGGGGCGCTCAGAGCGCTGGTAATACCGGGGAGCACGACGGGGGTGAATCCGTGGGCGCGGAAGAACTCGAATTCCTCGCCGCCGCGGCCGTAGAGATAGGGGTCACCCTGCTTGAGACGCAGGACGTGGCGGCCGCGACGCAAGGAGTCCAGGCCCAGTTTTAAGAATTCCTCCTGCGCCTGGTCGGCGTTTCCGGGGAATTTGCGCGCGATGTGGACTTCTGTGCGGCGGGGGATGAGGTCGAGGACGGGGGCTGGGACGAGCTTGTCGGCCAGGATGATGTCGGCGGTTTGGATGGCGTTGTGGGTGGCGCGGGTGAGAAGGTCGGGGTGTCCCGGGCCGGAGCCGGCGAGGACGATTTTGCCTTTTTGTGAGAGGGTTTCGAGACTGTTGGCGTCCTGGGGGTTTTCTTTGCCCGAGGTGTAGGCTTCAAGGATGGTGGTGATGTCGTCGTCGGTGATGGCGGCGAGTTTGCGAAGCGGCCAGTATTCGCAGATCTGGGACAGCCAGCGCATGCGGCGCGTTTTGGCGGCGGAGATGTCGTCTTCTGTTACTAGTGTGTTGAAGGTGTGTCGTTGGCCGGTGGAATCATCTTCGTCGCCTTCGAGTGGCGCATCGCATAGCCCGGCGGCGTAGTCTTCGGCCCAGAGGCGCTTTCTCACTGCTCCCAGCCTGTCAATGGCGTTTCCGAGGTTTGAGGGTAGTCCAGACGAGATTTCTCTTCTGAGACGCGAGGCCAGCTTGCAGCCACGCCCTGACGTCGTGATGCCGATGTGCAGAGGGCCATCCGAGTACGTGGACAGCAAGCTGAATGTGCAGAGCTCCGGAGCATCGGAGACGTTGACTGGGATTCTGAGACGACGGCAGAGCTTGGAAATGTGAGCACTCGTTGGGTGGTTTCCGCCCAGAGTGACAAAGACCGTGTCTACGACGTGGTCGACTTCCTCTCTCCCGAGGCTGGTGAGATGGTCGTCTTGGAACTCGCTGCGGATCCATTGCACGGAGCCGTTCTCGATCCGCTCCACCAAGGTGTATGGCAGAGTCTCTGTGTCTGGGGTGAGGAGAATCGGCTTTGCACCCGCCTCGACGCTCTTAGCACACCGGGCTGCTGCGAGAGGGTTTGCCCCGATGATCAGATGCACCTGAGACTCGACATTTACGGCTGTCAGCAAAGGCGCTGGGGAGCCGTTATCGGAAGCGTCTCTCATGATGGAATTGCCACCGCGGGGACTTGCGATCGTGTTGCAAGCTCAAGATTGTCCCTGGAGTTCCACGGTCTTTTGGCTGACAGTCAAGGTAGGTCTTGGATAAAGACGAAGAGAACCCAGACAGGAGATTGGGGCAGTTTTATGTTTTCCTCGCAGGGCCAAAAGATAGCCGATCAGTTAAGATTTCCAGGGTTCTGCAACTCCGCGGAAAAGCCCAACCTGCGGAAGTTCGTCACCACTGGCAGATAATCAGTCACGTTCGCTCCCACTCAGCAGCCTGCCAGGTCGATAAGCCTATCTCGGTGATCAATAAAAGCCCATGCCACAGAAAACCTGGGAGAATTGCAGTCATCCACCGATGGGGAATTTATAGATGCACTGCCCGATGCGGTTAATGTGATATTGCGTGATCGGACACTCTGCCTTACGTAAGCCGTCTGGCTGCCGGATTGGGACAGGCCGGGTCTTTGCCAGTTGGCGGCCATCTTGGAATATCCATCGGCCATTCATTCAGCCACATTTCGGTCCCTGCTCTTGTTGTGGAAAGCTGGGACGAAGTATGAGGCACCTGTCGGCAAAGGATCAGTAACTGTCACGCGGTAGGGAAGTTTCAGGCACCGGGTATCAATTAGCAGCCATTCTGGTCAATGAGACAGCAATTAAGGAATTTGACACGCGGATCTGAGTAGACGACTGCACAGCGTGGAGAGTAAACAACGAGCTGGTTGCCTTTGCTGCCCGGAGCAGCGGTGGCTCACGTGACGCGGCGGCGCCAGCTCTCGCTGGGTCGCTGCACGTCAGAGCTCCGATCCGGGCGATGCTTCCACTCAATCTCCATCTCCCCTCCCAGAACCTCATCGCCTCACGCCTTCCTCATCCATCCTGCGTCTTCTCCGAATTCCCATCCTTTCCCCGTCTAATTTCAGTTTCCCCCCTCCGCCGTGACGCTCACTCGTCACCATGTCCGACACCTTGTTGAAGCCGGAGAAGGACTTCTCCAAGGAGGCTGACAAGCTGGTCCCCGAGGCAGAGCAGCTTGCCAAGGTAGCACCACTAAAGCTTCCCTCCCAAGTGCCGAAGGTTAACCATCCCTAGACCGATGTGCAAGGCGCCATTGACAAGCTCCTGATATTGGAGAAGCAAGCAAGACAAGTGCGGCCCTCCGTCCGTCCCTTTGGCGAATAACCCGATCCTAATATACTTTGCAGGCCTCGGATCTTGCCACGACATCCCGGATCCTCGTCACAATCGTCACAATCAGCAAGACCTCCGGCGACTGGAACCTCTTGAATGAGCAGGTGCTCCTGCTGTCCAAGAAGCATGGCCAGCTCAAGCAGGCCATAACGAAGATGGTGCAGGTGGTGATGGGATTCCTGGAGGAGACGCCGAATATGGAGGTCAAGCTGTCGGTCATCAACGGCCTGCGGACTGTGACCGAAGGAAAGGTCGGTGCCATGGCTATCAGTCCCGCTCAACATCTTGCTGATGCCCTTCTCCGCAGATCTTCGTCGAAGTCGAGAGAGCCCGTGTCACTCGCATCCTTTCCAACATTAAGAAGACCCAAGGCGATCTCAATGCGGCCGCCGACACCCTCTGCGAGCTGCAAGTCGAAACGTTCGGATCCATGACCAGAAGAGAGAAGACGGAGTTCATCTTGGAACAGGTGTCTCTGTGCATAGAACGGGGCGACTGGACGCAAGCCACGATCCTCAGCCGCAAGATCAACAAGAGATACTTTGCCCGCAAGCCGAAGAAGAGTGCCGAGGAGATCGAGAAGCTGAAGAAGGAGGTCGAGGAGCGGGAGAAGACGCGCCAGCCGGATGAGGCCCCGATGGAGGTGGACGACGACGTGACGGACCTGAAGCTCCGCTACTACGAGCAGCAGATCATCCTCTCCAACCACGACTACAAGTACCTGGATGTTTGCAAGCACTACCGCGAAGTCCTGGATACGGATTCGGTGCAGAACAACCCGGAGCAGCTTCAGGCTGTAAGTTCCCTCGTCTGATATTCCTTGCAAAGCTAACAACATCCAGGTTCTCGCCCGAATCGTCTACTACATCGTGCTGTCGCCGTACGACAACGAGCAGTCGGATCTGCTGCACCGCATCCAGCAGGACTCGCGGCTGTCCGCGGTGCCCGTCGAGGCGCGGCTCGTCAAACTCTTCACCATTCACGAACTGATGCGCTGGCCCATGGTGGGCGAGCAGTTCGGACCGCACCTCTGCAACACGGACGTGTTCAGCGCCCAGCCTAGCCAGACGGCCGAGGACCAGCCGCACCGGAGGTGGCAGGACCTCCGCAAGCGTGTGATCGAGCACAACGTGCGGGTGGTGGCCAAGTACTACACGCGGATCGAGATGGGCCGGCTGACACAACTACTGGACCTGACGGAGGAGGAGACGGAGAAGTACATCAGCGAGCTGGTCACACTGAAGACGATCTACGCGAAGATCGACCGTCCGGCGCGGCTGGTCAACTTCGCGAAGCCGCGCGACGCGGACGACGTGCTGAACGAATGGAGCAGCGACATGAAGAGCCTGCTGGGGCTGCTGGAGCGGATCGACCACCTGATCACGAAGGAGGAGATGATGGCGCGGATTCTTCCATCTCGGGGAGAGAAGGGCAAGGCCCGTTAAGTGTGAATAGCAATTGACACCGACTGACACTAACGCGGGTGTACAATTACGATAGTAGAATGGAACTGATGAGCATCCCACAAACACAGCTATAAACAAAACATATGTATGCACAGGGTAATCTAATCTAGATGTATCTCATCTATGCCATCTATCCCCCGGACCTCTCCCCAACCCCAACAACACCAACTCCCCTTCAAAACGGTAAATCCATATCATTAACATCCTCCTCCATCACGCCCTTCCCCTTCCCATTCTTCCCAGCCCCCTCCTCATCCGCCAAAACCCCCCTCACAAACCCCACCACAGCATCCAAATACGGCCTCTGACTCGGCACAAAATGTCCCCCAGGATGAAACACCACCCTCCCGTCGTCATCCCCAGACCCAAGACAAGCCTCGACCAACGCCCTACTCCTCGCCTCCTCCACCACGGCATCCAATGTCCCCAGCACATGCAACACCGGGGTTCTCACCCCCGGCTCATAAAAGCCCCTATACCTGGGCCCCGGCGCGCGAAACCCACTATAACAGACCGCGAACTTCAGCGCGGGCTGGACGCGCCACACCTCGTCCCAGACCTCTGGCACCTGGAACCCAGGGACACCGGAGAACTCGGACCCCTGGCACGCGACCGCGGGGTCCCGGAAGCGGGTCATGGTTTCGGCGCGGCCGGGCTCGAGCAGAGAGGCGATGAGCGCGGCCATGGCGGCGCCTTGCGAGAAGCCGATCACGGCGTCGAAGGGGCCTTCGTTTTTGAGGACTTGGGCGATGGATGACAGGCCTGTTTCGAGCCCGGAGTAGAGGGGGGGGTTGGTTGTGTCGCTGCGGCGGAACCAGCCGTAGGCTTCTGTCGAGGTATCATCATCTGTGCTGCCGCCTTCTGTTGATGTTGATGTTGATGTGGTGCTGGTGCTGGTGGAGGGAGGCTCGTAGCCCGGGATGTCGGAGGGGAGGAGCTGGATCGGACCGGTTGGGTAGACGGTTGTCACGGCGTGGGTGGGGGAGAGGGCTTTGGTGAGGTGTTTGATTAGGGCGCGGGATTTGGCGTGGAAGAGAGGGCCGGATTGGGTGTAGCCGTGTAGGCAGAGGATTTTGAGGGGGGGCATTTTGTTTTTGGTGTTATTTTTTTGAATTTCGGGGGGGTGTAGGATAGAGGGTAGAGATTGGAAGAGGTGGGAGGTGAGAGGAGTGAGTCGGAAGAGTGAGGGGATGAGTTTGTTAATGTCGGGGAGAGAAACTGGACTAGCGGGAGATAAGATAAGCAGTCGGGGTTAACTATCGTGCTGGATGGTAACAGAGACTGGGTTGGGGGGTTGAATGGGTTTCTTTACTTGTTAGTGAGCTTGTGGTGGGCTTTGGGCTGAGGAGGTTTGTTTTTGTTTTGGGATTGCGTGTTGTCAATTATACCGGTGTAAACATTTGCTTTGTGAGACGGATGGAGGGTTGAGGGTGGAAGGGGTGGCTGCTGCAGATAGGGCAATTAGATGGAAATTAAAGGGGAATGGTCAGAATGTGGTCAGGAAGAAGCCTGCGGGGGGTTCAGATGAAGTACTACTTACTAGTCATGCACCAGGGATGTATCTACATGGGTCATTGGGGGGGGGGGGGGGGCAGGGCATGGGAGGGATACTGGATACTGATAGACTCAGCTGGACCCGAAACTACATGCATCGAATACGCTACGCAGAATGCGGGGGGCAGTGGATCCAGATCTACCACCGAAGCAAATAGACACTGCCGGATTACACACTACTGCTGTCTACACTACCAGTCCATACTGACCAAATCAAGCATACGATTGCTACCACACGAGGGTATAACAACTCTGCAGTACCGGGAGTCCTCTTCAGGACCACCAGCCTGCAGTCCGGTCACGTCACTTCAAGCAATGCCGGCCATCACACATTCATCTCCACGTATATCCTCGACCGGATCGAATTCCTGCAGCAACCGGCAATGCTTGATGACACGGGACCAGGCGTTGTGTCATCCCATCGGGCCCATAGTTCAAGGTACATGCGTCGATTCACACGTCGTAGGTACAAGGAACACAGCGCAACGGGACGAAATGAACTCATCAAAAACAACGAGAAAAGGATAACGGCAACCGCAAGAGTGACTTGACTTGACTTTGTATGGACCGATCATGTGAGCCAGATATCCGGAACTCCCCTGCAGGAAGAGGTCGAGCAAATTCAAAAAAAGAATAATAAAAGGAACAACGCTTTTTTGGATATAATCAACAGGGGTGTTGCCTCTGGTTCGAAGATTTTTTCATTTTCCCTTGTGGTTTCTGCAGCGCTTCTCGCAAGGGGCGAGAGGATTTGATTCCATCTTCTATCTGAATCTGCCTTCCTCCACAGAAAAACGAGATATATTAATCCATCATCATCGAAGAACGCCACATTGCTTTCATCATCGCTCCGGCACCGTTGCGGCGAGTCATTTACTTTCTGCGGAAAGAGCAGCCCTCGGTGAGACGGGCCTTGCCACCGGTGGGCTGGCAGAGGACGGTCGAGCAACCAGCGCAGACGACGACGGTCTGGGCGTGGGAGAAGACGGTGGTGATGGTGAAGCAGCCGGGGCACTTGACGTCCATGAAGAAGGAGCGGGGGGCAGGCACAAGGGTCTGTCGAGAGAGAGAAAAGGGGGTCCGGTATCAGCCATCCGAACAATTGTATATTGATTCCTCCTGTATCTTGAATTCCCAATCCGGAGTTCTGGCATCGTCATACCTTAAGCTTGTGCTTGCGGGCCTCAGCCTGAGGCGTGGGGTTGAGGAGGTCGACCGCGAGAACCTATTTGATGAAAAGACAAGTCCGTCAGCACCACATTCCTGGACGAAAATTTCGGGGGGGGGTCCCTTCGGGCGGCGGGATGGTGATAGCGACGGCGAGCACAAATGATAGCAGCGGGCGAGCCCGTGTGTGCAGGCATGCAGAGGGATGTGTCGAAAGCCGAAGAGGGGGATGGGGTCGAAGGGCGTTAACGTACCATCTTGACGAGACAAAAAGTCGATCAGCGAAGGGGGTTGAATGAAGCGCTGATGGAGATGGCCTGCTTGAGGGTGAAAAGGTGGTCTCGTGGAGATGGCGAGGGCTGAAGGGAATTCTCGACGGCGTCACCCACGGCGGCCCGTTTGGGGGCAAATAGGGTTGCAGCCCTCTCGCTAAGACTGCCCGAAGAGGCACTGCTGTCTGCCGTACTTCGCGCTGCTTGGGGGGTGCCGGCCCGCCGCCCGCCAATGGCAGCCCGCTTATCTCAGCATTCGATGCAGTCAGCGCAGTACTCCGTACGTGTACCTCTCCACCTTCTATCTACACAGCACTCCGTACTCCCGAGTACTACTATCCCGATGAACGCGCTCAACAATTCGTACTAATACATTTCTATCGCTAATCCAATACTGCGCTGTCTAGATTCGCACATAACACAGGTTGGCCCGGTGACATGTGCCTGCCATTCAGACACCGGACTACTTGTGACATCGCCCCTGCGTCTGCTATAGCCCCGAAATTGAACTACTCCATCCAATTAACCCACCCTTTTATTGCGGCTCGGGCCCTCTCCGCATAATGCAACACCACTTAAATGGCACACCACAACTTCCACGTCATCTCATTAATTCGACTTCTTCGCGTCTCCGTTCGTGATCACCACTTCCACCTCCACGTGCGGGTGCTTGATGGTCAAGCACCAAATGTCGATGTAGTCGCATATCGTCGTGATGATGTCATGCTGTTCACGATTAGCGTCTCTCTCCACCAGAACCCACGATGGGGTGATGCTCTGCACTTACCACGAAGCTGCCATAGATACCGACCGACAGACCCAAACACGTCCACATGAAGGCCACCTGGCCGGCTCCGTCGCCCAGCACGCTCGCCCAGTATCCGAAGTACGCCCCGGCGCTGTCGACCACGGCCAACGCAAGCGGAACCAGAAGCATGTTGAAGTAAGGGAAGCTGGCCTTGACCAGGTGTGCGCAGATCATCCGGCCCACGGCGTACGCATTGATCAGGCCCACGTACAGGCAGAACGGAACCATGTAGTTCTCCAGGATGGTCGGCTGCAGGTAGAGGTAGGCCGGCACAAGCGTCCACACGGCGACAAGGGGGACCAGGCCCAGCAGGGGCGTGATGGCATCCTGCTTCCGCTCGCGGCGGATCTGCAGGACGTGCACAATGCTGGAGCCGATGGCGAAGAACAGGAGGACGGCACCGTAGACCAGGTACCACTGCGTAAAGGCCATGTTGTAGATGTTCTCCGGGAGGAAGCCCAACTTAGGTACGCCAATGGTCTGAAGCATGGGTTGGTGCCAGAAACTCCCGCCACCCACATAGGCAGTAAACGCAAAAACGACACAGATGGTCAGGACGCCCTCCACCGGGCCCGAAATGATTCCCAGGGTCAGCACCTGCGTGTAATACTCGTCCCAAGTCTGAATATAGAAGGTCATGGTCGCTGTATCACATCAGCATTCTCCAATGCTCCTATTCAAGCCAAAAGGGCCACGTACATCCGAACAGGGTCAACAGAGTGGCCCATGACTGGCCGAGATTCATCGCCGCGGCGAAGATCAGGACCCCCAAAGCCGTGTTGCATGCATCGACGCCTAGAGACGAGTCTTAACCCCGGTGCATCTTCCAGTCTAGAGACCCGCGCGGAACTTACTGTGATCAAACAGCTCACCCAGAGGACCGCTCTGCTTGGTTCTCCGCCTGCAAGATCGATTTAGCATGCCGTCTACCATCCAAAGTTATGGGGGCGCGAGGGGCAGTTCATACGCTTGGATGCCGTCTACGCCGTCAAACGTCTGATAGAGGAACAACCCGAGGGCGCAACTGGCATAGACCCAGGGGGGGCAATCCTGGTCTAGGGTCGGGTTGTACCACAGGATGGTGAAGAAGTTGACTATGACAAAGAGGAACCCCGTGAGGGTGATCTACCAGACCTCAGTTATTTGACCCATTCCCATTCCTATTCCCGTCGCAGAACAGACTTACGGCATTAGGACTAAGACCGACGACGAGCCCATCGGTTAGCCAGGTGAGAACATCAATTAGAGACAAATCAAACCGGCTTTCGCTACTTACGCCATGCTCATGGGAAAGAACTTGATCACAAAGTTATTATAGAACGGCTTGAGAACATATCGACTGATAAGGGACAGATCGATGCCTGCATAGCGGTACTCCCGCAGCTTGGGCAGTTGATGCTGGCGAATGTACACCATCGTGTCTGCTGGTCAGTAGTGTGTCCCTGGGATACAAGGAGCAATACGACCGGGAGACCAAGACAGAGAATTTTGTTTGGGGGGGGGGGGGGGCGACACGCGAAAAAAGCCAAGCGGGCGGGCGGTCGAAATGGAGTTGACGCCAAAATTGCGAATGCGCGGGAAACAGGGAAACAAGGGCCGAACGGCCAATGGGAGAAGGGCGGGGGCGGAGAAGAAGAGATGGTGATTAAAAAGCCAATACTATCTCAATGGACGAAGAATAGAAAGAGAAGTACAAAAAGAATAGAATAAAAGGAGATGGGGGGGCGAGGGAGGGCGTGGGGAAAACGGCGGGCGAGTCAGTTGTTGATGTCTGTCTGTCACTTTGTCGAGTCCGTCCTGTTTTTTTTTTCTGCCGGCGGAAAAGCAGCGCAGGCAAGGGCGGACGCGGGGACCGGCCGGGACTTCGCGCCGCAGCCAAGCGGCGTCCGATACCGCTTGGGGCGGTAGTCGCCCAGTAGTCCTGCGCACAACTCCCTCCGCGTCAAATCCCACCGCGTCTCGTCTTTGCCCTCAGTGGGTTCGCTCGGGATGCCCACGTGCTGCTCTACCTTCATTCGCTGGCCTGTTTGGCCCGGGTCTCCTCTTTTCTACCGGCGATCGTCGTGGGACAGTGGGGGCCCAAAGCGACAGCAACCAGTCTGCGACTCTGCTGAGTCTGGCGAGTGGCGAGCGAGGCAGCCTCTGACGACGACCAACTGGATTCAGTCGAATCCAAGCGGGGGAGACACCACAGGCGCTAGAAATGGTAACGAAGCGGGACCATAGATCAACTTTGTTCGCTGCTTGCAGACAGGATGTTCCCTGCGAGGCTGCCACGGCACAGTAAATGCGAGATGATAGATAGATAGATACAACAAAGGAACAGTTTGAATGTAGGCTAAAATGCTCGATACGATACAGTCAAGGCACCCCTCCCATGGCCGGGCCAGGGTCGGGAACAGTGGGCGGTGTGCACAATACACCAGGCTCCAGCCCAAGGCTCCCAGGCGCCCAAGAGTGGATTGTGTGACAAGAGACGGGCTGGTTTACTCCAGGCTGAATCTGTCCGACCGTCTCCTGTCTGTCCCCCTGCTCTCTGTCCATTCCCTGCCCACGGCGCTCGGATCATCAAACAACATCATTCATGCTTGGCTCTGTACGCCCGGGTGCCTCCATTGGAGGACCTTGTCTCGTGACCGTCACCATGTGATCGCTGCTGGCTTAGCCAACAGGACTCCACGGCATCGGGATCAGGATCCGGCTTTTCATGGTCTGGATCAGAGGAACCGTCTTGTGCACCGTGTCGGCCCAGCCTTCGATGCCCCAGGACTGCTCCCGGCGAACTTTACGCTCCTCGAGGTTCGCAAACTGCCAAAGATGGTGCACCGTGTTCAACTCCCCAATCTGTACAAACCACGCTCCAACACCCTCCATGACTTCCCGGCGGGCTTTGAGTCCGTGTCGCCAATGTGTCTCCCACTCCAAGAGGTTCCCAGGGTGCAGAGTGTACGATCGAAGCTCGAAGAGACCACCGAGGCGTCGGGGGGGAGTCGTCGGCCAGAAGGAGAACTCCTGCATCAAAGATGTCTTCTTGCTCTTGATCAAACTCTTCAGTTTCCGGTCGAAGTCAGGGAATTCGGGGTGGCTGGAGATGTTGTGCAGAGAATCGTGGTAGCCTTCGTAACGCTGATATTCCCAGATATGAACTGCACGAACAGTCAGCACTTACTGCCCAGAAGCGTACAGTACGCCATCAGAGATGGGGTGGGGGCTCATCAGTACCAAAGGTGTCGTTATCCCCAACCTGCGTACGCCAACTTCCAACCAAGTTCACTCGGTTCTCTGGGTCGGCGGCCATGCGGGGATACCACTGGCCCACGAGGTTGACGTAATCATCGACTTTGTCGGGCTTGACGTCGTGGAAGACGATCGAATGCACATACTTTCCACGGGCGAGGACCTGCGAAAACGACCGCTCGATATCCTTGTCCAGCTGCTGGCCTTCCTTCGTTCCGTAGATGAGCGACGACAAGGGGCCGCGCTTGGGAGACTGACTCGCTTCCAGCAGCTGCTCGTCTCCTAGAATCCGGTGGGCAGAAAGTGAGCCTAAAGCCTTATGATCAAGCACTCCAGCAGCATCAAAGACGGGAACATGGTTACTGCTCGCATTGCTCGCGCGCGGAGCAGTGGGAGCGGTAGCGTACTCACGGAGGCGATCACGGGGTGCAGGGGATGAGGCAGAGGTGGAACCAGAAGCATCGACAAACTGACTCTCTTGCTGTTCTCTCTTCTTGCGAGCGACCTCCAGGTTCTCGCGGAACTCCTTCTGGCGTGCGTTAAACTCGGTAGCCGAGTCGGGGGTGATGTCACGGATAGAGGGGGCGCGGAACGCAGTGGCAGAGGAACTGAAGGGGCGAACCAGCGAGGACGCCGGCCGCAACACACGAGGGGCGAGCATGATACAGGAGCTGGATAAAGCTGTACAAAGGCAGGTAGATGTGGTTGAACGGGAAGGGGGCAGGAAGTGGTGTTTTAGAACAGCAACTGTGGTCGGGGAAGAGGTGTGGATGTGAATGAAGGAGGGAGGACGGGTGTGGGTGTGGGTGTGGGCGTGGGCGTGACAAGCCAAATAGGTAGGCGAGCGAATACACAGAGGAGGGGGTTTCAGGCGAGAGGGGAAGTGGGAAAGCTGCGACGACAGCAATAAGGGCAGGGATGGGGAGGAGAGGGAGAGAGGGAAAGAGGGAAGGAGAGGTACGAGGTCGACACGCGATGGATGACCTGACCGACGGCTAAAAGGAAGGAGCACTGCAGCAGGAGCCCACGGAACCAGTCAGGTAGCAAGCTTCGAGGCCAAGGTCAGCAAAGAGGAGGATCGATTGTCGGGCGGAGAATGAATAATCCCCAATGGCGGTCTTCGGTTAATGGATACGGGGGGGATGGATATTGGGTGACAGTCAAATGGCGCCAATGGAGAGGACTGGATGGATGGGAGAGAAGAGGAGAGAAGAGAGGAGAGGGAGGAGAGGGAGGAGAGGCCGGCCGACAACACGGACACACAGGCCTAACTTCCCAAGGTACCTCGGGCGCGCCTAGCGGAAGCTGGGGAAAGTCGTCACCTGCGAATAGAGTGCGGGGAAAGGCTGCAGACCGGCTGAGTATTGTGTAGGTAGTAGACTAAGTAGTAGGCTGCGCTGTTCCCTCACCACGTATGTGTCTACTGTCTACTGTCTACTGCTGGGCTGTGCCATTTATATGCCTGCTCGCCAATCCCAGCCCTAGTGTAATAACCTCTCTGGCAGATACAGGACCTCCTCTTACTGGTGATGATGCGTAGCTCCCTGAGATAGGCATTCCTCCTGATTTGCCCATTCCTCTGTCCAGGTCGATCTCCGGCGCCTAGCCCTGCATGTCCGACACCATGACGAAAGCGGTCTTCCTTTGCTCCGTGACCACGGCTATGGCTATCACAGAGCAACACCAATTGCCCCGGGTCCGATTGGCAGTACATCATGCATATCAGAGAGTCTCCAGGTGCATCCGAAACAGCCCACAACAACAACAGGCGTAGCTCCCAGCACCGATGACGTCGATCGATGGAGCTCATTGCGGTGTCATTATGTAATCGACGCGTGCCGCGCGGCGATCCGAGCCCTGGAGGCTAGGCCCAATAGGGACTAGAGTGACCGACCCAATCCGGTAGCGCCTCTTGTTCCGCTCCCCTCCAGGCCCGCCACGCTGGATGGATACCTGATGCTCGTCGACTCGGCCAGAGTCAGGTTGCAATTGCTGCAGTGCGATATCGAACAAACCGTACATCTCCACATCCACCTCAACAGCAGATCTGCCTCCCCTGCATCATGGCGGACTCGATGAACCCTCCCCTCTCTTACGAGGCCTCCGCCACCACGACCCATCCGCTTGTCGCGACCACCCTCCCCCAGGAGGTGAAGTCATGCCTCAAGAACTCGCGATTCGTGAGTACTGTTGCTGCCTCCAATCTCATCTCCTCCACTCTTGCAGAGCTAACAATGGGCTATGCCAGCTTCATCTCGCAACATGTGACGGCCTGACCCCCCACATCTCGCTCATGTCCTACACCTTTCTGCCCTCGACACCCTTCGACCCCTACCCCACGATTATCATGACCACCAACAACTCTTCTCGCAAAACCAACCATCTGCTGACCAACCCTCGCGTCTCTCTTCTGGTCCACGACTGGGTCTCTCACCGTCCACCCACCCGGGCCCCCTCCAGCGGTGATCGCGAGGGATCCCCGCCACCTGCCGCCACTCGGTCCTCGCTGGCGAGCCTGCTTCTGAATCTGAACACGAGCGCGCTATCCAGTATCTCGACCACTATCACCGGCTGCGCGCGCTTTCTGGAGCCAGGTTCCGAGGAGGAGGAATGGTGCAAGAAGCAGCACCTCGAGAACAACACCTTCGAGGAAGAGATGGGCACATTCGGACAGCAGCGGGAGCCCGGTCAGCGGAGACCCAGCATCTCCATCGACACCGATGTGCGGGTTGTCACCGTTCGTGTGCGTGAGGGTCGCATTGCGGACTGGAAGGGCGGCGTGAGGGATTGGCAGCTGGTCGACGAGTCGCCAGAGCCGCTGGTCAATGGTGTTCGGCCCGCATAGTCGTTCACCCTTATTCTTTTGTGAAATTGTACATCTCTCCGGGGGTTTGTCTGCGACTCCGATAGACTGAGGCTAGGAGTCCCAGACAACGCTCATAGTCGTATATATTCGATGCAAGCCGCCTGATTGGCATACATACAACCGGTTCCTGTAGATCTGCGCGGGCTTCCTTGCAGCCTATCCCTAGACAAAGCTAAAACCACCTCCTACCATACATAAAAAGTCAAACGCATGCACCTCTAAATAATTCAAAATTGGCCTTCGGAGTACAGGCTACAGACTCCGAATCGAAGTGGTTGGTCCTGGTCCCTCATCACATGATCCGGGGCCGGTGACGTTGCAACATCTTATCGGATTTCGGATACTACAACAGCATCCATCCCATCCCCATCCCTCCAACTCAATCCCAAACCACCCTAACCACGCCCATCACGTCAATTGCAACCCAGCACCTCCAACCACCCCCTATTCCTACCCACCATACAATGCGCCACCCCTAACAACCATCCACCACCACCACCACCACCAAAATGCGTCTCGCCCACCTACACTACCCCGACATCGTCTCCTTCACACGGGTGGCCAACCTCCAACAAACCCTGACGAGCCGACTCCTCGCGCACAAGAAACACCTTACGCCCCAAGCCCCGGACCCCACGATCATAACCTTCACCCCAAACCCAGTGTACACGACCGGACGCCGCGACCTACCACCCTCAAACACCTGCCCCAACGCCGACGCCAACGCCAACACCAACAAAACCAACACGCTCTCTCTCCCGCCATCCCTCGAACCCATTCGTCGCCTCCTCACCCCGCCATCTCTTTCGACCAGCACCCCACCCCCCCATGACCATGACCCCACCAACCCGCTAGCAGAATACCACCCGACCCTCCGCGGCGGCCAAACAACCTACCACGGCCCGGGCCAAATGGTCGGCTACACGATCCTCGACCTCCGACGTCTGGGCCTCACCCCACGGTGCCATATCCGATTGCTCGAGAACAGCGTCATCGATGTACTCCGCGGCTATGGGGTGATGGGTCAGGTTACTGAGGATCCGGGGGTTTGGGTGTCTCCATCTCCTTCAACCGCCACCTCAACGTCCAGCTCAGCCCCGAAGAAAATCACCGCGGTCGGCGTGCACCTCCGGCGGAACATCAGCAGCTACGGGGTGGGATTCAACGTGACGCGGGAGCCGATGTGGTGGCTGCAGCAGATCGTGGCGTGTGGGCTGGAGGGGCGGGAGGCGACGAGTTTGGAGGGGGAGGGGGTGCAGGGGGTGAGTGTTGAGGAGGTGGCGGGGAGGTTTGTGGATGCGTTTGTGGCGAGGGTGAATGCGGATTTTGCGTGTGGGGAGAAGGAGGGGGCGGGGGCGAGGGGGGAGGGGATTGAGGGGGTTTATAGGGTTGAGGAGGAGGAACTTTTGCGGGAATGAGAAGGGGTGGAGGGTTAGATAGACTATTCGTATCTAGAGATGGGTTGGGAGTTTAAGGTGGGTGTGATATACTATACCGGTATTGGGTGTGGTGTGGTGACTACGTACGCACCGGTGAGGACAGGATCGTACAGATGGACAGTTTTTTTAACAAGACAATGCATTAGGGATGGATGGATGGATGGATGGATGGTCCATTTGCTCGGTCTATACCAAATACCAAGAAATGCCGATACCGACTGACAAAAGCGACCGGTACCGGTCAGTCGACAGCGAGAGCGAGAGCAGAGCAGAGCAGCCACCGGATTTCGTTTCCAGCGGGCTTACTTTTCTGCAGCGCAGGGCAGGTCAGATCCCAAGCAAACATTAGGTGTACAGGATTACAACAGAGTCCAAAGAAAAGTATATATAGAGAAGAAGAAAAACAGAAGCGAAAGAAAAACAAAAAAAAAAAAAAAGTGACGGGCTGAAACGCCGAGAAGCAAGGCTAAGGTAGGGTAGGGTAACTTGATGCCGATTTCAAAAAAACCTGGACAAATAAGTCCAGTCCCAGGATGGTGATGATGATGGTGGGTGGGTGGTATTTGTGGAAAAGCTTCACGGCAGCTGATCCAGTTCAGCCGTCGAACGGGGGGGGGGGGGGGGGGGGAAGGTTGAGAAGGGTATAGGAACAGAGCAAGCAATGCCACGGAGGTCATAATATCAGTAAGGGGGAGGATGGATAGACAATAGACAGGTCTAGAGAATGACACATCGATCGCCGGATCCGCTAGACCCCTGGGTTTTCACCTCGAGGGCCACCTTGGCCGCCTCGTAGAAGGTTTCCATGATTCCGCGGTTTTGTACGGCGGAGCACTCTGCCAAGACAGATATGTTAGGGACTGCGCGAACCTGCATGACAGACAACACGAGGAGTCGAGGATGAATTGAGGGGCACCTACCCAGGTACTTGACCGCGCCGATTTCCTTCGCCTTGGCCAGGCCTTCGTCGTAAGCGATCGCGTTGGGGTTCTCGTTGTCGGCCTCGTCCTTTCTCAGATCGCACTTGAGCGCTGTGAGGACGAGCTTGACGCCGGGGCAGTTCTCGGAGATCTCCTCGATCCATTTACTCGCGACGTTTTCGAACGAATCCCGACTGTCGACCTGGTAGGAGTCAATTTCTGGGCCCAGCTTCGTAGGGCATGGATCCTCACGCTGAAGCAAAGCATGATCACATGTGTGTCCTCGTATGAAAGCGCGCGCAACCGATCGAATTCCTCCTGGCCGGCCGTGTCCCATAGCGACAATTCCATGTGTACGTTGTCCACGAAGATATCTGGCATCTGATGAGTATGCGAGCAGATCGCGGAGAGGCAGGCAGGGAGGAATTACCATGCACATAGTTCTCTGTGAAGGTCAAGGGTCAGCAAATGGTTCTCGTGGCTCGGGGAAGATATGCGCACCGAATACAGTAGGCTCGCTGGGGGAAAGTCGCAGAGGTTAATATCGCAACGTGGTATTAGCGTAGATAGGAGAAGGGCATTCTCACTAAACAGTTGGGAAGTATCTAAGGCGAGGACATTAGCTGTTGGACACCCACGGTCAAAATGATACAATACTGGAGATATACGCACCCTCTGGTGAAGACATTCAGGGCGGAGGTCTTTCCGCACGCACCGTCCCCTCTTATCTGAAGTCAGCGTCCTGCCCATCCCAAGTCATCGTGAAGAGTCGGTCGCACTGACAAAAGCACCATCTTGCGTCGCACCACCTTCTGACGGCCGCAGAGATCCATCGTGACGGGATTCGAGATCGATATGTGAGGGGATGCAGGTCCAGGAAGCAGGGTCCAGGGAAAAAAGATAAGGGAGGAAGGGGGCTAGATCGGGATTCGGGGAGGGAGGGAGGGGGTCGACCCAGCACGGGAAGGGTATGCGGGATAGAAGATACGAGGAATAAGAGATGCGGAGGACAGATAACGTCTCACGGGGCAGAGGCACTGAGCAGGCGAGCCAGACAGAAGAGTGGTTGCGAACACGAAGAAGAATTGACGCCGCGCGAGTAAGTTGCAGTTTGCAGGGTCGGTCGATGTCATCGGCTCTGCAACGGGCGATCCGCGAATAGGACGATCGTCATCTGCCAAGCGCCCTGCTGGTTTCGCCTCTTCCGTGCCTGAACCGCTCGAGAAAGTCCGGTCCTTGACTTCGCCACAGCCAGCCTGGCCAGGATTCACTCAGCCGGCGGTGGTGTACTGCGCCTTCTTTGTTCATATTCTAGATGTGCGGTCGAAGTGGCAGTGTCGGCGGACCATGATGAAGGGCGGTACAAGTGGGCTCGGTGGAGGAGCAGATAGATAGACTCTTCAAAGTACTTCGGTATCCTATCGCTGCAGCGTCGGGACAGAGCATGACAGCCGTTAGGAGGGTGCTATATTTTTAGAATCAATCATGCACAGTCAGGCAGAGCGAAGATCCGAGTCGAAGGTCTGAAACGGGGTGGTTTCTACTTAATTGAGGGATCAACTAGTAAAGTATCTAGATAATACTGGGGTGGTGATTGCGCCCGCTACATATATATATATGAAGAACACCCACCGCCTGGGATCAACCAATATGTCTTTGTAGGATTTCGGCTTGACTCGAGAACAAAGAAAAACCCCGATCGCAGTGACCGAGACTGTCGGTGAAACAGATCATCCTCGAGCCATCCTTGAGCCATCCTAGGATAGTATATTCATCAGAAGACAGAATAATGTTAGTCAGATGGAGGGCCTCTCGGTCGGCCCGTAAGCTCCTCTTTACTTAAGGCGGGGAACCGCAAGGTTGCCCCAGGCTCCGATAGGCGCGGAAGCTCCGTCGCTCTGCCGTCACCCATCCAACAACCCATCAATCCACTTATCTCCCCTCTCTTTAGCCCGCTCTCATTCCTAAGATACCCTACTCGCCTTGAGCCCTTATTTTTTCTCTTCATAATGTCTGACGATGATGATTTCATGCAAGATTCCGGGGACGAGGAGTAAGTCCAAGCCATCCCGTTCTGTCTGTCCTCGGTATCCGGTGCGCTAATCCAACCGTTGCAGGTACGACTTCGAGTACGAGGACGCGGACGATGATGAGTCGGGTGACGTCGGGATCGAGAACAAATACTACAATGCCAAGCAGATGAAGATAGACAACCCGGAGGAGGCCATCGATGAGTTTTTGGGCGTGCCGGCTTTAGAACAAGACAAGGGCGACTGGTAAGAGGCTGCGCATGCGGACGGGAATATGGCCAGCTGCTGATGATAACAGGGGGTTCAAGGGTCTAAAGCAGGCCATCAAGTTGGAATTCAAGCTGGGGAGATATGGCGATGTAAGTTGTGTCGCCCACCGTCACTGGTCCCTTCCATGGGAATGGGAAGCAAGATACTGACCATCCAGGCCGTCGAACACTATAAGGAACTCCTCACATACGTCAAGTCCGCCGTCACACGCAACTATTCCGAAAAATCCATCAACAACATGCTAGACTACATCGAAAAGGGATCGGACGACGCCACGGCTTACCAGTGCATGGAGGAGTTCTACTCGCTGACCCTCCGATCCTTCCAGAACACCAACAACGAGCGACTGTGGCTGAAAACGAACATCAAGCTGGCACGCCTATGGCTCGAGCGGAAGGAGTACAGCCAGCTGAGCAAGAAAGTGCGGGAGTTGCACCGGGCATGTCAACGGGAAGATGGGACGGACGACCCGAGCAAAGGGACATACCTACTGGAGCTGTACGCGTTGGAGATCCAGATGTACGCCGAGACAAAGAACAACAAACGGCTCAAAGCGCTCTACCAACGCGCCCTCCGCGTGCGGTCGGCCGTGCCGCACCCCAAGATCATGGGAATCATCCGCGAATGTGGAGGCAAGATGCACATGAGCGAGGAGAACTGGGAGGAAGCGCAGAGCGACTTCTTCGAGTCGTTCCGGAACTACGACGAGGCGGGCTCAATACAACGGATCCAGGTGCTCAAGTACCTCGTGCTGACGACGATGCTGATGAAGTCGGATATCAACCCGTTCTATTCGCAAGAGACCAAGCCGTACAAGAACGACCCCCGCATCTCGGCCATGACCGACCTGGTGGACGCGTTCCAGCGGGACGACATCCACGCATACGAAGAGATCCTGAGCAAGAACCCGGACGTCCTGGCGGACCCGTTCATCGCAGAGAACATCGACGAGGTCAGCCGCAACATGCGGACGAAGGCGGTCCTCAAGCTGATTGCCCCGTACACGCGCTTCACGCTCCAGTTCATCTCCAAGCACATCCGCATTTCCGTACCGGAGGTGCAGGACATCATCAGCTTCCTGATCCTGGACAAGAAGCTGGACGCGCAGATCGACCAGGAAAACGGAATAGTGGTGATCGCGAGCACCAGCGATGTGGACCGGCTCCAGGCTCTCCAGGAGTGGAACGCATCGCTGCGGGCCCTTTGGCAAACGACGTTGAACGACGGGGAAGGGTTCAGGGAAGACCCCGCGCAGCTCCACGGGATGAAGGGTGGCCCCATATTCCCACCCGGGCTTGGAGACGAAGTGTCCGCAGGTCTACGCGCTGGTGGTGGTGGTCGGCGCGTGCGGGGCGGATGGAAGGGCAAAGCCGGCGGCGGGCCTGGAACCAAGGTCTGAGTTTGTCTGAGTCTGGGTCTGAGTATCTGGATAGTGACACATTGTACCACTGCCATCTCCTGCGTCGCCGCGTCTCCGCGTCTCCGCATCTCCGCGTCTCCTGGCTGCGTCATGCTGTAGCCTGCTCGCCCTCGCACGTCGTACCTGCCAGCTACAGACTCGGCGCGATGCATGTGCTGTACGCCGAACCCATCAGACATGAGATCATGAAGGCCAATGCACATGCCTAGTTCTTACGGAGTACGTCCGCGCGTAGATAGTAGATTTGTAAACATCAAGTCTGTAGTTACGGACTAGGGAGTGGTAAACAAGTACGAAGAACGGAGTACTCCGTATCCGTACCTCAGCCGGATACCCCAGCCAGCAGCCCAGGGCAGGGAGTACCTTGGTAAGTAGTGAGTAGTTCAGTAGGGAAGAGAGTCAGGGACAGACAAGACAAGACAAGACAAAACAGCAAGCCAGCCAGTCAGCCCCACCCCGCAACCCCAAAGCCACCAGTCAATAATCCAGCCCAGACAGGTAACTACACACCCATTCCCATTGTCCAAAGTACCTCCTCCCTCTAGATAGTTACCTAGGTAGTAACTAGGTACTCCGTATCAGGTACACAGTCCTCCGTACCCCCCCAGGATTCATCACCACCACGATCAAGGATGGTACATAATTCTAGGTCCATCCTAGTACCTACAACTCACCGGATCGACCTTCCCGATATGCCGGTATGCCATCGTCCTTCCCATCCATCCCATCGATCGCAACAGGTCAACCGCCGTCTGCCATGTGGAAGACGAGAAAAGTACGGAGTACGGGTGTTGGTGTTGGTGTTGGTGGTGCAAGATAGACTGGTCTAGACAATTGACCCTACCCTGCCTGCCCGCCATTGCACCGATCGCATTTCTTTCTCCCCCCCCCCCTCTCTTTCTTTTTTTGTTTCTTTCTTTGTTTCTTTCTTTCTTTTTATCCGTTTACCCTTGATGGAGAAACATGACGTGCAGGTTGAGTTGAGCTGAATTGAGTTTGTATTGTGTTGTATCCTCTGGATGGGGTTTTATTCACGGGACTTGGATTTGGGTTAGTTACTTGATGCAGTCCAGTAGTGAAATATTCTTGCCTTGCCTGCCTTACCCTAGGTACTAGATACCTGTACCATGTAGTTAGCCACTGGCCAGTGATATAATTAGTAATTAGATACGAATAACTAACTAGATGAAACCCCTACCTACCTACCTACCTACCTAGCTACCTTTAGTACCTCGGTATGTGGATATAAGTAAGTACTCCGTAGGTAGATAAGTAAATGAAGTGAATCTGTACAGTGATGCCAGTGGCAGCGCCTCCGCGCCTCAGCGCATTAGCAAATAATACTATTACGGTGGGTAGGTCGCTGTTGCAGAGGATGTTACACGTCCGATCATCCCAGCTTCTCCGACTTCCCGGAAAGCAGAGCAGCAGGACAAGCAAGCAGCCAATCAAGCAGCCACATAAGTAGAGCAGCAGGATTTGGCAAGCAAACAAACGACCCGTCTACCTACCTATCTGTATATAGGTACCTAGGTATGCATGTATGTCGGTCTGATTGTTTGCTTGCGATCCAGCAGGTTAAATCTAAAATCAAGACCCGAGAGCTATCTGGTCTGGTCTGGTCTGTCTGACGTTGAGGCACTGAGACATGGCATTGTGGATGTGGATGTGATGGGGATGGGGATGTGGATGTGGATTGTGGACGGACGGGAATGGGGACGGGGACGGGGACGGGGAAGACGGGAGGGAAGCAGGGGGTGCCAGTGGTAAGGAAGTAAAAGAGGTAAGTGGTTGTTCTGGTTCCGTGGCCCGGAAGTATATCCTTGTTTATAGGAGGGATGATATAGGGTCTAATACCTACCTTTCTCGGGATTAGCTGTGTAGCTATGTAGCTATGTAGCTATTGATTAGCAACCAGCTATCTACCCACAGAGCTTCATATGGTGAAGGTATATAATGTGTATATGTATATGTGCACAAATTACATAGTAACTAATAACCTAGACATACAGATAACTACCTAAGTAAGTGAGAAGTAAGCAGAGAGGGTTTATAGAGTACATCCCATCATGAAACTCGGAGAAAGGTACATACCTACCTACCTACCTACCTACTACCTAGGTGCACACATATGTACCTACCTATGTACTCCGTACATACATAAGAGCGGCAAGCAGCATTGGCACCTGAGACGTCACAGAACAGATGGAGTTGCGCAAGCAAGCAATCAAGCAAGCCAGGTACTCGGGTGAGAGACGGGCATGAATGCTGCAGGATTGCGGATTTGCAGTTACAGTCACAGAGTTACAAGGATTGCAGATAGATAGGTAGATGAGGTATTATCAATTCTATCCAGCACATTTTTTCTTGGAGGTCGAGTTGAGATGTCTATGTAGGAGGTGACTACCTACCTACCTCCCTGGTATATTCAGCCAGAAATCTGCAGTATGGATATAGGATAGAGTCTGAACCGACTCGAGTCAGGAGCCGAGCCTAGAGTCTACCGTAGGTAGATCCAGAAGCCTGATTCCGACTGAATATCAACTAAACTTCTAGGTAAGTACATACTCCGCCGTTAATACTGCTGTTATCACTTCTACCTTATGTATGTGTGTACAGAGTATATGTGAACTCTAGCATAGCATAGCATAGCACAGCGCAGCACAGCGCAGCGCATACTTACATACTAACATAGGGTACTTACCTACCCACTATAGCTGGTCCACTACATACACACCTACTTACCCAGAAGCTGTGTGTTAATATGAACACTACACTATCACGGCCCGTGGACAATTTAGTATGGAATACGGAGTACCATCTACCGGTAGGTACGGTAGGATCAATGCACCATGCAGAAGGGGAAGAGATAGAGAGGAGAACAGAACAGCACAGAACCTACCCTAAGGTAAACAACCTCTAACCTCGGCCGAAAGAACTTGACTATCTGAGATGAACTAGGTACCTAGGTCCATACTCCACAGAATCTGTATCTACCGGTAGTACCTAACTAGCTACCTAGCCCGCGGAATTGTAAGTAGGTAGGTAGGTAGGTAGGTAGGTACTAGGAGTCGTGTACATACCCTCCTCCTCTTAGGTACCTACTTACTTACTTAGGTACAAACCCTAGCCCCGTCCCTAAGTAAGTAGGTAGGTAGGTACCCACCGTAGGGGTCAGTAAGTAACCAACCCCAGATTGATTGGGCGCGGGCGTACAGTCCAGCATCTGGCCCTCTAGGTAAGCTCCGTACCTACTCCTACCGGTACAGTAGTGATAGTCGCACACGGAACCCAGCCGCGCACGACGCAAGTACAGTACTTTTTCGCTCGCAGCCGCCCGGGGCGTTGGGTAGGTACATACAGACCAGTGCGGAGTACGGAGTACAGAGGGCAGAGTACAGAGGACAGGGAGAAGGGAGAAGGGAGAAGGGTAGGTACCTAAGAGAGACACGGTGAAGTGAGGCAGAGATAGGTAGATACGTAGGTACCTAACCAGGTACGCTAAGGAACTCTACCTACCTAGGTACAGTAGGTACCTAACATAAGGTGAAACCGGGAGCTAGTGAGCTAGTTACCTAGTGACGGCCGGTAAACGGACAGACAGGTAGGTAGATAGGTACCCAATGAATGGAGGATGAATGAGTTCGGAATCCGGAGGTAAGGGAAGGGAAGGATTTGATGGATGGATAGCCGGATGGATAGTTAGCAGGGGTTAGGTGGGCGGGTAAGTAAGTACCGCTTGGTTCTAATTATGGGTGGAGGGGATTGTGTTCGATCGGGATGGGGTATCTATCTAGGTAGATGGTGGACTATGATGATGATGGCTATGGAGGGACTAGAGTAGAGGGCGGCGGGGAGTGAATGCCGATTAGGACGGTAGTTGAGGGAGCGAAGCGAGAGAGAGAGAGAGAGAGAGAGAGAAAAGTCCACGATGCGATGGGTCAGGCTGGTCTGGCCTGCTGCATGTTTGCTTCATGGAAGGAGCTGTTACCTTGCTAGCTTGTGGGTTGCTGACCGATCGAGGGACTTTGTGCTCTGCTTCATGTCATGTTACTTCGTACCTCTGCCCGGGAGGTAGTTAGTAGATAGACAGTAGTACTCCGTAGTATGTTGTAGAGGTTGTAGAGAGTAGTGGTAGTTGTAGTAGTAGTGGCAGGTGCAGGGTTCCCTACGGAGTACCTCGCAGCAGGGATGCAAGTGTCACTCCCGGGGGCCACCTACTGTACTTATCTGGTGGCTTCGATAGGAACCGAGAATACCCCGAAGATATCAGACAGACAGACAGTGTGAATGTCTCAGCTGCAGCAGAGCAGTGACAGCTGAGACACAACCTTGATTCTTTGTATAGCACCCCCGGCAACCCTCACGCCACCGGTGCCGGCCCTCCCTAGTACGTAGTTTCTCTTTGCTTTGTTTTCGTCTGCAGGCTGCATTGTGCAATTCCCAGAATCACAGGGCCGACTCCGGAGAACGATAGGTGCTGGGCTGTTGAGCAAAGCATCTGGGACGAATCGGAAGGACATCATGCTGCATGGGTGGCGGGAAAAAGCAATCAAACGAAACAAAGAAAAGGTTGAGATCCAGGTACCCTGTCTGACTGACTGACTGTCTGGTCATCTGTGATCTGTCCCGCGCGGGCGAAAGTACTGTACAGCGGACGAGGCTGGGCTGGTTGCCTCGCCCGGAGACGACAGGGGAGTCCGTCACGGCGGGCGGGTTAGTACTGCTCTATCGGCAGGAAGGCACCTGACAGCGACAGCGCCTGACAAAGCGCCCATCGCTCGCTACGGGGTGGAATATGTACAATGGACCAAGTATCCCCGGGCGGCCAGACAGAGAGAAGAGATCAGGGATGCAGACTGCGGACTGCGGACTGCGGACGGGCGATGGCGATGGATGGACTCGGAGTGGCTTCCGAGGTAGCATATGCAAGCCCCCTCTTAGTTGGATCGAGAATCTTCCTGGCTCTTGGGTTGCTGTCCGTCCACGCTGTTTACTGTAGGTACTTCGAATGCCCTGTCCCCATCCGGCCATAGCCTGTTGATTACGATCCCTGCCCATGCCCATGGCCATGGTCACAATCCGGAGGGCTGACTGGATGGCTGGTCACACCGGCAGGATGGCACCAGAGAGAGGTCTTACCATCACATCTTACGGTGGTCTGATCCCATGCCGATGAGTCTGTCTCAAGCAGTGGTCTGTGGGAGTCGATAGTCGCACATTGCTTCTTTGGCGGATTTCGGGTTTCTTATTTCTTCGAGTCCAGGTTGCGAAACAGTGCGGCGGCAAATGCTGCGGCGGTGTTGTGTTGCTCCAGATCGACAGGGCAGGAGGGAACCTCCAGTACGGAGTACGCCGTAGAGGACGGAGTACCGGGGATGAATGCGAATCCGCCTGTCAGCGGGGGAAGAAAGAGACCGCGCTGTATCTAGTAGGCAGTAGTCGTCCTTAGCAGTCGCAGTAGCCGTAGTTAGTCGTCGCAGTGTCTAGGCGAGGCACCGGCGGAATCCCGTATCAGTTGCAGTCTCTCTCTCTTTCTCTCTCTCTCTCTCTCGTAACTTCTGCATGCAAGACGGCTGGGAGCAGTGCGCGCAGATGGCAGGTCCGGAAGGAAATTAAAAAAAAAAAAAAAAAAAAAAAAAAAAAAAAAAAAAAAAAAAAAAAAAAAAAAAAAAAAAAAAACTAAACTAAACTAAACTAAACTAAAACAATTGAACAAAAGAAAGAAAAAAAAAAAAGGGAAATAACCTTGACCGGCTTAGTCCCGAAATTTCGCTTTTCCTCACCATCGCTCATCGCTCCCCTCCACTCACCACCCACAATCCATCTCACCACCCCCTCACCCCCCTCATCGTCGCGTCGGGGTTTGAGGGATTCGATCGGGTGCGTGGCGACACGGGCGAATGCTCGTCGACCGTAAGTACACAGCAAATGCAGCCGCTGCAAGTGCCAGCACTACTAGAGCTAGGGGCGGGTTGGTTAACTTGGTTTAGCCCGGCGCCCACTCGTCCGAGTCGCTAGCTGCTGGATAGCAGGAGTCAATCTCGAATCCAACACCACGATATATTCTCTAGCTGCGTCGCGACAGCCTTTCCACCAGTCAAGCCGATCGTCGGCTCGCCTGCCAGGACATGTGGCCGTTTTCGAGTGCATGGAGGATCAAGAGGCGCAGGTAGGGTCATCGGTTGCATCGAGATCGGGCGTTCGTTCTTTTTTTTTTTTTCTTTCAGCAGATGGGTGGATGTTTGTTTGCTATCCTGCTTCGATCATCCTCGGTGGCTCCTCTGGCTCAACAGCCCCGGCACCTTGATACTATCTCCACTGTGGATAGATACCATGAAGAAGATGAAGACGAAGAAGATGATGATGATGCCCGGCTTCTGGTGTGATGAGGGCTGCGATCTGAGCACCCGGACTGATCCCACGGGTTGCGCTGGCCGGGCCAATCAGGACCGGCGTCGGCATTTGCCTCGTGATATGGACGATGCCACTTGCCTTCAACAAGATAGAAGGAGGCAGATCGGGGTTCACGATCGCGGTGATACACAGTAGATACTGTTATCTACTATCTATCGTTCCTTCCCGGCGATTATTTTGATGGAGATTCTCCCCTCGGGATCGCATCATTGAGAAGTGGGTAAATCATCCCCTGCACCGACCAGATATGTACACACACGCACACATATACAGAGATACAGTATCTATCTAGTGCAGTCCTTCTCATAATCAGATGGATGACGGATCCCCCCAACCTGAATCTCGCTGGACGGTTACACTGGATGGGGATGTCGACGGGCGACGATCACCCTCATTGGGTCCCCGTCCAACCGGCTCTTCCGCTGCACCTTCAGGTTGGGGGGAGGTTGTTCAACCCTCCCACAGGATCACCACACAGATGATCGGATTAATTGCTGGGCATTCTTCTGGTGCTTCCTGGGCTGGCCAGCTGCTAGTCGCCCTCGCTAGTGGACGTTGGCGATGATTCCTGCACCGGGCAAAATAGGACCGAGCCGGACTGAACAGGTAATAATAACAACAATAATAATTAATCATGGAGAGATGGGGGAAAAAGAAAACAAAAAAAAAAAAAAAAACATCGACCCATCCATCCATCAGTCATCAGAATATATGTAATCACAAAATCAGAAAATTAAAAGTCCATAAATCCAAACCCCAAAATCACAAATCACAAATCAAAAAAAAGAGGAAAGAAAAGAAAAGAAAAAAAGAACTGGAGGTGTATTCACGGGCATCCGTCATCCACAATCCAGCCATTTAGATGGTCAATGGGGACTCGGTGAGGAGGGCCCGGCCATGTCTTGCATCTCGCGGGCCCTGGGGGCGGACGGGCACGCAAGTCGGAGTGGCTGCTAGTCGTACACTAAACTCTTGATATCGACCCATGATGGTGTTTATCCTTCGTCTCCAACGTCATTATTATTCCGGGTTGCTCTGGATGGACAGTTGGACACACAGCATGGTCTTCAGCTATCCGGATTACAGGCCTCCCGGGATTGTCATTGCGACCATTGGTCTGGGGGTGGAGGTTCCACCACAGTAGCCGCCTGGATGCAAGTTGTGCAGTGAGCAGTGAGCAGTGAGCAGTGAGCTGTATGCTGTGGGATATGGGATGGGGATGGGGATGTGGAAGTGGAAGTGGAAGTGGATATGAAGAGTGGATGTGAAGGTGAAGGGTGGATGTGGTGGATGTGGTGGATGCGGGAGGGTGGGTGTGGGCAGTGGTCACTGCAGTGGTGAAATTGCGAGACGACTATTGAGTGCCGCCCATGCTGGCGGAACCCAGCACGCATCCTTCCGCTAGCAGACCGACTAAGGGCGACCCCGTCGGAAACCCCGCGCCCGGTCGACTCGACTCGACTCTCGAGACACCAGCATAGCAGCAGCAGCAGCAGCAGAATTCGGCAGAAATCAAGCAAGCAACATTGCAGCCTTAGCAGCAACAGGCAGCTTCCTAGCTCCTAGAGTGGTGCTTTTCGTCGCGCATCGCTTTCCCTCCCCGCGAACCCGCGAACACACGAACACACAATACTAGATACTAGCAGTACGGAGAGTACTACTAGCCTCTTCCCCCCCCTTCCCCCGGCACGGCTACTAAATTCCCTTATTAAACCCAGACCACCTCCGGCGATCTGACAGACTCGACTGCATCTGTCTGGCCCTATTATTACCTATTTCTTGCTGGTCGTCCGCCGTCTTTAGGTTCTCCCGATCCCTGCTATCTATCTATTCAATCAATTTACCTGTTGACCTGCTCCGGTCTCCCCCCCCCCTCCTCGATCATTGATTAGCCGGTCGCTCTGACCATCCAGAATCCATCCATCCATCCATCCATCCATCCCTCCATCCCTCCATTCCTCCATTCCTCCTCCATCCATTCATCTATTCATCCTTCTGTCTTGCTTTTTGCTTTCCCCTCCCTCCGAGTCGCTCCTACACACGCCTCTGCCCCTCCCACACCACCACCACCACACCACCACCACCACACCACCAACCAGACCGTATCCCAGCGTCTCTCCAACTTCCCCATCCGGCCCTAGTTCACGCCGCCTTCCGTCGACGCATCGCGGACTTGATGCCACGGCACGTGTGACACTGGGACCGACGTATGCACTTCGGCTGTAGAGGGAGCTTTATTGCAGATTCCAGTAGGTCCGAACGCGCGCTTTTCTTCACTTCATGGATCTTGAACCTCATCCCACACGTCGCATTGTCTCCTCTCTGTCCGGGCCGGTGCTTTATTTCCATAACCCTATCGCCTCCATTCCACCTCCCCGTTCGCCTTTTCTCGGCGTCTGCTCTTCATTCTTCTTGTTCCACTTGCCACTCGTCTCCCCATCCGTTCAGTTCTTCTCTCTCAATAAGGCTGTTCGTTGTCTGCTCCTCCATCTTCGCCCTTCCCTTGCCATCCATCATACCCTTACCTAATCCCCGTTACACAACCGGCTGGTGGGCTTGGATGCAAACAATCCAGCGGCGGAGTGACGTTCGTTGCCTCGCCAGTGCATAATCGCAGATACCAGGCATGTGAGGGATGTATTTTCCACTCCAATCCCGTTGTCTATTCCCCAAACACTGTCCCTATCTGCTGTAAAGGAGGGTGGATTGGTTGGGAAACGGGGGCCTATCACTCCCCACAATCATGCCAGGATGCCCACCAAATTGAGACTTGGTTTCCCTCCAGCCAAGGGCATGATTACGCATCCTATCTTCACTGCCTTTACTGATATCTTCTGCCTGCATCCATCGGTCCTGACCTGCCTCTCCCCGGTTGTTCTGCTCTGTTCTGGCCTGCTCTCTGCGTCCGTCTGTGTCCTCCCTCCCCTTTGCACACTCCCTTTGCCCTTCACCCTTCCCCGATGCTACCGCTCCACTGCCGGGTTCTTCAGGCCGTGGGTTAGCGTCTAGAACGCCCCGTCTAGGATCCCTCCAAGTAGATCGGTTGCCTGTGCTGCTACTGATTGGTCGAGCCCGTCTGCCCTACTGGATTTCCCGAACCGCCATCTTGCATCTTCTTCGTGGTCACGGCTTGGTGAGATCTGCTGCTAAGGACGTCACATAGTAGATCGGTTACATCAGTGTGAAGAGCCAGCTAGCTGGTCCCTCCTGCATCGGTCAGGCACAGAAGCACCGGCACGAACTTGCCGTGGAAAATGCTCGTTTGTCTTGTGCGTATTGCACGCGTTGGCCGTGAACCTTACTGAGTGAATGAAGGGCCCTGACGTTGACTTGCTCCTTCCTTGTTGAAAAGGTCTCCGACTACTCCTGAATTCTCAAGCCCCTGCTCCTGAAAGCATATCCTCGTCCACCTTTCAGTGCGATGTCCCTGTCGGATATTCCTTGGAATCAATTCGGCCCTATCAACCACTTCCCAACGAGGCAGCATTTGACCTCCGGGCTCTATCCGCAGCACCCGCACTCGCCTGCCTTTATCGACCCCGGATTCTCTCAGATCTCGGGTACCTTCTATCCTCCCGGCCAGCACTCTTACTTCAACATGAACGCCCTATCCACCGATGAGATGGAGACGTTCCAGAAACTCTCCAATGAGTTTCAAGCCAACGTTCAGGTGAGCGTCCCATGGCGAATGGCTCGACCTCTCCAACTCACGCATCCGGCCAGGGCCCCGCCGTCTCCACGAGGCAGTCTAGCGGCGCAATCGCTGTGGAGTATGCCAATGCGGATCCAACATTTGTCACCAAGACTAGTGTATGCTCGCGGCCCCCAAACTCGCAGCAGGAAGGGTAGGGAAGGTTAACAGTTCCGTCAACAGGCACTTGCAGTAACGCATCCTCTGTCGCGGACCATGAAGGGGGATGGGAACTGTGGCTGGAGAGGTAATTCCTTGCGTGTTACTGGCAATGGATGTCTACTTACTCCGCGTAGCGGTTGCGTTCGGGTACTTCGAAAGCCTCCTCGGCCTCCAAAATTTGATGCAGGTACACCATGAACTGGTCCGGATAAAGTCGCTAAACGTGCTTCTCGATCAAACGGGCCAACAAGAACACCTCTACGAGATCTTTGTGGACGCGACGGAAGGTGTCTTCAACCAAATATCCGAGGCCATCCAGAATGGCATCCAGGACGAAACGTTCCTCGTCAACGCCTTCAATGACGAGTACAACTCCAATGCCATCATCACCCACTTCAGAGTTCGTAACCGCCGTGGATGCTCGCTTTCAGAGATTCGATGACTGACGTGTCGCAGCTGTTGACGAGTGCGTGGATGAAACTCAATCCGCACCGGTATCAGGCGTTTCTCTCCTTACCGCTGGATCAGTACTGTGCGACCCGGATAGACACCGTCAGGACGGAGATCGACGAGGTTGGACTGCAGGCGTTGGTTGACGGGGTCATCGAAGCGTCCGGGTTCGCCGTGGAGATTATGTACCTCGACCGCAGCGAGGGGGAAGTGGTCACGCCTCACCTCCTGACGCCATCGCGGCTCAGCGCAGCGACGATCTGCTTGCTGTATCGCCCGTGAGTCCGATCGGTCCAAATGTGATCAAAGACGCTAACCCACGCCCTAGGGGCCATTACGACCTTCTCTACCCAGCCGAACCTACTGTGAATATGGAACCCGTGGTCAATTACCAATACGCAATGACTTCTAACTACTCCCCCTGGGATCAAGGTTCTCTCGCGTTCGATGTGAATACCAGTTTGATGTCCATCCCCAATCTGATGATGGACCCGTCCTTTGGAATGGCCCCTTCCCCCATGCCCGCGGCGCCTCCCAGTCCGTATAGCGTCTCGCCGCCTCTGGAAGTGTACCACTCCCCCATGCACGCGTCACCCCCTCCGATGTCTCTGGCCTCCCCCCCGCCGCCTCCTCGGATTTCTGCACCACCACCCCCGATGAGCTCATTACCGCCTCGGTCCTCGGATGGGCCGCAGATCCGCTTGAACCCGCTGGTCATGAAAAACAACCTCTGCCACTCTCTGCCGGTCACCACGCCATTCAAAAAGTACCCCTCCCCCTCCTCTCCCTCTCAAACGTGGGGCCCTGCAACTGTCCATGCTAACTCACGTCGCACCAGTTCCCCCTACAACCAGGCCCATTTCCAGAACCAGGACTTCGAACCCATCCACTGGGAACCCAGCGACTCCCGCCGATGAACGGTCCTTATGTATGTCCATGTCGGTCACGGTTTTCTCACTGGTTCTGGACCCCCTCACGATCCTTAATGAACATGTGTTATTCGTTTCTTCTCGTTTCTTCCCCAAACACGCAAGGCTTTTGTTTTTTTTTTTTTTTTTTTTTTTTTTTTTTTTTTTTTTCTTTCGGGGGTTATTGTCCTTGTGCTTGACTTGGCGAAGAAATTTGTTTTTCTTACCAGTGTAGCATTGGCGAAAGTTGCGGCTTCTTTGCTTGCTCGTGTTTCACAATCGATCGATCCAACCCGCTTGTTGTTTAGCGTCTGTGCTGTACGTCGTCGCATCAGGGTGAGCGTGGGTACCGTCCGTCTAATCTAGTTGCAAATTGTAAGAATCGGGAGAGACTTCTGACCTGCATCTGGATGCTGTTTCCGCATGGGATTGGGATACGATATCGCGGTGCGGTGTCATATCTTAGTAGTGAGTAGTGAGTGTATCATGTCAAGCAAGCAAGCATCGAGTCGAGATCGACATCGAAATCGACATGCCTCAGAAGCTGGAGGTTAGAGGATAAAGGTTGGTTAGCTAGCCTTGCCGTCCGCATATTGATACTTGGTACTTGGTACTTGGTACTTGGTACATCACTACATAAGTACGGAGTACTCCGTAGACAAGTAGTCTCCGATCGATCAATAAGACCAGACCAGACCAGACCAACCCAGACCAGATGGCCTCCAGGCTCCAAGTCGTCATCTATGAGTATCATCTGCAGGGATCCCTTCCCTTGCATTGTGGCTGGCCCGTCCGTCCCGTAGACCGGTGGAATAGACCGGTGGACCCGTTGAACACATGGCATGGCATGGCATGGTAAGGCAGTCGGCAAACAATGTTGGCTGTTGGCTGTGGTTGTTGGTTGTTGTTGGCTACTGACTGCTGACTGCTGGCTGTTTGGCCCTCTGCGAAGAGAAGATAAAAGTACTATGCAATCACGATGGGCAGCTAGCTATGTCGGGGTTATTCCTCATCATATCAACAGTGGTGGAAGTTTTGAGGAGGGTAAGGGGTAGGGGGTATATGAGGAGTATATGATGGTGCTGGGAGGGGGGGAGTAGAGAGGGGAGGGAGGGGAGGGAGACTGGCTGGGGTTCATGTCTTTTTGGCTTTGGTGGTAGGGATGTTGGCATCTATCTTTATCTTTATCTTTATGTATGTTTTCAATTCATGGTTGGGAAAGGTCGCCTAGGGCAGTCAGTGAGGAGAGTCTGTCTGGGTTTGGGGGTGGATAGATAGGTACATACGTATGATTGTAATATAATTGGAGAATGATGTCTTGTCAGCTGTCACTCACTCACTCGGACTTCGATAGAGGTGGTCATCACATGATGGGCAGGGTGATGGTGAGGGTGAGAGTCATCTGATCCTGACTTCGACTTCGCTGTTCTGCATACTCTCTCTCTCTCTCTCTCCCTCCCCGCACTCCTCCCCACTCAACTTCAACCTCGCCCCCAAACCATGATCCATTGACCACAAGACCAACCCACGGAGCAACTCCGTCCTCCGGCACAACCCATCCACTTCCCCGCGGCCCGCCTCAGTGTCGGTGTCACCTTGATAGCCCGTCGTCATGAGAAGACAGTCCGTTATACCCTTGGTCGGAGACCCGGAGCACTCCCTTCCGTCTACCACCCTACTACCTGCATTTGTCCCCAGGATACACAATTGAAAATCGCTTCCCGGGATATTGTGCGGGGAGATGAGGGGTATACATATAGGAGTGTGGTCTGGGGTAGATGGATGGATGGATGGCTGTTACTGCTGTTTCTTCTGCTACGCTTCCAGTGTAGCAGTTCTTGAAGGAAGATAGATCGATACACGCGTGCAGCTATGGCTTCAGCTACACGAGCCGGATTCGCTCTCATTGCCCAGAATCCCTATCTTCTGGGTGTTGCGTCGGTGGGTTTCACTTTCACTTTTACTTTTGCTGAAAGATCGGATCGACCTCCTTTTTATCTCTAACTAATCTGGCCAATAGTTCTCTACTCTGGGCGGCTTGCTATTCGGGTACGACCAAGGTGTTGTTTCTGGTGTGGGCACCATGCAGTCCCTTGGAGCGCGATTTCCTCGCGTGTATGCGGACACCAACTTCAAGGGATGGTTCGTGTCGACCTTGTTACTCGGTACTTATGTCCTACCCACCTCCTTGATAGATGCAGATACAGATACCAACACCCCGTTGACTCCATAGCCCCCTGGTTTGGCTCCCTCATCAATGGACCTATTGTGGACCGACTAGGCCGCAAGGTATCGATCAACATCGCCGTTGTCATCTTCGTCATCGGGCCGGCTATTCAGTCCGGTGCTGTGAATATTCCGATGCTTTTTACTTGTATGAACGTGATCATATGTCCTGTCTCTTGCCTGTATGTTTATATCCCGCAGGACGCGCAATCGCAGACGTCGCTATCGGTCAGTTGACTATGGTAGTACCCCTTTACATCTCCGAGGTAAGGAGACCACTTACCCAGACAAATCTCCCACACACTGAACTCGAACAGGTTTCCATCTCCAGCAACGTAAGTCGTTGTAAACGCCCTCGCTCTATTCCCACCGCCTCCCCCAGCTAGATCTAATACACCCAGTATCCATCACCCTCGGCATCCTAATCAGCTACTGGCTCGACTACGGCACCAACTACATCGGCGGCACGCGCTGCGCCCCTTCCATCCCCTACACGGGGGGCACATCCTCCTCTCGAACCTTCGACCCCTACACCGACATCCCTCGAGACGGACACTGCACCAGCCAATCCGAAGCCTCATGGCGCCTGCCCCTCGCCCTGCAAATTCTCCCCGCCATCATCCTCGGCCTCGGGATACTCTTCTTCCCGGATTCGCCTCGCTGGCTGCTGATGAGAGCGCGGGACGATGACGCCCTGAAAGCTCTGTCGAGGCTGCGGCAGGAACAGGATCTGCAGGCCCCGCGTCTGGTGGATGAGTATCTTGAAATCAAAGCGTCGGTTATGTGGGAGAATGGGTTGGTGAGGGAGAGGTTTAATGGCTTGGTTGGGTGGAGGAGGCACGTTGCTCAGGTTTGTTTCCTTCCTTCTCTTGCTCCCGTCCCCTGCTTGTATCTTTCTATAACCTCTTAAGGAATTAACAATAAAATAGTATACATCCCTCATAACCACCTGGTCCCATTTCAAGCGTCTCACTATCGGTTCCTGCGTCATGTTCTTCCAGCAGTTCATGGGCTGTAACGGTACGTTTGTCTTCCATCCAATTTATCACCCTATCCTATCTACCCTATCCACCCCATCTACCCCATGGGCCATCTCATCCCATCTCATCCACCCCATCCAGTATCTAGTCAAGTTCAACCCAGCTAACAAACACATGTATATGGTATATAGCACTAATCTACTGCGTCCCAACAAATCTTCTCCCAACTCGGCCTAGACGGGAATACTGTTCGTTATACCCCCCCCCCCCCCCCTCTCCTTCCCTCTTCCCTCCTCCCTCCTCCCCTCCCCTCAATCCCATAACCCCACCCCACCCCAACTGTCCCCAACTAATAACCCCCAACACAAAAAACAGACCTCCCTCCTCGCAACCGGCGTCTACGGAATCATAAACACCCTCAGCACCCTCCCCGCGCTATTCCTAATCGACCGACTCGGTCGTCGCCCGCTACTCATGTGCGGCGCCGCGGGGACATGTATCTCGCTCGTCATCGTGGGGGGACTCATCGGGGCGTATGGGGATGGGAATGGCTCGGAGGGAAAGCAGGGGCTGGTTGCTCATCCGGGGGCCGGCTAGGTCGGAATCGCGTTTATCTATGCTTATGATGTGAATTTTTCGTATCCATTTGGTGGGTTTTTCTCCCTTTCTTCCTTCCTTCCTTCCTCCCTCTCTTCTCTTCTTTTTGTTTTACTTTCTCTTTCTCTTTCTCTCTATGGATGGGTGTCTGGGTGCTTTATAAGAAGTAAGAAATAAGAAACAAGGGAGGGAGAAAAGATGAGGGAAGGAAGAAAGAAAGAAAGAAAGAAAGGAGTTGCAAATTCTAATTCTGATTCTGATACTGATGCTGACATGCATAGCTCCCATCGGATGGGTGCTGCCATCGGAAATCTTCAATCTGTCTATACGCTCCAAGGCTATCTCGATCACGACGTCAGCGACATGGATGTGTAACTTGTGAGTTTCATCCCTATCCATATACTATGTATAACTATATATAAGATCACTTCCCTCTCCTGCATTATCATGACTCAATGACTCATTCTCAACGTTTCCACAGTATCATCGGGCTCGTGACCCCGGATATGCTCGATTCAATCACCTGGGGCACGTATATCTTTTTTGCGGCGTTCTGCCTCCTGGCATTCGGATTCACTTTCTTCTTCATTCCGGAGACCCGGGGGAAGGTAGGCTCTGTTGACCGGGATACCCCAGTAGCGCAGTGCTAATGGCTCCAGGATTGTAGACCCTGGAAGGCATGGACCTCATATTTGGAGACACGGCGGCTCACGAGGAGAAACGGAGTATCATCCAGATTGAAGCTCAGCTCCGTGCTACCCATGACCAACTGATCGACCGAAATTTCCTGAAGCCCATCGCGCAGGAGGACGAAAATGCCAAATGATATCCATCACTGGCACCGATTCCCCTCCACATGCTATGGTTGAATCCGAAAACGAAGGCCTCTTTAGCACTATGACATGCAAATCCTTCGGATAAATTCGCTTGGACTAAAGAACCTCGTTTTGTTCTGACAGCTGCATCATTGCGCTCAATCCCGGTCCACCTGGCCCGAGGTAGTCACCGTTCCGAAAACCGGTGCTCAAACAAAATCATTCTGCGGCTGGAAATTCACCCATTCTGAAAAGTCCATACCGCCAATATTCAGCTCCTGATCCACGTCGGGGAACATGCTACCAAAGGTTGGGTGGTTGAAAAGTTGGTCGGAAAACGGCATGAGGATCGGCGGTTGTTGTCCCGCGGTCTTGTCGGTAGCAGCACTCGTGTATGCAGGCGAGCAGAGCCGGTTAACTACATCCAAGCACCGAGTTGCAAGACGGTTGTTGCTGAGAGTGGGATGGATTAGAAGCTTCTTGGTCGCTTCGATTTCCTGTAGCCAGCTCGGGGCATCTTCGCTAGTCGGGTCGGTCATCAGCATGATGATCGGGATCAATCCGGCCTGGAAGAGGAAGTATCTACAGTAATCATTAGCGATTTATCATGAGCAAAATGGCTATGAGATGCATACAGCATGTACCATGCGCCTATTCTTGTGCAGACATGGTTGTTCACAAAGTCCGTGATCGAGGAGATTGACAATCTCGCGTTTCGAAGACAAAGCATCCTGCAATCCGCCTCAAGAGGATCTTCGGGTTCGGGGGCCGAATTCGGTGTCCATCGGCGAGAGGCCCACCGGAGGAGGATGGGGCGATACAGAAGAATTCTCAGGTTCCAGTCACGCCACATTAATCGGTTGCGGACAAGAGCGAATGCGTCCGATACTGGCGTAGGCGGCTGTTTAAAGTAATCAGGAAGGCCGCTGTACCATTCTTCCATGGGCTTTTGGAGGCCCAGTGTCTCTTCCGGAGTTAAACTCGGTCCCGAGATGAGACGCTGGTAGACGCTGTTGGTGAGCAGGTGAAAACGGGCCTGCATAATCAATCCGGAATAGAGGGTTGGTTCGTTGACCTCGGCGGGTAGAACGGTTGTTACTGGTGTAAGAGCCTGAAAGGTCCGCTCATGTCAGATATCGCAGAAGCATATTGCAGTCCTGTGGGTGTTGGGTAGATGGTACGCACCTCATCATGTATGTTGAGAACATGCTTGGCATCCATGACGCTATCTTCGGGTAGGAGTATAGGCCGGCCAAAGGTTTTGGCCGCACCACTGTCGAACATATAGACTCCCCACCACAAGCGTCGCCTGATCTCACGCTGAAGAAGGCTGATCTTCCAGCCAGGGAACTCTTTGTGAAGACCTAAGCTCATGGCCATTCTAACCGCCAATCCTAGGAAGTTCCAGCCGGTGTTTGGCTTGTTCCGTTTCTGCGCATAATTGCTCAAAAGCAGCAGTGCCTGGACAAGTGTGAGGTTTCCAGTTTCGAACACGGAGACTTGCTGCAGATGGCCTCTCGCTTCTTGGTAGAAAGTAATGTCTAGGTCCGAGTTGTCGTCGCCGATACTCCATGCACCCAACGCCAAGATGGTGTTCAGTAGAATCTGCCACGCCTGGCCGTGTGGTCGAGGGACCTGCTCGTAGAACTGCGCTCGGAACGTACCCTCGTGGACGAAAGGGTAACTGGTGTGATAGTTCAAAAAGAAGGCATCCATAAAGGTCTGCTCAACAAGCCCTGAAGGTGCAGTGCTGAGCAGCTGCTGGGCCTTCAAAGGTACTCTCTCCATGCCATAGCCCGCCTTTGACGACCTGGCTGGAATGTTCAGATCAAAGCCGTGCTTCAACAAAGCCCGAAGGGGCACAACGCTTGAGGATGCACCTTTTATGAAAGTCAATACCACTCAATCCAAACCGAAGCTGAGTACACGAACCAAAGTAGCCAGCTCCTTCTGGCTTAATGGACAAGGCCGCCATGCCATCAGTCAGGTCGCCAACAGTAATTTTGTTCTCCGCCCAGTCAAACCCATCAGCCTGTTGCGGCAGCGCTTCGGGGGCCGGTTCGGCACGGTCCGGCTCAGCTTTAGCTGGCGTGGAATGCCGGGACGAAGACTTGGACGAGGAACCGGGTTTCGGTGCACCCTCCTGGTCGTGCAGGAGGGAGCGAACCGTAGCATCTAAGTCACCCCCTGGAAATAACCTTGCTAGGGCGGTTTCAAACGCCTGCAAGCGGTCTTCGACATAAGTCAAATGTCTGAGAAGCATCAGCAAGTCATGATACCATGATACAGCCCGATGACAGGTCGGAAATCACTCACTGTCGCGTCAGAGGGCTCCTAGAAACCTTCGGACTATACTTGCATTCTTTGTTGAGCTGACTGCACTGTGCACACGTCGGCTTCTCCTTTGAACACTGAAATAAGGTTTAGCTTTATGTTGCTTCAAGGCTTAAAGCCATGGCTTGCAAGCTCACCTTGGACTTCCGCAGACGGCATTCATCACACTGTATGCTCGTGTTTAGCATCGCAGGCTGCTTCTCTGCCTTCCACGTGGGCACTCACAGCATAGGAGTGGGAATCGCGAGTACTGGCCATGTTTATCGGAGAAAATCGATTTTCATGTACCCCAGGTCTCGTGCTCGCTGATATGTACACCAAACTGATGTCATCTGCGGAGAGCTTGTTAGCCGTCAACTACCTGCGTTCTGACCAAGGTGGATGGATATTGTTCTGTGCCGTGGCTCCCGGGCACGAAGTATGGGATGAAAGAACATGGATACATGGCAGGGATCCGGTTTCTACAGGTCGGGAGATGAAAAGGGGGAAAGAAACCGATGTGGTTTAGGTTCCAAGTCAGGATGATCGATGTACAGGAGGCCGCAGGCGCAGATAGCTATGAGCTAGCTATATGCTATGCTGCCCCCCATCGGCCGGTGGGGTATCGAACAAAGAGGGAGGCGCCTGGGAACACGCCTGGAGCGAAGGGCATGAGACGGGGCCAACTCACGATCGGCACGGAAGCATTCAAGGGCCCAACGCTTTTGGAGCCGGACGGAACGTGTTCAAGGACGAGACCAACCGTCCAAACCCATAAGTCGGCGAGAAGAGGACGAAACCTGGATGGATGCTCGACTGCGCGCCCGACGACGATTGCTGATGGACTTTTGGCTCGTGTGGGGGAGCGCCAGTCACCTGACGGCCCGAAAATTTCCGTCCTGAAATTTCAGGAATCAGCCCGCCTCGCGTCCTTTAGGCAAGCAGCTTGGGCAAGAATCAGGAATCAAGAATCAAGAATGCGTCGTCGCTCCTCGTAATTAATTCCTTCCCAGGGCAGTTAGATAGCTGTTTGCATGCCGAGCACAGGATCACGGCTTTGCATAAAATGCCTCAGTGATCGGCGCGGGTGACATGAGCTAATGTAGAGTGAAGAGCAGGAGGGAATGTGAGAATGCCGGTCCTATCTCCGTCCGGTTCCTTTTCTTTCTTGATCTCTGGCAGTGTCGCTGCGATGTAGTTGCTCATCAGTGATTTTGTTCACTAGTAAGATCGCTGCCCGAGCTGCAGTCTCGATAATGGCGGGGTAAACAAGACATGAATAAGACAGCCCAAGAGGGAGTGACTCGGTTGCTCGGAAGCATTTCAGAATATATTGTTGCTGCTAGGCCAGACCTCTATCGGGCTGCAGAGCCAGCAACACGGCAAGTAAGGGTGTTTGTTGCACAAGAAGCCCCAAGCTGCGCAGAGGAAAGAGGTAAGGAGGAGTGAGGGAGCTCGACAAGACCAGACAGACAGAAACGGCATCGCATCACGCCTGCTGCTCCTGCTGTTTCTGCTGCTGCATCCTCATAGATCGTTCCTTCCGCAAAGGGAAGGTCTTGGCACCACCGCTGCCCGCCAATCGCAGACCCCACAGGAAATTCAATTTTATACAACGTCATCTACAATCGCCAAAAAAAAAAAAAAAAACGGAAACAGAGGGAATTGATCTGAATACACCTCGACGAAACGCCCTCAACGTACTCACCCGCCAACCCGACCTCCCCCTCCTCCGCCCGGGCAGCTTCGAGCTTTGCAGCACAATGCCCACCCAGCCGCCCCTCCCTCCCCTCCTCACACCCTACGTCTCGTCCCTGCCGCCCTCGTCCCTCACCCTTCTATCATCAGTCCTCGGCGCAACAGGAAACTGGCTAGTCCTAAGATTTCTGCACGCCGCACTGAGCCAGCCCTCTACGTCCGATGGCGCGCTCGGGTTCAGTGACTCCAACAATGGAAAGAAGAGGAAGGTGGTGCTGGTGAGTTTTCTGCGGGGTTGGGAGTTTTGGAGGGCCGAGGCCAAGAGATTGGTATGTTATCCCCGTCGCTTCATTCATGCGAAGAGAAATACTTTGAGGCCGTGGAAGGGCTGAGCCCAGTTCTGTATCTCTGTCGCTTGAAGATTTCTTTCCGTCTGTATTCCAGAACAATGGCAGGGAACTAACTTACCCGTCCTAGGGCCTCGACCTCGCCCGCCTCACAGACAAACGCCAATTCGCATTCATCGACGGCCTGTCCGAACTCTTCGCCGCTCCTCCAACACCCTCCCCTTCCCATACCTCCCCGACACATGGAGCCGTGCCTCCCCGAACAGTCCTGCCCCTCAGGTCACAGCCGGGTCCCGTTCCCGCGCGAGGACCGCAACCCGCGCGGCCAGTCGCTACACCCCCAAATCCACCGGTCTCGAGGGAAATTGGTCCTGTCAAGCGACTTCATCTGTCGGGGAATGGAACTTCAGCGTTGGACGGGCTTGAGAGGGATATTACGGCCGTGATTAATGACTTGAGGACGTCAACGACCCCCGGGGACGAACAGGGAGAAACTGAGGTGTTACTGATCATCGACCAACCGGATCTGCTACTAGCCGCGACGGGGCCAGGTAGGGGCATAGGTGCTACGGAGATGGGGGATTGGGTGATGGGGCTACAACAGGTATGTTCCCGAGTCTCCTGCGGATCGGGTGGGGTGGGCGCAATGCCGCCGACAGTCATCACAAGTATAGGTCGGGGATCATGTACGCTGACCGTGATGGCTTCTCTTATCTAGCACATCCATGCGACACTTTTGACTCTTTCCGCTGACTCGCCGCTGATACACAATGCGTCTGCGTTTGCGCACCAGCCGACGACCCCGCTAGAGACCGAACACGCGGCGTTTGCGATTGGGTCGGCGCATCGCGCGCACATGGTTATGCAGCTGCGTAACCTGGAGACGGGGGCCGCCAGGGACGTCAGTGGGGTGCTGAGGGTCAGCAAAGGAGGCGCGTGGGGGCAAAGCAGCGTTGACGACCATTGGGAAGAAAAGGAAGTCCTATACTTTGTGCAGAGGGACGGCGGGGTCAGTGTATTTGGCCGCGGGGAATGATTACGATAGGGCTATGATGCCGTCACTTCCGGGCGTTCAGGCGCATGTATATAGAATAGATCCGATGCATGGGAGTATAGTCGCAGTGCAGCATAGGAAACTGTTGGCGTGGCAGAAATCAAGTCGTACTTTTCGGAACTGGGTTGGAATCAAGTAGACAGATCGCATTGGACGAGTATATCACACTGCATCTGTCTGGGGATATCCGCCAGCCAAAAACAAGGAAATCCAAGCATTGCTTTTCCCCCAAACTGTCCAGACCATCACCCCGACCCCGGGGGAGAGGAGTTCAAATCAAAAAAGAAGAAAAAAAAAGGAAATCCGCATCTCTTCATTTGTCGTCAATAAGTGCCATTTTTCTGTTTCTCTAGAATAGAAATGCTATGACGGCAAAAAAGCGAAAAAAGACCGTCTGTCTCCCTAACACCAACACCACCGGGGATAGGACGCGTCCCTTTTATTTTTTTGGTTCGTCCGCCCAGCCATTGCAAGGAACACCGGGTTCACTTATTTTAATCAAATGAATCCCCAGGCCTTGAATCTCATACCAGCCAGCCAGCCCCTCTCATCCTTTGCAATCCAGCTCCGCTCCGAAAACGCGCACGTCGGATATATTAAATCTAGTGGTTCTCGGGGCCCTTAGCACCCTTGGGGGTGCCGACCTGGAAGCCGTTGTGGAAGCGACGGTGGACCTCCTTGAGGTGACGCATGCGGCCGGTACCGGTGGTCTTTCTGCGCTTGGCCTTCTCGGACCAGTTGTCTGTATAAACCAAAAAGAAATTTCGTAAGCCAACAGTGTTCCGCTAATGCACGTCACACACACACACACGTCCACATTGGACAAGAGACATATGATGTTCTCCATGTGATTCGAGCAGGAAGGACGTGATGTGATGTGATGATCAGATCTCGGGGGGATATATCGTACACTTGCGAGTCTTAGCGGCGGGGTATCCGCAGTTGGCACAGGTGGACTTCTGGACGTGGAAAGACCGCTTGCCTGCATGGTTCGAAAAAGCGCATGTTAGCCCATAATCCTTGATATTTGTCGATGACCCCATATTTCGCATGTCGGATCTCCCTCCCCCCTTCCAGGTATGCTGTATATCCCAGCTCTTATGCCCCTCCCCTCATATTTTTTCTTCATCCAACCTGGAAGATCCGCGAAATTTCCGCCCCGGGGTAATGTGCTAGTTCGGAGATGGTGTAATACTGACCACAACGCCTGCAGAGGGTGTGAGTCTTGTTGTGGCGCTTGCCAAAGCTGGAGGTACCCTTCGCTGTAATTCGGTGTTAGTCTCCAAGTGTTCGACGACTGGTTCGGACTGGCGATAGTATATCGGGCTGGCACGTACTCATCTTGAATTAAGGAACTGCAACCGGATGGATCGTTAGCGATATGAAAAAAAATTCCCGGGCCGGAGAGACAGAGAGGTTCGAATAACACACGTGCGGCGGGGGCAAACGTACCTGGCGATTCCGTTGAAGGGCTGGTTGTCGTTGTCGTCGTCGCTGGGCGTATCGAAGTTGCGCTGGGATCTGGGGTGGTGTCGCTTAGCGAGTTGTGGTGTCCAGGGCTTGTGCCCTGGTCCCGTGATTTGTCCGCGCTGGAACTTTGGAAGGGCTGAGCGGCACGTGATGCGTCGGGTTTGCGAATTGCGATCCTGGCGGGGTCCACTCGGTTTCTGCGTCTCCACTGCGCTAGTCTAGCCGCAGACTAGCGCGGTACGGGTAGATGTGAACCTTTGCCTGAAGTCTACGGAGCCTAGACTACTAGATAGTAAGTAGACTACGGAGTAGGGTCTGCAGGCTTCATGCATCAGTCACAGGGTGTAATATAGTAGTATATGCACAATTTGAAAGGGTATACATCATAAGAATCAAGCGCCCCATGCTGCAGAACTGGTAGATTATCGAAATGCCTTTATACAAGATCGTCTTTGCCAATGAAGGCCGCCATGGGATCATCTGCCGCAACCCGGCTTCGTTTGTAAGATTCAAGCTCCTCCTCAGTGATCCCCGATTGAACCTCCGTCAGAGTTCTCTTCTTGGAACTGCCGTCCTTCGCCTGTTCTGAACTTTCGGCTTTCTGCGTCTCGTTGGTTTCGAGCTCCGCAGATGGCTTGTCGGCACCAGCTTCAGCATCCTCATCAGCTTCAGGGAGCATTAGCATTTGATCTGCCTCCTCAAATGCGCGCTTCCCATCTTCGCCGGTACAGTAACTGTTCTTGACCGTGGAAAAGCAGCAGGCATATCCCCATTCGAAGTTGTGCCACCAACTTCCCCAGACCGAGGCATGGTTGTTGGTGACGATATCTTCGGCATACTTCGATTTGGCCGCCTTCTTAGGCGCGCCCTTGATCGCACCCGTTTCGTCATATTCGATGAACTTTTCGTTCTCAATGACCATCGTCTCTCGGAGGGGCGAAGGATCGAGATGTTCTTGCCCGCCGTATTTATCCAGGAGAGCCTTCCGCTGAGCTTCACGCTTTAACACCGTCTCCGCCTCTTCCTTCTTGCGCATAACCTCTCCGGCCGTCGGATTCGCCTGCAGGTGCACCTTCTGGAGTCCACGCTCCTGCGATTCCCACGCGTACCGTTGTGCCTTTTCGAATTCCGCAGCATCCCCGGAGGCGCGAACGAAGTTCTCCTCGGCAACAAGCGCAGCAGCTTGGTCCTCCTGAGCGCCCATATCCACCATTCGTCGTGTCTTCGGGTCGTACTTGGCCGAGTCGAGATCCAGGTTCAGCAGATACTTCGCGGTGTCTTCTCGAATACGTAGGTTGCGAGTAGCCGTGCTTTGTTGTCGGCCCATGTCGGACTCCTCCGCATACCGGGCCTCCTCTGTCAGCGCGTCCTCGTCCTCATCATCGTCCTCACCACCTGTGATGGCCTTCTGTCCATTTGCGCCTCGCTTCAATTTCTCCAGCTCCTCGTACTCCTCCACCACCTGACGATATTCGCTCGCGTCGTAGCCGTTCCACCGATCTCTTTTGGCGTCCCACCCCATGTTCACATCCTGTATGACCTCATCGGCCTGGATGTTTTTACCCGTCCACTTAGCACCTTGCTTTCGAGGCCGACTCAGGCATTCTTTCGTTTTGTGGGTCATGGCGCCGCAGTTCTCACAGGCACCCTTCCGGTACTTGGTGGCGGCTGGGCCAGCGCGCTTTCCGCGGTCGTACCATTTCGACTGGTCGGCAGTGGACTTCTGTAGACGCTGATGCTCTAGGTAATCATTTGCGGATTCATCGTCGTCGATATAGAACGGCTTCTTCGAGATGAAGGACGGGATGTACTCGTTGCGCTCTTTGGACGCCACATCGGCGGGCTTTCGGGACATGGTGACGGTGGCGGTGACAGTGACCGGTGACGGGGAGAGAAAAGCTAGCAACTCCGGAGCACAGGTACAGGGTGAGAGGAGAGGATACGCCTCCTACTGCGCCGGCAAAAGATGGGGGTGAATCGGACGGTGGTGTCTCCTGCGTGAGATCGATGCGGCATGCGGCGATCGCCAGGCGGTCGGTCCTCAAGAGCGGTTCCGCAGCGCCACGTGACCTGGCGTATTTCCGCGCCACAGGGCGCGTTTCTGGATCAGCACTTCTGACACGTCTCAAGGCTCGGATGGCGATGCTATCGGCGCTTGAACTACGGATATGAGGTTCTTTTGTGTTGCTCGCACGCGATGTTGCTGACAGCTTGGGCTGTCCCAGAACTAAGCTATGGAGCCCTTCCAGGTGCGCCTCAACTGCGTGGATCACTACCAGGCGACCGCATCAGATCTCGACCCTCCCCTGCCGTACAGGGATGGGACCCCCGGGAAGAATGACAGATCGAAAGTCCCCGTAATTAGGATATTTGGTGCGACCGAGACGGGTCAGAAGGTGTGCGTCCATGTGCATGGCGCGTTTCCTTATCTGTATGTCGAGTATGACGGCGACTTGGATCCCGAGAAAGGTGGGTTTGGTGAGGGTGTAAACTTTGGATGTTCGCGCAGCTAAGGACACTCACTAGTGAGCTCCGCTATCAAGAGTCTCCGTCTCTCGATCGATCAGGCGCTGGCAGTGAGCTACAACCGCAACGAACATGCTAAGAAGATCCCCTTCGTTGCGCACATCACTCTCGTGAAGGGGGTTCCTTTCTATGGATACCATGTGGGCTATAAGTTCTACTTCAAGATCTACCTTATGAATCCAATTTACATGACCAGACTGGCGGATTTGTTGCTCCAAGGAGCCGTGCTGAAACGCCCTCTGCAACCATACGAAAGCCATCTGCAATTCATTCCGCAGTGGATGTGTGACTACAGCCTGTACGGGTGCGCTTACATGAAATGCAGCAAAGTCAAGTTCCGCACTCCGGTCCCGGAATACTTCGAACTCACTGATTTGTCTCATCGCTGGCACGATCGATCAATCTCGCCGGAGGATTTGGTAGACGAGACATTTCTTCCGAAGCAAAGCCATTCTTTGCTGGAAGCCGATGTCTGCGTCCAGGACATATTGAACCGCTCAGAAATCAGCGAAAGGTCCATTCATCATGATTTCGCTGAGTCTCTGCACCCGATGGCCTCCGATGAACGGCTTGTTCCAAGTATGGCGGGACTTTGGCTGGACGAGACACGCAGGCGGAAGAAGCGTCTCGGACTCGAACCGGGAAGTAGTCCCTTTGACCCTCAAGAATTAGTTTCTTTGTCGGTTGATCCGAGGAACCTCTCGAAAGGAGGCTGGATCCATGAAGATGAATACCGTCAGATGACCGAGGAAACTGTCGACGAGGAGAAACGCGAATATGGCGGAGGGAGTATCAGTCACGATGACATACTGTCGCAGAAACCCTTTGCAGAGGAGGTAAAGACTGCGATGGAAAGTGTCGAAGACTTCTACCCGGATAAGAACGAGATTTCAAGATTTGAACAACAGAGCAACCCCGCAGAAACAGCTGAGGGCATGGAAGTAAATGCGAGTGAAACTACAGCCAGGGCTGGGCCTGATGGCGATCCTTATATATCCGACGACGACGACATTCCTGACATCTTTTCCGAGGAGAGCAGCGTCAAAGAAGATGTGAGCGAAGTGGAAGAGGATCAGGATGATGATATTGTCGATTTGATCCAGCTCGGTATTGATAGCGACCCTCAGCTCAAAGACCTTAGCCGTAACAACTTGATTCTCAAACACAATCCTGGTTTGGACGAGTTGGATATACATGGCGAGTCAGCTGAAACCAGTATCGCATACACAGAGGGATTGCGCAGTCAGTCTATCTATCCTGTCTCGCGAAAGCGGAAAAGGTATTTCGATGAGACTCCGTCGCAAAGGTTAGATAGTCCAGGACAGCATCTGAGAGCCGGAGCTGTTCAAGTCAACGAAACGGACAAAGCTCAAAATGCTGAAGACCGATTTGATGGCGCAAAGGGTGTTTCTTCCCAAGGAAAGCCATCTGAATCAGCTGTACGTCCCAGAGGGAATGACAATGGGAGACTTAATTTCCCCGTGGTCAAAGACCCCAATGATCCTATGACTAGGTTGCGCTTCAGTCAGGATGGTGGGTCTTCTAAGGAAATGCAGAAAGTCGAGGGCAATTCAAACGCAGTCTCGTTTCTGTACAATGGTTCATCACAACTAAAGTCATCATCTCCCGTCACGAAGTCTGATATCCCATATACACTGGCCACAGAAATAGCGTCAAATATCTATGCGGCCTTTAACCTGCCCGTGAACACTCGCATTGCCTTCCTACAAACGTCTTGTCCTAGCCCTGACGAGGTCTCTACAACACTTCATAACTACGGCTACCCGTCTGTCGTGTATCAGAAAGCCCATTACAGTGTCGAGAGCGATGTGCCAGATCGGCGAAGGGACTATGCAGGTAAAGACTTTCGCCTAGAGGGCAGTGGCATACACTTCCTTCCCGAATTCGACCCGTCCGGCTGTTCCCCAGCAATGGTAGGCGAACAACCCGTGATACCAAGAGACAAGAGTGACCAGGAGGCCATCGACCAGCTCCTGCGGGAGTCCTGCACGTCCAGAAAATGGGAGTACGCCCCCGTGCCCCCCAGCCGCGCAGAAGTTGTGAAATGGTTAGAAGAGAGACAAGCAGAGGAAAAATCCAACATCTCGCAGCCAAAGGAAACACGCCCCAACGTTCTGTCGCAGATCGAGGGCCCGACTCAACAGAATGAATATGGGTTCAAATATTCACAGAAAAAGAAATCTACCAGTGTCGAGCACCAGACTCATTACATGAGCATAATGAGCCTCGAGCTGCACGTGAACACTCGCGGTGCGCTGTCACCGAATCCCGAGGAAGACGAGATCTCCTGTGTCTTTTGGTCTCTACAATCGGAAGATGAGGACCTTGACGCCAATGGTGTTGTACCGGGTGTTCATGCTGGAATGGTATCCCAAGGAGAAGACGACAGGCCAGATATCAAGGTCTCCAAGGCCCTAAGAATCGAGTGGGAGTACGAAACGACCGAACTCGACTTGATCAACCGAGTGGTGGACCTCGTCCGTTGGCACGACCCAGACATCATCACCGGCTATGAGGTCCACAGCAGCTCCTGGGGCTACCTGATTGAGCGAGCCAGGAAGAAGTATGACTTCGACATCTGTGACGAACTGTCCCGAGTGAAGTCGCAAGCCCACGGACGGTTCGGCAAGGATGCTGACCGATGGGGCTTCAACCACACATCCTCCATCCGGGTGACCGGGCGACACATGATCAACATCTGGCGAGCCATGCGAAGCGAGCTAAATCTACTTCAATACACGATGGAGAACGTCGTCTTCCACCTCCTCCACCGGCGTGTCCCGCACTACTCATATCAAGACCTCACAACATGGTACCGGAGCGGCCAACCTCGCCACATCTTAAAGGTAGTCGAATACTTCGTTTCACGGGTGCAAATGGACCTCGAGATCCTGGAATCGAACGAGCTGATCCCCCGGACCAGCGAGCAAGCCCGACTGCTCGGCATCGACTTCTTCTCCGTATTCTCCCGCGGCTCCCAATTCAAAGTCGAATCGCTCATGTTCCGAATCGCAAAGCCGGAAAACTTCATGCTCGTCTCCCCGAGCAAGAAACAAGTCGGCCAGCAGAACGCCCTGGAATGTCTGCCGCTCGTCATGGAGCCCCAAAGCGACTTCTACACCAGCCCCGTCCTGGTCCTGGACTTCCAATCCCTCTACCCCAGCATCATGATCGCCTACAACTACTGCTACTCGACCTTCCTCGGACGCGCGCACCAATGGCGTGGCCGCAACAAAATGGGCTTCACCGACTACAAGCGGCAGCCACGGATGCTCGAGCTCCTCCACGACCAGATTAACATCGCCCCCAACGGCATGATCTACGCCAAACCTTCGGTGCGCAAATCGCTGCTAGCCAAAATGCTCGCGGAGATCCTCGAGACCCGCGTGATGGTGAAGAACGGGATGAAAATCGACAAAGACGACAAAACCCTGCACCGGCTCCTCAACAACCGGCAACTCGCCCTCAAACTCATCGCCAACGTCACCTACGGCTACACCTCCGCCTCCTTCTCGGGCCGGATGCCCTGCTCCGAAATCGCCGACAGCATCGTGCAATCGGGGCGGGAAACGCTCGAAAAAGCCATCGCCCACATCCACTCCAACCCGGACTGGAACGCCGAAGTCGTCTACGGCGACACCGACAGCCTCTTCATCCACCTGAAAGGCCGCACGCGGTCCGAAGCCTTCACCATCGGCGAAGAGATCTCCGCGTCCATCACATCCATCAACCCCCACCCCGTGAAGCTCAAATTCGAAAAAGTCTACCACCCGTGCGTGCTGCTCTCCAAAAAACGCTACGTCGGCTTCAAATACGAACACGCCTCCCAAACGACCCCCGACTTCGACGCAAAGGGCATCGAGACCGTCCGCCGCGACGGCACGCCCGCCGAGCAAAAGATCGAAGAAAAAGCCCTCAAGCTCCTCTTCCGCACCGCCGACCTCAGCCAAGTCAAATCCTACTTCCAGTCTCAATGCACCAAGATCATGCAGGGGCGCGTCTCCATCCAGGACTTCTGCTTCGCGCGCGAAGTCCGTCTAGGCACATACAGCAATAGCGACCGCGCCCTCCCTCCCGCCGGCGCGCTCATCAGCGCCAGGAAAATGGTCAACGATCCCCGCTCGGAACCGCAGTACGGGGAGCGAGTCCCCTACGTTGTGGTTACCGGCGCCCCCGGCGCAAGGCTGATCGACCGCTGCGTGGCGCCCGAAACCCTCCTCCATGATGTCCACCTCTCCCTCGACGCAGACTACTACATCACTAAGAACTTGATCCCCCCGCTCGAACGCATCTTCAATCTCGTCGGCGCCAACGTCAGACAGTGGTATGATGAGATGCCAAAGGTTCAACGTATTCGGCGCGTCGAAGGCGCTCTCCCTACTACCACCTCTACCATAACCACCACCACCACCACAAACCCTTCATCCACAACAACCACCACAACCCTACCCACCGCCCCGAAAAAAACCCTCGAATCCTACCTCAAATCACTCACCTGCCTCATCTGCAAATCGCGTCTCGACACCACCACCACCACCACCACCACCATCAACTCCCCCCCCTCTGCCCAACCTGCCTCCAACAACCCCACCTCTCACTCTTCGAAGCAATGTCTCGCCAGCGCGCAGCCGAGAAGCGTGTCGCGGACGTGCACCAGGTATGTCGGTCCTGCATGGGGGCGTCGTTCGGGGAGGAGGTGCGGTGCGATAGTAAGGACTGTCCGGTTTTCTATTCGCGGGTGCGGGATGAGGCGGGGTGGAGGCATACGAGGGCGGTTTTGGGGCCTGTGGTGGGGGTGTTGCAGGCTAGGGAGAGGGAGTTGGAGTGGTAGGCTGGGGAGTTGGGGCTGGGTCTGGAGGGTTTCTTGGTAGTTGGGTTGGGTTGAGTGGTTTTGGTTATCTTGGGGTTGGTATCTTATAGGTTCTGTTTTGGGCTTGGGGGGATTGCTTGGGTAGGTGATAGTGATAGTGATATCTTGTTGGAGATGGGTTGGTTTGGATAGATGGATGGATGGATGGATGGGTGGTCGATTGGTAGGCAGGCATGGTATGGCGCTTTTGGTTCCCAGTTGGATGGTTTGGTAGATAGGGATTTGGCATGGTTGGGATTGGGCTCTTCGAAGCCTTTACTTTTACTGGGGCGGTTCAATAACCCCTTTGGTATCTGGATATTGTACACTACGAAGATGAAGGAACAGTACTATTAATCAACAACCGTGTACTTTGTCGATAAATCACAGGACTGACCCATTGAATGATCCATGGTAAATAAGACCAGGCCAAGGAAACGAAATTCCCAAATAAGCCAGGCTATACCTAGGAGGCAGGGTCAGCCATCGGGCAAAAAAGGTTCAAACCGAAAGAGCAGAACGGGTGCCTAAATTGCACAACGCCAGTGTCACTGATCGAGATGTCATCAACCGTAACCCAGTCTCCCTCATTGTACGACAAGCAAGCTGTGGTGTCTAGCAGCCATCGGGCAAAAATGAGTTTTTCTGTTGTACTCATCGAGATGTCATCAACCACCCGCATCAATCACCCGCGATCAAAGTCCAAGCATTTCATTCAACTTATCAAGAGCAGTAGGCTCAAGATCACCTCCTTCCTCGACAATCTCAACGCAACGATCTTCTTCTGCGATTTCAATGGTGGGGGTCAGGGGTGATGCCAGGTCGGAGCTGGAAGTTTCTCCATCTTCTCTTTTCACACACATCGTGTCACTGTTGACCATATCCAGCAAGGTGAGTCCGGCTGCACCCGGCGTGATGGAAGGAACAGTGGCAGACGATGAAGTCCGCTTCGGGGAGACGGTAAAGCCAAAGTCAAGGAGTTCTTCTAGGGTTTCATGGCCTTTCGCAATGTTGCTCTTGTTGTTATCCTGCGTGGGTGGCGGGCTGTATTGCTTTTCATCATCTGTGAACAATCCGAACGGGTCATCAGGGCCTCCAGGTATGTTACTCTTGTTATTCTGCGTGCAAACCCCGTTGACCACCTGCCCCGCTTCCTTGCAGTTTGATCTGGCGGCTGCAGGTTCGTGATCATACAGTCCGCGGGCAATCCGCCCCAAGATATGCGGAAAGATCCACGGAAAACTAATCAGGGGTAGCTGGTCCATACTGGGACCTTTGGGTGGGTTATGCACACGGTATTTTTTGAGAGCGGCGGACATCTCCTCGTGCGTGACCCGGTACATGGCAGCGACCAAAGGCGCGATGACATCGAAGGTATGACCGCCTACTTTGGCGATGCATTGCTTTTTGAAACCCTCGCGGTGAGCATTTGAGATGAGACCAATGTCCTCGTGGAACTTGTAGTCCTTACTCATGTTGGAATGGCTCAGGACAAAGGTGGACCAAACCTCGAACTCGGTCTTTATTTCATGCTGGGCCATGATTCGACGCGTTGCTGTGTCGTACTCGAATTTTAGGGATCTAGCGAACTGGTAGAGATCGTCGCTGACTTCTATCTGACAATTGAGGATGCGCTCGTCAAATGGCATTTCTAGGCTTGGGACAAAGTCGACTCGCTCCACGGCGTCGTATAACTGGCCGAGGATTTTCTCGGAGTGATAAACTCTGTAATTCGGCCTCACTTTCTCCATAAAGTGAGGCCACATGCGTGGGTGGAGGCTGCGCGTCATGGTGGCCGGACTTCCTGTCTTGTTGTAGTCCACGGCGTCAGAATGGAGTTGGGCCAGCCTGATGCACTTCTCTTCGTTGACGCCGTACTCCAGAAAATCTGCCCATGCAACATGGGCATGGGCGATTGTTGGGAGGCTGTCATTTTTCATGTACATGACGAAGAAGGAAGTAATCTCGTCCACCGTGACGTCGTGATCCAGGTCCCGGGCTTTGTTGCTCGCATATTTCATCGGCTCGCGAAACCAGTGGTTGTGGAGCAGGTCCTCATCCCAGATGATCAGGTAGTCATCACCATCAAGATCTCCACCAGAGCACATGCTTGCAACATCCTGATCACCGGTCTGGGGCAGGACGACTACATCATGGAGGTTGCGCAGCTCGGGAATATTAACTGCTCTGACCACCCGAATATCCCCAGGGTGAAGCGAGGGATTCCTGGTCATAATGCAGAGCCCCTCGATAACCTCGTACTTCCCACCATTCTCTTGGTTCTCAGGGCGAGATATCTGCAGGAAGATCTCAGGCAACGCTGCGAGCTTTTCTTCGAGGGAAGCGCCATTCCTGGGAATCTGGTCATAGAAGTGGCCCTTGAGAATGCCAGTCTCGTCCATGACGCCTAGCAGATTTGCCCCCTTTTCAATGACAATCTTGGCTTTCTCCTTCAAGTACTTGAGCTGCCAAGTCCTCCACAGAGCGAGAATAGATGTAATAAATGGCTCTTTGGCCATGCGAAAGCCATCCGATACCATTTGACTGACAGTGAGAGTCGTCTGGTTTGGATCGACGTACTTTTTCAGTACCTCGATTGCTCGAGAATCACTTTCCATGGCTTCGTTAAGAGTGCGCAGCATTGCTTGGAGCTTCATGTGAAACACCTTGTCAGGAATTCCGAGGGTCGACAAAACAAGAATCAGCTGTCTGTTCAGCGTAGCAAGCGAGAACTGGGACCACCGGATGATCTCCAATCCACTGTGGAAGGCCTCAAACTTATTTTGGCTCTTACGAATATGGATTTCACGTGCATCGACGTCGGATGAAATAGCAAGCATACCCTTGCAGCCTCCAAGACGGAATTGAAAAGCAGAGGGAGGATCACCCGTGGGCGTCTTGATCTTCAGCTCGCCCATGGCCATTAGTGCAAGAAACCGGGAGATCTTGCCAACGCCATCAGAGAAAGTATAGCCATTCCGCTCCACGTCCTCAATCATGCGTGTCTGCACGGGAGAACCGACAATGGCCCGGGTTGTAGAGAAACACTGGCCTAGGCGTGCGGCATACTTGGCGACATTGCGAATGCCATGGAAATGTCCCATCCAGGCGCGGATGTTGGCTGCCGTGAGATCAGGAAGCGGGGCGAAGAAGTAGGCTCCGTGCTCACGGAATTGGGAGTTTCCAAAAGCAAGGAACTCGTAGCGTCTGTCTCCAACAACAATGCCATTCGCCAAGGCTCGCTTGATACGGGTGAATATCTCATCATTTGAATTGTCATTTGTCGCATGAATGCGACCAAGGAGCTTCTCGTCCGTAAATCGAACTCTGAGAAAGCGATCGGCGTGCTCCATATAGCGCCTGATAATTCGGTTTGAGATATCTACCGACGGCATGTTGTAGTAGATAGTGCTGGGAGTGATCGTCGCAGAGCGCATGTGGCAGCAGTATGGAGGTATCTTTGCATCGGTCACGCCTTTGACGAATTTGAGGTCAAAGATCTTCATGGGATTGTAGTATATTTTCTTCTGGATTGTCACATATTCCAGCAGCTTCCGGGCTTGCGTCTCCCCAAGCTCGGTTAATTTGGAACAAAACTCACGCGCCATCGTAAATTCGGAGAGGTATCCGTTGGAGATGCACACTTCAAGCTGATAACGAACCGAGAACGGCAAGGGAATATATTCAGAGTGAATCAGGTCGTGCAGGGAGGACGAATTTTGCGGGCCCGGGGTATCTGACAGATCAATCCATCTCCAAACCGGCGGCATGGCCTCTTTGCTGGGATCCCATTGGGTGAAGCGGTCGGTTTGCTCAATGGAAATATTGTAATCCTGAAAGATGTTACAGAGAAGACTATAGTCTCCCTTCTTATCACAATTACCGGGGTAATTGAATCTGAATGCGTTCCATCGGCCTACAGGGTATTCGAGAGTTGGCAAATGTAAAGGAAGAAAGGAAAAGTGGAAGAAGATAGATCAGCGAGTAAAGCTGCAGCAGGGAAAACATACCGATGTCGATGATGGGTTTGAGCCTTTGTAGGCTAATGGGGAGGGTAGATAAATCCATAGGATTGTGGATAATATAGGTCTGTCGGTACCAACAATCCGAGTCTCTCCAGGTACAGTCCTCGAGGAAGGTAGAATCTATATTTCTGATGTGACGGTGGTATAGAGGGGGGGTATCTAAAACCGTCAGCTGGGATATCACGCCAGTGATAATGCTGCGCGTCTCAAAGACCCCTCTCATCTGTCGGAGAGGGACTTTGAGACGGTAGCTGTCGTATTTGACATTTTGCGAGGCTGTTTTAGCTCTCGAACCGACCAGCTGCAACTGGAAGTGAACGAATAACGACCGTTGCCTGAGGTCCAGCAGTAGGAAGGGGGTTCCAAAGAGGCCAGGTTCGATCGTGCGCATGGGGAGCAGGGTAGTCTCGTCCAGCATGACCCCGATATCCATGGAAGAAAGGGGTATTTTCTGGGTGAGAAACAACGAGTTATTAAATAGGTCATCACTTTGGCACACGCAGATCGATGGCACTTACGAGTTCGGTTGGGTAGAGGACATTCGGCCGAACCGGGCTGGGGATCTTGAACTCAGAAAATCTGGGCTCTTCAAGGGCAATGGTAAGGTTCACCGTCCGTCCGTTCGGCAGGACCACAGGGTATGTTCCATTGCGCCAGAAGTCCGTTTTGGGTGGTGGTCTGTTTGGAAATCAGTAAAGCTTGAGAGGTGAATGATGGGAATATGAGGGGACCATGAGACTGACTTGAAGCGGACTTTGCCCCTGGAGATTCTCTGGCCGTGAACATCTTCAAAAAGGTCAATGGAAAATATATGGCCTTCTTCGTTGAGGGCGTGCCAGATGGTCTGGGCGTTGGCCTCGAGAGGCAGATTGGTCAGTCTGATCACCACCGACTCCCAGCGCTTCCACGGTGCTATTATTGGCGAGGGCTTCTGAGGCGCCGCCGGGGGACGACGTCCCTTGCCCCGTGGATTTTGCTGACTGTTACGAGTCTTCATCCTCCTAGTCGACGAGGAAGAATTGGGGGTGGCGCTTGGATGAAAGCAGGAGGAGGATGAGGAGGAGGTTGAGCGAGGGTGGGGAGAAGAAGAGGAAGAAGAAGAAGAAGAAGAAGAAGAAGAGGGAGAAGGGGGAGGAGAGGAATTGGCCGGCTGGGAAAGAGCGAGGAGTGGAGGGAGAGAGTCAGTGAGAGGTCGAGGGGGAGAGGAAGGAAGAGAAAGAGGAAGAAGGCAGTGAGGGGAGGGGGAGTCGGGGGAAGAAGAAGAGGAGGAGGAGGAGGAGGAGGGCTGCCGGTGCTGGCGGAAGAGTGAAGCGACAGGCCCAGAGCGCCATTCCCTGGGCTGTCCAGCTCTGGCAGCGACATGTCTATCAATGTCCACCGTCGCCCGCTTCACCCTCGTATCAGTTCTCAGACTGGTCCCCTTGTCCCAGCCAGACGTCTAGACCATTTATATCGTGGCTTCCACGACTCAGATCTCACCCTGGCCCGTCAGTAAGTAGGTTGCGAAGTAGAAGATAGGTAGGCAAAGCCAAGGGGAATTTATAGAGAAGAAGACGGTTTTCTAGAAAGGAGAAAGATGGAAGGAGAGTTGGGGACGGAGCAATAGTGGCGGGAGCTCTCCGATTATAGCAAGAGGAACTGAAGACTTGTTTCAGCCATGCTGTCCAACTTGTCTCGACCCTCAAAGCCTGCAGGCACCCAATGAAGGCCACAAAGGAGAGCCAAACCTACCAATCCTACACAGTGAATTGAAAGTCCCGGTGACTCCCGAGGAAAATAAGACATAATCAGCCGCAATATGGCTGGGTGATCATAGTAGGATTCACTGGGGCTATCAAAGGACTCTGATTGCCTGACAACCCAACATTCTAAGCATTGGGAAAATCTAGACTGGCCTGTCAGTGTGCCTGAACAACACAGGATTTAAACAGTGAAGATGTGCATCGTCAATCGCCGGGTGCAAACCCATGCTTGGCTCGCACAGACTGCGGGGAAAGGTACCTCGCAAAGGAAGGAAGAACATTAGATTCACTTATTTACAGGTACGTTTGCATGGGCATGTCACGTTTATTGCTGCGCCCCCGAAAAGGATTGGGGATCATTGGCTCCTGAAAGAGAGGTGCTTGTGAAGAGGAAATCTTTGGAGAATTCCAGATCCATATCCAGCTCCAGAGGATGGAGGTGGTTCTCATCCCTGCCGGCACGGGGCTGGCTTTTTTGGGACGTGCCACGTTCGCTGCCTTGGGATGTGTAACTTTGTTGCGAACAGGGCTGACTGTTGTGGATGGCATCCCCAAGTGGTGATCGTTTTTGCGGTGTCGTGGCCCGCCGACTCGCATCCTTGGACTTTTTCTCAGTCATGGTCAGTGGCGATGGCGAATGCGAATCCGCCTCGGGGAATGCATTCTCCCTGGACCTCTTAGGACTACGGGTGCTCATGGGAGGGGACATATTCACTTCGAAGGACGGGTCGTCGGTTTGGGTCTGGAAGATTTCGTCCTCCGGCGACTGCGTTTGCTGCGTGGTGGCGGTCGATCGCGTCCGTGGCTGTTTGCTCGGGAGCCTCGACGGGTCCGGCTCGGGTCGGAAGCCCATCACATTCATCAGTCGCCCGATGTGCTGCTGAGCCTCCGAAAACTCGCGGGCTTTGGATGCGCGTTCGTCGCGTAGTTGTTGCACCTGATAAACAATAAGCGATGCTGCACAGAAGATCTTTGGTGGCCACCGTCTATTATCGTACCTTCTTCTCCAGGGAGTGGATCCGCTTTTCCTTCGTTTGCAGCTCCTTCGCGGCGTTGGTTGCGGCTGTCTGCATATCGAGTTGCAGGGAAGTGATCTCCGCGTTTTGCTTCGTGTACTACACGCACCTAAGCAAACGAGTCTTCGGGAGAAACGCGGAACTTACCTCAGAAGTTGCTGCTGAGAGCCGATGCTCAAGATCCGCGCAGGCCTCCTGCTCCCTCCGCAGGCCTTCTTCGGTTTTCTCGAGCGAAGACATCAACCGCTGGGACCTCTCCATCTCTTCCTCGAGCTGAATTTGGGTTAGCAATTTTACTGTCAAATGGCGAATCCCTCTTAGCGTTACCTTTTGGGACAAAGCTTCTATCTCTCTGTCCTTATTCTCCTGCCCCGATAGAAGTTGGTTTGCTTCTTCGTCCTTTTCAGATAGAAGTATCTGGCAGCGCTCGAGCTTTTCTTCGAGCCCCGAAACTTCGCGATTCAGCGAGGCAGCGTTCTCTAGAAAGGATGTCTTCTCTTTTGAGACTTCTTCTAGCATGTTCCGCGTGTTGATATTCTCGCTCCTCTGTTCCGCGATCTCTTCTTGCAACGCCTCCAGCTGATCATCCCGTTCTGTTATAGAAGCTACCAGGTCCAATTCCTTGGTTCTGGCCTTTTCGCGTTCATTCGCAACGGTTTCCTGGGATTCGTGCCGCTGAGTCTCTAGATCTCTCCGAGCTGCAAGGAGATTTGCGGATAATTCGTCGGCGCGGAGGGATGCGGCCTCCGCGTGGCTCTCCAGGCGAGAAATTTGGTGCTGAAGTTCCGCGATCGTATCAGATGATTGTTTCAATTGCGACTTCAGGGCACTGTTTTGGTCATTTATATAGTGCGTCTCAAGAGAACGCTCGCTGCGGTCTTGGCGAAGCTTTGTGATTGTATCGGATGCCTGTTGCAATTGCGATTCCAAGGTATCGTTTTGCCCCTTCAGTTGCTCCATCTCGAGAGAAAGCTCGTTCCGTCCCTGGTGAAGCTCCGAGATTGTACCAGACGCTTCTTGCAGCTGTGACTCCAGGGTACTATTTTGCTCCTTCAGTTGCTGCATCTCAAGCGAAAGCTCGTTGCGCTCCTGCTCGACGGCCCGTAGTGGGGCTTCGATGGTATCGCAGCGCTGCTCAAGGTCGTGACAAATCTCCTCCACCTTGCGGATCATGTTGTCGCTGGACGTTCGCGCATTGAGCATGAGTGTCTCCGTCAATCCAGCCCTCCAGTCAGAGCCCGAACCAGACCTCGGTAATCCTTCGCGAGCTTTCAGCAGCGGTAATGACTCGGAATAAACTGGTTTAGTCGCAGAGGAACAATCCGGTACATGCATCAACTGCCTATACCTAGTCATGAATATACGCATTGTATCAATCTCAGTCGAATTTGATGAATCCTGGGCGTTTTGCGAGATTGATGTATGCACATAGAAAGAGAATAGGTCGTAGATCAGTTCGTTCTCAGACTGTGAGCGTGAGGCATCGCATGTATGAAAACCCTGGCAGGTTGAGGAGGTAGGATGTCTCGGGAAGGTTTCGATAAGATGCCCCATGGTGTGCCTGCATTGCTGGAAAGCGGGCCCTGCGATGACAGAACGAAATAATCCAGACTCCACATCCTGCAATCCTGAAAGTAACGACTTGGCTATCCGAACTTGAGTGATTTTCGTGGAGTCAGTTGGATCCCCCGGCTTCAAGGCCGAGAAGATGTATTCCAACAGGACTCGTATCGCGGGTTGTCCTAAACAAGCCTTCAGTGAGTTAGTACGGTTTCAAATTGCGACGTATAGCTACTTACCACGCTCGCGCTCACTAGACGCGGTAGAAAATCCAATGGCAGCACTTTCAACAGAACCTGACTGTCCTCAGACAAGATCCACTCCAAAGCAGCCTGCGCGATGTCGGGTGATAAAACCGTAGTCGGTAGGAGGGAGACCAAGAAGGTCATACCCTGGAATAATTATTAACGACACACGTTTCCCAAATAGTCGGGGAATAATCATACCAGCAGCTGCACCCCACGATCAATACCATTTCTGGTCACCTTTTCGCGCAACTTGGCAATCTTCGACGCGTTTGCCGCAATCCAACACTCTCTCTGGCCTTGCTCAACCCTATCGCATATCTCAATGGCCAGACGGATACTTTCCGCTGCCTGCTCCGCCGTCAAGTCGCTACAGCTATCCGAGCAAGCAAGGATAACCCGTAGGACCACCAAATCCAAGGTCTTCAAGCCACGCTTCGGTCCAAAGAAATGGTTGACACTCTGCAACCATGCCGGAACGAACCGGACGCAGCCTGTTTCGGTATCATAGTCTTGCATGGATGCCATGCGTGCAAACGTAGCCAGACAAAGAACATTGCCCATGTGGTCGCTCAGGTTGCGCAATGTCTTTGTGAGCTCGACCTGCAGGCTGGTCATTGTCTCTGAGGGGATTTCGAGCATGATCCCGGGGGATTTTCTGATGCCATTGGTGATTTGGTTGAGAGGTAAAATGGTCTCTGCGCACGGATTCTCTCCCATCATGCGGATTGTTCTCGACATGAACGGCGCTAGACGCGCGGGGATGACGAATTCGGTCGGCAGGGGAGAAGAGAGGATTGCGGTGCATACTGATGCGTACTATGACCGTCAGCCTGGAAGCTCTTGAGTCTAGCCACCTAGATTCGTATAGGAGCAGATCATAGTCGACAGCTCACCTCAGGCTGGTCGTCCTCGAGAGATTTCTCTAAGAATTGGTCGAGGATAGAGGGATATCGCCCGAGCAAGGCGTCCCGAGCAACTGGCACCGGAGCTGTGGGATATTAGACGAGTCCCATCCGCCGAGCGCATGCAGCACTCACCAAAGGCCCCAAGTATAGACAGCGCGAACCGAGAACGCGACAGACCATCAACGAGGACGTCCACGAGAGCCCCGATCTGACACGGCCTGTGAAAGGCCCATAGCTTGATCGATTCTAGCGGTGTAGTCTGGACCAAGGCATAGAGGTCCTAGAGGGCCGATATCGATCAGCGACCAGCGCATTGACTTGAAGTGACAGCGTGGAGTTGCGGGGGTTACCTGAAGGGAGGGCGCATATGGGGCGGTCACCAGGCGCTCCACTTCGCGGCCAAGAAGAATACTCTTCTGATCCGACATGACTGTGAAATTGGACCGTCTGCGGAGTTCCCCATAGACTACTGAGGGTCAATGACAAGCGTGGTGCCGGTCCCCACGAGGTTATCGGTCGTTGATTGTGTTTCGGTGGGAAGGATTTGATGTTCCGCTGGCCGGTTGCCCCCTCAACAATCAGGCCGGACCACAAAAGGAGTGACCCTCTCGATATGAGTGGGGGGGTTCTTTGTCCCTGACGTAGCTGCGATTATTTTATCGCGCTATTCGAATCGTATTTCTCCAGTCAGCATACGCTATACTTTGCTGTATTCCTCGATCACACAAGGTCTGGTTGGGTCCTGTGCCTGTGCCTGTGCCTGTGCCTGTCCTTGTGCGATGCTTGCCACGTGTGTTCCTGAGGCATCCTCGGGGTTCTGGCCGATTGGAGAGGATCACCCGCACTGCGTGGGGGATCCCCCTCATGCTATCTACGTCAGTGCCACGACGGCTCCCAATAATTGGCATCTGGCTCTGCTGATGCACTCATTTGCTGACATGCATTCCATGCAATCCGTGCAATCGTCCATGGAGCAGCATCATTCATTACCTTGGCTACCACTCTACTCGGCCGACTTCCGATGCAGTCCAACTCCTCATCCTTAGCCCCGATGGCGTGTCTGCTTGCGCCGAGCAAGTTCCAATAGAATGCCCCGACTGGATAACGGTATCGGAGTTCTAGCTCGGGCAGCTGTTGTCAAGAGCTATAAATTGTCTCAATGGACCCTTGGGCTTTATTACCGCCCATTCCTCCTTCCCGTCCTGGTGACTGCAGCTCGTTGAACCATGCGATCGCTCACGCCTCGGGGCTTCCCCACATCTCCCCGCGCGCTTCATTGCCGGCCCAGCGGTATTACACGCCGCCCGATCTTCCCTCTTCCACAGACGGCTCGTTGGAATAGCTCCAAGACGGAACATGGAGGTAATGGCAATGACAATGGGAGCAGGAACACGGCCGGTGCTGAGTCTTCAGCCACGTCAGCGGGCTTTGGGACATTGGGCAGGACCCTTCTTGCGTCCGCTGTGGCTGCGGGCGTCGGCTATACCTATGCCGCCACGAGCCGACCGTCTCAGTCGGAGACTCCCAAACAGCCTCAATACGGCTCTACAAAGGACTTTGAGAAGGTAGAGACTTCACTGCCCCCAATGCCCCTCAATTGGCTGCACTGGACTAAACATGACCGGGACTAGGCTATTGCCGAATTACGGGCCACGCTGGGCGACGATGCCGTGAGCACCGACAACGACGATCTCCAGCAACATGGATTCTCGGAGTGGTCCAGCGTCAATGCCGACCGTCTGCCGGTTGCGATTGCCTACCCAACCAGCACGGAGGACGTCTCGAAGATCGCCAAGATCTGTCACACTTACAAGATGCCGATGGTTCCCTACTCGGGCGGTTCTAGTCTGGAAGCCAATTTCTCGGCGCCGCACGGTGGCTTGACCATCGACTTTGCCCTGATGAACAAGATTCTGGAGCTGCACGAGGCGGACATGGATATTGTGGTCCAGCCGTCGATCCAGTGGATGGATCTGAACGAGAAGCTCAAGGACACTGGCCTTTTCTTCCCGGTTGACCCTGGGCCATCCGCAATGATTGGCGGTATGATTGGGACAAACTGCAGTGGGACAAACGCTGTCAGATATGGGACGATGAAGGACTGGGTGATCAACCTGACTGTCGTCCTAGCGGACGGTAGCGTCATCAAGACGCGCAGACGCCCACGAAAAACCTCAGCGGGATACAACCTCACGGGCATGTTTGTCGGCTCGGAGGGAACGCTGGGGATTGTGACGGAGGCCACTCTCAAGTTGACCCCCATCCCGGAGCAGACTCGTGTCGGCGTGGTTACCTTTCCGACGTTGCGCGACGCCGCGTCGACCGCCGAGCAAGTGGTCCGGAGAGGTATCCATGTACAGTGTATGGAGATCATGGATGAGGTTCAGATGGATGTCATCAACCGAGCTGGAGGCACTGGGCGCACGTGGAAGACCGTGCCCACGCTCTTCTTCAAGTTCTCCGGCACCAAAGCCGGCGTCGCCGATAGTATTGACCTGACCACCCAGATCTCCAAGAAGAACAGCGCGAGCTCTTTCGAATTCGCGCGAGACGAGCGGGAAGCACATGATCTATGGTCTGCACGGAAGCAATCGCTGTGGAGCATGTTGGCGCTGCGAGAGAAAGGTTCGGAAGTATGGTCAACAGACGTGTCCGTACCCATATCCAGGCTGCCAGACATCATCGGTAGGTCTCCTCACCCCCAATTCATACCTATGCTGACAGCAGTAGAAATATCGAAGAAGGAACTCGACAACCTTGGGATTTTCGCGAGTATCCTGGGACACATCGGCGACGGCAACTTCCACGCATGCATCCTATACGACCGCACCGACCCGGAGGAGAAAGCGCGTGTTGACAAGGCCGTCTACGACATGGTAGATCGAGCCCTAGAGATGGAGGGCTCCTGCACGGTAATATACGCATCCTGAACCCGTTTCCTAAACATGACTAACTGGAGTAGGGAGAGCACGGCATTGGACTGGGGAAGAAAAGCTCCCTGCAGAAGGAACTGGGCCCCGCGACAATCGACGTGATGCGGTCCTTGAAGAAGTCGCTGGATCCTCACTGGCTGCTGAACCCGGGCAAGATCTTTGACTATAAAAATGACGCATAACGCAGTCAACGCGGTGTGATGATGTAGACATAGTAGTACATAAATATTACCTCTTCTGCTCTAGCGGCCACTGCAAACATCCCTAGATCTGATTAAGTAGAGTAGCATGATAGTTAGTCCACGCACGCACGCTACTCTGCACTGGGCAAGACTGGCATGACGCCATCGGTGTCGACCGGGGGAGCCAATGATAGACAGGCGGCGGGTTAGTAAGGAGGGCTGACTCACGGCGGGGCGAGGGGTTCCGGAGCGATATCGCAGTTTCGATTTGGACGCCACCCTCCTTCCCTGGATCCATTCTCGTTGTCACAGAGGTGAGTGCGATTTCCTTGGTATTTGGCTGTTTTATGCTGCGATGCGAACAATTACGGCTGCAATGTGATTGTCTTTCCACGATTGCTCGATTGTGTAGACCGATCGATCATGGAGACAGAGCGATCCTGCCGCTTGCGGGTTTTGTACTCTGCAGGTCGGGCATAGGCTGTCTCCCATGATCGCGATCCGATTGAGCATTCTTCACGTTCTCACCGTGTTCGTTGATGCTGGACTTTCATTTTACCTCCGGAATATTGTGAGAAAATCGACTAACAGCCCATTGTTAGGCCTCGGTACATATTGAGTCATCCGGCAAAATGGTGTCATATCCTAAGAAGAAGTGCGGTATGGATATACTCTGGCGACGGTATTCTGGTGGTTATACTGATGGTGACTAGGTGTCCTGGGCGCCACCGGCTCGGTCGGCCAACGCTTCATCCTCCTGCTCGCCGACCACCCCTTCCTGGAGCTCCACGCCGTCGGTGCCTCGGAGCGCTCTGCGGGCAAGCAGTACAAGGATGCCGTGAGATGGAAGCAGACCACGGCTATGTCGGAGAGGCTCAGCAGCCTGGTTCTCCGCAACTGCAAGGCCGAGAACTTCACTGACTGCGACCTCGTCTTCTCCGGACTGAACAGCGACATCGCGGGTGATCTCGGTAGGTGATATTGTCTAGACTACGGCGACGGCTACTGACACAAACCTGCAGAGATGGAGTTCATCAAGGCCGAAATTCCCGTCTTCTCCAACGCGAAGAACTACCGCAAGCACCCCCTTGTCCCCCTGGTTGTCCCCACCGTCAACCCCCAACATCTGGATCTCATCCCCCACCAGCGGAAGCACTTCGGCCTGAAGAAGGGTTTCTTGGTGTGCAACTCCAACTGCGCGGTCATCGGCATTGTTATTCCGTTTGCGGCCCTCCAGGCTAAGTTCGGCCCCGTCTCGGAGGTCGAGGTGTTCACCGAGCAGGCTCTCTCGGGTGCTGGTTACCCGGGCGTGCCCAGCATGGACATCCTGGACAACGTGATCCCGTTCATCAGCGGCGAGGAGGACAAGCTCGAGAACGAGGCCCAGAAGATCCTGGGCTCCCTGAACGCCGAGGCGACCGGCTTCGACGAGCAGTCGGGTCTTAAGGTCGGTGCCACGTGCACTCGCGTTGGAGTCACAGATGGTCACATGGCGTTTGTTTCGCTGCGCTTCAAGAACCGCCCGGCGCCCAGTGCCGAGCAGGTTGCGCAGGCCCTGAGAGAATACCAGTCCGAGGCGCAGAAGCTGGGCGCCCCGTCCGCGCCCGCGCAGGCGATTCGGGTGTTCGACGAGCCCGACCGGCCGCAGCCCCGACTGGACCGCGACATCTCCAAGGGATACACGGTCAGCGTTGGTCGTGTGCGCGACGGCCAGGAAGGTGGTTACTTCGACCTCCGGTTCGCGGCCCTTTCGCACAACACGGTGATCGGCGCTGCGGGGTCGTCCATCCTGAACGCGGAGGTTGCCGTCATCAAGGGCTACATCTAAATGGAATAAAAGATCTATGGCATATAGCGTTAGAGGGCGTCGGATATCCTTGTTTCCTAACTAGGCAGTTAGACTAAAAGCATGACCAAATCGAGAACCAACCACAGATTATGTAATACTTAGTAACTCCACCGCGCTAGTCCATAGCGGGAGTAAAATGGGACGGGCTGAAAGCGGGCTAGCGCTAGGGCTCAACCCGCCAGCACCAGCCGCTAAGCGAAAAGTGCGGATGGATTGGATAAGTCGCTGAAGGCCCTGCTCCGACCCTTCCTCTCCTTCGCGACACCCGACAACTAACCCGGTTCAAGTCGACAAAGCAGCCAAGATGCCTCGCGGACCGTGAGTTGCGCCCCCTCTCTGGATTCCTGGATGTTTCGATCGGCCTGCGAAATAGCGATGATTGCGAGAAGAAATTGCGAAATTGCGACGACGCAGGCAGACGTCTCGTGCCAGGAATCGAAAATTTGGATGATCGGAAGAATTTTGAAGACTGACCACGATGCTCGTATAGTAAGAAGCACCAGAAGCGCCTCAGTGCGCCTTCGCACTGGCTCCTGGACAAGATGTCCGGAACCTATGCCCCCAAGGCCTCCCCCGGTCCTCACAAGCTCCGGGACTGCCTGCCCCTGATCGTCTTCATCCGCAACCGGTACGCGTGAACCCGAAGAAGAAGAAGGAAATGGAAGGAGGATGGTGGCTGACAGTGCACAGTCTCAAGTACGCCCTGAACGGTCGTGAGGTCAAGGCCATCCTGATGCAGCGTCTCATCAAGGTCGACGGCAAGGTCCGCACCGACTCCACCTACCCCGCTGGCTTCATGGATGTCATCGGCGTCGAGAAGACCGGCGAGAACTTCCGTCTCATCTACGACACCAAGGGTCGCTTCACCGTGCACCGCATCCAGGCCGAGGAGGCCGAGTACAAGCTCTGCAAGGTCAAGCGTGTTCAGCTCGGCAAGGGCGGGATCCCATTCTTGGTTACGCACGATGCGAGAACGTGAGTTCATACTCTCTCGAAGTTCCGCGTCATTCAGTCGTTGGACCAAGCTTTGGTTGATCGGCGGAGGACGAGAACAGACCCCCCACGGTCTTTGCTGGATCACTGGATTTGTTACAAAGGATTTAGTGGATCAGTAAGGGCTTTCCCGATGCAGAGCATGACATGCTAATTTTCTCTCGTCATATAGCATCCGCTACCCCGACCCCGCCATCAAGGTCAACGACACCGTCAAGGTTGACGTGAACACTGGCAAGATCGTCGACTTCGTCAAGTTCGACACCGGTGTGGTCATCATGGTCACCGGTGGACGTAACATGGGTCGTGTCGGTGTTGTCACCCACCGTGAGCGTCACGATGGTGGTTTCAACATCGTCCACGTCAAGGACGCCATCGACAACACCTTCGCCACCCGTGAGTCCAACGTCTTCGTCATCGGACAGGACAAGCCCTGGATCTCTCTGCCCAAGGGCAAGGGTGTCAAGCTCTCCATCGCCGAGGAGCGTGACCGCCGCCGCGCCTACGCCATCTCCAACTAAGCGTCCGCGTTTGGTAAGTGCTGTAGACCGGGAAGATGTTTGTCTAGTCATAAAAGCTTTTGAAACACTCCGCGGGGGAGACAACGTCTTGTCGCGCTTTGTGGGCCTGTCTGACGCCGGTTACGAACCCATCTATGAAGCGTTATTCAGAAGAAAAAAAAGAGAAATATTGTCCACATTGGTGCTTCCATGTCTTTATCTCTGCAGGGGGATATAACTAAAAGCGAGACAGATGTCTGTATTTTATTCCTGTGCGTAGTATAGTGTAGTGCCTTGACCATGTATTATGTCACGTCCATCCTGATGTTCGCCATTTGCATCGACACCTGCTGAAGACTGACGGACTGATTGATTCGTATCTCACCAACCTCCTGACAGCCGCCAGCCCGACACGCCATCCGTACCTTATCTTACCTCCCTGTCCGTCCCCAACCTTGCAACCCGATCCGACCGGGGTCACGAACGGTCGAACCCCCAACCCCGACTGATCGGTAGCACCTAGATAGATACCTATCTATCTACCAGCCCCATGGCGGCGCTATTATTCTCACCCGCCGGATCGATGGATAGGGTAGGGATCTAGTTGAACGAACAACGAACAACGAACGAACTTCGATCCGATCCGATCCGTAAGACCCGCCTACCCTGGCACCTCACCCTGGCAAGTGGCATCTCTCCCAAGCCACCATCCCAATCGCAGACCCCGACACGGACTCAGACCGACCCAAACCAAACCCCGACCGACCGAACTCCCCCGACATCTCCATCTACATCTCCATCTACCTACGTCCTACCTACAGAACAAATATCTCCACCCCACCCAGCCCCAGACAGACCCAGCAGTATACTATGTACAGTACAGTACAAGACAAGAACCAGCACCTAGCGCCCCGCAAACAAGGATAGGTAAGTAGGACGGACGTACTCCGTAGGTCGATAGCAACCGCGGCGAAAAACTACGTCTCACATTCTACCAAGGCAGAGGACGTCTCGTCCAAGGCAGGAATACGATGGATGGATGGATGGATGTACTCCATCCAGACGTCCAATGGCCGAGACGAGATGGTCTGGGGCGACGGGATTTGATTCCTGGCCAACGTGATACCGATACCGGTTTTGAGTTGGTTGGGGGAGGTACATACATACATACTTCCTTACTTACTTACTGTATGTACTCCGTACTACCTGCTGTACTACTGTATAGGTATGTGTGTGTACGGAGGTTCTCCGCATTAAGGTAGCTATCCTTAAGCCGCGGTCTGTCTGTCTGTCTGTCGGCCGGTCGGTTCGGTGGTCGGTCACGACGGACGGAGGACAGGACAGGACAGGACGGATGGCTACAAATGTAACACGTCAACTGAGCAGCCCTGGATTTCTAGTACTCTCTTTTACTTACGTACCTACGTACCTACCGACCTACCTTCTTACTTACCCTGCTTACCAACCCAGATAGATAGATAGTTAGATAGATAGATAGAGCTCCATCAGTCTGTCCCGTGCGTCAGCCCTAGGTAGGTAAGTATCTAAGTTGTAACATCCAATTCATTAGCCCGGCAGCGCAATCTGGATACATTTCCCCCTGCGCAACGCGGCGTCGCCCTTGGCCCGATGGGCGGCATAAAAGGCGCCAAACCACTCACTACACTACTAGACAACCGACAGAGCGCCCCGTCTCATGTAGGTCTAGTTAGTTAGTTGGGCCCGGGCTTCCGCCTGTCTATCCTATCCTATCCTATCCTATCTACTACGTCCGTGGCGCCCACTCTGTAGGTAAGTATCTATCTATCTAGTATGTATGTATCCATAGTCTGTGCAGTGGTGGGTGGTTAGTCTGTGCAGCGCACCAGTCGATGGGCGATGCGATGCGATGCGATGCGATGGGATGGGATGACCGATGCGATGGCCGATGGTCGAATCGAAATGTCTGGTTTGTCGCAATTCGCATGGCGTGGCTCATCGGTTATCAATCATAATCACAATCTGTCTGTCTGTCTCTGGGCCAAGGCAGGGCCAAGATCGCTCCCGGGCCACTGGATACTGGCCATTGGCTACCCCAGAGAGCAGAGGGCGGAGGGGAGGGGAGGGGAGGGGACGAGGTGACTTGTCGAACTGAACCTGGACAGTGACGGTGGAGCGTAAGTGGAGAGGGAGAAGGAATGGTTGGTGGTCGGACGCTGATCGATGGTCCTCGGGAGGGAGGGAGGGAGGGAGCGATCGGTTTTCATCGACATCTGGCTGTCAGATCGGTCAAGGGCATTGTTTATGGTGGTGTAGGACTGTAAGTGTAGGAATGTACGTATTACTTACTGTGGGTATGTGCTGTGCTGTGCTGTGCTGGCTGGCTGGCTGGCTAGCTGTCTGTCTGTTTTGTAGTGAATGCGATCTCTCAATTTCTTTTTCTTTCTTTTTTTTTTTGTTTCCTCTTTCCATTTTCGGACATTCTATTCTGGTCCTTCTTTTTAGACCTGTCCTTCTCAATTTTTGAATTTTTTTTTTCTCTCTCTCGAAGAATTCTTCCGGTGGTGGAAAGCCATGCCAGACAGGATACCGACAGGACGGACAGACAAAACACACAATGGTTGACTGACCGACCGAAAGAGGTTCGCGCGCAGAGGACGGTGGGATTGGATTGCATCGCATCATCGCACACGCCATGTACCACGGAAAGAACCCGTTGCTAAAAGGGTATTCACAGCTTCCTTTCTCCATCCTTCTCCACCAATCTGCGGGGGAATAGCCAGCAGAAGAAGAAAAAAAAAAAAAAAAAAAACAAAGCAAAGGCTGTGTGGCACTGCCGTTGTCGCGTTTGGTGGTTTGAGGCACAGAACGAAGGTTATATAGTAGCCGTCCCTTCAAAGATGTTTGACTCAAGCCACTCCCAAATCTCATCCCCGATCTGGAAATACTTCAAATACCACCACCCACTGACCTGCCTACGGTAAACAGATAGCCAGCAGACACATCCTCGCACGCACCCACTCCCGGGCGCCCGCCACGCTTAAGTTCCGAGTCTGGCTTGCTGCATCCTGCAAGTGATGAGCCAATCTGGATCCGGCTGGCCAAGACCCGGCCAGTTGACAGGTCTCGGGTGGGTGCTGGCCACCTCGCTCTCAGACGTATCTATCCATTCTGTAGATACCTCGTCCGGTCTGAGCTTTCTGCGCGGGGGGAGACTCAGACCTCGCACAACGTCACCAGCTCCAGATGTTGTGTCGGGAAGGGACCGTTGAACCCCCCGCAGAAGGTCCATCCAGACATGCATATAGACCTACATACATACAGCCACCCATCTATCTACCCGTAGCGGTGCTCCCACCCTCTCCAGCCTGTCGCCATCCATCCATCCACTCACCCTCACCTGTTCCCGCCCGGGGTCTGGACTCGACCAAACACCCGACAACCGACATCGGTCTCCGCAGGCGACAGCTCAGAGACACCGCCAGAGTGTATCTGTGTCTGTGTCTGTGTCTGTCTGCAGTGTGCAGTGTGCAGTGTGCAGTGCAGACGGATGTGGGATCCGACAAGGGAAGGCAGGCAGCCAACGCGGTCACACAGCCGGGCAGTTGAGTTAACGCGACTGAGTGGTTACGATTCGATTACCGACGATGGACGGCCTCCACAGCACGAAGGATGGAAGGATGGAGGAAAGCGGGTCTTGTCCGTCCCGTCACGGCGTCCACCCGGAGTCATCCGTCCTCCGTCTTCTCTTTTAGCTGCTGCCCTCTCTGCCCTGCCCAGGGTCATTTTCGTTTCTTTCATCCGGTGCCCAGACCCGTCGGCTCGTTGCGCCGGATGGGTGCTGCCTGGATGGCACAACGTGGAGGGAGCGCAGGCAAATCTCCGCGCCTGGATGCGACGCAACACGCAAGTCCGCCTCAGGGTTGCAGCCAGTAACAAGCTCCCAGCCAGACCAGCTTCCAGCTCCCAGCTCCCAACAACCAGTGGCCAGATGCGCTGGGAGCGATTCCCGATTCCCGATTCCCTCCCCCTCGCCATTGGGGCCAAAAATGAGGATGGCTCCCGGGTCCATTGCAGCGGGTCCTCCGACTCGATCGGTTCCCCTGCGCCACAGTCGCGGTGGTCTATCTATCTATCTATCATCTATTTATCTATCAATCAGGTCGGGATAGTTTACTATCTACTACTAGACTAGATGGATAGATAGTTCGATGGCGATCCGAAATCCCGACGGCCGGTCCAATGGCAGCGAGGGCCTAAGAAATTAAACTGTTTCCTCAGGGTTAGGGCGAGACCGAGGGGGTGGGCAGTGGATCATGATGGAGGAGAGAGGGCTGGGGTGGCCTGTAGCAGCGACTAGGAGATGGCTGGTGATCCACCCTCTCCGCCACGAGTCGCGTTTCCATCTTTCTTTCTTTCTTTCTTTCTGTCTGTCTGTCTGTCTGTCTGTCTGTCTGTATCTACCCTATGTACTCCGTACTCACCTGGGTCCTGTACGGAGACAGTACGGAGTACAGGGGACAGCATCATCCTGCCTGTCCCCGTCCCGTGTGGGACTGACACCACTTCCCCTCAGAGTCCTGGTCTTCATTCCCAGGACATGCCTTACTCGCCTAGGAAGGGATCAGAGATGCCCTCCGACGAGCCAATGGGGAGGCCTCGGAGCCGTCCATCATGCCATCGGGGACGGGTCCAAACCAAGCAGCAATATTTCCAGCTCAGTTCCCAGGCCCGATGCGGATCGCCTCGCCCGATCACGGCGATCCGCTTTTTCTCGTTTCCGACAGCCCTAGATGGTCCTGACTACTGGCAGGCAAGCTGGACAGTCTAGCTGAAGGTGGCAATTGGACGCCAAACTCACTAACTACATCCTACATAGTAACAGCTCGTCTTATAGGATCCGCCATTAACAAGCCTGTCAATCTTCCGACGCCGCATCAGCAGCAGCAGCAGCAGCAGGAGGAGGAGGAAGCTAACCACCACCACAACAACCACCGCATCGTCATGATGGCCGCGAGTGATGTATAATTGACTTCATTAAGGGACTACACCGCTCCCGGACGGCACTAGCCCGCCGCCGATTGATTGATCTCTCGCCGTGAACCTTCCAGAACGACATACGTGCTGCCTGCATCTGCTGTACCCTGTTCGGGGGCCTGCCTTTGTTGTCTGACCGCTTGTTTTCTTTTATTTTTATTTTTATTCTTATTTTTTATTTCTATTTTCTGATCTCATCATCATCATCATCCTCGCCGCCGTTGGCTGGCTCCCGTAGCCGATTCCAGGTCCAATTCCTCCAGCTCCTTCCAAACGCCAGACAACCTTACCTACCTACCTACAGGAGCATACCTACCTACAGGAGACTACCGAGCTAGAGAAGAGAGAGAGAGAAAGCAAGCTACTAGCCATGATTCCATGTGGGGAGGGAGGGCTCAGCCTAGCCTGGCTGCCTCTAGCCTCCCCCCTCCGCGACGCCCCAAGCCTAACGGCTCCAGGGGTCAATGCCGGGCTAACTCAGTCTTAAACAATGCGAAGCCACGGGCAGACTAGAAACTGATTGGCGTCGTGCTCAGCTCTGCTCCGGTGGCCAGCCAGCCTGCTAATCTCCGTCCCCCAAGCCTAACCCGGCTCCCGGGTCCCAGTGGTTTGGATTTTGGATCGCCATCAGTCCAGTCTGCCCTGCCCTGCCCTGCCCTGCCCTTCCCTTTTTCCCTCTCTTCCTCGGGTAATGCGCCACTGTCCGTCATGCCCTCTGGCTTCAGATGCGAGCTCCAGCGACGATATTCGTGAGTTGTCCCCCGTGGCAAAGTTGAAGATTCGCTACGGCCGTGGCTGGAAGATAAGACAACCCTCAACCCTGCTCGCTTTCAGCTGGTCTCGCCCTTCATATCATACTTATCATATCATATTCTTTTAATACCTACTTCAATGCACGGGGCAATACTGTCGAGCTAGCTGTTTGGGTAGCGGTTCCAGCTGTGTTTTTCTTGGCTATCTGTCTTTCTGGCTTCTGGCTTCTGGCTGCATTGCTGCATCGCTGCATCGCTGCAGGTGACAGACGGGCCGCCGTGTCTTCCCTTCCCACGTCTTTGTATACTCCCCGGCTTTTCAGCTCGAGCCTTTTCTCTTTCTCTCTTTCTCTCCCCCTCCCTCCCTCCGCTTCCCGTGAGGCTGTCTAGTGTCTCAGCTGGGGGTTTGACTTCCTGGCACGGAGGCCTTGCTTCCGATCCTACCTTGGTGCAACAACTGCAGGGATAAAAGGATAAAAGGACAGGCCGAAAAGGTCGGCCTTTGTCCATTCACCAGGCAGGTCTCTTTTCGAAGCCGCTCCCTTCTTCTCGCCAGACAGACGACAGACGACAGACGACCAACACCGCAGACCGCCGACATGGCTGTGTATTCGCCCTCGGCGGGCGTGGGCTATCCCTCGCTGTTTCGATCCGAGGCCGAGATCCCCAAGTTCTTCCCGGGGTGGCGATGGTGGGAGGACGAGTCGCAGACGATATTCTGGGCGTTCGACTCGCAGGAACTCAAGCGGGCGATCCAGTTCGGCCTCTACCAGGACGAGAACCTGCCGCGGAGGATCCTCCAGGGTCGCCACGAGAACACCATCGACGCGTTCCTGGTCTCGCTGCTGGAGCCCAACGAGACGGTGTCCGTCGCCAACATGGGGCCCCTGCAGAAGGTCGAGGAGATCATGCGCCGCTGTCGACTGACCCGGCCGCTGGAATCGTGGAGCTGGGTGCCCGTCCAGCGAGATCGCGACGCCACCGCGCGAACCATCGCCGACGCCATCGACGCCGAGAGCCATCTGCACTTCACTCGGCTCTCGTTCGAGGAACTGGTGCGGTACTCGCTGGGCAACAAGACCCCCTCGGTGGAGTGGTTCCTCCAGCAGCATACCGCCCTGTACATGCACCTCCTGGGCTACCTGCGAGCATTTCCCGAGGAGATGTCGCGGTATCGGGAAGTCGAGCAGGTATGTCTTTGTCTGTCCCTTCCCATCCATCCATCCATCCATTCATTGCGTACACTCCTCCCAAATCATCAACCCACTAACCCACCCCCAGCACCTCCGCTCTCGCAGCCCCTTCGCCCACCGCGCCCTGGCCACCTGTCTCCGCGCCCTGGGCTGCGGCAGCGTCCCGGTCTCGGCATCGCCCGGGTTCGCCTTCATCGCCGGCCCGATCCAGAGCATGTTCAAGGTGCAGTCGCGCAGCCTGGCCGACACGCTGAAGGTGCTCTCGGTGCTGGGGGTGCGGTTCAAGCGCACGTACGTGCACGCGCGCGAGATCAGCTGGACGCAGCCGTTTGACGTGGAGCACGCGTTTCTCGAGGAGCTGCTCATGTCGACCTCCGGGGCCGACCTCGCGCGCACGCTCGACGCCGACGACAAGAATTCGTTTACGGGTCTGACGCAGAAGAGCTTCATCGAGCCGGACGCTCTGCTGAAGGGATTGCTCGCGCAGTGGGAGATCCTTGGAACGACTGTCTGGGAGTGTTGTACCGGGTTGCCGGATCACATTGCGAAGTTGCAGGATTGTTTACATGTAGGCTCTCCCTTTCCCATCTCCCCATCCCACCCAAACACCAAGTAATACCAACTCATACCAACTCATACCAACTAACAAGAACGCTAACAAATAAAAACATAACAGTCCCTCCTCCCCCTCAAAAACTACCACTCCTTCACGGCCCTCCTCACGGGCTTCCAGAAACACAGCGTCACCCACCCGACCTTCATCCGCGTCGACAGCGCCACCAACACCATGACCCTGCACCCGGTGCTCGCCCCGGAGGCGGCCTACGTGATCGACCCGCTCGAGAACTTCGTCGCCTACCGCCAGGACTTCCAGACCACGCCGGGCATTCCGTTTCTCGTGCCCCATATCAGGGAGTATCAGCAGCATGGCCCGCCGGCGCTGCAGCAGCTGTTTCAGTCGTTGGGGGGGGTGGAGCCGTTTTGTCGGTAGTCTGTTACGAAGGTGATTGGGGGCGAGAGAGAGGAAGAGAGGAAGGGGAATCCCTATGGTGAATGAATGAAGCTGGGGGGGGGTGATGGGGTGCGATGCGATTGAATGATGTGGAATGGAAGATGTGGTTGTCTCTGTGACTGTGACTCTGTCTGGATTTAATTTCCCCTTTTCGGATGTTCTCATTACTTTACCTTGCTTACTAGGTAGGCGTACCTAGTGTGCTTTCTTTCCTTCTTTCTTTCTTTCTTTCTTTCTTTCTTTCTTTCTTTTTCTTTTTTTCACGGCTCTACACTACACTACACTACACTCACAGCGAATACCGTTCTCCATTTGGTTGGGCTGTATTATCATTTAGATACTATTGAATTGATTGATTGATTGATTGATTGATTGATTGATTGATTGATTGATTGATTGATTGATTGATTGATTGATTGATATGGATTTGATATTTTTCGTTTGTAGAGTGTAGGGTGTGAGTGAGATAGATGTATTTTGATTTCGAGTCTTGGTTTTTGATGGTACTTGGCTTTGTTCCTTACACTGAAATTGATTGGACGGACTGGATTACATGACTCTACTATCATGTCTATATCTATGTCTATTGTGGTAGAGGGGTGGATGTACGAGTTACCTTTTTGCTTATTTCCTTATTTCCTTATTTCCTATTTCCTATTTCCTATTTCCTTATTTCCTTATTTCCTATTTCCTTATTTCCTATTTCCTTATTTCCTTATTTACCTCCTTCTTTACCTCCTTCTTTACCTCCTACCTACCTACCTACCCACCTATGATAGCGTGGTGGAAGATATCCAACTTAGACTCTTACTCTTACCTGTACTCAGTCCAGTAGACTCGATCGGAAATGAAGGTCAGGAACAGGAACAGGAACAGGAACAGGAACAGAAACAGAAACACAGAATGAGTAACCCGGGGAAGCCGACGTTGAAGCGGAAGCCGGGGGAGTCGGACAGACTAGATACATACTACAGAGGGGGGGGGGGTGGGGTGTACGACTCTCTGTTCCACTTCCACTTTCACTTTCACTTCCACTTCCACTTTCACTTTCACTTCCACTTTCACTTTCACTTCCAGCCAGATCCAGATCCAGATCCAGGCCTAGATCCAGACCTAGACCTAGATCCAGACCCAGGATGGCTGCGTTGTGTTGTGTTGTATAGTGTGTCGTGTGGCGTTGCATTGCATCTGGGGGAGGACATGGGGGGACATGATATTAAGTTCTTTGTGTGTATTTTTAGTTTGTACGTCATATTGTATATTGTGTTTGTATATGACTGCAGTAGGGGGCAGGGGGGGTTGATTAGGGTGTGTCTTGTGTATACCTGGATGGTCTGGATGGTCTGGTCTGGATGGTTTGGTTTGGGTTGGTCTGGTCCGGTCTGGAAGTACACAGGATGGATGGATGGATGGATGGATGGGGAGGTAGGTACTTCTGTTTCTCCTCTAACAATAACTAGTTAGTTAACATCGGAAGTGATCTTAGGTAAACTGGTGGTGGGAGGGTACTTCTGTTCCTGTCCAGCTGAACTAAATATAGATACTATAGATATTCTCAACACTTGATTCTGATCCTGATTCTGATCCTGGTCTGCCAGTAAACCGGATTCCAGGATAATGGGGTGGCGTCACTGGGACAGAGTAGGGAGGCTTGGGAGTATCCATCACATTATGATTGTTAATGATGATGATGATGATGTGTACACCGACAAAGAGGCAAATACCCATAAACCACATCCAACTGTAAGCAAGATACAGAGTAGAGTAGACTTTCTTTCTTTCTTTCTTTCTTTCTTTCTTTCTTTCTTACTCCTTCTTCCCCTTCTCCACTGAACATCCCCCCCACCCCCCCAACAACACGACCACCCTCCCCCCAAACAACGCCATCGTCACACCGACATTCCCCCACGTCAAGGCATTCCACCCCGCCACATCCACGAACCGCTGCAAGCCCATCCCCCGCCCGACAGCCCACACATGGCCCAGATCGGCCACCGCCAGCGCCAGCAGATAGTTGCGCACGACGCGGGGCTCCGTGGTCGAATGCAGGACCGCGAGGCCGAGCAGCGCCAGCAGCGCGTACAGGTTGGAGACCTGGTACGCGAGCGAGAGGGCGCTGGGCGTGATGGTTGCCGTGGGGTTGGAGGGGATTTGCGACGTGATGAAGTCCGCCGGGAGGAGGTGGGGGTAGATGGTTCCGGCGATTCTGTTGTTTCGGGGATGATGGGTGGGTGTGGTTAGTGGATGGGGATGGGATTGGGATGGGATGGGATGGGATGAGGATGGGGATGGGATGGGATGAGGATGGGGATGAGGATGGGGATGGGGATGGGGATATTGGGGACGTACAGGGAGATAGGCTCGATGATGCCGAAGATGAGGTAGGGGATTGGGGGGAGGATTGGGGGGTGGATTGGGGGGTGGGATTTGGAGGGCATCGTTGGGACTTGGGTTTGAATTGGGTTGATGTGGTGGTGGTGTTATTGTTCTAATGATAATGGAGAGATCGATGCTCTTACTAGTGTATGCCAGAATCAGAGCTAACGAGATCAACAGGAGGCTGAGCGGAGGAGGGAAGCTCATTACTGCATCGGGCATGGTGGCTGGGAGTGGAGCTGCCAGGAGGAGGGCCATGTTTGTTGTTTACTACTTGTGTAGGAGACACTCAACATTGGGTTTAGATCTAGAAAATATTTTTATCAAAAATCAGACGTGCACCAAAATCTAATACCCCACCCATGCCAACTGGATAACTATTGAGTCGGGGATGATAATCCAGTCCACCAGTTGATCCTCTTCCTCAGTCGAGAATCTAGATCCATGTATGTCATCATCCAGCAAACCGGATTTCTCCCAACCGGTTCGCTGAGTCAGCCCCAGACCCTCCAAAACCGGACCTGCGTGAGTGGTCTGTCTGCCCCTCCGCACTGCTGGCTCTTCCGCCGCATCTCTGCCTCTCTCTCTCTCTCTCTGCCTCTCTCTCTCTCTCTCTCTCTCTTCCTCTGCTTCCCTCTGCCAGCCACCGGCTTCCTCCCTCTCATCCATCTGCATCCCCGGCAAAATGGCTCATAGCAGATGCTGCTCCTTATCCCCCAGTGATTGATGCGATTGGCATCATGGATCCCAACAACAACAACCCCTTCCGCTCGTTCGACGACTCGCTGCTGCGCGAACTCCCCCAGCTTCAAAGCCTCCGCATCGCTCCCATCCGCCAGCCCGTCTCCCGCCTGCTGACCGTCCCCTCCCCGCTCGAGCCCAATGCCAGCCAGGCCAGCCAGGCCAACCATGCCAGCCAGTCCCAAACCCCCAACCTCTCCTCCCACAATGACTCCGCCCCTGATCCCCGGAAGAAGGCCGACGCCGACCTGCTGAGCCTGGACCCGCTGCCCAAGCCCATCCTGCCGGCCTTCGTCAACATGCGTGCCCTGGAGCGCTTCCCCTACTCCTTCGACGACGACACCCTCCACTTCCGCAAACGCAGGCGTTTGGTCCACCCGGACACCTTCAGCGAGCACCTGCAGCTGCCCATCCCCCAGGCCCAGAAGGAACAGCGCCGGCCGCCCTTCGGCCCGTTCGCCATCCTCAACGGCCTCAATGAGCCGCCCCCGAACGCCGCCCTGCTCCCTCCCATCGAGCCCGGCTCCATCACCCAGCTACTGACCAAACCCTCCCGTGTCGCGGAGCCGGCCTTGCCGGCCGCTAACCCGGTCGCAGATCCGGTCGAGCGCAGAGAGGGCCGCATCGAGGACATCCTGGACTCCCCTCTTGACAAGACAACAGACAGCGACCAGAGCGACGTCGCCAGCGCGCTGCTGGACTACTCCCCGCCGGAAGCCCGCGCCGAGAAGACCGATACCGAAGCAGACCTCAAGGACGCCTCGGCCGAGGACAGCAACGAGCCGCTGTCGCCGAAAACGCGAGGACGGTCGCGCAAGAACCTGCGCAAGTGGACCGAGGAGGAGACCACGGCGCTGCTCCGCGGCGTGGTCAAGTGCGGGATCGGCAACTGGACGGCGATCCTGGCACAGCCCGAGCTGAAGTTCAACAAGCGCAGTGCGTCCAACTTGAAAGATAGGTATGGTAGAGCCGCACGGGTGGATGTGGAGGGAGCTGGTTCCAACTAAGACAATCTAGATTCCGCGTCTGTTGCCCCTGGGCCTACCGGTAAGTTTGTTGGTTGTATTCCGCGACCAGCCCTAACCTCGAACCTCGAACCTCGAACCTCGAACCTCGAACCTCTAACCTGCTCAGGGCGGCGGACCCCAACGAGGCCACGAAACAGCTGCATGACACGCTCGCCAACGCCCTCTCGCGGGCTGAGAACGAGGGCTCCGACGGCACCGCGGGGAAGATCCATCTGCCCCGCCCGCGTCCCAACGAGCACACCCCGGTCCCCCTCGAGCCGGCCAAAGAGACTGACAAAGCCAAGCCCAAGCCCGCCTCCAAAACCACCCCGACTCTCACCAGTCGATCCCAGTCGACCCTCGCGTCGTTGGGCATCCCGGAGCCGCACTTCACGATGAAATCGCGCCGCCGCTCGCGCCGCCCGTTCACCGACGTCGAGGACGAGGCCCTACTGAAGGGCTACGCCGTGCACGGCTTCCAATGGACGCTGATCCAGCAGGACAAGCGACTGAACCTGAGCCACCGCCGCGCGACGGACCTGCGCGACCGCTTCCGCACCAAGTTCCCGCACGCGTACCGCGACGGCGGCTCCGTCAGCGGGCGCACGTTGCACAAGGACGGCCTGAAGAGGAGCCGGCGACAGTCCAGCAAGAGCGGTCCGACGACGGGCCACGGACCCATCGATCCGGCGCTGTCGCCGCCCGCCCCGCCGCAGCTGCTGGAGTCGGCGGCCGGTGCGTTTCCGTTTCCGTTGGACGAGAATACCGCCGCGGTGGACGCGACCTGGGCGGATAACACCCTGCCGCCGATGATGTGGGATGATTGAGATGATTGAGATGACTGGTTGTGGTTGTGGTTGTGGCGCCAATTAATTTTCGGGTGTCTCGTTTGAGACTTTGTGATGATGACGAGTCGAGTCGATAGGAATGTTGTACTGACTACTACTGACTAACCTCTATGCTTAGTTTATACGTGGTGATCGTGCCTCTGATAGATCTGGTCCCTGATCTCTGATAGATACGATAAACCCTAGATACCTATACCTAGAACATAGATACCCCGAACCTCTGCATATCTACATAATAACAATAATAGTCATACAATGCCCATTCGCTCCCCTCCATACTTACCCAATCCTATAAAAAAGAAAAGAAAAAGAAAAAGAAAAAGAAAAAAGGATATACTAATCCTATTGTGGAGTCTACGAATACATGCCTATCATAACACAAACACACACACACACACAGAGGATGTTTTGATATGAATATGAATATGAATATGAAGATGAAGATGAAGATGTGATATGTTATGATATGATATGACATTCCTACCCCAGAAACAGAAACAGAAACAGAAAGAGAAACACTCAGTCTGTTAGTTAGTTGGTCACTCACTGCCTAGGTATGTATGTAGTATGTATGTATGTATGTATGTATGTATGTATGTATGTATGTATGTATGTATGTAGGTAGGTAGGTAGGTAGGTAGGTAGGTAGGTAGGTAGGTAGGTAGGTAGGTAGGTAGGTAGGTAGGTAGGTAGACAGGTAAACCGGTAAACAGGTAAACAGGTAAACAGGTAAGTAGGTACTACTTACTAGCTCACCCAATCCTAACCGCCTACTCAACCTGAACCTGAACTTGCAACATCAACTTGCCCACTGCTACATGCTACATGATAAAACTTAAAACAAAACAAGACAACATTCAGCAAATCATTGTATTTTGCCTTATTCTCATCTAGTTGGAGCGCAGATGGATAGAAGAGGATGCAAGGGTGGAAGGCTGGAAGAACTTGATCGCATATCATAACATAAAGTAGCATGATAACATGATAGATAACATGACATGATGATAGTTATAAAATAGCATAGTATAGGATAACATGAAATAACCATAACGCTTAGTTACAAGACGAGACAAGACAAGACGAGACGAGACGAGATGAGACGAGTCAACACAGCAAAGAAAAGAAAAGAAAAGAAAAGAAAAGAAAAGACAGAAAGCATGGATTCCGCCGACAAACAAACAACAATGGTATGTGAAACGAAATTGAAAGAGGCATGCAATGGCAGACGGAGAGAAAGGGGGGATGATTTCCTCTTGCTGTTCTGTTCGTACACCATCATAACCACAACCATCACCATAACCAGGGCTGACAGGTGTGTAGGTGTAGGTGTATCCTCCTAGCCAAAGATACCCCTGCCTCCGAGGTAGGCAGGCTAGATATCTTCCGGAGTATCATCACACCGTCCCTTATTCGCAGTCCCTGAATTCATCCACTCCACGACAACTCGACGATCATCACGCCCTCGGTTATTCGCCTCCATCATATTCCTACCCCTGTCCACAACCCCATCCTCCACATCACTCTCACTCCTCACCCCTCACCCCTCACCAATTGACCGTTTGACCGCCTAACCGCTGAACCGAAGCACCGACTGCCCGAGTTCATTTCACCACGCATTCCGATCCCAATTCGGATCTATCCCAACCCCAAAATCCCACAATTAGCACAAACCATCCATCTACCCCTCCCAAAGATAGTAAAAGAAAACATACCCTGCACAAAACTCGCCAACACCTTACTTCCGGTCTGCAGCAAAGGATGCCCCGCGACGATCTGCAAGAAGCGCTGCAACCCCTCGCGCCGATGCTCGATCACATCATCGCTGAAGCGGTTGGTAAACACCTTGCCGGGCAGCGGGGGGATGGTGACGCGCGTGGACTCGCGCTCCAGGATGTCCCGGAAGTATTCGAAGTCGGAGTACCGGCGGCGCACGACCGAGTGCTTGAGCTTGAAGGCGGGGATGTTGGTGCGGCAGGTCAGTTCGTACGAGGTGTACATGCTTCGGGATGTGCCGTGGGTTTGGGGGTTTCGGACCTATGGATTATTATTATTGTTATTATTATTATCATTATTAGTATTAGTATTGTTGGTTTGGGGGGAGTATTCCGGAGGGGGTTGGGATTGGGATTGGGAATAGCATGGCGAGTGCGAGTATCTCGCTCAATAGAGATAGACAGACCCAGATCCAGGGAGCTATAAACCCAGAACAGAACACAACCGAACAAAAACAGGGAGGCATGATATGTGTAGGTGGATAGAAAGGGAGGGAGGGACGAGGCTACTTCAATCTCCAAAAAATTCTCGGGGGGGCCATAAATCTCCTCGAAAGTCTGCTGACGGGATTCCGGAACCGCCTGCATCTTTGCTATCTGATCTGTGGTCTGCACGTTCGCTGTCTAGCTAAGTCGTGGTGGGCGCGGAGCAGAGCGGATGGGATGTAGTGAGTGAGTGAGTGAGTGGTAATCGTAATGGTGGTGGTAGTGGTGGTAGTGGTGGTAGTGGTGATGGTAAAGTAGGTGGTGGGGGGACCGCGGGGAAGGTCAGGAACCGCGATTGGTTCTGGTGTTGGGATGTAGGGGGGTGGATTTATAGATTTGATGTGATCCGATGCGATGCGATTATGGAAGTAGAAGGTAGAAAGGGATGAGAGGGGACGAGGAGGCAGAGGAGGAGGGAGAGAGAGAGAGAGGTGTAGGTAAAGTAGGTAGTGGGAGGAGGAACAGGAACTGGAATTGAAGAGATGACGACGGACTGACTGACTGACTGACTGATAAGACAGCCGCGTAATTACTATGGTAAATTACCGTACGAACCGGGGGCGGGGGATTGTTCCTCCCGCGGCACGCGACTGTTTCTTAAATAGGAATCAGATACTATCTACCACTGGTAAGGTAGTTTAGTTAGATGCTACTCCGTACTGATCCTCTACTCAAGCAGATACCGAATCAAATCATATTGTCTAATACACCAGAGCAAGGTAGGCTCGAAAAGAACTGCCAGACAAGAGCCAATTTCCCCGTACCCGTAACGACAACCTAAAGAAACCCCGAAGATGGCCGGCCGTACAAACCGCACGGATGAGCGAGACAAGAAATGAGAGGGAGGAGGGAGAGGAGGAGGAAGAGGGAATGAGAAAGAGTGAAGGATGAAGTGGCCAGCAGAGAGATCTACTCCTGCCGACTGCGCTTCGCGCCGTGAGGGTTCCACGACCCATCACCAACGCCCTGGTTGGGAGGGAAGAAGCCCTGGTTGAACGCCGCATTGGGGCCCTGGAATCCTTGACCTAGGCAACTATCAGCCACATACTCAGCTAGTCAGAACAGAAAGAAAACTTACCCTGCATCCCCATGTTGCCGGCCATCTGTCCCATCATCGGGTTCATCCCGCCAGACATCGGGTTCATCCCCATGCCACCCATCGGATTCATCCCCATCGCGCCCATCGGGTTCATGGCCGGCATACCGCCGCCGCGCCCACGCATGCCCCCGGGTCCACCGCGCATCCCCCCGCCCATCATGTTCCCGCGGTTGTTGAAGCCGTAGTTCTGCATGCCCATCGGATTGCCCTGGAACCCCCCGACCATCGGATTGCTGGGGAATCCGCCCATCGGGTTCTGGAAGTTGCGGTTGCCGCCGAAGTTGCCCATGTTCCCGGACATGCCGCCGCCGCCACCGCCGCCGCCGCGGTTGTTGAACCCGCCGCGTCCGCCCCGGAACCCCCCGCCGCCGCCGCCACCCATGTTGTTCATGCCGAAGTTCATGTTGTTGGACGCATTGTAGCCGCCGGACATCGACCGCGATTGGTTGTCTTTGCGCATCGGCGCGTCCTTGGGCAGTGTGCGGAACGGGTTCGGTTGCGGGCTGGTGTACGTGACCATGTGCTTGCGCTGGCCACCCGCGCCGAACGACTCGATCTGGTGCTTGGCTGCCGATGCGGCCTGGAGGGTGGTGAATTCGAGAAACGCTTGCCTGGGGACGTCAGCAGACTGCAAAGAAAGAACCCCGACAGTGAACTCACCCCTTGCTTTTACCATTCACCTTGTGTTCGCTGAATGTTACATCCTTCAGTTCGTCTTCCGCGTCGGCCTGGCGGATCCAGCCGCGGATGTCGTCGTCCGTGGTCCACCAGTACAGGTCGGATATCAGCAGCGCCGGCGTGGCATCCGGGTCTGTCGGGCGGTCGTCGAGCTCCTTGCGTTTCACCCCCTGCTGGGCCTGCTGGGGCGCCGGGGTCTCCTTGGCCGGGGGCTGGCTGGCGGCGTCGGGCTGTGTTACATGTTCACTATGGGGGCCGGCCGCCTCGCTGTCGGGCTTCAACGTGCCGTCGGAGGAGCCGTCGCCCTGGTTGGGGCTCGTCGAGTCCGGAGCGTCTAGGATAAGGTCTGTGTCCTCCTGCTTGGTCTCGTCCTCGGGCTTGTAGTCGCCCTGGTCATTGGCGTTGTAGCCACCCCCATCGCCATAGATGTCAATATCGAAGTTATCATCTTCAGTAGCCATTGCGTTTATAAGGATCGATCAAGGCACAACTTGATTGCTTGCTTGCTTGTGAATATACAGTCCTCCGCTGTTCCGATCCTCAGTTCAGTTCAGTTTCAGTTCGACCACTCAAGGGAAGTACATGTCTGTAGACACAGGCCGTCAATTAGCACGAAGGAATCATTCACAGGACTAGGTAACCTCCACGACGCGGGCATCCTTGTCTGACATGCAAGTAAACAGGGGCAGGCAGGCAGGCAGGCAGGCTGAAAGCAACAAGGACAAGGACAAGGACAAGGCATGAAATACGTACAATCCACAGCGTCAACGTCAAAAGGGAACAAACTTCACCCGTCCGTCCACGGAGACCTGAAACGGGAGTGCTGAAGGCTCCTGAGTCCAGGAAGCAATACAGAGAGTGTAGAACGACAAAGGTTCCCAATGAAAGGAGGCAAGATAGAAGTAGGAGTAGGAGGAGTAGTGTAGCAGCAGTAGCAGTAGTAGTAGTAGTAGAGTAGTAATCCACAGGCGCCTGAGATCCGCTGCTGCCGGTGCGGCAGAGCCTTGCTAGAGAACAGGTCCGATACAACCTTCCAGAGACGAGAGTACAGGAGAAGGGAAAAAAGAATCCGCAAACAGGAGTTCGTGAGGAGGGAGAGTGAGGTTAGTCCAAAGCTTCCCGGGCCTGGGACTGATGTAATGGGCAGCCGCGTAGCTTGTATTGCTGGTGAGTGGGGGAGTCGCGCCCGGTCGGTGGAGAGGAGAGGGGATGGAGAGAGGGAGAGAGGGAGAGAGAAGGGGAGGTTGGGTGGAGAGGAGAGGATGCGCGATAGAAGAGAGTTGGTTGGGAGGGGGGAAGACGTGTCCGAAGAAGGCGAGGGCGGAGCGCGATAGTTCGTGGAGAGAGAGTGAGACAGACGGAGGAAGGCCAGCTGCGGCTGCGATCTCGAAGGCGCGGGTGGACCCCGGCCCGGCTCAACCTCCGCTCCGGGCCCCGGCCCCAGGCACGCTTTCTATCTAGTATCTCGCTATCTGTGAGGGTCGGAATCAATATATTATGGAGTCGCCTAATTACATTCATTCTATCCGGTGCGCTCTTGTCGGATGATAAATCTCATCTAACACCAGCACAGTTACTCTTCGACATCTGACCTCATTGCAGCCAAAAACAAATATTCGCCCCCTATCTATCTCACCATATGTCGGCATACGGATCTTCCGGGTCGATTACCGGCAGCGCTGGCCGGCTTCGCCGCTTCATCGTCTCCTTGAACATGTCGAATTCCGGCATGGGGTTCAGCTTGCTGTCGTAGTTGCCCGACACCGGGGGGTCGCCCTCGTCGCCATCGACCCCGTCATTCCACGTGTGCAAGGTACAGGTGCCCGTGGACAATCCCCAGCCATTCCAAGATGTCGCTGCAACAGTTAGCTCAATATCAATGGCTCGCCACCATCGTCATCATCATCATCATCATCATCAACTTACCGGCCAGAACAGGCGAGTTGGGGTGCCAGCTGGCGTCCCGAACACACGTCTTCCACATCACGTCACTGCGGCTGCTCCGGATCTCGTACGCAGTCGTGAAGATCTCGGGATCGCGCGGGCGCGTGTTCACGGTTGCCTGCCCGACATCGATCGTGCCCGCGAGGGTCGCGTCCATGTTATACACATGCACCTTCCCGTCCTCGCTGCCAGTATAGACGTATCGCGAGTTGGTGCTCCCCGGGGGCGAGAAATGGCACCGAATGAGGGTCTTGAGGACCCGGTGGCCCCGGAAGGTCACCACAGAGCAGTCGTGGGGGTGGGGCTCGTAGTAGTCGTCGGGATACGGCTCGAACCGGTAGTCGTAGCCCGTCGTGAAGCTGTTGACGTCGACCGTGTCAAACTTGGCGGTCGTCATCATCTTCCGCAGGTCCCACAGCTTCATGGACTGGTCCTTGCCGTTCGACAGTACGTAGCGGCCGTCGCCCTTGCTATCCACGTAGGTCAGTCCCTCCGTGTGCCCCATGAAGACGCCGGCTTCCCGTCCATCGCCCATGGACCGTCGGTCCCACACGCGCAGCGTGGTGTCGTCCGAGCCCGAGTAGATGATATGCGGCGACGATGAGTCTCCAAAGCAGACGGCGTTCACGTCGTCTTCGTGATTCTGCAACCGCAGCACCGACTGTCGTGTTTCCAGATCGTAGACGATCACCGACTGATCGGATGTACCGGCCACAATTTCCCGACCGTCGCCCGAAAATCGAAGGGACCAGATCTGTCGCCATAGTTAGACAGGAACGACGGCTTGCATGGCAGGGCATACCCCAAAGTGAGAATTTCCGTAGATCCCCCGCCCGGCCCTTCGTCCCGAAAGCGAGGACAGGTCCAGAATGGCCGGGTCCGAAACGTCGGATGGGTCCGTAGGCGCCAGGCAGACCAGATTCCGGATCGAACTGTATGCGAGGAACTTGTTGTCCGGACTGAGTGTGGCGTCGGTGATGGTCCATTGCCCAAACGGATAGTCCACCGTTTTGTAGTACCTCCACTCAAACGGGTTGGAGGTGTCGTACATCCGGACCTTGAAGTCCTGGGCGCAGCAGAAGAAAAAGTTGCCGTCATCCGAGAACTGTCCGGAGTAGCACCGCGAGTCGAAGTGAATCGTCTTGTCGGCGGTGGAACCAGGAATAAGTTCCTGGTAGCGTCAGCCTAGAGCTGGCCATCCCCATCCAGCACCCGACACCCACCTGGGTTATGGCCCGCACGTTCCGCCTCTGTGCCGGGGACACATCGAGCCCCAGCTCTCGCCACATGATCTTGGACGCCAGGGCGGATTTCCGCTGCTTCAACCTGTCAACGTAGTAGGGGTTGTCTCCGAAATGCCCGGACCCCATCAGCTCTGCTCCTTCATCGCTCGGGACCTTGGGGGACTGCGCCCCGGATCGTCGCGGCCTGCGTCGATAGCCGAAGAAACCGAATTCATAATCGTCGTCATCGTCGTCCGGCACGGAAGCGTCGTGTAATCCGTTATGGTGGAGGATGTGGCTCAGGCCGTTCGAGGCCAACAGATTCAGTAATCGGGCGGTGGAAACTGGTCTCATGAGCGTTGCCCTCTATGCGCAGACCTCAACACCAGGCAAGGATACCTCTACTGTGTCTCCCCTGCTGGGGAGCCTCGCCATCCTCGGTCCGGCCCGGCTCGTCCAGGGCGAATTCGATCTGGATATTGCCTAGATGCAGTTCGGGGTCTTTCAAGCGAGTTAGATCGGAGTATCAGCCATGTCCGGAATCAGGGGATGCACAGTCATTAAACGCGATGGGAGCAATAGTACCGAAGTGCTGGTTGTCACCGTGCGCATCCACATCAGGGTCGTCGTCGTCGTCGTCTTCGTCGTCGTCGTCCGGCTCGAAGTCGGATTCATTCGGGTCATACTCGTCCGGCTCGTAGTCCATGTCAAACTCGCCACCGCCATCCTCGGGCCAGTCCTCGAGGGGGTTGTAGAGCACAGGACCCGGAGACGGCGGCATGTCGGGCAGCTGGCCGAGGGGGTGGTCGTCGAAGTTGTTGCTCATGATCGGCCGAAGAGGTGGAGGGGTCGATGTAGAAAGACAGGATCGGTCACGGAAATCATATCACACACCACCTGCATGCGACGGGGCAGGAGATAGACAGTGGGCAATTGGCTGGCTTGCGCAAAGAAGGAAGAAGGAAGAAGTAGGAAGACGACATGCGGGCTTTGATGGACGGATCGGTTATGTCATCGGGCTTATCTCCTATCCCCGCCCGGCTCGGACATCATCGCCTCATCACCCCCTCCCTCAATGCCATTGTTCCAGAAACCATCATCAATCGTGGGTTCTTTAACTAACTACCAGAGCTCAACGCTGCATATCAAACAGGACAGCAACAGCCATGGAGAAGAAGCAGGTCATTGCAAAGAAACACAACAATGAGCCAGCTCACTCCACCAGGTTCTCGCCCGCCAAATGGACCCGACTCCCCGCAAAAGCCACCAAGAGACACGCCAAGATAGTGAAAAGCAACTCCAGCCCGTCCTCCCTCGCGAACACAGCGCCCGTGAGCCATGGCCGGAGAGGGCCTGGGCTCGCCAACTGGGGTTCCACGTCAACATCCGGGGGATTGGGTCTGTCGGACCCCATGCTAGTGTCGCGCCGACTCCCCATGTTTCTCTTCCTCGTGACCGTCGCACGGAGCACAAGGAGCTCGACAACCACGTGGAGTTTCACGCGCAATAGGGAGAGTCTCTTGCGTGAGACACCCCTGACCGATCGATGGCGCTTTCCGGGACGATGTTCCGAAAAGCGAAGATACCGTCTAGTCAGGACCGACTCTGTCGTATCTGTCTGGCCTTCTGTTTCTGGTCATCGTTCAGCAAGCCATTCAGTTACCAAGTGAAACAGGGTCATGCACGCACCACAGAAAGATGATACAGAGTGGGACACATCTGCCTCGTAGGACACCGACGGCCCTTTTTGGCCGAAGAAAAGCTGCTCGACGTGCGGGACGTAGATAGAGAGGACGCGATATGTCACATGTTGCAACTGCGTCTCAGACGGAGTCTTAGTCCGCGTTTTGGTCAGAGGTAAGTCATTGTCATGCGGTATCTTAACCGTCTTTTGTGTGTCGTCCAGAACAGGATAAACTGCTTGAAGAAAAGATGCATGTAGCTTCATTGCCACCGAACGTGTTATTGCGGTGTTAAACACAAGGCCCGCGGGAAGGCCCGAGAACAAACTGTCGACATTCAATGTCTTTTGCATCGTATTTTCAAACCTATGGCTCTTGTCCAACTCCGGATCGACTTGCTCCTGGAGGTCACAAGTAACATCACGATGGTCTCCCAATCGATCGGCTTGAATTAGGAACTGGGAGTCCAGGTCCCACTTCGTTGGGGCTGGTGGCTCATTCTCATAGAGAATCCAGTCGCGGGTTGTCGAGTGCTCTGGTTCTTGATATGCTTCTCTAGCCATGTCTGCACACATATGACACTGAGAGACGGTCTCCTTCGAATGGCACATGTTGCAGTTATCACAATCATGCCCGCAGGATTCACATCGCTTCTCGTGCTGGTCTTTTTCGGGACCAGGCTTTTGCTTGGGAGATCTGTCGCGGTTCGGGGACCGTGATATCCAGCGAGGACTCTCGTCTGTTTTTGACTCATCTGGTTGAGACGATCGAGAATCATTGCTCTGTACTGGGTCAATGTTTTGATGGTTCGTCGGGAATGCTCCCTGCATCAAAGATGAGTGGTATCTTGCGAGATTGGATGGCACCGGGCTGGCGATCTCAGGTTCGCCACTGGCCCTGAAATACGGTGTTGAAACCGGAGATACAGAGTCAGCTGCACTGGCAGAATGGCCCTGTATCGATCTATCTTCAGGCCCATTCACTTCGTCCACGCAGGCCGAATACCCATTACCATAAGATCCAGGATTCTGCCCGGGAGCGAAGAATCCCAGGCCCGCATTACCAGTCCCATGGGAGAACAAGGAGTGGGAACCATTTCCCCCAAAACCGTCCGGAAACTGAGACCCATAAGAGCCAAACCCTCCGCCCGCGCCACGATAATCACTCCCCCATCGACTCTGGCTCGCACTCGAGCTCGTCGAACTATTGCCCTGGATGCGACAATGCTCGGAAACACACTTGAAGTAATCCGCCCAGCAGCTCACGCCATTCGGGCACAGCCCACAAACACTCGGCGCGGCGACTCTCCTCTCCGCCAAGGCAATCTGCTCTCGCGTGATCCTCCACGGATATCTGTGATTAGTCCTCATGTGGCAATAGACTTTATCCCGCCTGGTCGATTTCCAGAGACAGTTATCGTCGAGGCAGTGATATATGAACTCGGGGCGATGTCTGTAGGCCACATGGCGTCTGAACGTCCCCCGAGCGCCGTACATCTTGCGGTGCTGCGGAGGACACAGATAGCACAGATACCGGGCCCCGTTGCTCGGGCTGACGGGGGAGTGGTCTAGGGTGTCGATCTGGTGCTGGATCATGCCTTCCAGTCTGCTGAAGGTCACTCGAAGCAGGTCTTTCATCTCGTATAGCTGGGTGATCTCGTGCCGTGGGAGTCTGGATTGCACTGTGCTTGCGAGTCGGTCGAGGTCCACATTGAGCTCGTCCACGGCACCCGCCCCGCGCGACTGAACTGGGGGGACTCGCAGGGGGGACGTGTCCACGCCGCCATCCATCGGGAATTGAGTGTGGTCTTCATCGAACTGGAACGACATGCCTGCCAAGGCGTCGAAGGGATCGTCTGGGAGAGGGATCTCCATGTCTGGATAGAGACTGCCGTCTAAGGGACTCATGCTTCTCGACGGCGAGACGGGTGACGGGACGGATGAAGACGTGTATTGCTTTGGACCGTTAGCAGCTCAGCCAGCCTGTGGATAGGAGACATCCATCCATCCGCTAGATGTGGGATGACATACCGATGAAGCACCGTAAAGAGGGCCAACGGGCATCAGGTGGATGCCGTGGCGAGACCTGGGGCGGGGACCACCTGGGAAGTTGAACTGGATGGGTATGGGGGGGTGGGAGCTATTTGTACCGTCCTCCATGCTGGAATATAGCTGGCTGGCCGAGGTGATTATCTGGGGGAGTGTTGAGGGATGAGGTATATCAAGTAAAGACTACCAACTAGGTATTCTAAGTAGTACAGGATCGAGGGGAGCAGAAAAGAAGCAGCGCAGTATGTATATCAGAGACAGTTGAACGAAGTAGGTACTCTCGAGCAGTACCAACAAGCAGGCACAAAAGCGGCAAGGTACAAAATATGCGTAACAGTTCAGAATTTTCACAACAGTCGAAAAGTGAGTAGAGATGAAGAGAAGAAGACAAAGAGAGAGAAAGAGAGAGAGGAGGGGGGGGTGTCATGCCCTCATACTTATACCACCCACCATGCCCTGCCCTGCCCTGCCATGCCCTGCCATGTATACGAGCCCATACATACCTTACCTTACCACCCATAGGTACAGGGCAAATACACGCCCCCGTCAACAAATTTCACGCACCCTCACTTAGTACGGTACCTATAGGTAGGTGCCTTAGGTACGATAGGTAGCACGGGGCGTACGAGAGACAGTCTGCATGACGTCTGCGCGGGATTTGGTATTTTCTGCATCGGACAGACAAGACAAGAGACAGACAGACAGACAGACAGCCTTGTGGCCCTCCCCCCGAGGCACACACCAGGCGGACGCAAGTTCGGTGCCTAAATCCTCGGGGAAAAGCAAATCTGGCTGGTGCACGTCTTACTGGCCTTTTTGTCTAGCTGTGCGGTGGGATGGGATGGACTGGGATGAGCTGGACCAGCTGAAGAGGCGTGGGCTTGGGGAAGCTTAGTTTGCATTGGGATGACTACATGAAATGGGTTGGGGCCGTCAAGTTACCTGGAGACGTACTGTAGATAGATATATACATTCAAAGTCATTGGTTTATGGCCGGGGTTTATTGGAGGTGTGTGTTATTCGGGGATACGTGATCGGTAAAGGTTTCCGATCGGTTGGAATGATGGCTGTAGTACAAGAACAAGAGGATAGGTCCCGCTTCAGGTTGGATAGTAGTAGTAGTAGTAGTAGTAGAATCCATCCCATCCACCATCTCACTCACATATGATCTAGACCTTCTGTTCGAAAGTGAGGCGCCGGTCCGTATCTTCCAGTTCGGCAATCGCCGACTTCCACCATCTAGGGCTCCAGAGTTCCAGAGTTCTAGATCCCAGAGCTCCGAGATAACCCTGTCAGTTCATTTAAAGCTTGCAGAAGAGGAAGCTAGACGAGCAGCCGGGATGAAGGCCAGACCCATCTATGACCTGGGTCCGGAATCTCGAACATGTCGACACCTGCGGCATTTGTCCGATTCCCCGAGGATCTGGTTCTGCTTTACGTGACTGTTGGTTTTGTTGTGCTGGATGGGGGAGGATGGTGCGCGTGTCCTCATCAGCAGCCACAGCCTCGAACAGCTGGCTGCTCTTGAGCCTCCCTCCTCCTCCTTCTCCGCCGACCGTCCCCCCCCCGTCTTTAACCGATAGATACACACCTACTAAGTAAGCCTCGCCATTACCCGCTTGTTTTTTACCTCTTCGCGGGTTTTAGGTCGAAGGTTTCAACCCGCAGGTTAGATATAGATTTTAAAATATTAAATATATATATATATATATATATATTAATAAACTATACATTAATTATTAATCTCAGCTAAAACCCTTATAGCACATACTAGGCTTGAAAGTATCCCATACAGATAGTATACCAATGATGCTATAATACTCAGAAGACTAGGCTCTTTCAAATATGGGGAATACCTTTTAAAGTAATTACTTAGCTTACTCTATACAGCCGGTCATTTCTTCTACAGTTCTCATTTTCAGCACTGAGCAAGGACCTTTCAAACACTTCTTAATTTATGTTTTATAATTGCTATACTCTTGCTTTCTTTCCATTCCTTTTCTTTACTCCGACCCTACCCTTGCAAAAGGTTCTGGTTGACCTCGATAATATCGACTTCTATGGTGTTGACGGTGTTTATACAGACTACACGGACGAAGCTCGTCGGGGAGAGTGAGCAAACTAAGTCGGAACTCTGGAGAATGTTATCTGAAACCGGTCCATATAGCCAGATTATATCGTTCTGTACCTGTTAGCCTTTTTTTTTTTTTTTTTTTTTTGCACAGAGCGAGATAGGTTTCATACTAACACCATAAACTATATCTTCGGCGGTTATATCTGATAGGTCTGACGCGAGAATAGACTGAACACTTTCAACATACTGGTGTTCCTCCACACCCACCATGGAGAAATTTCACAGTAAAGGCCAAGGATGTCACCATCACCCCTGCTATACAGCATCATAGTATGCATCTCTTGGGGTGACATATAGAGGCCAAGAGTGAGATTCCGGCCCTGGTTTGTTGAAATCTGTGTAGAATGTTAGAAAACGAATAACTAGCCGCAATTACAAAGCATGACAGACGTACAGCAAGATATGGGGTAGCAGTAATGCCCCAGACAACTGACATCGAGGTTAAGACTTCGCGTTGTCCGTGCCATGAAACTGAGTGATTACTACATATCATTGCGTCGCGGCCAATCGTAGAATGAGCTCGCTGATAAGGTTAGAGGGTGACAAGGCAGCCACGGACTCACCCAGAGAAAGTCATATCTAACCGAATGATAATTCCTGTCCCACATCCGCTTCAGAGGCCCACTGTACACGGGAGATTTTCAGCGCCTAAACCTCGTTAGTTCATAGCTCGAATCGAAAAGTTATCATACATCCCATGTCAATTCCATCCGAGGAGGTGACTGAGAATAAATGACACCCAGATACTCAATGTCTCCAGGCGCCGGACTACTGGAAAGCCTTTTTTGTGGCGTCTGGCAAGATTTCAAGTCGTCGCAGCCCGTAGCGTCCGAGGATGAAGGTGAAGAGAGCGGCCGATGAAGGAGATGAGAGCTTGAGTGATCGGGTAGTCTGATTTCCATAGACTCTGCCGTCTGTACAGATTCCGGTAATATAGGTTCCAACCATGATCGAAGCCATATAGACAACGATATCTCCCTGTAGCCGAATCGTGGCTGAGGCAGGCTTTGCATCTACAGCCGGCCAGATTGTCCTAGCAGCGCGTAGCAGAAGATGGCATAAGCCTCCAGATAATATTGACAAGCTCCAATGGAAGGATGCCAATATGCCCCATCAGTCTATGCAGACTAGTCCTGTCATCCTCGATCGAGTTCTGAAGCCAATATCGCTGGAGATTGGTTTGCGGTCTTGGTTGTGGCCGAATGCGAGTATAGTACGTTGGTTTATCTGCCGGCAGTTTTTGGGACTGTCTATCCTGATGCTGAGTTTCTGCAGGACAACTGCACCATTCTCCTTTCTCTAAAACCTCCACGGCTCTGTTAAAACCAAGTCGCCATCTGGTTCAACAGGAATGACTACGTATTGTATTAGAATACGCAGATTGTCTGACATATGGCGCTTCCTCGAGCGGAAGAAGATAGTTGGGTTCAATTCCTCCCCCATCATGCAAATCAAACAAACAATGCTTGCCGGCGGTGATCACATGGGGCCTAAGGGCTCAGGCATCAACTTTTCCCTCGGAGGATCCTCTCTGATGCTTATGATAAGCCATCAATTCAAACAGAAGTAGTTGTGCCTTGAATTATTATTTGCAGTTTAATTTGAAGTTCTGGAATATTGCCAGTAGTACAATAAATAATTCACGCTGTCTTTGTAACAGCTGTATTCTCAAACCCAGTTAATATAATAAATTTAATGATACCGGCTGACACATTCCTGGTTCTTGTCAAGGCAATTGCTGTACATATAAGTATAGTAGTATATTCAGGTAGAACAGAAACAACTCAACTAGGCTCCTGGTAGGTTCTATTAAATACTAATCAGTCAACGTATGTAGTATAAGTTGTCATGCTTAGGCAGTAGGCTGGATAGTTTTATTTACCCCGCGCTACTATATAGTATATACTGTTTACACCGGCCTGAGAAAAATAATTATGAATTATATTCCATGATCATCCTTCTGATCTAGCTCTAGGAAGCGGACACGGCAATCTTTCAGATAAATAATAAATCTAGTTTTGTAGCCCAACAAACATGTGTAATACTTTTACACAGGTAAAATTATAAACTCCTTCCTAGAGCTATTATCTATCCGCATACAAATTACTTACAAGACTGCTAGTACAGTCTTGACCTATTCAAGCATTAGAATTACCCCGATGTACTACTATCGCCCCGGTAAGCATGCTGCATGGTGCATGGAGACTGTACGGTACAGTAATACTAAGTGCATCTCCAGTCTGCACCGTTGTGTATGATATTCCTATTTAGGTGCTGACCGCACAATGTCCGTTCATTACTGTCCTTCAGCCATTATCCATCTATTTACTCAGCCATCGACGTGTACATGCAGACATTGACCATTGTCAGATGACACTGACACTGGCACTGACACTGACACGTCTTCAACGGCCGTTGAGAATATGCAGAGATACACCACCCATGCAACGGAACTGGAAGGCCTGAGGTAAGTACTAGATACATAAGGTAGGTAGTCAACAATGCGATTCAGGGCCCTCGCAGTCCCAACAAGCCGCAGACCAGGCCACCATGCATCTCATTCCATCCATACATGATCTCGCCTCAAACTCAACTCCTCTGACTGATCTGGCTCTGTGAGTCAGATCTCAGCCACAGCTTGTGAAACGTCGGATCTTACTAGCAGTCAGTCAGTCAGTCAGTAGCAGCCACTGCTACCGTAACTAACTGTAACTAGCTATGATCCTTCAGATGAGCAACCGCACCGCTACTCGCATCACTCAACCCCTCCCCCTGATACACTACCAGATCGCACATCTCACGTAATCCCAATCCCAATCCCAAGCTCAATCCGCAACCCAATTGGCAGCAGACGACAGTAGTATCACACAGACAGGGTCCGATCTCGTCCCGAGTTCGCCGTTCCTGGATGAAGCTGATTGAGCTGGGATTGGGTGTCTAAGCCATCTATCGTTGGGTTCGCATTCGCATAAGCCAACTAGTCATAAACAGTCTATTGTCCGACAGGGAATATGCGACAAGCAGAGAGCACAGCCACATTGGTGCTTATCAAACGTACTCGTCTCAAGATCTGGTTCTTCTTTCTGGGGGTTGATTTGTTGGTGTTGTTGTTGATATTGATGTTGATATTGATATCCATTCCAGCTCCCTTGTATAAACTGTGATCTTCTCTTTTAAAAAAAAAATTGATAGTCGGTTTTGCTGGTCTTCATCGTCATGTGATAATTTTTGGGAGGGAGATTGGAAGAGAGAGAGAGAGAGAGAGAGAGAGAGAGAGAGCTGCGCCTTGAGGAGGTGAGTGAGGGAACTACGCCCCATCCCCAGGAGTGAGTGAGGCGATGAAAGGTACCTTATCTTATTATGCGAAGGATCAAGCCCGCGCCTTGACAAGCTGATGGACAACGCATTGATACGAATTGATCCCTACCTACTTTGCAAATGTGCTTATGTATACATCGTAGCATGCAATCTACATAAGATACCTTATTCCATGCACGAACAATCCTTCACAAGTGCAGTGCACAGCCTGGATATTACAATGACATTAAAGCGCTACGCAGCCAATTGGCTTACAAACTACGAAAATACCCATAAGAGATGAAGGCAGCAAGGAATCAATCCAGCTGGAAAGCACAATTGAGGTGGTACAAATTGGATTCTTCTACGTTGTGTTCATTGTAGAGTGTGTGGTGTGGTATATACACAGGTTCTCACGTTCCCAAGATGCCAAAAGCGAGTCGCTTAGTGGGGGTGGTTCTTGTGGTGACCTGGTTCGGTTAGTGCTGTGGCATTATGAGGGTGAAGATGGGGATGGGGCACGTACGGAGGTGGAAGTAGTACTCCATGCTGTAACCCAGGATCAGGATGGTGCCGATGGCGTGGGCGAGGGCTGTGAAGGTTTTGATGGTTAGCGTGGTTCATAGATATATTTATATAGAGAGATAGAGATAGAGGAGAGGGGGAATGCTTACGAGCAGCGGAGGCGTTCTTTCCGTCGAAGTAACGAGCACGGTAACGGCCGATGAGGCCAGTGGCCTTGATCTCAGGGGCAGGGCCGCGAGGGAGTCTGGCGTAGAAGTTCACCACGCGGTCCATGCGGGCGGCATCCTTGGCGGCACCGATCGCCTTTTCGACAGTTAGTTATGTTCATCCAGCGGGCAGCGCGTGGTGTTGATCGCCAGGGTCGGCAGCGTGAAAGAGATTGCTTCGGGCGGCAGCGTCTGAAGGGATGGCGGGGGATTAGAACACTGGGGGTCTCACGTTGGGGGAAGCGATCTAATCATCCATTAGCATGTCAGTTCTTTCGAGAACGAGTCTTTCTCTCTGGGTTCTTCTCGGCTATTTCTTACCTTGGGAGGGATGAGGGTCGAGAGACCGCGGCGGGCGATGTAGCTCATCTTGGAGGATCTGTGCGGCGGCGAGTCAGGGAATTGGGATTCGCAGACACAAGCGATAGACAGCTTGCAATGGCTTCTCGAGACAGGCAATGGGAAGAATGGCTTACCTTGACGCTAGCAGGTGAACTAGGACAATGGATAATGACGGAGAGAAGGAAGAAGTGCCAGCGAGAGAAAGCGGGTTGTCGGAAGAGCGGTTCCAACGCAGGGAGCCTCACCCACCGCGCGCTAGGCCGCTTTCGGATTTGTCTGAACCGCCGGCTCTCGCCGCATACCTTCAACCTGCAATGAGCATCGTGCTCTCTCTCTCTCTCCCTCGCTCTCTCCACTCCACGAGACACCCACCCACACACAACACCACCATGTCGCTTGTCAGAGCAGGCCGTTTCGCCTGCTTCCGCGCCGGCAGGCTCGTCGCCCCCGTCAATGCCCGTTTCGTGTCCGGTCGCGGCGACCCTGCGAGCACTTCCAGCCCTTCTGATGCCCCCGGTGTCCCTCACTCAGACAGCTCCCTGATCCGCAAGGAGAGCCCTTCCCAGGCCATGGCTCGTCACCAGCCTGACTACGAGGCCACCATTGACCATGCCACCTCGTACGGAACCCGCCCGACCCCAATCGCACCCCTCTGAGAAGAACAACCGACTGACACCACTATTAGGCAATTCTCCCCTGTGCCCAAGCGCGTCATGGATGGCAGCGAGCCCGGCCAGACCGTGGCCGCGGCCGTCCTCTCCGGTGCTCCCACCGACCTGCAGGCTCGTACTGTCCGGTACGCTCATCAGAACCAACCCCCCCTACCACCTCCCACCAACCCCGAACAACCCCACTAACCCACCTCAGAATCTACCGTCAAGCAAAGCCCGCCACACAGTCCGGCACCTGGCACAGCCACCACTGGCGCATGGACTGGGACATTCTACAACGCGGCCACCGCTGGGAAAACCCGCTGATGGGCTGGCAATCGTCCGCCGACTGCATGCAGGGCACCAACATCAACTTCAAGACCAAGGAGGACGCCATCCTCTTCGCCCAGAAGCAGGGCTACGAGTACTTCGTCCAGGAGCCCAACGAGCGCCGTTTCGTCCCCAAGGCCTACGCGAACAACTTCGTCCACGAACCCAAGAAGATCAAGCACATCAAGACTAAATAAATGAGGGGGCTCGACGCTGGGTTGCGGGTTTTGTGTGCTGTGTTCGTATCGTGTACATATGTGCAGGCTAGGGCTTTGTTTAGGTTTGGGTGCGGTTTGTGTTGGGGATAAATTTACTTTTCTTACGCTTCATTTTCTCTCTCTCTCTCTCTCTCTCTCTCTCTCTTGGTAGTTGTGTCTGGGGGGTGTTTGACTGGAGGGATGTGGATAGCTGTCTTTCGCCGATGGCTTTTCGGAAAGAACTCACATACGTGGTGATATCGACATACTAGGGGTCAGAATGATATTCGCGATGGGAGAATGAGATCATTATCGACTAACTCGATCTCGATATTTCTCCGGTCAGTCTGATCGAGGTAAGACCCATGTCGATTTGAGTTAACACATGTTTCAGACATGAAGCATCGTTTGCCTGTCGTCAATTGGTGATCATGCCGACATCGTGGATGCTTGTTTCCATGCGCGACGATGCTCCCTAGATGCAGGGGCTTGCACGGTACACCATGAGTTTCCTCAATTCTTTATATTCCAGATTCGATGTCCTCTCATTCCTACACGTGGATAATTTGGTTTATGAGCTAAATACTATACAGCCACACATATGCTGCAGTTGTCTGAAATAGTGGGTTAATTGCCAAACTCCTCCCTCTAACTACATCCATTGTTGCACCTAGCTGAAGAGTAAAGTCAAAAGACATGCAAAAGAAACAGATCCCCCTCATGACACATTCTCTAAGACGGTACGGAGTAGATTGGTAGTTTTTTTTTTTATATACATGTTAGTAGTAGCCCAAACGGCCCGGAACTTGTCCGGCCGAACACCCCCAAATCTAGCCTGGCGGACTTGGGGCTTTTTCTTTCTTGCCCAACCAACCAACTGGCGGGATTTAACCTTCCTCTAAGGACGCATGTTTAAACATCAATCCCTTGTGTGGGTGTGGCTGCACGATGAGTTGCAGTCGCATAGTACTATATAGCCAGCACACCAATTAATACAAATTCCACTCTTCATAACATACGATTCTTCTCGAATTACAAACTACCAGAAAAGTACCAGCCCAAGTCTGCAGTAAGAATATTGCAATTCCCGGCAGGAACCGATCCGGGTGGTGGTGGTGGTGGTGGTGGCTCAGGCGTGGAAAAGTAGGTATTGGAACCCCGCCCCCCCACCTAAAAATTATTATCTGGGCGTGATAAGATCGAAAATTTAATACTACTACTATACCTTACCCAGCCCAGCACCTATACCTAACGTACTCTCTGTCTCTCATCCATCCCCTCGTTTCGTTTCCGCCAGCGTTCTGCGAAACCCAACGCATCTAAAAAAAAGCACCCCCCCAAACGCTCCTTAATCCCCCACCAACCAACCTACCAACCTAATCACCATGACCGAACACACCACCACCCCCTCAGCAGAGGGCGACAACACCGTCCTCACACTGCGCAAAGTCCTGGTGTCGGAGTCAGAGCCCCTCGCGCGCCGCTTCCGCGCCCTCTTCTCCCTCAAATACCTGGCGTGTCAGCAGCCGGTGACCGAGAACACTCTGCCGGCGATCGAGGCCATCGCGGCGGGATTCTCGTCGCCGTCGGCGCTGCTGAAGCACGAGCTGGCGTACTGTCTCGGGCAGACGCGGAACCCGGATGCCGTGGCGTTTCTTCAGCAGGTTCTGAAGGATACGGACGAGGATGTCATGTGTCGCCATGAGGCGGCGGAGGCGCTGGGTGCGCTGGGGTATGAGGATTCTTTGGCGATCTTGCGGGCGCTGAAGGATGATGAGAATGAGCCGGAGGTCATTCGCGAGACGTGCGATATTGCGGTTGATCGGATCCTGTGGGAGAATTCCGATGAGAGGAAGGCGGAGAAGTTGAAGCCTAGGTATGATGATTCATTCTCTCGATGATATAAGATACTGGTGTGGGATGGAGTGATTTTATGATGTGTTGCTAATTCTGCTTGCTTGCTCGTTCTAGTGACTTCACCTCGATCGACCCCGCCCCGCCCCTTCCCCTCGCCGCCGCGGAGCCCTCGATCCCGGACCTGGAGAAGACCCTGCTCGACACAAAACTCCCTCTCTTCCAAAGATACCGCGCCATGTTTGCCCTGCGCGACCTCGCCTCCCCCCCTGACCTGCCCACCGCCGTCGAGGCCGTCGATGCGCTGTCCAAGGGTCTCAAGGACCCCTCTGCGCTGTTCCGCCACGAGGTCGCATTCGTCTTCGGCCAGCTCTGCCACCCCGCCTCCGTCCCCAGTCTGACGGAGTGCCTCAGCAACCAGGAAGAGGAGGGCATGGTGCGCCACGAGGCCGCCGAAGCCCTCGGTAGCCTGGGCGACGTGGCGGGCGTGGAAGACACCCTGAAGAAGTTCTTGAACGACCCGGAGCAGGTGGTGCGCGACAGCATCATCGTGGCCCTGGACATGGCCGAGTTTGAGAAGAACGGGGAGATGGAATATGCCTTGGTGCCGGACTCTGCCGCTTCCGCTGTGTCTGCTGCGTGATGATGAATTATGCGAACAAAAAGATGTCTACAATGTCGGTAAATAGTTGCTTTCATGACTCATAGATGTACAATTGAGATCCCAAAATTAGATGAGCGCGTCGTCGCTTAGTTGTTCGTGGCCTCCCTGTAGCGGTATCAGTATATCTGAAGTGAGGGAGAGAAACGGGGAGACGTACTTGTAACCGCAGACACACGTGTAGAACACCGTACTACCTTCATCGGCACTGCGCAATTGCACCGTGGTGAAGTACATCTCCTTCCGGCCGCACTTGGCGCAGGTATGCTGGGTGAGCGCCTCAGTCCTCCGGTCGGCTGCCGTCAAGGTCTGGACCGCAGATCTTTTCGCTCTCAGCGTGGACGGGAAATCGCTTGGCTTGGACTCGGACACGATGGTCTGTGGAACGGTATCTGCAGCGAAGGGGAGAACCTGGTTAGGAGGGGGAGTACAAGCGAAGGAAGGTCTAGAAGTTCAGGTTGTTTTCTCGTACCTTTATTCCTGGCTCCGCAGACATCGCAGACGAGCTCCTTGGAGGGGTCACCGATGGAGCCGTCGAGGAGGGAACCGCAGGCGGTGCAGAAGACGAGGGTTCCGATGGCGGACATGTTGGCGACGACGCGATTGAGCAGAGGGGCAGGAATCCGCAATACTACTTCGATTTTTCTGACGCCGGAAGAAAAGACGGCCGCACGGGCCACCGCCCAAAGCCGACCGTTAGTGCCGGGCGGTGAGCGGCGGCAGCGGCACGAGAAACCGTGCCTGGCATGAATTATTGCATCGTTTGCCATGGAGATCTTTGGACGATTCGGCGTTCGATCGGGGATGGTTGCTCATTTGTTTGTTTGCTAGCCATGCCTCTGGGGAGAGCATGTCTATTGTACAGTCCTACATCTCCGTCCATCCCAACTGCCGCTCCTTCGCACCCCCACCCCCGTTAACCGCCCGCCGCCATGGCCCAAAACTGGCATCCGGCCGTCCAGGTCGTCATCAACGGCCATCCTCAGGCTCAACCCCAGCAGCCTCATGTCCCCGCCCCCCAGCCGCGTCGCTGGCAGCGCCCGCTGGGCGTGGAGGAGGCCCTGCAGTACTCGCCCATGTCCAGCTCGCCCGTCTTCGGCCTAGGTCAGTCCGATATACCCTTTGCGAGCGAAGTGAACCTTGACTGATAGCCCCATGCCTCCTTTAAGATTGCATCCTGCGTCCGGACGTCGGGCGACCCCCCAATACGACCTCCATCAATCACATCTTACAGTCCGGTCGGACGGCTCTCAGTGGGCTGAACAGCGACATCGAGGCGGGTCGTGGTGACTCCAATCGTCTCGAGACGTCGCGGGAATACTTGCAGCAGTTGCTGGACGGCGATCAGCTGACGGAATTGTGAGCCCTACCCTGACCTCATCTCTCGATCACCTACTCATGACTTTCCCTACTGGCAGTAAGTTCAAACTGCCCACAGGATCCGTCCATACCCAGCGATTGTCTACAAGCGCCTCGCACGATCATGTCGCCAGCGGCACCAAGCTTGGCCCGTTTGCGAAGATGATGCTCGATACCACAGATATCGCATTCCGATGTAAGGCTTTGCCAAGATATACGTATACATTACATTAAGTCACTGACGTATGACAGACCCTACCCCGGACGACATGGAACCTCCCCAGAAGCCTCCCTCCTGGACCGAAAAACAGTCCCCCGTCGCCAGCAAACCTCCCCCTCCCGCCCCGCATCGCCCTAGCCACCCGACAAGCCAGTTGTCGGTAGTCATCCCGGTGAAGCCGCTGCCTCATACTGATAGCCACGGGGTGACGAAGAGGAGAAAGCTGAATGCGGATGGCGAGGACAATCTGACGGCCATCCGAATGAAGGATCAGAAGGAGGAGGCGGACGCCGCGCTGGTCAAGCTGCAAGACTTGCTCCATGAGATATTTGAATCTGAGGATCAGCTCGATCCGAGCACATCATCCGATGCGCCCGCCGAGGGGTCAGCTGTTTTCACTACGCCACATGCGCTAGAAGTCAGTGCGCCAATCCTATCGTCCGATACCCACACCCGACTCCAGAAGGCCATCAAGAAGGTGGTGGGCTTTAATAGACTTCATGACATCCCGTCAGACTATCTGAATAGGATCCAGAAGCTCTGCGAAAGGCCAATCATTGCTGCGCAGTCACCCGACTTGACAATAGAAGACCCGTCGAGCGAGTCTGACGCGCAGGATTGGCTGAGGAAGGTAGATGACATACAGAATGTCCTCCTTGCCATCGGTAGTCTACTCCATACCATGTCTGGCTCCCAGTCGGAGCGAGACCTTTGCCCCGAGGATCTGATTGAGGCCATTCCGAGTGTTTTTAACCACGTCTTTGACCATTGTGTCATTCCAGTTGTCCAGGCCCGTCCGGCAGGAAAGGATGCCAAGTTATTTGAGTTCTTTTCTTCTCAGAAACGAGTCCTCGGGGCTTTGATCCAACAAAGCAAGAAAGTAATGTCTCTCTTTGCGAATTTCCTCTCGCGGATCGACGTCTCCGAAGGGACAGTCACGGCGACCGAGTTTTTCGCGGCCAAACTGATCTTCGTCGAAAATGCTCACACGGAGAAGGACTCCACGGTGGGCTATCAGAAATACGAGTCAGTTCGACGCGGGGCCATGGATTTGCTGGCCAAGGTCTTCTCCAAGTATCCTGCCCAACGGCCATACATCCTGGACGAGATTCTGGTCTCACTAGAGAAACTCCCCTCTACCCGACAAAGCGCCAGGCAGTTCAAACTTGCCGATGGCAAGAACATCCAGCTCCTCACTGCATTGGTGATGCAGTTGGTGCAAACGACTGCTCTAGATGTTCCTACTTCTCGGTCATCGCGGCTTAGGCGTAAGCCACCTGGAGCCGAGGACGAGGACGATGATGAAGAGCTTGCAGATGCACAGGAGATCGAGCATGACCCGTCGGACATGTCCATGGAGCAGCTTGCGACGAAGGTCAATCGCTTATATGATAATGCAGTGCGAAGCGCCCAGTATATCGTCAAATTCATCGTCTCACGAGCGATGACATCGACCAAAACCGGCGATCAGCCGTATCGCAATATTTTCGACCTCTTCACTGAAGACTTGATCAGCGTTCTGGGATCGACCGACTGGCCGGCTGCGGAACTGCTGCTCCGCATCATGGCCTCTCACATGGTCGGCATTGCTGATCAGGACAAGAGCTCTGCTACGGCGAAGAGCATGGCTCTTGAGCTTTTAGGGTGGATGGGCTCTGCTATTTCGGACCTCATCGTGACCGCCCAGCACCTGCTTCCTTCCATGGAAGACTCTGGTAGCGATCTCACCGATCCCCTCCGGCAGCTGTTCGAAGACTATTCGAACCGTGCTTTACATCCTCAGGACCTTGTCGTGCCCGAAGGCCCTTACCGGATGACCCTCGAATATTTTATACAGGACCGCAGCTTAGACAACTGGCAACTTGCTAGCGCTTGCGGTTTTTATCTTGCCCAGTGGGCCAAGACTTTCTGCTCCGTTTATTATAACCCTGAAGATAGAGACGAAGTCGAGTATGACGATACAACTCAAGATTCGGTTGACCTTTTTGCCAAACTATTCTCCGATCCGCTGTGGCTTGAGACCAACAGGTAAGAACACGATGGTAATGCTCGTACGCGGGAAGCTGACGGCTCTAGGAAATTTAACACTATACCCTCCGCCCACGGAAGGTTTGCGTATATCCTGACCGTCTTGAACTCGGGATTCTGTAAAGCTTTCGAAACTATCCTGAAAGTTCTGCTTAACTCGATTGCCAGTGACCAGGCCAAAGTCCGAAGTCGTAGCTTGAAGAGTGTCATCTACATGCTCGAGAAGGACCCGAGCCTTCTGGACAGAGACGCATCGGTCATGCGGGTGATCCTGCGCTGCGCCACGGATGCTTCCCCGATGGTCCGCGATTCGGCGCTGTCTTTGATTGCGAAGTGCATTGCTTTGAAGCCGAAGCTGGAGGAGGATGGCTGCCGGAGCATTTTGACCTGCGCTGCCGATACGACTGCCGGTGTGCGAAAGCGCTGCATCGGACTGCTGAAGGACATCTATCTCAAGACGACACGCATTGAGCTGAAGCTGGCCATTATGGATAGCTTTCTCCAGCGAACGGGCGATCTGGAGGAGAGTGTGGCCGCTATGGCTCGGCAAACGTTCGAGGAGATATGGCTTACACCTTTCCATGAACTCATTGATTCTGTGCAGGATGGTCCGAAACTCAAGGTTGGTCTTGACGAAAGGGTGAATTTGATCGTAAGCCTGGTTCAACGCAGCGACACAGCCCTCGAGACCTTGAACAACTGTCTCAAGAAGATCTTGTCCGACACTGCCAAATCCGCCGCGCTGAACTTCAAAGTCTGCCAGGCGATGGTATCCACGATGTTCGAGAAGCTGGTTGAAGGCAACGAGTCAGGGAAAGAATTTCAGCAGGCGTTGCTGCAGACGATAACTGTGTTTGCGAAAGCCAATGCGAAACTGTTCCGACCTGACCAGCTGGAGACCCTGCATCCTTACATTGGAAACTTGGCAGAGCCAGAGGATCTCTTCCTTTTCCGCTCTGTCGTGGTCATCTACCGATGCGTGCTACCGTACCTTTCGTCTGTGCATAACACCTTACTGAAGGACGTGCAGAACGACCTTTTCAAGAGCGTCGCCAAGCTTGGTCGTTCTGAGCTGAATGAGGTGATGGCTTGTCTCTGGACGATCAACGGAGTTCTGCACAATACCGACAGACTTGTGAAGATAACCATCTCCGTGCTGAAACCGATCCATCACTACAAGAACGTAGATCTTTCGGATTCTAACAACGCGGCAGTCCTAGCCAAGGCCAAAAGCTACATTCGGATTGCCGGCTGTGTTGGCAGACACTGCGATCTTGAAAAGTACGAGCCATATTTCAAGAATGCTTTCCCATCGTGGGGCGGTGGGTCGGTGGCCGGCTTGCTGGTTGATTCCATTATCCCGTTTACGCTTCCGAAACAGCCGCTTGAGTTGAGGGTCATGTCGCTCGAGAGTCTGGGGTCAATCTGTCAGTCCTGGCCCGGCCAGTTCAGCCGCGAAAACCCGCGGCAGGTCCTGTCTATGGTGTTCAACGAAGAGAACCCAAGTCTTCAGAACATTGTGCTGAGGTCGTTTTCCGAGTTCTTCGCGATGCATGAAGGCAAGGCCGAGAAGACTGTGCTGTCTTCTGCTGAAATCGCTGAGCAAGAGAACTCTTCGAGACTCGGAGGTTCTTTGAAAGCCAGTGATAACGACGGGGCCGCCGCGCTGATCGCCCAGCACTTCCTGCGGAACATGCTCAAGGTTGCACAGTCGCGACAGGATTCATACGCTTTGACTGCCATCGAGCTGATCGCCAGTATCAACCGTCAAGGACTGGTCCACCCCAAGGAATGTGCTGGTGTCCTGGTCTCCCTGGAGACGTCGACGGTTCCGGCCATTGCGAAGGTTGCGTTTGACACACATAAGATGCTCCATCAGCAGTACGAATCGATGTTCGAACGGGAGTACATGCGCGCTGTTCAAGAAGCCTTCTATTACCAGCGCGATGTGGTCGGGGACCCCACCGGCGCTTCAAGCCGGCCTTATGTCGCCAAACTCGGACCCCTGTTTGACATCATCAAGATCAGCAACAGTCGCTATCAACGAAAGTTCCTCTCGAACCTGTGCGCGAAAGTCGACTTTGAACCGAAAAAGCTCGACGCTACGGGCGATCCGCCGGAACATCTCTTACTCACTCGCTTTGTGGCCCAGAACCTCGCCTTCTTCGACTACAACCAACTCGCCGAGCTCGTTCCGACCATTGGGTGCATGGAGCGCATTGTCTCGGCGACTGGCACGGCCATCGCCCACTCCATTGAGACCGAAGTCTTTTCATCCAAGATCGAGCCCGCCCCAGGAAACGGGATCCCCGCTCCTGTCCCGGAAGGTCTTGGGGCCATGGCGCCCCCGCGACAGGTCAACCCGGTGACGCTGCGACTCCTGACTACTGCAGCCGCATCGATCTCGATGCTTTGGGAAGCCCGGACGTATCTCCGCCGCCTCTACGGAGTCACTGCGCACGCTCGAGCCAAGGACGCCAAAGGAGCGACCAAGGAGCTTAACAAGTCGGCTACCAAGGTGCATGGGATCACGGGTGACAAGTTCTGGGACGCGATCACCCGGAACATGGGCGCTTTGGATAGCGAGCAGAGCATGCTGGAGAAGTGCCGCGAGTTCGCCACGTTGCTCGCGATCGACGACGAGTTCAAGGTCGGCGGCGAGGAGGATGCGGAAGGGGACATCGACGCTGCCACGGACATGGAGGACCCCACCGCGGCCTGGGGGGCAGGGACAGCCAGTGCGCCCCGGCCTGCGAAGCGGAAGAACTCGACGTCGGGGCCGAATCCCGTGAAGCGCCCCCGAGGCCGGAAGAGCGGATCTGGGAAGAAGCGGGCCAGTACGGAGCCGGATGAGGAGTCGGATTGGAACTAGAGAAGACGCCGATGCCGTTGATCGGATCGGGCACGATGAGACCCCTTGTATTTTGGCTGTCCATTAGTTATTTTGAGAGGCGGCATGCATTTATGGGACCGGAATGGCGTTCGGGATACACGCCGGCTCGCTTTCCGTGAGCCACTTATCTATCGAATATCGATCAATCAATGACTTTTTAATTCATGGCGGCAGGGCTTTTTTTTTTTAATTTTTATATTTTATTATATTTTTTTTTTCTTCTTCATTTCTCCGATCTATGTATGCAGCAGCTCTCGATACTAAGTATACCAGCCTCACGAGTAACTAACTATCCTACTTTCCGCGACAGCACTTAGTAATCAATCCCGCCAAGTCGGCCCTGCATCCCGAGTGGGTCTAGCGGGCTTGGCCCTGATGACGTCGCGGTGCGGCCGGCCGTTGTTGTCGCCTTGCTTTGCTTTTTCTTTCCTCGCTGCTCCGTATCCTCGTCTCGTTTCTCTTGCAAGCTCCAGCTCACTCTCGCTACCTTCCTGCTGCTTTCCTCGACCTTCTCTTCTTCCCCTGTGCCATTGACCTCTCGCGTGGCTGATTGTCTCGGGCCTGGCCCATCGCGGTGACCGCTCCTTTCCTGCCAGCTCGCTACACGCCATGAGCGCGGTGCTGCTCCGGAGTCGTCCGGACCCTCACGCCCTGAAAAGAATCGGTCTTGTATCACGTCGATTCCAGTCGTCGAGGCCCCCCGCCGCAGCCGGACTCGCGGCGTCTCGTTCCCGGCTCCCAGCAACCCAATGTCTGGCCTCGCGTGCCTTCTTCAACCCCCGGTTCTCAGCCCGGCACAACTCCACCGCAACCGAACCTGACACCCTGCCAAAACCCTCCTCCCTTCGCAATGCCCTCTTCAAGTCCTTCGCGTACTGCGGGTTCTTCATCGTGGCGAGCGGCGCCGCCGTCGTGGCCTTCTTCGTCTACGATGCCACGACGTACCGCGAGAGCTCTAGCGCCGCGGACATCCCGGTTTCGGAACTGGCGCTTAACCCCCGCCGCGGCGGGCCCAAGAACCTCCCCATCGCGGAGTTCTTGATCGACGATAATGATTCGGAGGGTAAGCAGCTGCAGAAGGACAAGCCGCGCCTGGTGATCCTGGGCACGGGCTGGGGGAGCATCGCCCTACTCAAACAGCTCAACCCCGGCGATTACCACGTCACCGTGGTGTCCCCAACCAACTACTTCCTGTTCACGCCCATGCTGCCGTCTGCTACAGTGGGCACGCTGGGGCTGAAGTCCCTGGTCGAGCCGGTCCGTCGCATCATCCAACGGGTCAATGGACATTTCCTCAAGGCCGAGGCCCAAGACGTCGAGTTCTCCGAGAAGCTGGTCGAAGTGTCCCAAATAGACGACAATGGCAAGGAGCAGCGATTCTACCTGCCTTATGATAAGCTGGTCGTTGGTGTCGGTACGTGTCGCCCTGGTCCCCGTCCATCGGCGAGTGTGCGTGTAACTTGCTAACTCTCCGATCCTAGGCTGTGTAACAAACCCCCACGGCGTCAAGGGCCTCGAGAACTGCCACTTCCTGAAGTCGATCGACGATGCGCGCCAGATCAAGAACAAGGTGCTGGATAATATGGAACTGGCCTGTCTGCCCACCACCAGCGACGAGGAGCGCAAGCGTCTGCTGTCGTTCGTTGTCTGCGGTGGAGGCCCGACGGGCGTGGAGTTCGCCGCGGAGCTGTTCGATCTGCTCAACGAGGACCTCCTGCACTCCTTCCCCAAGATCCTGCGCAATGAGATCTCCGTCCATATCATCCAGAGCCGCAGTCATATCCTGAACACTTACGACGAGGCGCTGTCTCGCTATGCGGAGGTTGGCGCCCTTCCCTCGTTTACCACACCTCCATGCTGACATCTCTAGTCCCGCTTCGCTCGAGACCATGTCGACGTGTGCACGAACGCCCGCGTCGCCGAAGTCCGCGGCGACAAGGTCCTCTTCACGCAAGAGGAGGACGGCAAGCGCGTGCTGAAGGAGATCCCCATGGGCTTCTGTCTGTGGTCTACTGGCGTTGGTACGTGCTCCTCCGCTCATATCACCACATATAGACCTATCCCCTTCCCCTCCCCTCCCTTCTTTCCTGCAAACATCACATCCAACAACCCTGCCTAACCCACGCCTCCCAGCCCGCGCCGCCCTCTGCAACCGCCTCTCCGCTAAACTGGAGTCTCAAAACAACAAACACGCCCTCGAAACCGACTCGCACCTACGCCTCATCGGCGCGCCGCTCGGCGACGTCTACGCGATCGGCGACTGCTCAACGGTGCAAAACAACCTGGCCGACAACATCGTGTCCTTCCTGCGCACCATCGCATGGGAAAAGGGCAAGGACCCCGAAAAACTGCACCTGACCTTCCGCGAGTGGAAAGACATCGCCAGCCGCATCAAGAAACGCTTCCCGCAGGCATCCAACCACCTCCGCCGCGCCGACAAGCTCTTCGAACAATACGACATCGACCACTCCGGCACCCTCGAATTTGGAGAACTCTCCGAACTCCTCCACCAGATCGACACGAAACTCACCTCCCTCCCCGCCACTGCCCAGCGCGCCAACCAGCAGGGCGAGTACCTCGGCCGCAAGCTCACCAAGATCGCGGCCGCGCTGCCCGGCATGCAGGCCAACCAGATCGATTACGGGGATCTGGACGAGGCCGTCTACAAGGCCTTCAAGTATAAGCATCTCGGCAGCTTGGCGTATATCAGCAACGCCGCCATCTTTGATTTCGGCGGCCTGAATTTCAGTGGTGGCGTCTTGGCCATGTATCTCTGGCGCAGTGTTTATTTTGCCGAGAGTGTCAGTTTTAGGACCAGGTGTATGTTGGCCATGGATTGGGCCAAGAGGGCTCTTTTTGGGAGAGGTGAGTTTTTTTTTCCCCTTCTCTTCTTCCCCCCCCCCTTCCTTCTTCTTCTTCCCACACTTTCAGGGGAATTTGGTCTGTAACTCTGGACATGCCGTTTACTATACTATACTAACCACGTCTGTCTGTCTATCTATGTCTAGATCTCATGAGCTTCTAAGCCTACTTACTCCCCCCTCCCCTCCCTCCCCTCTTTTCTTCACCGCTCGATACTCCTCCGTACGATACGATAATATAGATGAAATACAGTGTTATTTTACGTCATTGTGTATTGTGTATTGATATGATATGATATGATATGATATGATATGACATGATATGAGATGATATGATATGATGTGCTCTGGTGTGGTATCATCACTGAATATACTTGTCCGCTGCGGCATGATAGAATAGTATACTATACCAGTATATATATAGTATACTTATATATTTGTAATGCAGACTCCGGCTAGTTCATTGGTGATTGGTTGGTTGGCTGCTTGCTTGTTATGGAGCTACTAGTACATCATAGTAAGCTTTTCCCTTCTGGCTTGCTTTTTCCTGGCTACCTACGATTGGTGGTTGTCTTTTTTCGTTTTCTGCCAGTTTTCTGTTGCGTTCATTGTGGGTGAGTTTGTGGTTGGGTGAGTTATCTGGATGGATGGATGGATGGATGGGGTTACGATAGACAGTGAAAATTGGATTGAATAGTGCATAGCTCGTTATTATGTAGGCCATGCCATGCAATGTAACCCATATATAGTAGAACTTCTACATCATGGATAGGAGGAAATGGACGTGATCGATCTGATACGTAATGGTATGCAGATACTCGTAGCTCCCACCAAAAGCGGTAAAGACGAGTGGAAGTGGGCAGGACGAAAAATTCTGTTCATAGGTGGATATTAAGCGAGATATTACAGCGACCAAGCGCCATGCCAGCGCCAGTGCCAGTGCCACTACCGGTGTATTCCTTCCCAACTCCATGCTCGAGAAAAAAAAAAGAATTCCAGTCGTACTCCGTACTAGCACATTAAAGCCGGATCCCAGATCGAGGCATTGTTGTGTGATGATGTTAAGAGATCATGGGGTCAATATCCCCGTTATTGGTCATTACAGTGTCGTTAGAAGAGGCGGGCAGATGAGCGGCCAAGGTCGAGGCTAAGATGGGATGATTACTGGTGCTGGGGGTGGAATTGTTGTCTGTGAGCCCGAGGTCCAGCTTCTCGGGGATGTCCTTCTTAGCCTCCCGGGCCTTCTGCTCGGCCCAGGCGCGCAGCTTAACGAGGTTGCGAAGACGGGCCTCCTTGTGAGTGCCCTGGTTCAGCAGGATGGCCTCGTTGACGCGGTTGGCAATTTCTTTACGGAGGTCCGGGTGGAGTAAGGGGGCAAGGGACGGGGAGAGGTTGTCGGCCGGGAAGATCAACAGCGCGAGCGTCCTCTCCAGGTCTTCTAGGAACTGAGGGTTCGTGGGCGCCCGGGGGGCCATTTGCAGGGTTGCAAACTCGAGGACCGGGCCGATGTCTCCATCGGGGACCGAGGTGCAGGCGCGGATCAACTCCACTAGTTGCAGACGCAGCAGGGCGAAGTGCAGAGGAGGATTTTCATCCAGGATCTAAGAACGTCAGTCAGCAGGGTGCTTATGAGAGAGACGTGATGGCAAGACAGTGGGGTAAAGAATGCAGATCATAATGATTTTTGGTGTGATGATGTTTATCAGCAAACCCCCGAAGGAGTGTTCTGAGTGGTGCATGATACTTGTTTAATCATAGCAAGGGAGGGGTGGTGGTGCGGGGAGGGGGGTGTTGGGAAGAATTACCTGAGGGTTGAGCTCGTTGATCTTCTCGATCGCCACTTGTATATTCCCAGAGTGGATCGCAGTGCGGATCTCAACTCGTTCCTGAATCGACTCGAAGTCTGCTCGGGGTTGGATGTTGGCCTCGACCGCGAACTTCATCGCGGCCGCGGGGTAGCCGTTGGTGATGAGGTAGTCCATGACCAAGTAGTTGATATCACTTTGACAACAGTCAGCAGCTGCGACAGCAGACATGGATGAAGCCAAGAGCAGAAAGCAAAGCAAATTCAGATACCAAGTTAATATGTTCTCCTCAGGGTGTTCAGAGAGATTCCCAACTTGAATTCAAGATACATCATGCAATGCGACCGGAAAGAAAAAGAGGGGTAAACTCACGTCTTGGATGGCTTGACCTCCTCGACCTTCCGTTCGAACTGATGCCATACCGGCGTTGACGAGGAAGAGGGGGACATCTGTTTCCGTTAAAACCGAGCAACCACGCACGCACGGCATGTGAGGATGCATACGAAATTAGCAGTGGAGGACATGGTGAGAGCAAGTGGTTGCGAAGTAGATCGCGATCTGCAACATCAAGAGATCTGGGACTGAGCAACAGGCCGTCTGTGAAGATGGAAAACTTCGCAGACGGGAGCCATGGGGGGAAGCTCGAGAGGGGGGTGAGGAGGGAAGAAGAAGAGGAGGGAAGGAAGCGGAAGAGAAGAAGAAGAAGAAGAAGAAAAAGTCACGTTCCGCCGCTAAGCCTAAAGCCGCAAGCGAAGGTCACGGACCGCGGCTAGCCGCAAGCAGGCAAGCGGCGATCAACGGGCGGTCCTGTTTGGGTATCTCTGCCCGTGCCTATCCAGATTATTATCATCCCAGTCATTATTTCTGCTCGTCTTGCTTGTCTCGACCCGGTCAACTCCTGTCGAGTCGAGTCAGGTCGAGTCAGCTCGAGCCAGCTCGAGCCCCCTCGCGTCGAGTCGCAAGCATGCAGTCCATCTCCCCCGTATACTCGTCGGCCACCACCGACCGCCGCTACTCCCCGCCATGGGCGGACTTGAGTATCATCGGTATCGCTGGCAGCTCCGGCTCCGGCAAGACCTCCGTGGCCATGGAGATCGTCAAGTCGCTGAATCTGCCCTGGGTCGTGATTCTTGTAATGGTATCTGATCGCCCCCATAAACCATAGCCCATAGCCTACTCTTAAAATCCGAAACGGCTCTAACGGCGGTGTGCAGGATTCATTCTACAAGAGCTTGTCGCCCGAGGAGCACGCCAGAGCCCATGCCAACCAGTATGATTTCGACTGTCCGGACTCGCTGGACTTTGACGTGCTGGTGCAGACCCTGCGCGATCTTAAGCAGGGGTACCTTGGCTCCCTCCGTAATTCGTTGCGGGTATGTATGAGGCTAACGACCGGATAGAAAGAAAGCAGACATCCCAGTCTACTCCTTTGCGGAGCACCAGCGTCAATCCCAGACCACCACCCTGTATTCCCCGCGAGTGCTGATCCTGGAGGGCATTCTCGCGCTGCATGACCCCCGGATCATGGAGCTGTTGGACGTGAAGGTAGGTGTCACCCCATATTTCCATGACTGGATCTAATCTTGGTAGATCTTTGTTGAAGCGGACATGGATGTCTGTCTCGGACGCAGAAGTGAGTCCCCGGTTTGCGTGCCATCTAGAAATTCTCTAATCAGAGGAAGCTAGTCATGCGCGATGTCCGCGAGAGAGGACGAGACGTCGAAGGGATTGTCAAGCAGTGGTTCACCTTCGTGAAGCCCTCGTACAAGCAGTACGTTGAGCCCCAGCGGGGGGTATCAGGTAGGATTGCGCTGTGACGTTTCAATATTTGTCTGACGATCTAGACATCATCATTCCCCGTGGAATCGAGAACCGCACAGCCATCGGTAAGACCCTCTCTTTTTGATTGCTTCGCAGCTAACAGTTCAGACATGGTCGTGCAACACATCCAGCGCAAGCTCGATGATAAATCAGAGAAGCACAGCGCGGAGCTCAACCGGCTGGGGCTGATCGCCTCGGAGGAGAAGCTGAGCCCGCATGTGATCATGATGCCCCAGACGACCCAGTTTATCGGCATGAACACGATCCTGCAGGACCCTGCGACGGAACAGGTCGACTTTGTGTTCTACTTGGACCGCCTGGCCGCCCTGCTGATAGAGAAGTAAGACTCGTGCCAACCACGCGAATCCAAGACTCACTGACAACCCCAGGGCCTTGGACGTCACCTCCTACGTACCCAAAGACGTGGACACGCCCCAGAAGACCAGCTACAACGGGCTGAACCAGGCGGGCATTGTATCTGCGGTAGCGATCCTGCGAGGCGGATCCTGCCTGGAGACGGCGCTGAAGCGGACCATTCCCGACTGCATCACGGGCCGGGTGCTCATCCAGACCAACGAGCGCAACGAAGAGCCCGAGCTGCACTACCTGAAGCTGCCGCCCGGCATTGAGGACCACGAGAACATCCTGCTCCTGGACCCGCAGATGTCGAGCGGAGGCGCCGCGCTGATGGCGGTGCGCGTCCTGATCGACCACGGGGTGCGCGAGGACAAGATCGTGTTTGTGACCTGCGCGGCCGGCAAGATCGGGCTGAAGCGACTGACCACGGTGTACCCGGCCCTGAAGGTGATCGTGGGACGGATCGAGGAGGAGCGCGAGCCGCGGTGGATCGAGAAGAGATACTTTGGCTGTTAGCATGGGCTGGAGATGTACGACTGCAATGATTGACTGCTTCGTTTTGGCGATAGATGTATATTGACCTGAACATGTGCATGACTATAAAAGCAATAGCAAATACCATACATATATTTCACATTTGTATAATAGTAGTAGCAGTAGCAACAACAGTAGAGTAGTAGTAGTAGTAGTAGTAGTAGTAGTAGTAGTAGTAGTAGTAGTAGTAGTAAGACCGCGGAGACGCACAGACCAACTCCGTCCGCCGAAGAATCTTTGGTTCCGCCCGCCAGAAAATTATCCAGCGACTCTCCCAATCCCATCCACATCTTCTTTCTCCACGACCCTCTCAAACACAATCCTCCCAATACCACCCCTCCCCTCCTCTACAGATACACTACACCATCATGCCCGACCAAAAAAAGAAAAGCAAGACCCGCGGCGGCGGCGAGTCCGCCCCGGTGATTAGTACGTTCATCTATCCATCCACCCCAATCTCGCTGAGTCTCCCCATTCCCCCAATTTCCCATGCAAAACCTCACATTCAGCTTGGAGTCAATCTAACAATGCATTCCTACGAACAGCCGACCCCCGCTTCGCCAACATCCAAACGGACCCGCGGTACCGCCTCCCCAGCAAACGGCAAACGCACGTGAAGCTCGATAAGCGATTCGCGCACATGCTGCACGACAAGGACTTCTCGCGGAACGCCGCAGTCGATCGGTACGGTCGGAAACTCGCGCGGGATGATACCAAGAAGCAGCTGGAGCGGTTCTACCAGCTGGAAGACGAGAACGAGAACGGCGATGATGATGATGATGTCGATGCCGATGCCGATGCTGCTGGCGTTGATGCCGACGAGGGACTGGAGGATGCTAGTGTTGCCGATGATGATGAGGTCCTCCGCGAACTGCGCAAGGCGGAGTCGTATGATCCTGCCCGTGACGGGGGGTTTTCGGAGTCGTCGTCTGAGGAGGAGAGTTCGGATGAGGATGATGAGGAGGAGGAGGATGAGGATGACGAAGAGGAGTTTGAAGGGTTCGGCGAGGAGCTGGAGTATCCCGATAAGCAGCGGGCGGAGGTGCCGACGGGGGAGGTGACGGACCGGATTGCGGTGGTGAATCTCGACTGGGATAATATCCGGGCGGAGGATTTGATGGCGGTGTTTTCGAGCTTTGCGCCGACTGGGGGGAGAGTGTTGCGGGTGTCGGTGTTCCCCAGTGAGTTTGGCCGGGAGAGGATGGAGAAGGAGGAGGTGGAGGGGCCGCCGAGGGAGATTTTTGCGGCCGCGAAGAAGGAAGACTCTGATGACGAGGAGGTGGATTCGGACGAGGAGGAGGAGAAGATCCGCAAGTCGATTCTCAAGGAGGATAAGGGCGAGGAGTTCAACTCAACGAAGCTACGCAAGTATCAGCTCGAGCGTCTGCGGTACTTCTATGCCATCCTGACCTTCTCGTCGCGGGAGGTCGCCAAGCATGTCTACGATCTGGTCGATGGCGCCGAGTATCTGTCCAGTGCCAACTTCTTCGACCTGCGCTTTGTGCCCGAGGACACCGACTTCTCGGACGATGTGCCCCGCGACGAGTGCAAGCGCATCCCCGACGGGTACCAGCCGAATGAGTTTGTCACGGACGCCCTGCAGCACAGCAAGGTCAAGTTGACCTGGGATATGGACGACAAGTCGCGCAAGGACGCCCAGGCGCGGGCGTTCCGCGGCAGCCGCAAGGATATCGACGAGAACGACCTGAAGGCGTATCTGGCGAGTGACAGCTCCGAGGACGAGGATGAGGGCGGCGTGGAGATCGTGGATACTACGAAAGGGGATGGCGCGGGCACCAAGGTCTCCAAGAAGGAGGACGAGAGACAGCGTCTGCGCGCGCTGCTGGGGCTGAGCGCCGAGCCTACGCCGTCGTCCAAGCCCGAAGGACCCGTCGGCGACATGGAGGTTACGTTTACGTCTGGTCTGGCGGGCGGGCCCAACCGCGACAGCATCTTCGAGAACGAGCCGGAGAAGGACGAGACTACGATCGAGAAGTACGTGCGCAAGGAGCGCGAGCGCAAGAAGCGCAGAAAGGAGAAGCTCAAGGCCGGCAAGGGTGGCGAGACTGTCGCCGAGGCCGAGGCCGAGGCTGTGCCTGCGGCGGAGGGGAAGCCAGAGGAGGACCTGGGCTTCAACGACCCGTTCTTCGACGACATGGACGGCAAGGCGGCAGCGACGGCGCGGCGCAAGGAGGAGAAGCGCAAGAAGCGCGAGGAGCGAGCGGCGGAGGAGGCGGCGGAGGCGGCCAAGCGGGCAGAGCTGGAGCTGCTGATGATGGACGACGACCGCGCGGGCGTCAAGCACTTCGACATGAACGAGATCGAGCGGGCGGAGAAGCAGGCGCGCAAGAAGGGCAAGGGCAAGGGCAAGGGCAAGGGCAAGCAGCTGGCGGCCCCCGTGGACAACTTCGAGATGGAGGTGGCCGACCCGCGTTTCGCCTCACTGTACGAGAGCCACGAGTTCGCGATCGATCCGACCAACCCGCGGTTCAAGGCGACGTCGGGCATGAAGAAGCTGCTGGAGGAGGGCCGGAAGCGACGGAGGGACCGCGACGAGCCGGCGGAGGAGGCACCGCGGGGCGAGCAGCAGACGAAGAAGAAGCAGAAGAAGGGCAAGGATTCGGGGTCGGAGGATCTGAAACGGCTGGTGGATAAGGTGAAGCGCAAGACGCAGCAGCAGTAGAGAGGAAAAAAGTGCATATACCAAGGTACCAGGGTTACTGGATCGAGCGTGTCATATTCAATATTCATGGTTTGTTTTTATTTTTTTCCCTTCTTCTTCTTCTACTGTCGTATTCCGTCGCCTGTCAGATGTCGGACAGACGTCCGACGTCCGAGTGGTGGACTGGTAGAGTGTCTGAGGCGCTACATGCAAACGACAGGTCTGCACTGATCCACCCACGGCCCCTGTTGAATGTATAGTTCCGTCATGGGGCATCCGACTGGTGCAGATTCCCGCCCGACGGCCTTGGGTGGGCGTCATGAGGTGCAGGGCGACCGAAGCGGCCGTCTGCAGGGAATGTGATGCAGTAAGCGGAGTGGACTGTATTGTTGTAGTACATAACTAAGTAGTTGGATGTAGTTGGATGTAGTTGGTGGGTTGTACGTTAAGTTGTAGGGATTCGAGTTGCAGCAGAATGAGGCTGAGATCAGGTGCCGGTGGTCTTCACCGCCCTTTCGGCAACTGGATTGTTACGAACAATCCCCCTCATCCCTCATCCCTCATCCTCTCTTCTTCTTCTTCTTCTTCTTCTTCTTCTTCCTTCCCCATTCACTCTCCCCTCTACTTTCTGGTCCTCCCCCCCACCCCAACTGACTCGCTCACCAACACCATTCACTCATTACCACCACCCCCCCTACCCCCGACTAAATTGTTGCAGCCTCCCTCCAAGTGGCGTTGTCCCTGGAACCACCTTCTCTCACCACCCTTGATGGCTTGATCATGGCCCTCTCTCGGCACGCTTGAACGATGGGAACCGCAGCCCAGTCTAGGATTCCTGTCTGACTGTGTTTCCTGATCCCTTGCTAAACTCTTCTCTTCCCAACCCCGGCGTCCGATCCTCACCATGTTGGGCCGACTACTGAGCACCGCCGCCGCGACGTTGAACCCGACCACGTACAACACCAAGACGGCGCACCAGCTGGAGTCGGTGACGGAGGAAGAACACACCTCGGGCCTGCTGTTCCCCGATGTGAACCTGCTGCGCTCCAACACGCACGCGTATCCCCTGCATTCCACGTTCAATTCCCCCAATGCGTCCACCGCCGGGGCCTACGACGATCGCGGGGGCGTGGAGCTGGACCCGATGAAGGACTTTCGTGTGATCATCGCGCAGAATTCCCTGGGAGACCGCGACGCCTGTGTGCTACTGGATACTCGTGCCACGCAGGATCCGACCTCGCACGGACTGGGACTGGGGCTGGGACTGGAGCCGCAGGTGTACGAGAACCCGAGTGCACGGCATGCCCGCACGGTGTCGACGCTCACCCGGGGCCCGCGACGGGGCTACCTGTCGCAGTCGTCGGCTGCGGAGCCAAGCCCGTTGGCCCTCGCCGCCGAGCGCCGCTCCCCTCCGATGTCCTCCGGCGCTTTCATGAGGGCCCGTGGCCGCAGCTCCACTCTGTCGCCCGCCGGCAGCGTCCACGAGCCCGGCCAGCGCCACTCCACCGACTCCAATGACTCCGGCCTGCTGAACTGCATCTTTGGCAGCAGTGCCTTCAGCTACCGCGGCTCGTCCACTAAGATGCATATCATCTCCGCTGATGACGAACCCGCCAAGAACCCTCCTACCTCGCCCGCCTCTCGCAATTCGCTCTCCCGGGCGTACACGACGGGAAGCTCGTCGGCCTTCACCAGCTCCAATCGCGACTCCAAGCCTCCCGCCAAGGTCACCATCCTGCTGACTCGCATGTTCAGCGTTCATCTACCCGAGGGAGGCGACTCTTCGCCGGATCCCGACTTGTCCTCTTCCGTGTACCAGGAGTCGCTCCCCACCGGATTTCCCTTCCCCGATGTCACCAAGCGTCGTAAGATTAAGGAGAAGAAGACCCCCATGTACGCCGTGGCGATCACGATCCAGATTCCGCTGCTCTCCCGGGGCGGGCGGCCTGTGTCACGATTTGCGCCGGGCCCCGACTCGCCCAAACCCGGCATGTCCTGCTCCCTGGACTCGGACTATCGCATGCGCGGGGGGTTTCTGGATGACAGCCTGTCCTTGGCGTCGCCGCCGGCGAGTTTGGATGAGCGGATCGACCTTTTAGTGGACCACTGGGATGTCATCAACCGCACCCTGTCACACCTGGAGCGACTCTCCCGGAAGGAGATTCTGTTTCTGCTGAAAAAGGTGGACTCGGCCGGGATGCATCCCAAACCGGCCAAACCTGCGAACATGCAGCGAACCAACCAGACCTTTGTTCACCTTCCCGCGAATATCCTGGCCGTCAACTCGCGCCTGAAGGACGAAGCCATCCGCAGCAGCCGTCGCATCAGCACGGCGCTGCAGATGCCGTTTGTCGTGACCGGGCAGAGCCGCTGGGGGGTGTGGCGCGACGAGGGTCGCTCGATTATTCGCAACATCGGCGACAAGGAGCACAGCTTTTTCTTTCTGGTCCTCATCACCGCGTTCCTGGGCAACCATACCGAGTGGCTGAATGGGCTGGGTCCGGAGTGGTACCGACGGCGGCACTATCTGCAGCAGAAGGCGCAGCAGGACGTCGACCCCATCATCGCCCACCGCACGGTCATCATCTCGCCGGATAAGATGACGGCCCGTCGACTGATCTTCTTGCTCTCGGCCTTCCTCCCGCCAAAGCAGCGCTTCGAGCCTCTGCCGTCGCCGATCCGACCGGGCACGTCTGCATCTACACGAGCCGTCTCGCAGAGCCCGCCGAATGTGCCCGTCCTCCGACAGGAGTCTCTTCGGCGCGCCATCGAGCGTCGGTCTCGCGCGCAGCGGTTGAACCTCAGTGACCGGGAACAGCACCAGCGGTCGATCAGCGTGTCGTCGTGCGATACGGCGCATCGCTCGGCTGACGACGGCGAGCCCTTGATGCCGCCTGAGTTTCCCACGGCCCGCCGCGGCTCCGACGCGCGGTCTATCCGGGCGCTGGGCGTTCCGGTGAACGCGCCGATGAACGCCAAAGAGATGCGCGCGCGAAATACCAGTGCGGCGACCACGTCGACGACCACGCCGGGCAGCACGGTGCCGGTGCCGCACTTTGCCTCGCAGCGCTCCGAGCGGGAGGTGGTGGCGGACGGGGACAGCCTCGCGTCGGAGAATCTGCTGCGCAATCTGCAGCGGAGCGAACACAGCAGCGGTCCGGGCAAGTGGGGGATCTTTTCTGGTCTGTGGAGTCGACCAGGCGAGCCAGAACCGCGCAGGCGGTCTGTTTCAGCCTATACGAACCCCCCGCGACGCCCTCCTACGCTGAGCCAGATGGTCAAAGAGGTGGCGCTCAGTCCGACGGACGAGCACGAAGCCACGAGCGGTAACATTTCGATTCCCCAACCCCAGAGCCACGACCGCCAGGACTCTGCCGATCCCACGCGCGAGACGTCCTTGAAGCTGTCTGTCCGAGGCGATGACGGGATCGTGGACGTGGACCTTCCACTTCCCGGGTTCGTCTCGCTATCCTCATCGGGGGATTCTACGCTCGCGTCACCGAAGAAAACACGGACGTCAGTCACGAGCGTGGACGCAGTGGCATCAACACACAGCAGCACATCGGGCTTTCCGTCCGCGCCACGAGAGAACGACGGACCGAACATGAATGTAGCCGGCTGGTTGAAGACCTTCCACGACGACTTTCTCCTGCAAGCCGTCCGGCCCTACACCGGACTCGAGGCCGACATCCGCCGCGCCATGCAAGCGGAGCCCATCTCCAGCCAAGCGGTGTGTCTGGACGCCGACGGCTCGGGACGATGGGTCGACGTCGCGACAACGCTTGTCGCAGACGCCCGCACCTTCACCGTCAAGCGGCTGCGGCTGCGGCGCAAAATCGGGAACGCGTCCTGGCGAAAACGCTCACCATCTGTCTCCCCCCAGCCCGACACGCCCCGACACGCCCCGACATCGACGTCCCAGATCACCAGCTTCTTCTCGCAGGCGACGGGCGCGACAGCCGCCACGGCGGCCACCACGTCCAGCAGATCCTCTGACTCGGAGTACACCCCCAACGAGGTCGAGGAGCGGCTCGTCGAGGAACACGTCATGGATCTTGACAGCACGCTCGTCGATGCGCTGGAGCGCGTGCTGGCGCAGAGCGGGCCGTCATCGATGGCGCATTCGAGGGCCCCGTCGCCGCGGAGGCGCGAGGATAAGGAGAGGGATAAGGATAAGGATAGGGAGAGGGAGAGGGAGAGGGAGAGGGAGAGGGACGAGCGGGTGGAGGTGCCGCGCACGGAGTGTCGCAAGCTGGTGCTGAGTGCGTTGGAGGAGGTCGTGCGCAGTGTCACGGCGGATCATTGTCGGGAGGATGGCGAAGGGCGGCGCGAGGAGAATGCGTTGCGCGAGGGCATCCGGAGGTGGTTGCTTGATGTGGAGGAGGCGTGGTAGTATGGCGTGTATGCTGTTGGTGCAGGGATGATAGGATGCTGCGGGTACAGACCGACAGGCTGGACAGTGCACAGCGGTTCAACTTTCTCTGGTTCTGGTTCCTTCATCAGGGCCGGTGGTGGAGGGGAGGCTGAGTGGAGGTTTTTTTGCTTTACGTCGTGATACCCAATGAGTATTTCTTCTGGACATGAACAGGATCGTAGCAAGGATACAGATATAGGATATTGACCCTACCATTCCGGCATCTGTCTCGGTGCCACATACACACACACCTTATCTCACCGTCTCTATTCCTGATGTCGCCTATCCCGAACAACAAGGATCCATCCAATATCATATCGCCATGGCCCAAGACTGCACAATGCAGACCCCTAGCCATCCAACCCACTAAAGCCACAGCATTACATTCAATAAGCCTGAAATTTCTGCATCTCCAACATCTCCCCCCGGAACCGAAACCGAAACCGAAGCGCTCCAACTGCCACGGTCCCCCATCTATGTAATCTACATGCACATCTAAACATCCCCAACAACAACAACCCTAACCCCGGCCCCTTCCACCAGCTCCCCGTCCCCCTTCTCCCCCCTCCTCACACTCGCCACGACGCCATCCTCCCCATCTCCATTTCCACTGCTAACCGTCACAAGAGCAAGCACGACCCCGGTCCTCGCCGGATCGACCACCTCCAGCTTCACCTCACCCTCGACCGGGCCATTCACCAGCACTTCCAATCCATCCAACGGATCCCCCTCCGGATCGGACAACTTCCAATTCACCAAGGTCAACGACCGCGGCCGGATCAGCAGCGGGAGGGTATCGAAGCCGTGTGTCTCGGTATACCACCTCCCCTCCTCGTAGGACTTGCTGTGATCGAACCAGGAGATCCACTTCCCTTTCTCTTTCTCATCCCCATCCCCCGAAACGGACGTATCAGTAGACCTGGGAACATAAAACCTCACCCACCCCGACTCCTCCAACACCGGAAACACCAACAAATTAGGCCCGAGCAGATACCCGGCATCGACGCCCCAAACGCCCTCATCCGCGGGAAACTCCACCAACAAGGCTCTCATGACGGGCACGCCGGTTCTGGCGCCCTCCAACGCCACGCCGAGCACGTACGGCGTCAACGCAAGCTTCCTCCTCACACACTTTCGCAACACATCCACACAGCTATTCTCCTTCTCTTCATCATCATCATCATATATCCACGGCACGCGGTACGAGCTGCTCCCGTGCAGCCGGGAATGGCTAGACAGGAGCCCGAACTGCACCCACCGCTTATACACGGCGGGGGAGGGCGTGCCCTCGAACCCACCGATGTCACTGCTGTGGAAGATCACCCCGCATAATCCCAAGCTTAGCCCCCCGCGGATGACCTCCGCCAGGGCCGGGAAGGTGCTCTCGCTGTCGCCGGCCCAGTGGATGGGGTATTTCTGGGCGCCGACTGTCGCGCTCCTGCTGAAAAGTAACGAGGATCCTGCTTCTGGGGCCGCGGCCGGGGCCGGGAGGTGCGGCGGGGTTAGTGGGTTGGGGGTGTGTAGGGTGGTGTAGACGAGGCTGTTGAAGAGGTGGGTGTAGTAGTTGTGCATTTTGGTCGGGGAGAGAGGCGAGGTGTGGTAGAGGATGTTTTTGAAGGGGATGCGTTCGCCAAAGTCCGTCTTGAAGGTGTGGATCCCGAGTGACATCAGTCGGTGCAGGTGGCTTTGGAACCACGTGCAGGCGGCCGGGTTGGTGAAGTCGATGATGGCCATGCCGGCTTGCCAGAGGTCCCATTGGAATACTCTTCCGTCGGTACGCTGGGTAGTTTTGATGGTTGGTTGGTTGGTTAGTTGGTTGGTCATTGGATTGGATTGGGGGGGGGGTTAGGGTTAAAACGAAAGCTTTATAGTGAAAAATTATAAGAGGAAAGAAAGGTGCACGGTAGAACACAGAAACAACACAAACACCCAGCCAAAAGAAATATGAGGCAATTAGAGTAAGTAGGAAGTGAGTGTAATGTGTATATATAATAGGTAGGTAGGTAGGTAGGTAGGTAGGTAGTAAAGAATGGAGAATGGAGAGGAAAATACCTTGATAAAATACCCCCCCTCGACCCCCTCGCGAAACAGCGGCGACGCCTGCCCGACATACGGATTCAGCCACACACTGATCCTCAACCCCCGTGCCTTCAGTCGCTGAAGATACGCCCCGCATCCGGGAACATCGCCGGGTCGAACTCGAAGTCGCACCACTGGTACGACTTCATCCAGAAGCTGTCGAAGTGAAAGACACTGAGTGGGATGTCGCGGTCCCGGAAGCCATCTAGGAAGGAGGTCACGGTTTGTTCGGAGTAGTTTGTTGTGAAGCCTACAGACATGAGTCAGATGATCGGACCGAGTGCGTCAGGGTTGTTGATGTTGAAGAAGAAGAAGAAGAAGAAGAAGAAGAAGGAGAAGAAGGAGGAGGAGGAGGGAAAATACTAGTAGTCAACCACAACCCATAACTCCACGCAGGCACCAAACTCGGCCTCCCCGTCAACCTGGTAAACCTATCCAGGATATGCTTCGGGGAGGGCCCAAAAACCACAAAGTACTGCACCTCCTCGCCCTCCAACGACACATTGACCCGGGTGGTGCGTTCCGACTGCAGCTCGAAGCTCACCCGGCCCGGATCATTCACGAACACGCCGTACCCGCCCGAACTCATGTAGAAGGGAATATTCTTGTACGCGAGCTCGGAGGAGGTGCCCCCGTCCTCGTTCCACATGTCCACCGCCTGGCCGTTCTTGATGAACGGGCCGAAGCGCTCGCCCAGTCCGTAGAGTTTCTCGTGCGGTTGCAGGTCCAGACCGAAGTGCATGTAGCCGGCGCGCTCCATGAACATGCCGTCGCTGTAGAGGGAGGCGGGCGTGGTTTGGTCGCTGACGTAGCCGATCGAGCGGAAGGTGTGGCTGGTGAGGGCGTGCGGGGTGGGACTGTGTGGGCTGGTGTAGGTGAAGGTGAGGTCGTTGGGAGAGGTGTTGATGGTTAGGGTTAGGGGGCCGCTGGTGTAGGCGAGCGAGGTCGCCGAGGGGGTGATTTCCACGTGGCCGGTGGAGGTGGTCAGGGGGAAGTGCGGGCCTTGGGAGAGGCCGCCGGCCCTGGGATGGAGATTGGGGTTAATATTATGTATGGGATGTGATGGAGTTGAAATGCAGGGCAGAGAGTATTGGGAATGAGATGGGCTGGGTATGGTATATATACTGGGGCACGGGTTGAGGGTTGACGATTCCATACCAATGCACAAACTTGACCCCCACCACCCCCTCCAACGGGGACGTGACCTCCGCCGAAATCGTCGCTGTCAGTAGGATCAGATCGACGAAAAGAGGAACAGTAGTAATGCCCATCGCGATACTCATACTAACCAGAATTCAGCGTATCGCCCCTCCCCCGCTGCAGTTTATTCAGCAGCAGATCGACTTTCTCGTCTTTGATGGTGTATCGCTCGACGTTGCTCATCCAGTCGATGCGGATGCCTTCCTGTTTTTTTGCTTTCCATTAGTTCATCGATTCATGTGTATATCAATAGATGGATGGATGAGGGTTTAGAAGGCCCTTGGAGGGGAGGGGAGGGAGACAGACGCGCAACCGCCACATTCCCTCGGTGAACTTCATCTTGGCTTAGCTTCTCTCACTCAGACGCCTGCTTCGATAGACGATGTATAGTAGAGGGAGAGAGAGAGAGAGAGAGAGAGAGAGAGAGAGGAACAACTAAATGTCAAAACCGCGTCAGTCCACCACTGTACTGTACTGCAGATAGTGTGCTATATATCAATATCGAAAGAAAGATCGATGAAGATCAGATCGAGACTGACACGAACAATCCAGACAGAGAAGAGTGGTCACAAGAAAGAAAAGAAGTGGGAGGGGAGAAGTAGATAGATACATAGACAGCAGATCTGATACTAATATACTCCTAACAAACCCACCCCCCGCCCCCATCCAGAACCGTAGCGGGGTCTTCTCCGCATCGGTATTCGGTATTCGGTCCAGACCTGGCCTGGCCTGGCCTACTGACTGACTCCAGCGGGGTAATCCTCCCTCCAAGTAAGTAGTAGGTGGTAGGGACATGGGTATACGTGGGTACATGCATGCATCTATCAAGATTTCCCACCAATCCAGCCAGCCCCCTGGCAGACCAGACTAACCCCCTCACTGGATAAACGGAAAAAGGATAAAAGAGTTTACCCTGGGGAAGGAAATGGATGTTATGGATGGTCTGGTCTGGTCTGTTCTCTGTTCTCTGTTCGCTTAACCTCATACCTGCGATACCTTCTGCCCAACAGGATCACCACCCCTCAAAGCAAGGCATGCATTCATCACATTACGACGTATACAGATACATACATATACACCCAACACAACCACCAAACCACACCACCAGGTGACAGTGATAGCATCCTAACCCAACGGCCTCAACGCCCCACTCCTCGGACTCCTCCCCAACACCCCCCTCCTACCCCCCCGACCCCATCATCCCTACTCCGCGTCCTGGCCCTCGCCTCGATCGTCGGAAATGCGCCGGTATGCGACGCCCGAGACGGCAACCCGGGCGGCACAACATGACTCACCACACTGGCGGGCAACTCCAGCGACGGGATCGACGACTCCATCAACGAGGCGGCGACCGGCTCGACCCTGGTCGAAGTCGGCCGGGCATGCGACTCCAAATAGAACTGCTCCAGGCGCGCCGGATCCCGACAGAACTCGACGAAGCTGGTGAGGATGTGCTCCGGGGCGCGGTAGAGGATTGCCGAGTCGATGCTAGGATGGCTTTGTCCGGAGGCGGATTGGGTGGAGGCGGGGTCGTGGACGGGCACGGGGCGGAGCATAGGGGAGAGGCGCGGGGAGATGCGATCGACACTGACGGGGTCGTAGGTGCCGGCGCGGGCGCGGTACTGCTCGCGCTCGAGACGCTCGTGGCGCGGCATGTCTCGGGCGGCGGTGGTGCGGGTGCTGACGAGGCGGTTGGCCAGGAAGAGGAAGTCGCCGTCGTCGGTGATCTGGGCGAGGAGGCTGCCGGAGCGGTGGATGTACTGCGGGTAGCGGTAATCCGGGATGCCCCAGGAGTACGAGACCTCGACGTCGGCGGGGAAGGCCGAGCGCGCTTCGAAGTCGAGGACGAAGTCGAACTTGCGGAGCAGCGCCTTCTGGTAGTAGTGGCGGTCGGGGATGGCGGGCTGCGTGAAGGAGGCGGCGTTGTACAGGCTGGGGACGGGGCCTTTGGGCGGGCGCAGTTTGAGGGCCACGCGGTAGGGCTTGCGGAAGGGTTGGGTTTCGTCGATGGCGCACGCCTCGGCGATGGGCACTTGCACGAGTTTGAGGCCGAATTTCTCCGCCGTCGAGGCCCACGAGAGCACGGCGTCTTCGATCAGCTTGCTCGTCGTGTTCATCCAGCTCAGCTCGATGTGGAAGCAGTTGTCGGGGTTGTGGAGTCGGTCGTAGTGCAGGTCGATGACCTCGGGCCGGTTGGATCGCTTGCGCGGGTCTACGTCGTATTTCATGGTCTTCGACAGCATGATGGCTGCTTTGTTCTTGGCCTTGGACGGCGTGGGAGGGACCTGCGACGCGGCGTCGTCCATGCTCTCCGAGCGGGAGTGTGTGCCGCTCGGCGAGTCGCGGGGGTTGTCTGGAGCCGGCGTCGAGGGCATGGACTTGTCGGGGCGGATCTGGGGGAACCAGCTCCCGCGCGACTCCGGGCGCGCGGCGCGCAGCTCGCTCGAGATCTGGTAGAAGTAGTTGCCGTCGCGGAAGTTGTGGCGCTTCTCGACGTGCTGGAAGAGGCCGTGCTTCATCAGCTCGTTGCCAAACTCCACCGCCTCCTCGCGGCTGTCGATGTCCCGGAAGTTGTGCAGCAACCACGTCGTGAGCTCGAACCCGATGAAGCAGTTGTAATGCAGCCGCCAGTGCCACCGTCGGTCCATCATGCGCACCCCCTTGTCGCCCTGGATGATCTGCGCCAGCGACGACAGGCTGATGCTGGACCGGCCCAGCAGCTCCGATTCGGGCAGCAGCTGCGCCGGCGAGCTGTCCAGCTCGGGATCCGCGAGCAGGATCCGGTCCAGCTCCGCCGCCACCACCTCGGACGAGTTCCGCGTCTGGTACATGATGTTCAGCGGATTCTGCTCGCGCGTCTTGCCCGACGTCTCGAACAGCTTCTCCTCGGGCGGCACGTACTTGTGGCGCTGCCAGATGTGCGTGAGCTGGTTGATGCCGAGCAGGTGCATCTCCTCTTCGTTGTCTTCGTTGAACGACGAGAGAGCGCGGCGGGTGGTGCTGGTATGCAGGTGCAGGGGGATCAGCACGTAGCGCACCCGCCAGAAATGCAGCTGCTGGGCCGGGCTGAAGAAGTAGTCGCGGTGCCCAGCCACGTAGTTATCGGCGTAGTTCCAGTTGTACTCTTCCATCGTCGAGTCCAGCCGGATATGCTTGACCTCATACTGCGGACTCAGGATCGTGCGCATGGCCGGCGAGTACATCATGAAATCGTTCGTCTTCTGCGACGCCAGCATGGACGCATTCCGGTGCGTGTACCGCGTGACCTCGATCTCCGCGCCATGGATACACACCAGCCGATGGATCGTATTGCCCTTCGACAGGAACACCGTCGCCCCATCTCTCTCCAGACTGTGGGTGTCAAACACGTTCGGCGACTCGAGCGAATACTGCCCCGACACCTCCACAATGTTCTTGCCAATCACGATCTGAAAGCCATGGGACAGCCGCAACGAGATCATCTCGCGGAGAAGCACGCCCCGCGTTTTCGGCGGCTCGATCCCCTCCGCATCCTCGTTGGGAAACACGCGGTACGGCGTCTGGAAGTAGTCCGAGGCCAGCTCGCTCGCGGTGGGGAATTCCTCCGTCGTCAGCGGCAGGATAGCAGGGGACTTCAGACTCTTCCACTTCACCACGGCCACATGCGGAGGCCGCGGGTAGGCGTGCTGCCAGCGGCCGAACCAGCTGGTGTCTCGCAGGACGTCTTTGGGCGTGTTGCACGGATTGATGGACCGGACCCACGGGGCCAGGGCCTTGCTCTGCGGGCTCTTCTGTCCGTCGCGCGAGCCCCCGTTCACCGTCACCCGCGGGTTGGGCCGTCGGACGCGGGTCTCGCGCGCCTCGTCGGTGAAAGGGATCTCCGTGGCCATCGTCGAATACGACTCCGGGACGAGCGGCCGTTCCCCCTGCTCGGGGTCATCGGACGGCAGCTTCTGCGGCACCTTGATGGAGATCGGCATCGACGGCGTGACGGCCGAGCCGTGGGCTTGCTTCTGAGGCGTCGTGGGCGTGGACGACAGATCGATCACCGTCTTCGTCGACGCGGAATCCGACGTGCTCAGCGACTCCACGCTGCGTGAATCCGCCAGCATGCCCGCTACCTTCTTCTGGTTCGACGTCGGCTGCCCGCGCGCATTCTCCACATTGACCTCCGTGCTGGCCTGCGCTCTGGGCGGGGTGGCGCTCAGCCCCCGAAGCGCAAAGCTGATGGTGCGTGAGATCCGCGGCACGCGGATGGCCGAGGGCGCCTTGAGAGCAGGCTTTTTCGGCGACGCCGTGCGCGTCCCGGCCGGGTTCTTCGGTACCGTCAGAGACGTTTCGATGTTGCGGGGGGTGGAGCTGGCCTGGGCACGTTCCGAGTTCGACTCATGCTCTCTCAAGCGGGTGACAGATCGAGCCGACAGCCGGTCGTGGGTATTCGAGACCTGGACTTCAGGCTCGCTGGGCCGTTTCTTCGGTTTCCGGCGCTGACGGCGTTTGGGGAACGGCTGGAACACCGTTTCGTCGTAGTGGTCCATCCACGAGAGAACCGAGTGGGAAGACTTCCGGGACCGTGCCAGCATCGAGTCCTTGGAGCTTGCCAGGTTGTGGAGATACGGCTCCGGCCGGAGACTATCGCTCAGATTTCTAGACGAGTTGTGCTTGAACGGTACGTGGGCAGGGCTTAAGCTGGGCGTTAGCCGCATAGCATGGCTCGTTTTTCTCGACACCCCCTGCCCCTCTAGCAGATACGGGATCGATATATTGGACTGCTCACTTTCCATCACCCCCATCATCTGGATCTCGTACATACGGACGCGCGGCACAAAGGCCTTGGACTGCTTAGTGACGGTGAACGGGATCGGCGCGTTGGGGTCCTTTTTCAGGATACGACGAGCTTCGCGGTACGTCTCCGGGTTCCAGTACGAGATGTCGAGCCAGTGCGGGATGCCATAGTTCCACTCGCTGGACCGCGACCACGGTCTCGAATCCATCCCGGCAAACGAGCCGCCGTGCATCATGGACTTGGGCGACAGATGCGACCCCCGACTGGCCAGGCTCGCAAACGACAGACGCATCTCCGGCGAATAGCCCCCGTCCTGGATGTTCCCGTACGAGGGATTCGGCGACTTCTGCACGGGCTCGCGGTACTTGAAGAGCGGCACCGAGTGCAGCGGCATGGGGCTGAGGCAAACCAAGTCAATGGCAATGCCCCGATTGGTGAGCGCTTCCGTAGTCGAGGCGAGCGACTCGTAGGACACTTCAAACACGCCGCTTCCGGGGGTGATGACAATGATCGAAGTGCCCGTATGGACCATATCCCGATCGATATGATCAAAGGCCAGATGTGACGAGGCCAGATGGATCGCTTCCAGAATATTCCCGCGGAGAGCGGTACTGGGCCGGCCTGCAATGGTCGCCGATTTCGGCTTGGGGGAGACCTTCACGCCATCGATAGTTGGCGTCTTGATGTCGTCCGTGGTCTTGAGGATCGAGACATCCCGCAGAAAGGTTCTAAAGTCCTTCTTCAACTCATCCAGAATCGTCGTCCAATGGCCGCTGGCCATATCATTGACCACGACGCGATAGAAATCCCGCGTGGGCGCGCCATTCGGCGTGAACTCGTTGCGCAGATTCTCCGACCCGAGCGTCGAGGTGCCCAGCGCCGCCGCCTCATACTCCACCCGGGTGAACAGCACAATGGTCACCAAGTGCCGGGCATCCGAGCTCGCCCACCGCTTGAACAGCTCCGGGAGAAAGCCGTTGATGACCCTGCTGAACAGAATATCCCCGGTCCCCTCGGAATCGAAATCCCACATCTCCCGGGACATCTGGATAAACAGGACGTATTTGGCGGATTCGCTGCGAAACACGGGGATGGTCTGCGGCGAGAAGAAGCCCGACAGGACCTTCTTGCCGCGGATGAAGATGTTCTTGACGGTGGCCTTGACGCTGCCCATGAAGACGAGTTTCTGGCCCTTGTAGACGATGCGTTCCGACAGCTCGGACATGACGAGACGCCACATGTCGGAGCGGACGAGGTATTGGTCGCGGAAGGAGATGTCGACGTGGGAGGCGGAGCACTGGGCGCGCTCGACGATGGAGATGTGGACGACGGTGCGGTTCTTGAAGCCGAAGGTGTTGGCGACGCTGCTGGTGACGGACAGCTCGAGGCGGGGGTGGCGGGTCTTGATCTCGTGGGGCAGCGGCTTGACGACGAAGAGACAGCGGCCCTGCAGCGGGGTCTTGAACTTGGACATGGAGTCGGCATGCATGGAGGAGGTCAGGTCGACGTGGCTGTCGCGCAGGGAGCGGGCGCCGAGGTCCGCGTCGGGGGCGAAGCGCGCAGGCAGGATCTCGATGACATCGCCGGGCTGCACGCCGGTGTCGCTGAAGGCGGCCTGGTTGAACAGGATCTCCTCGCGGGAGAAGGTCTCGTCGTGGACCCAGAGGGCGCATTGTCGGCGGTCCAGCCCGACGGACGACAGGCGCGCCGTCGCCTTCCCATCGGGGGTGGCGGAGCGATCGCGGGGAGTGGCCGGATGCTGCGAGGGCACATCCAGGGAGCGCGCAGTCGAGAGAGTGTCGAGGCTGGCGGCGCTCACCTGTCGCAGGTGCGAGCGCTTCATGGGCCCGCGCAAGGACATGATTGCGTTCTACCTGGGGGGGATCATTGTTGGACGGAGGCTCATTGGGGGAGGGGGGGGGGGAATTGAGGGGTGTGGATGTGGATGAGGGATGAGGGATGAGGGATGAGAGATGAGGGATGAGGGATGGCATCATGCCTCATCCCCTTCCCCGCCGTGACACCCCGGCCCGGACGGGCAGGCGGTGGCAGAATGTAGCAGAATGTGGCACGTGAGTTAAATCCCACGTGCCGCTGTGTGCCTGAGGCATACACAATCCTCAGGCAGTAATACATGTGCCTCAGGCACCACACCCCACGGAAGGTCCATCCGGGATCATCCTTGGGTCGATCAGCGCACCCAGGATTCGATTGGCCCAAGGATCGGAGTACATCATCATCATCATCAAATGGCAACATCATTCTTAAGACAGTACGGAGTACTCCGTACACAGAGATCGAATAGATAGTATCAACCCACACCAACCTACGTCCCAACTCCCGCCAAATCCCAGAACGGGACGAACCACTGCCATCGACATCAACACGATGGCAAGTCGACACCCACCCAATCAATCACTTTCCCGTCGAGACCAATCACGGATGAACGGAAGAGATACGTAGTCACCAGCCGAAGCTGCCAATCACATCTGCGTTGGAGGCGGCCACATCCGCCCATTATTGATGGTGGCGTCGTCTAGATACATAGGTAGTCTGTCTCGAGTCCTCGACAGGTCGGACAGAGTGCAGACAGACACCGCTAATCACTCTTTCTATCTAGTTAGAGTTCTAGATAGATGGTCTGCGAATACGCGCACACGCTGCAGTCAGTCAGTCAGTCCATCTACCTCGTAGCACAGCATACTCCTCTCAGCGTACCCCCATCTGTCAAACACGGTGACCGCCCGCTGCGACGGCCAGCAAACTGTGTGTGTGTGTGTGTGTGTGTCTCGGAAAGGAGCCGTTAGCGCCCTCGGGATTTGGTCTGCGTCTGACACCGGGATTCATGGGGAGTGGAAGTGGGCAGTGAGTGGGTGTGTCAAATCCAACGAAATCGACATCGACGCAGCACGGGCCTGGGCCCTAGGGGCTCGCTTCGTACCGGCAAACTTGCATTCCTGTGCACCAGCCGAGTTTTGGGTCTCAAACTCAAGGTTCGGAAGCTTAGACACGGTCAAATTGGCTCAAACTGGCTCTGGCTCAGACTTGGCCGCGGGTCCTCTCATCTCGATCTCAACCCCAACCAAGATCGAATCCGATACGTAGGCAGTATCTACTCCGTAGGTAGATAGCTTACCCGGGCCCCCGTACGTGCGAGCGAGTTTTAGTTTTACTCCGCCCGTGCTCCAGCCTCCGTACATCACCCTATAAATCGCCAACCCGTGCAGGCTGCAGACGCTGCAACAGCAGGGTCCATCCACCCGTGAGGCCCTGCCCCTTCTGTCAGGCTATACCTACACGGTGTAAACAGGAAGGGATTCGCTGCCAGGGCTCTGATTGGGCAGGTCTCACAGACACCGGCAATAATGCTGACTGACCACTTGGACTCCAGGGTTCCACGATCCGCATTCGGTTTGATTATTGCCCCAAACTTCCCCCTTTGGGATCGAAATCCGTCGCCATGTCTCGGTAGGCCTAAAGAGGAAGTGCCTCATCCCCGGCGTCTGCAGATGGTGCGGTCTCCGATCATCCTACGAAATGCTCCTCGCTGGTGCTTATGAGAAATTCTGTAACATGGATCGGACGCCCCGGACCATGGCGAGCGGGGCCACGAACCACGGTTCTAGCTGTAACTGCAAGGCCTTAGGCTTAGACCGCCGCGGCTCCCAGGCCCCAGCAGGGGACGAACGGGTGCTAGATCCAACAGAGTAGTCCATCGAATTCGACGGTCATTAAACTACCGCATGCCGTTGCGACGGATCTGCATACCAGCAAATGACAGATGGGCGTTGGTCCACCCGGGAATGCAAGGGGTTGGCTGGGCTCGTCTACATACAGGTCAGGTAGCAGGCCGCGGAACCACTGTTGAGAATTTATCTGCACTCCGCACAGGCATGCACCCATTACCTGACGTGGTCGCTTCCCCCATCTGCGGAGGGAGGGGCGCGGGATCCAATACTGTAGTGCTAATCGCCCGAATTAGCGAATTCTCGCCGGCCAGGGCGGCCGCACCCCGAACCACTCCGACGGAGGAGGCACGAGCATTATTGGGACGCAGGAGAAAATAGAGGAGCAGCCGGACTAGATTGATAAAACGAAATACCACAGAAAGCCACGCGTGCCGGTTTCCCCAACGTATCGCGCATTGTTGCCCAACAGGGGTGCAGAAGTGGCCATCGCAGCCTGACTGGGTTAAGATCCGACGGGACTGGCGTCATCTCGGATCTAAGTACTGTGGCATTCTGGGCCTAATTTAATAGCGGAATGGTATGGCTGGTTGAAGGAAGGCACCGGTGGTGACCAAAGTCGGGCCGGGTGGGACCGAGAGAACACGGTGCGCAGAACATATCCACTCCCCGAAGGGCAGACCGTGATGACCACTTCTATTGAAATCATAAAGCTCTATCCAATCTATAAAGGGTGTGAAGTGGGGGTACTCTGTAGAGGCAGAGCCGGGCAGAAGAAGTGTGTGTGGGGGTGTATGTTCAAGTCAGTTTGGCTGAAGGACGATAGGCGGTGTAATTGAAAGATGACCGTGTTGAAGCATCCAATTTTCCGAATCCAGTCTGGGTACGACCTGTAGGAAAGAAGATGGCTGGCCGGGCAAACTCGGTCAGCGGCGGGACTTTTTCGGTAATGATGCAAGGTTGGATGGAGATCAAGGGATATTCTAGCGTTGGAAGCGTCACGTCTTGCCAAGGTCGGCGGGGCCTGTGGCACCAAATTCGGGAGCGTGCTCCCCAATCAGTTCCTTGCACACGAGCCACGCTCGCTGCGACGCCGGGTCTTTGGACGACATTTCAGCCAACCAAGAGGTGGCCTTCGAAACCCGCGCTAGCGCTTGCTGGTAAGTAGAGGTCCCTGATTGTGGCCTCAGCAATATCTGGGCGATGAGCACCGTCGTCGACTGCATGATATAATGTAAAATACACCACCACGGCGAAACATGGTAGACCCAGGCAAGGTCGGGAGTGTCCGGCAGAAGGTCGAGCATTTGGCCCGCAACGTCAACGCAAATGCCTGCCATCGTCTCGCAGAAGCTGCCCGGTGGGTCACTGCCTGGGCTTTGCAGGGCCAGCCGGCTGAGACAAGGTTGCGCGATAAGCGTTTTGGTGCTGAAAAAGCGGAACCCCAGGCTCGCCCGCTGCCTCTTAAACATCGGCGACCCCTGTGCGAAGTGAAATGCTACTGGAAGCCGGGCAAGCCATGCGTCCGCCCTGCCGTTCAACATAGAGATCGCCATCTCAATCTCACGCCATGACTTCCGGGCAGTCCCGGGAGCATATAGCAGGTCCACCGACTGGCGTATGATCAGTGCCAGTTCGACGTGGTGAAGGAAGTACAGCGAGGTGTTTGGGGTGAGAGCCTCCAAGGCACCGGCCGCAACCTGATCACTTTGTCTGCTCAGAGCGGACTGTAACCGAAAGGACTCGGGCGTGGACGGGCTTTCGCTCCACTTCCCAGGACTTCTGAGAGACAGCGACTCCATAAAGATGATCCGGGCTTCGTGATCAGCGATCAGTTGCACCAGCTTGCTATCCATAAAGTCTTCTTCCCTGAAAGGTACCGGGAGTGGAGTGGTGCAGAAGTCGTCACACGTGCTGGGTGGCCGACCGGTCATGACGCATAGCGAGTTATCGAGCATGTAAAGAGACCACCAAACCCGATAACGAGTCTCCTTGGAGACGTGGACAATCGAGTTGCTTTCATTCCGTAGATTCAATCCCATGGTAACAGCCGAACGAATGGAGATACCGCAGATTCTCCACGCCCTAGACGACACATAGCAAATTAGCGAGAGCGAAAGATACATCTAGGGAGATGTCCAGAGGGGTGGTGTACTTACCTGTTGACGTGTCCGATAGACATCAGATAGAAAGAAGTCAGCCCCTCCACCTGCACCTGCTGCAGATTCGGATGGTCCAACAAAGCAGTCTCATTCATGCTAAGCTTCCACGCCCGCGAGAAGTAAACGAGACTGTCATCAGACCCAGGATCGGTATTGTGATGCAAGTCGCGCGCGAGCTTTGCGGCGATCGCGAAGATTAAGTTGAGTATTGCAAGCCATTTCTTGCCCGGCCGCACCAAAGGGGAGGAGTAGAACGATTTGTATTGCCCCAGAAAGATCATCTTGCCAATGATAGGAAGCGACGGGTGCACGGCCTGGAAATAGCTATCCACAAGCAAGTCAGCCACCGAGGGAGGTGGGCGCTGGGTTGAGTCCACATCATTGATGACAGGGAGGTCCGAGTCGTCCAGGAAGAAGTTCACAGAAGCAACCGAATGATGGTCCCGGGAGTCTCGAGGGGGCACGGGATTCGACCGCTCGAGAAGACGCTTCAATCTGTACAGCCACGCAATCTCGGAGTGCTCACCCACGAAGCCCATGGCTTGGATCCTCTCATCACGGTTAAAGTCCTCGTCCGTGTAGTCCAGTGCTGCCATGGACGAACCAGGGGATGGGATAGAGACAAGGGTAGCATCGGCCACGATCGAGGCGGACGAGGCCGCTGTGGTCTGCAGGCTGGCGAACTGATCAAGGTCGTCCCTTTGCTGTGACGGCTCTGTTAGAGGGGCAGCCGGAAAGGGGGATGTGAGGCGAGGCGAGCGAGGTTGGGGTGGGCAGAAAGAAAAAAGGGGAGAATCAGCAAGAGAGCGAAGGAAGGGCCTTACATCGGTCAAAATCTGCTCGACATGATGGGCCGTGTCCAAGTCCAGCTTGGGGGCCAGTTCTCGGAAGAGGGCTTCGTACGCCTGGACCTGGCTTGTTAGATCACTGAGCTGCCTAGCACCCACCGTCAGAATGTTCGGACGCCGATTCCATAAGTCATATCACACGCACTTGGCCATCTTTTCTCGTTTGCGGTCGCCATACGAGCAGCGGATACCCGCCTCCTGGCATCGCTGGCAGGATGGGCGGTGACCAGTACACTTGGCTTTCTGGTCGCGACAGTTCTCGCAGGCCCGGCTGACCCGCCCGCTGGTGCTCCAGTTGCCCGATTTCACCGACCTGGGGATGGCTACTTTGGAGTTCAGGCTGCGATCCTCCGAGACAGAGACTTTGGAGTTGCCAGCGGCGGGGGGGTCCGCCGCCGTGCTGGGCGGGAGCGACTCGTGAGAGACGGGAGGGCCATAGGAGGAGGATGAGTGGGCAAACGGGGGCAGGGGCCAGCCACCGGACTTGGCCTGGCGGTCCTGGACGTTGGAGGAGGATGAGGTATAAGCTGGGTACGGGAAAGGGGGGGGTCGATCGTCGTCGTCGTCGTTGTTGTTATTGTTGTTGTTGTTGTCGCTCATTTTCACAGAGACGAGAGATGTGGGCACTAGGCACTGGGTAGCCCCCTTTGGTCCCAAGCCTCGATAGCACGGACAAAGCCAGCTAGCAGCAACAAACAAAGGAGAGTCGCTAATCAGGAGCAAGTAGTGGAGGGAGTATAAGGCCACTATAGACCGGGGGAGGGCAATAATAGTACCCGAGCAAGGCAGAGCAGGGTAGTGTTACAACCACATACGAAGCTCTGCACGCTTGTTGGCCGGGAAGGGACCCAGAACGGAGAAGGGCGAAGTGTGGTAGGCTGGAGCTGACTGCCGGGCTTGGTCTCGCCAGTCGCCACAATTGGGCGGAAATCGGCTCGCGTCTCCGGTACACCAGCAATCCGGCCCAGCGAGCAACTGCTTGCCGTATAAACAAAACCCATGGTTCCCCCCCCCCGAACACCCCCCCCCCCTTTCTCTCCTCTCTTCTTGTGCCCTCTCACTAGTTGCTCCATGGGTGAACGACCTGCCAGACCCCCGTCTCGACCCAACCAAATGCTCGCCCGTGACGACGCCGGAGGGCTCGTCCTTTCTCCTGCCTGACACGCTGGCCGTGCCTCGGTCCCTGCCCTGCCTGCCCTGTCGGATGCCCCATTCCAGCAGGATCTGCACCCCGCGTCGAGGTTGTCGGCGGAATCCCCCTTCCATTTCCCTGAGGGCCATTCGGTGGGAGAAAAAGCCAGGGGGGGGATACCCAGAAGTGAGGCCGTCATCACCCTCCAAACCCCGACGCCAGGGTGCCGCGGTGGCTTTGGGTCTTACGCCGGCGTTGAGGTTCTGAAGGGGGGGGGTATGCCGCCGAGCCATTTCGACAACTAATCTTCAGCCTGTCAGCAACGCCACCTACATCAACAGTTCGGTGTTGAATAACTGTCGGTGGTGCGAGGTGCGTTTCTCGCCAGAAGTGTCTCGAAGGGTCTCCATGTGCTAGATCGTGGGAACCACGCACAAAAACCACCCCGACGCTCTGGCACGTGGTCTGTGTGACCTGATATGCCTTGGAAGACGCAGTGCTTGTTGCTGGCCGCGGTGGGACAAGCCTCCCTGTTCCGTGGGATTCGACGAAGATGGGAGGCTGCCTGCTCCAGGTAAGCAAGCCATCACGAAAGATTCTTGGATCCCCTCAAATTTACTGTCGATCATTTTCTCCTCTAACTCTCGGTGTCGCCCAGCCGGCCCCCTCTTGTGATCTGACCCATCTGTCTTAGACACGTTGGCATCCACCTGAGAACCAACCAGATCGGCGCCTTTGGTTTCGACGATCCCGACGGTTACATCAACATGATCAGGGCCGCATATGATGGGTCTATCCCTTCTGCGTAAGAGGATGACTATCTGACGAAGAGACATGTATACATCTACTGCTTGGGCGTATGCCCGAATAACACCGGGAAAGCAGGTGCACTGGTCTTATGGTGATCACATGCCCGTATCCACGGGCGGGAAGACTATGGCTAGGTTGGAGCGATGTACTTCTTGGCGTGCCATTCAAGTCCTCATTGGCGTACATGACGATATGGCTGGTTTGATGATTGCAGTCGAGTCTATACATTTTGCACAGCTCTTTGCATGAACGGTTGCATGGATTTTCGGGACCTTTGGCAACACACTCGCAGCATGTCTTATGGCGAAGCAATCCGAGTGCTAGGTGCTAGCTCTAGAGCCATTCTAGCACATTGGGGCACTTGGTAGGCAGGCGTGGGCTGCTGATCCCAAGAGTGATCGGAATACATCTTGCGAATGGACGTTGTTGAACAGCCAAGTGAACATACAGGGGTGACAATGAACATTGAGCTAGCTCAACCACACTGACCGATGCAGATACCACCAAGACTCGTCCTTTAGATCATAGTCGTGCAGCACGGACCACTGAGATGTCACATCACCGTCGCCACAGAGCCTTGGGAGGGCCCGTTCTGGGCACCGAGTGGGGTTATCGCTAAGGCTCCGAGTTCGAAACCGGTTCTGAAGCTTGCCGACCATGGCTCCCGTTGTTCGCTTCGGAAGCCACTCGCCGGTTCTCATTCTTTCTCATTCTTGTGACCTCAAGGCACTGGCTCTCGCCCGGGAACCAGCACCAGGGGGACTCTCGGCAGAAGCTTCATGTGCGAGACATTGGCCGACGGCCATGTGGTACGGCGAGTGACGATCCCGTGCGGAGATCATGGGGCGTGGGTTGGGTGATTCGGGGACCTGATGGTCAGTGGTGATCCCCCGCGGGGTTCGGTTGGAGTTGGTGCTGGTATCCAACAAAATGTTAGCCCACGGGCAGAGGGACCTGGGGACATGACTTACATGGCTTAGTTTGCCAACACGCATGCTGTTTGTTGGGCGGGTGAGTGGTGGCACAGCCCAGCCCAGCCCAGCCCAGCCCAAGCCATCCGGCCGCTGCGTTCCATCACCGGAGACCTGCGTACTGGCCCTGTGGGTAAATGACGACGTAAAGTAGCCCAGTGCAAGTGCAATAGACCAATATCGGACGAGACGAAGGGATGAGGGATGGAGGAGATGGAATTGGGATGTTTTGAGTTGGGGGGGGGGGGGGGGGTTGACGGAGACTGAGCGGAGGGGAAGAAGGAAAAGATGGAGCGAGCAGACAGGACCCGAGAAGGCGGGCTGGCTATATAAGGGAGACGAAGCACTGTCCCACGCGCAGACTTTGCCGGGAAGACTGACCGACGCAGCGACGAGAGAAAGGGCCGTGGGACAGACGGGGGAAACAGAGGGAGCAAACAGGCTTGGTGGACCCAACCAAGCATGGAGGAAGCGTGGAGGTGGAGGGGATCATTGGCGAGGAAAACAGTTCCGCGCTCTCAGTGTGGCCGACTGGGCTGGCTGGCTGGAGGCGGACATTCTGTTTTTCCCCTTTCCTCATAGTTACTTGTTGCTGCTGCCTCGACTTTGCCTCCGTCTGTCTCTTCCCCCTCCCCCCCCCCCCCCCCCCAAGGACTCAAGGGCGAGAGCTGAATGCAGCAACACTGTCCATCCTCCATCATTGGCCCTGCAATGCCCCCCCCCCCCCCCCCCCCCCCGGGGGAAGTGGACTGACTGCAAGCTGCGAACCGCCTCCATCATTGGCTTCGGCCCGCGATCCTAGGCCCTGGTCCGGGTGGAACCCCCATGCTGGTCGGCCTCTCATCTTCTCTCTCTCGGTTTCTCCTCGATCTTGAGTCGTGAATCTTGAACTAATGCCTTCCCCACAGACCCAACAGATCTTTGCAGACCTTCACAGACCCCATCCAGATCCCTGATCCCTGATCCCTGATCCCCCATCCCCCATCCCCCAGAGGCGCCCACGCAGTTCGGGTTCGAGAAAGTCCCTCCCACTTGCCATCGAGCACCTCCTCTCTCCGCCTCTCGATGGTCCAATCGGAGTGTGTCTAGCGATCGGTCATGGTCATCGACGGGGAAGTGATACGGTCTCGGAGTGATCACCACGGTGGGATATTAGACTGCAGACCACAGACTGCCAAAGGATGTGGCTGGATCCCAACGTGGACGCGGAAAAGAGTTCCGCGAGCGAAGCTGGCGGTTCCGGGCGGGCCTCAGGATCAGCAGGATGTTAGAGAGCAGTAGATAGAGACTGGCAGAGCACGTAACGTATGTCGATCTATAATCAGAGTTGACTTGCGTCCACAGGAAACGGTGATTAACTGTTTATTACGTATGTATAGTACGTACTTACAGGATCGACGTAGATTTACTCCGTAGATCGTGGTAATGTTCTTTCTTGTCCAGCCTGGGTCCTCAGGCATCCCGCCGCCCGGCGAGTTTGGCCGACCGCCGATGCCGACTTGGCCGAGGCTTTCTTTCTCCATTCTTTCTCCATCCATCCATCCTACACCATCCTACACCATCCACTTCCCCTTCCATCCCCGGGCACTGTCGCCTATCTGTGTCGCAGCCACAGCTCACAGTCATGACTCATGAACCGTAGAAAACACCCCCGACCGACCGACGAGGTCTCTCCCAAACGGAGAAAGTTCGTCGCGTGAGTCCCCCCCCCGCGATTGCAGCGCCTCGACCAGACTGAATGACTGACCCCACATCTATGTACAGCTGCCAACGGTGCCATGCCCACAAGATCAAATGCTCCGGCGACCAGCCGTGCGCTAAATGCCGCCAGGTTGGCTGTGCCGACACCTGCCAGTATGCGCCGCGGGATCGGCAGGTCAAAGTGAGCGAAAGGTAGGCAGACAACTCCAAGGGATCTATAGATACTATACAGCCATCCAGCTCGCGTGTCTGTCTGTCTGTCTGACTGACTGACTGACAATTCTCCAGTTATCTGCAGCAACTGCTGGCCGAGAACCGGCAGCTGCGTCGCTCACAGCCGAGCCCCTCGGCCAGCGCGACCGAGGCCGACCAGGAAGCGCCCGGACGCGGGCCGTCGCGACCTGCAGAGGCGCCCGATCACGACGAGAGCAATCCCAATGTGCGCAATCCCTTGATCGGGGACCGCGCCTGGTTCCACCCCTACGATCCGTCCGCGCCGCCCATCTTCGTAGGCGAGGCCGCCTGCACCGCGTTTGCCACGCGCTTCCGCCGCTTCCTGACGGGCAGCAATGCCACCGCCCACATCCCGCGCACGCAGTACGTCGAGGACTACAATATCGCCGCCGCCAACACCGGCGAGGTTGCGTGGCCCAGTCTGCAGCAGGCCCGGCTGTTGCTGAAGATCGCGCTGCGCCAGATCGGCTTCATCTACCATCTCGTGCTGCGCCGGTCGACGCTGGAGAAGCTCGAGGAGATCTACCAGACGGGCGACTTCGCGTGCCAGGTCAACCAATGCAAGTTCTTCGCGCTGTTTGCGTTTGGGGAGGCCTACTCCATGCGCAAGGAGCCGTCCTCGGGGTCCAGGGTTCCGGGGACCAAGTACTTTGCGCGCGCGCTGAGTCTGGTGCAGGTGCTGCCGGAGCGGACGAGCATCACGCACCTGGAGACGCTGCTACTACTGGTATGCTTCCCTGTCGGTCTGCTGAATCATGCTAATGACCAGTCCCTATTCTCGTACTATCTGAACCGCCGGCACTCGGCGTATGTCTTGATCGGGAGCGCCATGCGTCTAGGACTGACGATCGGGATGAACCACAACGTCCCGGAGACGCAGATCATCGACCCGGTGGAGCGACAGCACCGGGTGCGCATCTGGTGGACGATCTATATCTTCGACCGCATGTGGGGGTCGAAGATGGGCCTGCCGTCGCAGATCCTGGACGACGACATCCACCTGGACATGCCGTGCAACATCACGCCGCCGGCGCTGCACGAGGGGCAGTTCTCGGACACGGAGTATCTGAAGGCGAACATCACGCTGGCGCGGATTGTGGGCGAGACGATCGCCAAGCTGTACAGCCGGCGCAAGTACAGCGAGACGTTCCTGCAGCGGGTGCAGAAGCTGCTGAAGGCGCTGAAGAACTGGGTGGAGACGCTGCCGGCGCATCTGCGGCTGGACCAGGAGGAGCCGGAGATGAGTCGGACGCCGGTGGGGTCGCTGCATCTGTCGTTCAACCAGGTATGCAGACTGTCTCCCACTTGATTCTACGCTCTAACGACCTCAGTGTGTAATCCTCACCACCCGCCCCACCCTCCTACACATCCTCATCAAACTCAGCGAGGACACGCACCGCGAAGACCGCGAAGAGATCTCGCAGCCGGTGCTCACGCTGGGCGAGGCGTGCATCCACGCGGCGCGCCACTCGCACTCGATCATCCTGCGGCGGTGGATCAACGGCACGCTGCCGACCTTCGGGTTCTTCCACGCGCACTACCTGTTCTCGGCGGCGCTGGTGCTGGCGACATCCAGCCTGACGCCGATCGGCAACCCGGCCGACCTGGGCGCCTTCGAGACCGGCATCGAGGTGTTGCGCGCGATGAGCGAGAACGGCAACCTCGCGGCGTCGGAGTTCTACCTCAACCTCGAGCAGGCAAAGTGCTGTCTAGATCGGTATCTGAGCGAGCGGCGGCGCGATAGTCGGGGGAGATTGAACGCGGCGGCGGCGATCGGGCCGGGGACGGTCTCGGCGGTGGTGTCCACCCCGACTAGCACTAACCCCCACAACCTCGTCGAGGGGCCGGGCCAGGGGCATGGACAGGGGCACGGGCAAGGACAGATGGGCCTGGACTTTAACCCGAACACCCCTGGGCTTGTCGAAGGTGGTGTTGGCGTGGTGCACGACGGGTTCACGACGGCGATGGCGTTCCTGGAGCCGACGATGCAGGATTTCCTGGCGCAGAGCGACTTCGATCTGGGCATGCTGCATCCGGTGGATACGTTTATGAATGAGGAGAATGTATATGCGATGGGGGTATAGCTAGTCGTATGTATTTCGATCTTCTATCTAGATATCTATGTCTGAATCTGGCTTGCCTTACTTGCCTCCTAGATAAGGTACTCAGCTAGGTACCGACCGTCCCATCACGTATTACCTACCTACCATCCATGAACATCAACATCAACATCAACATCAACATCCACATCACAATAAACATCAACATCAACATCACCATCAACATCACAATAAACATAACCACCAACCACCCACCGCCATTTCCACACAATACCCGAACCCTCCCCTCAACAGGACGTTCTGCAGGTCCTTATCTAGATACGCAGCACAGAGACAGATAGCGATAGAGCAAAACAACCCCCACTGTCGTACACCCAGGCCCCACCACCACTCAGTCTGTCCTGCTGCGGGAGCGGTAAGTAGAATGGTTATCCAGGATGAAGACCGGATTAGCTTGGGGGTTGAGTATTATCGCGGTTTGTCTGTCAGCTGTCTATATAGTAGTAGCTGGATTTTTTTAAGGACTAGAGGATTAAGATTGAAGAAGGAGGGAGTAAGGAAGAGGAAAGAAGAGTAGGTTAAAAAAAAATATGTATGTATGTATGTATGTATGTATGTATGTATGTATGTATTATCGTGTTCTGTTTGGTATGTATATGTGTGTGTGTGGATTGATTTGGGTGGGTAGGTAGATAGATAGGTAGATAGATGCATCTAGATAGGGCGGTGGTGTGGTGGTAGTGTAGTGCGGATGTGGTATCTGACATAGGCCAAGCAAGACAAGACAAGACAAGACAAGACAAGAAAATAAAAGAAAAGAAAGGGTCGAAATTCATGCGAGTGAATAATAGATGAATATATAAATAAATAATATACACGCGAAGGGAAGGAAGGAAGGAAGGGAGGAAGGAAGACCATCTATCGATACACTGATGGGTGGGGGTGTATCGGAATCAGATCAGAATCAGATCAGATAATGGTTGGCGGTTTGATTAAATTAAATTAGGTGTCGGTCTTGGAGGGGTAGAACCTAGTTATCATCTGGGTTAGTAATAGTTTTCACGTATCATGATTATATAGCATGGACTTGGGGGTAGGGATAGAGGGGGAGGCAAAAGGAGACATACCAAGCAGCCACGGCAATAATCAAATACATCATCATGAGCAGAACGCCCTCGAGCCAGTGCGATTTGCCGTCCGCGATGAGATAGTTTACCTGATCGAAGTCACGTCGATTAGCCACCATGCCAATCCCAACCCCAATGCCAACCCGACTCTATACTGCCAGATGTGAGGAACATACCAAAAGCACAGCGACGAAGAGAAGGATGACCTGGAAGGCATCGAAATAGAGAGTCATGTCGTCGTTACCTAGTCCGGTCAGCTTCATCTCATGCCATCCGATTCGGGGAGGGGAGATAAAAGAGGTAACGTACCCATTCCCCACCCAATCACAATAATCAGCGGCAAAACCAGCAGGGCAATCTGCATACTAGAGCCCACGGCCACTCCGATCGCCAGGTCCATCTTGTCCTTGCACGCGACAGTCACGGCGGTGGCATGCTCGGCGGCATTCCCGACGATCGGCAGCAGAATCAACCCGACAAAAGTCTCCGAGATATTGCCCGTCTGGGTGAGTGCGTCGATGGAATCCACCTAACCTTTTATCAGCCTTGCCCTCGCCACCAGAGATAGTTGTCACTGTCGAACAAGAAAACGTAAACGTACCATAAACTCGGCACACAGCGCCACAAAGACCGTCGAAATAACCAGGGTAAACACCGCCACCGGCACGCTGAGCTGCGGCTCCTCTGTCTCGTCGGGCTCCTGCAACTCGACGTTCTGCGCGTGCTCGCCCGCCATCCCCGCTGTCATCTTGCCGATGCGCGCGATGCCCCGGCTGGCGTCGCCTTCGTTGACCTTCTGGCTCCGCTTTTCGACTTTGGGGCTGGGCGCGTTGTAGATCTCCGTGTGGGACTTTAGTTGGAAGAAGAGGTAGCAGCCGTATACGACCAGCAGGATGACGCTCGTGCCTGGGGTGTGCGTGTTAGCTGGGTGGGGTATCATGGGGGTGGTGTGGGGGCTTACCTCGTGATAGGGGGGCGACGCCCGCATCGCCGGCTGGGATTGTTAGCTGCTGGATGGATAGGTTGGGACATGGGGGATGGATGCTCACCGTCAGACCACGCGTGGAAGGCCGTGGGAATGATCAGACTGCCGACTGCCAAGGCGAGCAGACTGGCGGCGGTCTGGGCGACGACGGGGTTGAAGTGCTGCTCCAGACGGTCGATGCCCCCGAAGAAGAAGCACATGCCCATGACCAGCAGCAGGTTGGAGAGCATACTCCCGATCAGGGAGGTTTGCACGATGGTGACTTCGTTGTCGACGAGGGCGATGATCGCGACGATCAATTCGACGGCGTTTCTGTCCAGTTAGACGGGGACATACTGGGAGCAGAACGGGACACCTACCCGAACGTTGCGTTGAGCAGACCCCCGATCGTCTCTCCGGTGCTATGTTCATCAGTACAAGTAAAGTCTTCCTGCTAGGAAAAGGCAACCCTACCGCATGGCAATCTCCTCGGTCGCATAACTCAACATCGCCGCAAGGGGACTGCTCCCGTTAGCTGCATCACGGGGGAATGGACGGGGGTCGTACATGATCGCAATGAAATTCACCACGAACACCGCCACGGGGGGCACATTGACGTAGTTCAGCGCGACTACACCGGTCAGGTCAGCCAGCTCTCGCGCACGGACAGGGGTGGATGATATTCACTTCCGACGGGCGCGGCAAACAGCAGGACGTTGATCCACGAGTTAAACAGCGTGGCCTTCAACTGGCCCATCGCGGTGAACTTGCGCTTGGGCATCGGCTTGGAGGAGTCGGTCATGGAGCGGTCGTCTTCCGTGGGCCCGAACATGCTGTTCAGGGTCTTCCTCTTGCGCGGGCGGCCGTCCAGGGTGTCTTCGTCGGCGCGCGGGACATTGATGGGGTCACGACTGTGCATGGAGGGGTCAGGCTTGTCGCTCTCGATGCGCGTCACCTGGTCGGTGCCGGCCGACTGGGGCGGGAGAGTGTCTGAATGCTCGGGGCCGGTCAGCCCATCGGTCATGTCGCGGCGACGGCGGCGCTCCTCGGACAGACGCAGCTCGCCCTCGGACAGCACGGGCGAGAGGCGGTTCTCCAGCTGGATGGAATTGGTGCGTCGCGGACCCCGGCGGAACTTCTTGAAAGGGTTGTGCGAGGAGGCCTCGCCTTCGTGGTCATACCAGGCCAGATTCCTGGCTTGTCGCTTGTAGATGTCTGCGCCACGACCTGGTCAGTGATCGATGGGCCGCGACCTGGAAAAGGGGGGCACTCACGCATGATCGGATCAGATCAACGGAATAGGGGAGAGGGGGGGGGTTAATTCTAAGCCGATAACTAGAGAAGTAGAAGAATTAGGCGCGAGCAAGGATTATATGGAGCAGGGTTCTATGCGATGACGGGGATTTTGACTTCGACTGCGCCGCTGGATGGGCTCAGGGAGGTGTCACTGCGCCATGGCTCGCTCCAATGGGCAGCAGGCAACGGGGACATTCCACTCACCGACTGACGTGGGATGGATGCGATGCGATGGCAGAGGCACAATACTGGAGCAGAGGGAGTGTCCGGTGTGGCTGGGGACGAGGGTGGATGTCGCTCAGCCTCGGTGGCTACTGACAGGATCTGGAGGGGTTCGCAGTAGACTAGAGATAGAAGGCAGATGGGTCCAGGAGATGGAAGATAATATGGAGGTGGAGGTGAAGAAGAAGATGATGATGGTGGTGGAGCAGCGCAATGACACAACAAGACAAGCGAGCGACAAAGCCAACGAACAGGCAGGAGCGAGAGCGAGTGAGTTGTCAGAGCGTGCGAGATGCGACGGCAAGCAGAGTTTGCCTGCCTGACGACGAGCATCTTGGCCATCTCATTCACTCTTGTGTTGCTCAATGATGTCGCTCCGGGACACAGCCACACTCGTCGCGCTAGTGCTGCATTCTGCCCATCGCCGGCCCCTGATTGGCTACGGGGCCTGATTGAGTGCACCCACCGCCTGTCCATGGGCGCTGAGAGGAGATTGGAGGTCGCTTGGGAGACCTCCGACCTCCCCTTCCACACTGCCAAGACGCGATTGACTTTGACTAGTCCGGCGGAGGTCTGCAGCGTGCTGAAGTGCTAAAGTGCTGAACCGGGGTGACTTCTTGCCTGTCCACTTCAGAGAAGTTGTGCGGAATGGAGAAGGAGAATCCGGGTCTGCTTGCAGGAACCCCGCCCACTGTCAAGGAGAATCAATCAATCGATCTGAATGGCCCCATCATTCGCCAGGAGTGGCGGTCGTCATCAAACTCAAACGGGAATCCAGCCCCTGGCGGGTTTCGGGCGGCCCCATGTGGTCGCCCCTGATTGGCCGCCGGAAAACAAACCTCCCCCCTTCCTGATGTAAGCAGACTCAACTTCCGCCACAAGGTGTGGCTTGTAACTCGCACTGAGCCACATGGCTAAGCCAGCCGCAGCATTTCATCTCCAGCCACATCTCCAGCCACAGCATGCGTCCCCTTGGCAGACTGAGAGAGCCTCCAGCGCCCAACTCCAACAGTCACATCTCATCCCGTCGGGAGAGTGTTCAGCAAAGCACTCCGTACTCCTTTTCGCAATCTGCCCAGACTGAAGAAGGTAAATGAACAAGTGGGAAGGATGAGCCCTACAACACACTCTCCCAACACCGCGGGCAAACAACACCCGCAGGAGAGTGAGACAGCCAACGATATATATTTGGTACCACCCAAGCCCAACACCACGTCGAGACGCAGCACAAGGAATCGGCGGACCAGCAACGACTGGCCCCGATGGATGGTGAGACCGTGCTTCATATGTGCGGAATGACTCCTTGCGTGGCCGGGATGGCCGATGAGGTCATCGCACGCGCCAGTCCAAAGGGACGACGACAACAGACGTAGATATCTATCTAGCAGCAACCAGAGGGTGATGGTCGGGCGACACAACGGCAGAAAAGGAGAAGAGGGGCGGACCGGGTCTGTGTTGGTTGGTTGGCCCATTGACCGACTAGGAAGCCACCGGATGATCTTGTGCTTGTGCTTGCGAAAGCTTGGTTTCCCGCCGGCTGACTCTCTGGCCTGACTCTGCTTGCTACTATTCTTGCTATGTACTCCGTAGGGACCTATACTTACTATAGATGTGCGGGGGCGTAAGACATCTTAGTCTACGACAAAGGATAAACTCAAGGAGTTCAGGGCGTCCAGAAGTAAGAGCCAAGGGTTGAGGGAGATTCTTGGTATCCATGGAGAGCGCGCAAGAATGCTTGACGGGGTTTTGATTCAGCCGGATCATCCAAACAAGCTTCATCTACGTCGAACGCCATCAACAGAGGCGGCACGGAGTAATAATCAGCAATCAGAAAATCAAATCCAAAATCCGAATTCGCATCATGTCTCATACAAGGAGTGGGCCCCAAGGGCAACGTTGTTACGTTTAAGTTACCCGACCGTACATTAGTTTACGGGCCCCCGGCCGCGCCAGGGCCCTTTCGCGGCGGCAGGACCCTTAGACCCTGCCAGGGTCCGGGGTGACCAGTACGGTTTGATACGGCGTATTGTGACGGACAGCCGGACCGGGCTGCCGCTTGGCATTCTTGGCTTGGCGCGGCGGTGGATCGGCGGGCTGTCTCTTGTCTCAGGCCCTCAGCGCGCTGTAAGCACCGAAGCAGAGGGTGTGTTTCTGATTGGAAATACACAACGGTGTGAGCCAGTAATTCTGAATCACGGACAGCCGCCCGCGAGAGAATCCCAATAAGCGGACGCCCCACTGGTGGCTCCAAGAGGGGGGGTGATTTGCCTGGGTGGCGGGCCAGGAACTGGGCAGCCCGCGGGTCTGGACCCGTATTGCTGATACGGGCGGTACAAAGTCAAAGCAGGGTCCTGGGCCAATCAGCCGCAGGGTCCGGGGCGTTTCAGCCCGCCCTCCCTTCTTCTTTGGGATTCCTTTCTGTATACTCTACAGTACTCACGGTCGTTGTTTGTCTGGGACTTTGTAGGAGAGGGGGACACAAAGGAAGTGCTGGATGCCCATGGTCATGCACATGGTGTACTACTGGTACTATCATATTAGGAGTGAAAATGCACAGTACTGCGTACTGTGTGAAGCAACTGGTATTTATTTACCTTGGGGCTGGCAACCCACAGGGATCAACACGCAGGCACTCCAATCAGCGCCGTCCCCCGGGATGCACGGCGGAATTTACTATTTTTACAGCGGGGGGTGTCGTAATCCCCCGTCAGCCGGTAGGACCCTCCTTTTCTGCCCGGCTTCTTTTACTCTTCCTCCTCCTCCTCTTCCTCCCTTCCTCGTCATTCTCTCTTTCTTTCCCTCCTTCCCAGCCCCCTTCCCTCACCAACCTCCCTCCTTCCACGGCTGCTCCGCCGTCGTCACTCGTTCTATCTCTCCTCGCCTCCTTGGGTATTAATTCCTGTGGAAATTGATATACCAAGGCTGCTGTCTCTTCTGCAGTGTTTCCCCCCCCCCCATCAACACACTCTCGTTCCACCCACCATCATGAAGCTCGCCACTGCCCTCACCGGGGCTTCCCTCCTCCTGGGCCGCGCCATTGCCGCGGACCTGCCTGCCATCGAGGCCAAGGTACGCACGAAGCATCAAAGCTGGTAGTTGCAGAACTAACTGCTAGCAGAGTAACAAATTCTTCTACTCCAACAACGGCACCCAATTGTGAGTACCTCCACCCTGTATTGTTGTTGTGCCTGCAACTAACAGAACCAGTTTCATCCGGGGTGTTGCCTATCAGCGTATGTCCATCGAATGCCGACCACTATACCGGCTATACAGATACTAACACCCCTCCCAGAGGACTACTCCGGAAACGGGAGCACCTCCGGCAGCGACTACACCGACCCCCTGGCCGATGCCACCTCGTGCAAGCGGGACATCCCCTACCTGCAGCAACTGCGCACCAACGTGATCCGCACCTACGCGGTCGACCCGACCCAGGACCACACTGAGTGCATGCAGGCGCTGCAAGATGCCGGCATCTATCTGATCACCGATCTGTCGTCGCCTTCGACCTCCATCAACCGCGACGACCCCGAGTGGAACACCGACCTGTACGAGCGCTACACGAGCGTGGTCGATGCCTTCGCCAACTACACCAACGTCATCGGCTTCTTCGCCGGTAACGAGGTCGCCAACAGCCAGAACAACACCAACGCCATCGCCTACGTCAAGGCCGCCGTCCGCGACATGAAGGCCTACATCAAGGCCAAGAACTACCGTTCTTCCCTGGGTGTTGGCTACGCCACCGATGATGACTCCACCATCCGTGACGACCTGAAGAGCTATCTCGCCTGCGGTGAATCCGACTCCATGATCGATTTCTTCGGCTACAACATCTACGAATGGTGCGGTGACTCTTCCTACTCGACTTCCGGTTACAAGGCGCGTACCGAGGAGTTCCAGGACTACCCCGTCCCTGCATTCTTCTCCGAGTACGGCTGCAACAACCCCTCCCCTCGTACCTTCACGGATGTGCCCGTCCTGTTCGGGGACCAGATGAACGACGTGTGGAGCGGCGGTATCGTCTACATGTACTTCCAGGAGGCCAACGACTACGGGCTGGTGTCGGTGTCTGGCAGCAGCGTCAGCACGCTCAAGGACTTCTCGAACCTGTCCTCCCAGATGCTCAAGGTCACCGCCACCGGTGTGAACAGCAACAGCTGGTCCGCCAGCAACACGGCCACCCCTACCTGCCCGAGCGTCGGTACCGCGTGGGAGGCCGCCAGCTCCCTGCCCCCGTCCCCCAACTCGGACCTGTGCACGTGCATGGAGGAGTCTCTGTCGTGTGTGGTGAAGGACTCGGTCTCGAGCAGCAAGTACGGTGACCTGTTCGACTACATCTGCGCCAAGGGCGACTACTGCGACGGCATGAGCTCCAACTCGACCAGCGGCGACTACGGCGCGTACAGCGTGTGCTCGACCAAGCAGCAGCTCAGCTTCGTGATGAACCAGTACTACGAGAAGCAGAGCGCCAAGGCCAGCGCGTGCGACTTCAGCGGCGACGGCACCACCACCTCGTCCAGCGCGGCCACGGGCACCTGCTCGTCGTTGCTGCAGGAGGCCGGCACCGCGGGTACCGGCAGCGTGACCTCGTCCCCGACCAGCGGCGGCAACGCGGGCGCCAGCTCCAGCGCCAGCTCCTCCAAGGGCGCGGCGGGTATGGTGGCGACCCCGGCGACCGTGCGCATGGGCAACTGGCAGCTGGGCGCGTACGCGGTGACGGCCGTGGGCGCTGCCATGGGCATGATCCTGCTGTAGATGTATGGTGTGGAATCGTTAGCCGTACATAATTGAAGTCTACATTGTAGATGGCACATATTGATTTCATTCTGTTAGAGTAATCTTACCATTTTTATTTCAAGTACTTTGACAATCCGAAGTTCACATTTATCTTCCTCCAGTCAACCTACCTATCTACCTGTAGACCACCTGTAGACTACTACTAGACAGCCATGAAGATCTCCCACATCTGCAAGTGTGAGTCACATCACAGCACGCGATCAATTCCCCGATACATCTCTCTCACTGACTGTCACTGTGACTGTGCCTGACTGATACCAGTCAGTCTGCATCCTCGGCCGCCCAACCCGACCCACCACCGGCATCGATTATCGGGCGCCCACCCGAGCTCGGCGCGCCCGTCGCAGCCGCCGAACTGCCCGCTCGGCCACACAACCGGGCTGCCGAGCCGGGGAGCGATGCCCATATATATATAAGATGTGTCTGGAAGTCTGTCTGGAATGGGTGGTGGATCCGACTGGCTGACATTGCTGACATTGCTGAGGTTGAATATTTCTTCTTATCTCAGAAAACCTAATGCAGGGTGGAAGATTGACAGAAAGAGGAACCATGTCGGGTATGGAGTTTACTGGATCGTCTGTGGGTGGAACACCACCAGATCCAAATCCAAACCCACATGCAAACCTGGGGTCGAAACCGGATTCGAAGGATAAATCGACAACCACAACCACAACCACAACCACAACCACAACTACAACCAACACAAACACAAACACAAACACAAATACAACAACCCTCTCCCCAAACCACCAAAAATACCAAAACCAACCGGCTACACCCTCCCCCCCTGGCACAAATCCCTCATCCTCTTCACCGTCAGCTTCCTAACCCTAACCATCACCTTCTCCTCCACCTCCCTCCTCCCGGCCACCCCCGAGATCGCCAGCGAGTTCCACACGACCACCGAAACCCTCGACATCACCAACGCCGGCGTCCTGCTCGCCATGGGCTTCAGCTCGCTGATCTGGGGGCCCCTGAACAAGCTCCTGGGCCGACGCATCGCGTACAACATCGCCATCCTGGTGCTGGTGGCCGCGTCGGCCGGCACGGCCGTCGCGCGCGATATGAGGACATTTACGGCCCTGAGGGTGTTGGGCGGGTTAACGGGTACGGGGTTTATGGTTACGGGGCAGACGGTTTTGGCGGATGTTTTTGAGCCGGTATTTCTTTCTTTCTGTCTTTCTTTCTTTTTTTTTGGCTAATGTGGATGATTGTATAGGTTGTCCGTGGCACAGCGGTGGGATTGTTCATGGTGGGTACGGTGGCCGGGCCGGCGATTGGTATGTCTAGTATACACTACATCTTGACATCTTGACATCCTCTTCATAATCCTACCCTATGATATGAAAAAAAAAGCTAATAAAGAAGGCCCCTGCATCGGCGGCATCATCGTCACCTTCTCCAGCTGGCGCAACATCTACTGGGTGCAAGTGGCCATGTCGGGCTTCGGGCTGGTGATGTCGCTGCTCTTCGTGCCGGAGATTCCCTCTGCGGACGCAAAGGCTGCAGAAACAGACACGGATGCAGACACGGATGGAGAGACACATGCAGATGCAGATGCAGATGCAGATCTCGATCTCTCCGAGAAACCCACCACGAAGAAACAGAAGCAAAAGGTGTCTTGTCGTGAACTCCTCTCCGCATTCAACCCCGTCCGCGTGTTTCGGTTATGGGTGTATCCTAATATCTTCCTCGCTGTACATATCCCCTTCCCCCTTTATAAAAAAAAAAAAAAAAAAAAAAAAAAAAAAAAAAAAAAAAAAAAAAAACCGCAATACTAACAAAAACCAACCACAGGATCTAACATGCGGCCTCCTCTCCACCTTCCAATACAGCATCCTAACCTCCGCGCGCTCGATCTTCAACCCGCGCTTCCACCTCTCCACCGCGCTGGTCAGCGGGCTCTTCTACCTCGCCCCAGGGGCCGGGTTCCTCGTGGGCAGCGTCCTCGGGGGCCGCTTATCCGACCGCATGGTCAAGCGGTGGATCGTCAAGCGGAATGGCGTGCGACTGCCCCAGGACCGTCTGAATAGCGGGCTGATCACCCTGCTGGGCGTGTTGCCTGTCGCGGCGTTGGTGTATGGCTGGACCCTGCAGGAGGGGGTCGGCGGGATGGCGGTGCCCATTGTGGCGGCTTTCTTTGGCGGAGTGGGGCTGATGGGGAGTTTTAATGGGCTGAATACTTATGCGGCTGGTTTGTCTCTCTCTCTCTCTCTCTCTATCTATTATTTCTTTTTTTTTTTTGGAGAGGGGTATGATGCTAATGTTCGGGATGGGATGGGATGGATGGATGTAGAAGCCCTCCCCCACCGCCGCTCGGAGGTCATCAGCGGGAAGTACATCATCCAGTATCTCTTCTCGGCGGGGAGTAGTGCTGCTGTCGATCCGTTGATCGGGGCAATTGGTGTGGGGTGGACGTTTACTATTTGTGAGTCATTTTCTTCTTCTTCTTCTTCTTCTTCTTCTTCTTCTTCTTCTTCTTCTTCTTCTCTGTGTTGCTCTTTCTTTCGTCTGTTTTCCTTCGAAAGACTTGATTCGGTACTTGCATTGCTAATACCAGATGGATTACACATGTAGGCGTCTTCTTCTCCCTCATCGGAGGCGTCCTGGTCATTCTAATTACCCGGAAGGGACTGGATATGCAGCGGTGGGTGGAGAGACGGATCGGGGTGCAGGGATGAGATTTCTATCCGGGTTGGTCCTGAGATTTGTGATTTGAGGGAGAGTGGGATTGAGGACGGACGGACTACGGTTATGCATCATGATTAATGATTGGTGATGATTGACAACATGATAGATATCATGATAGATGATGTATAAAAGATACCAGGTACTAGAGATAGAGGACAGATATACAGCTTCATACAAAGAATAGACAGTCTCTTTCATCTTTCATCTTAATTAACAGTTCTAGATGTACCACTCTCGAACATGAATCTGAACATACCTCCCGGCTTGAAGAAGCAGAACCAGCGTCATCTGCATTATACCCCTATTAAGTACTTCTTCGGAGACAACCCATGTACCAGTCTAACCATCCATGATATACCCAACCACCATTTGCCATCCTGCTTCTGAAACCCGGTGAGGGAAAAAATAAAAAAAAAAAAAAGGAATTATAGGTGTCGGGATCCTGTCCATACCATCTACCGGGGGAGCAAACAAACAAACCTCGGAAGGAATCATCAGAAATCGAGCTATGTCCCTACTGGCACGGAGTAGAGTCAACGATATCTCTGTTTGACATAGGGTGGAGATAAGGGCAAAACATGACTGAATCTGTATTGTTTTATTGACTACGGGGTACAGAATATCATGTCTAGTTATACACCCTCGAATGAAGCATAATGTATAGTCAAGCAAAAAAAAAAAAAAAAAAGCAATACAGCCACGCCACGTCAGACCGTCTCTCAGCCAAGTAATTGAATTGGTCTGGCGAGGCAGGAGCGGTGAGTCATCAGAATCAGACAGGTCATATGATATGATATGTAGTTATGGATGGCTATTCATTTCATTCCGATCCAGCATGAGGGATAGGTAAACAGCTACCGAGACATTCTCAACACACAGACAGTGTTGAAGGACTTCAAGTACCTTCAAGGGAGAATAGAATCAGCAGACAGAAATTGGCAGCGCTCATCAGTACCACCGAACAGTTTCGTTTCGCGTGGGCGAGAGAGAGAGAGAAAGAATCTACCACCGGTTGGCCGATTCCAGAATACCCCAAGTATACCCGAACGAACGAACGAATGGCGCGATTCCATCCCCCCCGTGCGATCACCAGGGTCCGCGGCATGATGTCAAGGAATGGCCCGAAACGCATCCAAGAAGCACCTGAAACACATTCCTTCCATCCATCCATCCATCCCCATGGCTCGGTCGGTCCGGTGCGGCTGATGCGCAGGGGAGGGGGAAGAGGGGGCAATTCCCCCGTCGGCCCTAATTTTGGGTCAAACAAGACGGCCGGGTCGGATCTCTCTCCCCTCCCTGCCACCCACCAAGGAACAAGAAACACAACAGGATAGGAAACCGCACAGCGGCTGCAAATGTAGTCTGCCATCTGCCATCTGCCATCTGTAACAGAGCGCACACCAGATTGCGGGACAGAATTCTACCGCGAGGGGAGAGGTGTTTGCGGGCGGGACCATGTAACGGGTTAAGTGGGTGAGTTACATTAGGTGGTGGATGGGGGGGTGGCGTCGAACAGAAATTGGCTTTGGGGCCGAGGTGAGATGCTTGTCGCAGGCATATTGATTGATCACTCCGTACTCCACTACCGGTATGTTTTCAATCATGGATATGCAGGTGCAGATGGGATTGATACGGTTCGGTTGGTGGCGAGGCGAGCCGGGGGGATAAATAGGCCGAGGCGTCCCATTCCCCATTTCCCGGTAGGTAGAGTCAATCCGTGGGGGTTTTTTCTCTCTCTTTTCCAGGGAGAATTCGAATTCTCTCCCTCCCTTTCTATCTACCTATCTATCACGTTATCATCATCCATTTCAAAAACAATAATATGTTCTGGCACGCCACCTTCACCCTGCTCGTCGCGCTGGGCGTGAGTCCCATCCGTGCAAGAAGCTCGCTATCGGCCATCAGCCAGGAGAAATGGGACGCGCTGAGCAAGAGCGTCGGGGGACGGGTGCACGACGGCGAGCCGTTTCTGGCGCCCTGCTACGACAACTATAATGGCAAATTGAAGGTCCCGGATTATGCGGAGTGCACGCTGCTGCAGAGTAACCGGTCCTCGAGCGTTTTCATCGCGGGGTATTTTGGGGGGTATCAGAATGTGAAGCCCCCAGTATCGTGATTATGATGTGTCGGTGGTCGGTGGTCGGTCTGCTGACTGGCCATGAATGAATGAATAGGCAAACTGGGGCTCCTGTCAAGCAACAGGCGCCGCCTGCGTGCTGGATACCCTCATCAACCCCGACCTGTCCTCCCCCGTGGCGCTGAAATGCGAGCAGGGCAGCGTGCCGAATAAGTACCTCGAGGTGCAGAGCGTCGCGGATGTGCAGGCGGGAGTGAACTTCGCGCGCGAGAATAATCTGACGCTGGTCATTAAGAACACTGGCCATGATTACAAGGGACGCAGCTCGGCGCCGGACTCGTTTGCTTTGTGGTGAGTCTGTCCTGTCCTGTCCTGCTCTGCTGCACCTCACGAGGGAGGGTTACTGACGCAAGAAGGACCCACAACTACCAACCCCCCCTCCAACTGCAACAGAACTTTATCCCGGCGGGTTGCTCGTCCGCCGTCGGAGACGTGATCACCTTCGGGGCCGGACAGCAATTCGAAGGGATCTACGAGTTTGCGCACGAGCACAACTACCGCGTGGTGGGAGGAACGTCCAACAGTGTTGGAGCGGCGGGTGGATGGATCACCGGTGGAGGCCACAGCATGCTGTCGAACGAGCTCGGTCAGCCCTAACTACCCCCATTCCCATTCCCATTCCCACCCCAGAACCAACTAACCAACTAACCAACCCAACCCCAGGCCTCGGAGTCGACAACGTGCAACAGCTCAAGGCCGTCCTCCCCAACGGCACCTACGTAACGGCCAACCGATGCCAAAACCAAGACATCTTCTTCGCCCTGCGCGGTGGCGGCGGGGGCACGTTCGGGGTGGTGATGGAGATGAGCACACTGGCGCACCCCGAGAAGCCCGTGCAGCTGGCGGAGGTGATCTTCGCCAGCATGGACAACGAGAGCGCGCAGAAATTCCTGGACATCCTGGTCGCCAACGCCGACAGATGGGCCTCGGAGGGATGGGGTGGCTACATCTCCCCCGGCCTGCTAGGCAACCAAGTATCCAACCTGCTCCTGGCCACCTCCCTGCTGAACCAAACCGCCGCGGAAGTGTCCATGAAGCCGGTCCTCGACTTCGCGCGCCAACAAGGCACCATCGGGATCGCCAACGTCACGACCAGCCCCACATACTTCGCGATGATCAAAGCCATCGCCGCCGCGGCGGGCCTCGACCCCCTCTCCTCCATGGCGATGTCCTCGCGCATCGTGCGCCGCGAATCCTTCCTCGGCGCGGCCAACCAGACGAAACTCTCCACCATCCTCAACGACATCCTCACCACCAGCCAAAAGAGCCTGCTGCCGGACATCTCCCCGCTCTTCATCAGCGTCACCTCCCCCACAATCTACTCGCAGACCATGCCGGCATCCGATCAACCCGGCGGGCCCGGCGCGTCGTCCGTGACGCCCGCATGGCGCGACGGCATCTGGCACGTCATCCACCTCAGCCCGTTCGATGCCATCATCACCGACCCCAGCATCGTGAATGGCATCTGGCAGAAAGCTCACGATACGATGAACCCGCTGCGCGAGTTCACGCCCGACTCCGGCGCGTATCAGAACGAGGCGGATACGTTTGAGAATGACCCGATCAGTACCTTCTGGGGCCGGGAGAATTATGAGCGGCTGTTGAGGATTAAGAAGGTGGTGGATCCGACGAATTTGTTAACCGTTCATCAGGGCGTGGGGTGGGATCGGACTGAGGAGAGGTTTCAGTGTTATCCGGATGTTTCTATCTAGGGATCGGTGGATGATGGATGGCCGAAGTTGGTGTTTTGTTTTGTTGTTGATTTTGAATTTGGTGCAGATGTGGGCTTGGATTGTAGGGTAGGCTGTTGTTTTTTTCAAGTTTTTCAGTACATTGAGATTTTTCCGGAGTGAATAACGTTCAGCCCCTTTTTTTTTCACTGGCACGCACTTGTACACCTGTCTTTTTGCATTGCAAATCCCCAAGCATTATAGAGCCATTAGTTCAACGGTGCCATACCCGACGAACCCTCCCTGTTTATATACCTACCGGTACACTCTATATATATATATATATTTATTCCCGCCCAGCTCTTGATAATCCCATCCCAAAACCCAGCACTCTCAAAAGAATTAACTGAATACAGTACAGTCCCGTCTAGTCCAATAAATCTGACCGATCGCATTGACACTCCATACAAACAGTTGCCTACACAAAGCATGCCCCCAGCACAAACCACGTTGAATCCCACCCCGCCAAGCAGCCGAAAACAGGCTCCACAGCACACCCACAAACCACAAACCATCACCATCACCAAAAAAAATAAAAAATAAATAAACAAAAAATGGAGCTGCGGGGAATCGAACCCCGGACCTCTCCCATGCTAAGGGAATATTATACCACTAAACCACAGCCCCATCGGATGGAGGGACGACGTGTTGATGGCTATGAGAGACGGGGCTGTGTGGTGGTGATGGTGATGGTGTTGGGTGTCAAGGAACCAACCCGATATCTATATTTTATGTGGTAGGCTAACCACTGCCAATCAGAGGTTCAGAATAAAGAAGGTTATCCAATATTGTTGCTAACTAAGTGGAGTATTAATATAAATACTCCCACCGGCTCCAATTTGGTGACAGCGGGGGTTTAGTATTTGATGTTTATTTATTCATGCACCGGACAATCTCCAACAGCAGGAAGGAGGGCTTCTTATACTCGAATTTATTCAAATCGGTAATTATTAGAATTCCTAACTAACAGTAAATTTCTCTCTACTTTTATATTTTGTAAAACATTTCAGCCACCATCTATCAGGAGGTGCAGTGAATGCGCCTGACGAGATACGGAGACATGGATCTTCCCATGCATCTTTCTTTCCCACTTGGACCCCATCCTACATCCACCATCATTGCTCCCACCAAGAAAATCCATCCCATCTCTCAGCTGCACCCCACAATAACCCTTACAAAACAGAAGACCTCATGCGTAATCAAACCACATATATTATTAACTACCTAAACAGCACCATACAACAGAGGACCCATCCCACCCCAGCCCATCCGCCATATACTCGGACAAGCTGGCCTGGAACAGTCCCCACACAACACACCAGATCTAGAATAAAGCAATCGAAACAAGCCCAACACTACCACTCTCTTTTCACGCAGCTATTCAGCCAGACGTGTATCCGTATCCATACCCATAGCCATATCCTCAGATACAGACACGAACGGATTTACTCCTTGTCATCAGACTCCGAGCCATCGCCGATAGCAACGCACTACCATCACATCGAATCAGCCGCCATATCATGCAACGATACATGAATGCCCGCGGAAGAGAGAAAGAAGGAAGGGAGAAAACTTACAGTGTTACCCTCACCCGGGCAGCAAGCAATAATGTTCTGGCACACGGGGCCATTGTCGGAGTCCTTCACCAGAGCTGTTTAATTGAGTAAATATGTTAACAACCACTGCCACCGTTGTGTGTGACGGGATAGAACCATGATGTGATGCGGGAGGGAGGAAGGGAGTCATACACAGGATGCCAAGCTCATCAATCAGGCTGGTCTCGGCGCAGGCGGACCCGCTGTCGCCAACCAGGCTCTTGACCAGCCCGCCGCCGAGCAGGTTGTTCAGTACTCCGTCCGTCTTGACGGAGCTGGACGGGTTGCAGCAGGAGATGTTGCCGACGTCGCACTTGCCGGCGGAAATGTCCTTCAGGGCCTTGGAGTTGGCGACGGATCCGGCGGACGCGCTGGCCGCGAGGGCGAGGGCGAGGGAGAGGACCTTGGCGATGGTGAATTGCATTTTGATTTTGGTTGGGGGTTGGGGGGATTTTGTCTTGGTAGGGATTGAAGAGGGTGGATGGGTGGTTGGATGGATAGATTGGAAGTGATGCTTGAGAGATGGATGCTGGATGCTGGATGAAAGATGGACTTGGTGGGAGACTGAGACCCTTTTTATATTCGCGCGAGCCTCACTGGACTCTATTATTATGGGTCTTCAAGGATGAGAAGAAAGGGAAAAAAAAGATGATCCAGCAATGCAACGTTCCTGAAGCAAGTAAGCAACCAAGCAAGCGATTCTCTCTCTTCCAACTAACTTTCATTCCATTCCCAGGGAGAGAACCATTTGCAACCCTGCCGGACTTGCCACTCTCCGGACGGACGGCTGGGCGAGACTCCCAGGCACGGTAGGAGAAACATCCAAGACACGGGATACGCAATACAGGAATCACCGACGACGAAGATCCCAGAGATCTCCATAGCGAAGGAATCCGTCCATGACGCTGCGAGTGGAGATATGTTACAAGGAGCCTGGCTATTTGGAGGATGTGCGATGCTTCATCCCCCGGAAACGGGCCGTCTCTGACCCTGACCGGCATAGTGCCCATTCCCTCTCCTGCGATCCTGCCTCCAGCAGACAAACTTCAGGAACGGTGGAGCAGTTGACTTCCACAGGGGCGTAGCTTTCCAGGCATGGATAGGATGGCAGGTATCTTGGATGTAACCCGGTGCGTTGACAGAGACAGAGTCTCAGATGAACAGTGAGCGTCATGACCCGATTCGAGGCCCAATCGGGCAGGCAGTCAAGGTGAAGTGAAGTGAACCGTTGCTCCGTGACTGTGGACGAAGTAGGGATGGGATGGATGGTTTACGTGGTTTCATTCCCGCGGAGAAGGGAAGCAGTCTGGCATTTTTTTGCTCTTGCTTTTCTGCTCCGATTGCGGAAGGACAGAAATGGGAAGGTATGGGTAGATGATGTTCATTACATATGAACTGCTATGAATTTGGGCCAGTGTGAAGTACGGATGTCAGGCTCATGCCACGACCGTGATCATGATCCTACCGCCTTTCCAGTGCATATCTTCGCCATCCATTTTATTTCCCAGCCCCCTGCTACACATGGCCATAGGATAATACAAGCCACGAAACAGTAGTGTACCCCCCTCCCCAGGACACCGGAACCAAGGGCGGAAAGGCATGCAACCCCAAGACCCCGAGGCAGCGTTTCCAGGGAGTCGATGCGATGGGATGGGAGCAGACATTCAACAACAGTGACGGTAACATAGACCTACCTCCCTACCTAATGAGACGATCACCCCATCAGGCACAGACACACCCACACCTCAGGAATGAACCAGAGAGCATCCCTCCCCCGGCAATCGCAAGCCCTAACTAGAAACGAAGCCTCCAAGCCACAAATGGGATGCCTGAACCCATCCCCGCCTCTCATTGGAGGGAACATCAGCCGGAAAGCCCCGGCCAATCAAACCCGCCGATCGGTCCTCGGTTATAAACTTTGACGCAGTATTCCAGGTATTGCCGCAACCCTTGATTTCATGCCTGCCTTGGGTAGCTTTTACTTACCACAATGGTGGTAAAATCACGGATATTCAAATCCTGGTATAATTCATCCCCATCAACCCATCAATCAACCCGATGTTCGAAATAGGTTGGCTCCGCTAGTGCTAAGCTGACTCGATCGTGTGGGGTGCCGTGCGTATCATCCCTTTCTTCGATCGTGTCGGACGGATTGACACATTCCGACGTCCGCCAGGGGTGGAACGTGGCGGTACGCTGTACGTATGGTATGTCTGATATGTAATGTGTAATTTTTATTTTCAGAATTGTCATCTGTACGGTAACACTGTCTTACTTACCTACTACCTATCTACCTTCCTAACGTCCTGCATGCGATCACCACACACATCATCTCCCTCCGGCTTGAGTATGTATCTCCGAACACCGCATTTCAACAAATGGGGCTGTGGTTTAGTGGTATAATATTCCCTTAGCATGGGAGAGGTCCGGGGTTCGATTCCCCGCAGCTCCATTACTTTTTGCTTTTTTGCTTTTCTTTTTCTGGATGATATATAACACGCCACTATGGGACGGGAGACTATGTATTTATTGTATGCCTACTGAGTTACTGCGAGGTGAACGAATAATTGGTTCGTCCTTCGTTAGAGCGGAATGTTGAATCGGGGTTCGACCTCCAGGGGGTACTTTTACTGCCTTCTTATCAAGTATATACCTTGCTACCTGAATTCTCAGCTAAACCAAGAAAAACTCTTCTCTTTGCTCCGCCCCCCAGTTACATTTTGCCCTTGATTGGTTGTGGAGTTATATATGTATATATTTTTTCATCCCCGGTGTGTGAGTTATGCGAATTTTGAGCGTTGTGGGGTAGCTGTCCGGATAGATAGATGGATATCAGGTCCCCCCTCCATTGGAGAAGTGTTAATCTATCCATCCATCCATCTATATATCTATATACCTAGTGAACTTTCCTCGTTCTTCACACTTCAGATTAAACGGACAGTATACCCCCTTTAATTAACCCCCTGCTGTCCACATCACACACACACACACACACACACACAATACCAGCTACCCAACCACTAAATATAAAACATCGTATCCCGCACATTATCATGTAGCCCCAACTTCAAAGAACCAATCGATCCATCTCCCCGGGCCAGGATCAATCGCCGAAGCATCTCATCCACATAGAACCTCGCCCGGAAGCACGCCAGATCAGCATAGAAAACCGGCGGACAGATACTCGCGGCTCTCGTGGCTCGACCCGAAACGTAGCATATGTTGTTAGTGAGGGTCTGAATGGCGTCTGCCGGGTTAGAGTTAGAGTTGGAGTTGTAGCTAGAGCGAGCCCTCGCCCTCGGTAGCTGCGTTCCGCCACGAGGAGGCAGAGACGGGAAGATCTCGTCGAGGAGCACGATGTAGTGGCCCGGACGAGCGATTCCCCGACTGGCTGTGTGCGACTGCAGGTAAAAGTCCCAGATGTCGCTGCTGTGAACGGGTCCTTGGTCCACGACTGTGCCGCTTGGGGGGTTGGCGTTGGTGTTAGGGGCTGAGGTAGGTCGCCGACCATGGTGATGATGATGATGATGATGATGATGATGATGATGATGATGATCCTGGTCTGCTGGGCTCGCGGGCGTGAAGAAACGCGTGTGGTGTCGTTTCCCCACCACGATGATGGAGATGCGGGGCTCTGGTTGACCGGTGACTTGGTATAGATCTGCACACGCTTTGCGTAAACGAGGAAGTTCTACGCGCAGCACACTGCTGTACTGGGTATCCGAGACGCCGTCGCGGTAGATCAGCAAGTTCTCGGGGAGATTCCCATGATTCCGACTCTGCCACAGACGTAATCTGGATGTGAGCAGGGTGTCGATCTGGGTGACCAGCTCCTGACGCGCGGGCTGCGTGCACATGTCTGCGGGCCATTGAGCCAGGAAGCGATCCACGGAGGCGACCATGGCAGCCACGCTGGGGGCCTGTGCGGGGAGATTCCCTGACGTGGGATGCGTGACGTCCACTCCCACGACCATGGTCTTGCCCTCGTCGATGATGCCGAGGCTGCGGCCTGGGAGTGTTTGGTTGATTCCCCCGAGCTTCAGGTTGAGTTTCAGGGCAACGTTGGATAGGAATCTGTCGTTGGCGCGCAGGAACTTCGCTGCGATCACGCACACGTTGCGGATGCCTCGCTCCATCTCGCAGAGGAACTTGATCCGGCTGTAGAGCCGCTCGCTATGCTCTGGGAGGATGATGAGCAGAAAGGACACGGATAATTTGGATATGGTGTCAAGAGTGGAGGCGAGCTGGTCGGCATCGTTGTCCCGGCGTAAAGAGGCATCTGTTATGCATGCGTGGAAGCCCGGCTGAAGAGGCTCGGGGATGGTGATCCCTACCACCTTCATTCGCGTGCGGAATCGCTGCATGGCCAGTTCCAGGAGCATGGCTTCAGAGTTGGAGTGGTGCGGATGACGACTTGTCGAAAGCCATAAGTATGTCCACTGGGACACTCGCGTGCTTTCGGCAAATCTCATCTCGCGCAAGTTCCACTCTCCAGCTCGGATGGAGGCTTGCTGCCCTTGGCGATATTGTATCGATGGGGGATCTAAGACGCGTCCGGTGACTTTTATCATCCCTGGAACGAGGGTGGCGCCGAATGAGGTCTGTTTGATACCGAAATCATCAGTCATTGAATGTCTTGGGAGGGGCTCGGAATGCCTACCAGCGTCGCACCTCCATTTTGGCGAGTTGGGCTTAAGATGGATGACACCTCTGTCTCTATTGATCTGACCCCAGAAGACGATGGGTCTTTTGACCCACGACGGGGGTTGTCGAAGCGGGCGATCTGTTGAGACTGCGTGGCAGATATGGATCCGGGGGCGGACTGCCCGGGGAGCACTCGGCAGACCTGAGCAGGTAAGTACGAGGGATTGGAAGTAGTTCCTATATTGACGACTGGAAGCCAAGGGTCGTTGATGGTGATACCATAGACTAAGCACAGAGTCATCAGCTTGCGGCCCTGCCCACGGATAACCAAGAGGGTATTTACCAGAGCGGAAGTACTCCAAAACAGTGATATACCCCTCCACCAGGGGTCTCTTCCTCTTCCGACTCCCCAACACGATCCAACCTTCACCCCCCGTATCCTTGGACCGCGACTCGCGGAAAAACCCGACTTCCTTGGCCCCTGCCCCGAGACAGGGCACCGTAGGTGGGTATGCGAGCCCGTCACCATCCCCCGGGACCGCCAGCCCTACAACGACTTTGACCCTCGGCACAAACGCCCCCGAACGCTTTCGCATGCCCAGATGCGTCAACTGCACGCGGAGGTTCTGCACCAAGGCCGCGACTTTGCCCATATCAGGTCCATTCTGACGCAGACACGCCAAGATGACTCTGTCGAGAGGACAGTCATCGTAACAGACGGCGACCTTGGGGGCAGCATTGACAAACATTCGCCCTTGGGCCTCACGGGCGGCAATAAAAAGCCCGCGCAGCACATGCAAGCCAGACCCGAGGCTCACCCGCGAATCCAGATTGAGGTAGGTCCCGGAACCGGTGAACCGGATGTGGGGAGAGAACTTGGGGTGGTGGCCCAGGATGATATTCAAGGCGTGGACATGTGCCTCCGTCAGTGGCGGTGGGGAGGAGACTTGGTGCTCCTCCGTGCCATCTTTGACTAGATCGTATACCTGGGAAAATTGCAGGGTTCCGGTTGGCGACAGCGTGACGTGGTATCGGTCATTCTGGTAGTCCACGATGTAGGGATCTTTCTGGGGAGGTAGTTTTTGTCGTGAGATGAGGTTTCGGTGGCCGTCGGAGGCAATGCTGTCTTGGCTTCTGATGAGGGCCGTTCTCAGGAGATGGAGAATGACATTGGTGGTTGTTTGTCGGCCCACGAGTGTGGGCGTGTCTTCGCTCGCATGCGTGACTCGCACTTCGTATCGGTAGAGGCGGAGGTCGGGTTGGAAGGTCAGCTCGAAGTAGTTTGTGTGAAGACTGATTCGCCGACCTAGAGTGCCATTCACTGGCCGCTGGGGGGGTCTGATCCCTGATTTGGTGTTGCTCATCTTTTCGCAGGGGGCACTTGGGAGGAGGCTCGAGCTTTGTCTTGTGCGGTCTCTAGAAGGACAGAGAGAGGCACACTGGCATTATCCTCGAGCTGACAGAGACCCTCGATGTCGGTGCGTTCCATTCCAAAGTCGCAGAGGCCCGATAAAGGGTGAGAGAACAGACTCAGACTGCCCCCATTCCCCAAGGATCCCTCTAGAATCGGCCCTTGGGCTCAGGGCCTGTCTTGCTGGTCAGCGCCCCCTATGGTAACAGAAGAGAGGAAAGCAGAAGACATTGCTGAATGGTAATCATCTCAGGCAATCTCCATACAAGAAACAATACACCTGAAACGTTCGAAAAATACCATGTATTTTGAAATTCAAATTCCTGTATGGATATGTATGCAAGGCGTACGTTCTGTGGCGGCAGTGCGTACGCCACCGGCGACTATTGAGTCGGTCGGTAGCCCTAATCCGGTCTCGCCAGCTATCTCTCTTGTCAGGCTCGATGCAACTCATTCCAAAGGGTGAGACACAGCTTGATGGGTGCATGTCCCCCCGTAAGGAGATCCACAAGGCCTATCTGTGTCGGAACCGAGAGAACAGCAAACGCCGTCCGTGCCCGTCCTATGTCCGATCAATTTTACCCCGGATGGATCCTACATGCCCGCACAATATTGTGGACATGCCAATAGTATGAGATGTCCCCTGGATCTGCATGCAGGTGTGAGCGGGTTCCTTATTCTAGACTCTGGTCGTGAACAGGACCCTAGGATCTATCTTGTCTCAACTGTCACTGTTCGCATATGTATCCCTTCGCTCGGGAGCTGAGGTTAATGTGCTTTGACATTTTGACTATTTTTCCAATCCTAGTAATGGATCATTCAGCTTATGCCACCATACTATAGCGCCTGTGTATCATTATCTGGCAGTAGAGGGTCATACAGGCTGCACAAGACAGACGCTAAGCGGTTGTACCGACCGGAAGATCCCCTGAAATGGGCTCGGAACATCAGTACACATGGACCCAGCCCCTGCTATTGTCGCCGTTACAGCTGCGTAGGTGTAATATGAACCATCTAAGATCAGCGGTTCCAGTCTCTCATGGACAGAAGGGCATCGGGCAGCTTGTCCGTGGAGATCCTACCGCAGGCAAGGATACATTACAAACCCCGTGGCTGCAGAGTGGCGCACGAGTTGTCTAAATCTAATTTCCAATAGAAAATTACCTTGTTTCTCCTTGAAAGGGACTAAAAAAATGATTCAATCTACAATGTGGCCATGGACCATGAGCAAATATAGACTTTGGGTGGCCGGGATAGCTGTTTAAGATAGACAATGCCTTTTCTCTCCATTAATCTAAATTAACTGAGTCTAATCTCAATTACAAAAGTCAAAGTAAAACTGCTGACCAAAACCCACCAGGCTTGAAATGATTGACAGGAACCCGATCGGCACATCGACGAGTTCGGGATGATGTGCAAGCCCGTGGGATTTTCAACCAGCTCCGCGCGACTACTGTTACACGTGCATTGCCTCCATTGTGTCCGTACCAGGGGTACCGATAGCGAGCATCTCTAGTAGTGTCCAATGGCCTCGCACTTTGACTCCAAGTTAGCAGGAGCCTTCCACCAGACGAAGGAGAAGAAAAACTTACGCTTCCGTTGGGGCAGCAGGCAATGGTGTTCTTGCAGTAAGAGTCCTTGTCGTCGTTTCCCTTTTCAAAGAAGGCTAGGAAGATTGTTAGCTGTTACGTTTACTTTACCGGGTATGGAGGCAGACTTACCGAGGAGATCAACATCCTTGATGAGAGAAGTGCTCACGCAGGAGGACCCGGAGCCATCGATCAGAGCCTTCAAGACAAGGCCGTCCTTGAGAACGTTGTTCAGGATGCCGGAAGTGTCCTCCTTGTTGTTGATGTTGCAGCAGTAGATGTCCCCGGTCGAGCATTGGCCTTTGGCCTCGTCGAAGGACACCTGCTTGCTTCCTCCTGCAGCTGCGGGGGCAGGGGCAGCGGCGGCGAAGATGGCGAAGCCGAGGATGGTAGCGATGGTGAACTGCATTTTGAAGGAGGGTTGAGAGACTCAAGAGATCCTTGTAGAAAAGTAGATGGTGAAGAGAGAAGTGATGTTTGGAGATGGAGATGGAGTGAATTGCTGATGATGATGGAGAGTACTTTGAGCGGGGGCATGGATGGCTCTTTATAGACTGAGGTGGGGACTTTGGACGCTCGTTTGGATTTCGGATTCGGTGCTCGAAATGCGCATCTACACAAGTTTCTCGAGCTGTGGAATTCCAATCCATGGTCCTACCCCTTGATCCCATACCAGCTCATGATCATCAGCTCTGTACAAAGTTGCCAAAGTCTCGTCCATGAAGGGATTCCTTTCCAAGAAAGGCTGACGACCCCTTGGTGGTCAAGCTGGGAATGTAAGGACATACCCGGAGACAAGCTGGTGTCTTGAAGCTTGGTCTTAGAACGCTATGAATAGATTCCTTTACAGATCTAGACAGAGTGCTAACCTCTTCAGAATATGGCCATTAATGAACTATCTATATTACTACTTTCGTGATATATTTGACTCTAATCAATCATTGGTAAAGCAGAAACACTGACTGTCAAGCAGTTTCTTGCTTCTATTAGGGCTAGGATAGCCTTTGCTCCGGGTGGCGGAAACGAGGCTGGACTTGGTGCTCAGAAAATGTCCGTAGGAACTCAACCAAGCTAGAATAATGTCTCGCCACATGAACAGCTCCAATGTGAAATTCCATTTGATAGCTTTCCATACCTTCCTATACTTTGGGCCGAGAACAAAACTTGGAAGAGTTGAACTATGACCATTTGGAGCAACTCATAGAATTCTCACATTTCTGCATTCACCATGTATGGAACCACAGGGATATCTGCTTGAAGGTTTGCGGTTTAACATTTCCCAAGTCTCATTTCTCAAGTCTCCCTTCCTTATCATGCCCACAGGAGAGCTTCTGTTAGCGGTATCACTTCTAATTGTCTCTCCGAAGTCTCCATTCTTCCCCTGTTGACCAGTGCCCAACCCAAAGCACCCCTTGTTGAATCCGAGATCCTGTTTCCAGGAATCTCGAGAAATCATGAACCCTGTTGCTAGTAATTGCGGATAGACCATTTCCATAGTCCCTTAGCAAGGAGAATACGTTCCATCCCCTCCCAGCCCTTCTGTCTACCACCCGCTAGTGTGATCTTCCCCATTTTTTTCAAACTCTGCAACCGTCACCTCTGTAGTGGCATCTCAATTAGGCATTTCGCTGGTCTAGAAGCGTACAAACGATGCTACCGTCCCAAAGCAGAAGAGAATGCAAAGACCTCGCTCCCTAATCATACAGAACTGACACAGGCACCAGGTCATCTGACCTTCCAACAATAGGTATATAACATACGTCCCCCCTCAGATCACTCTATCTTTTTTCTTTCTCCAGAGCTTCCCTCGGCTGCGAGTTGCGACCAACTTTCCAACCCCAATACCTCGTCTCTTTTCCCCGTCTCATCCACGAGGCCACGGCGAAGTATACACGTTCCACGTTCAGTGGGCGGGTATACTTCATTGTGACTTTGTGGCCGGGGTGTGGGGGAAGTTGATGTGGGGTTAGGGATTTTCTCGAGAAACAGTAGCATAGTGAAGCTCCATGATGCTGGACTTCCTGTGCTATACTGGTTATCGGGGTGATTTGAATAGAGTTGATTGTATGTTTTCTGTTCTCATATGGTGTAATTGTTTTGTTTGGGGGCATGGAGGATAGGGGGATAGTCTTCTTTATAGATGTTATAGTGATTGAGCTTTTCGCCAATCTTGAAATATTAAAATTATGTTCTAGTATTATCTTCTATCATATCTTTGGAGTATTAGCTACCCAATCAAATTATTTTGATCCGACCACTGAGTTTCACTCTAGAAAATTTCCAACGCTCGTAGATTGAACTAGCATACTGAGATAGCAGAACAGAGACCTCTTATTCTTCTTATTGACCTTTCCATTGCTGTTATTAATCCTTATATCAAATATACAATCCTAAGTCAGTCACCCTGAGCATTTGTATCTATATAGTGATCCCTCGAGTTTAACATACGTTTCATATCTTGTTCCTGAGAGTATATGGACTAAATATTAGTGTTAGGTTATTCAATAAGAAAAGAACCTTGCCTCATAATACATATGTTCTCAAGTGTACTCATAATCAATCTTCCATCAGGAGTTTTCCATGTACTTAGTTGCTGTTACATAGAGAATATTTCTAGATGTGTGCGGTTAGCCCGCGCGGATATATATTTTCATTCTAGTAGGAATTTGTCTCTAATATACATTAGACTACACCCAACAGAGCCCCTGTCTGATGATCATGAATAGAAACCACTATATACACGAAAAGGATAAATAAATTAAGAACCAGGAAATCCAGGCGCTAGAGAGGCTAAGCTGATAGGTACGCTGCTGAACAGCTGAGATATCAGGTTCTAAGGCGAAGACTAAGGTCATTCGATAATATACAGTACAGCATTAATCTGGATACAAACCCAAGCCCAGAGGGACTTGGCTCGTATTAGAGATCCATTATGACCAAATTTATCTTCTTTCAAACTGTAGTATCAGACCGATGAATTATGGATTTCCTATGAATAAAACTACGAGGCATCAGCAGCGCCAAAATCCCCAACCCCCAAAGTCACAGCACAGCAACACACCCCCACTCAACAAGTACATTGAGAAAGCCATTCAACCCAAACACACAATCCAGAATAACAAAACATAGGGCACGACCGTGCCAGACACAAGACCAGAACTCCGGCACAGTACTACAGCGGGAATCCCAGCTAGGCGAGATAGCAGCAGTCCACCAGAACAATTCTCAGCACGCCTTCCCCAAGAGCTAGAGCAAAAGTAGTTGTTACGTGGCTGGCAAAGCAAGGAGGCCACTAGCTCCTCGGAGCACTGACAGGAGGATCCCCAGCTGGCCTGTCGCCGCAATAAACGTTGGGGAGGACCATTAGCTCCTCATTCCGGGTGCAGATCATGGAAAGTATGGGGTCCTGTCATCCCATCACCCGAGCGGGAAATTTGCGTACCGGAAATACAGCGTGGTAATACTGTATCTGGTATGTTTTGGTAATATTACGTTTTCTTGGAAGTGCTCGAGGATGGGGTTCTCCCTTTGGAAATGTGAAGCTGGGTTGGTTTTATGGAGGTTAGTGTCTGGTTGAAGCTTGCGAAGGGACTGGAATCTCGCGAGCATTTGGGTTGGGGGGTTGTGTAATGATGGAGGTTGTACGAAATGAGCTCAGTAGGATTGTAGGCAAATGCCCTCCTCCACTTACCGCTTGTTTCCCAGCTGTTGAATAAGTCTTGCAATTAATCTCACTCTACTCATAGGATTCAGTGTAGAGATGAGACATCCAGGGTGACTTTCGCGTTTCCCTCAGAATTCCCCCTTTATTGGAGAAAGTATAGCCGATCTCGTCAAAGGTGTTGCAAGTGTATCACTCTCAAACATGGATGAAGATAGATACAGCCACAGGATATTCCATCTTTCTTATCCATGTCTAAACTACAACTGAATATGGAAAGCTCGCATTCACTGTAGGTAGCCGTACCTATGCGATGCTGCAATGATCAGTAAAGGACTTGTTTCTTCCTCCCTCCTCCAGAATCCCCTTGCTCACAGCCAATCTATACGCATCGAAAATGTTACGTCTTCTGCCGCTCCATTGATTTTTGTCCAGATCTAATGATTATCTCTTCAATAAGATCCCTGCCTCGCAATATAAAGCCCGTCTACTATTCGGGGACGCCATACGCCATTGACATTCAATCACCCGGCCATGCCAACCACACATACGAATCTTTTATTGAGCTGGTCAATATCTCCTCCAGGTGTAGTAAGAACCTGCACTTCAAATGTGTTGCAAATCCCGAATAGTACGCTGACCATCTGATATCACACCGAGATTATAAACCCACCCACCAAGCGAATCATCCATGCAATGCCCAGACATACCTTGCTGGCAATTCCTCCGACCAGTCCGCAGATGCCAGTGCCTCCATCGACATGTGTCAGTGGCAAATGGCAACCGCCGAGATGGCCCAAGGAAACGGTAGTAATTGTTGGCAAACGGATGTACATCCTCGCACTTCTCTGAGGGGCTCGTCTCCCCGAGAGCTTGTCATGACATATCCTCAGATCGACATTTGACTTTCAAAGCAGTGGTAAAAGGCCTACAGCGGCACCTAATAAACCCCAGACTCGTTGGAGCCGAATCCAGGTCCGTATAGATGCAATGTTCATATAATACCAGAACCCTCAAAACCAACCCCCGAAAATACATCCCTCAACCTCGCCGCATCAAAATGACGCGCATCAAAAAGCCCACACCCCGATTTCCAGCCAACATACAATTATAGCATAAAATCCGATCTATCCAACCCCATGACCAAATCGGACCAAAACCATGCGACGCGAAATTAAGGCCAGAACGCCCTCGCACACACATTGTGAACGTGACCAGGTCAGGAGCTCACAGGCATATTCCGAGTGGATGATAAAGCTCCGAGGTGTAACGCCCACGAGCGCGGCTTCAACCATTGTGCCACCCGCACGTCACCCCGAAACTGGGTTGCACAACTTTGGAAGGTTTCGGGGAGTTTAGAGCACATATCAGGTGCGACTACGTCAGACTGTTGGATGTGTCTCATAACCTTATTTCCGGAGAGGTGGAAATGAGGTTACAGCCGTCCCGCTTGTCTAGCATGAAGGGGAAGGATAATTCCCGCATCTTGAGACGATGTATCTTGATTGACATGTGGATGAGAGCTCAGGGGAAGGTCTGCTTTGCTCTGTGCAGTTGAACGTGATGATCGATGTGTTGGTATATAAGCCCGGGCCTCAGAGCTCTTCCTCGGGGTCATGGATATGGGATACTGGATACAGGCACACTCTTTAAGAAGCAATTGGGAAAGAAGCACCAATCATGTATTGGAAAACTCTTGTTCGACTCGCTGTCTTTGCAGCGAGCATTCTCCTCACCGCGGGGTTGCCAACCTTTGGCAATGAGACCTTCAACAATGGGACCTCAACACCCCAGGCCGGGGACAAGTATGTCTTCGCCCATTTCATGGTGAGTAGATACCCTTCCCATCTAACCCAGGCTCAAATCACTCGTATACTCACGAACATCGACCCCAAAAGGTCGGCATCGTCGAAAACTACCAGCTACCCGACTGGATCGCCGACATGACGGCCGCGCAGGCCATCGGCATCGACGCCTTCGCCCTGAACTGCGCCAGCATCGACAAATACACCCCCACCCAGCTTGCCCTCGCCTACCAGGCAGCCCAACAAGTCAATTTCAAAGTCTTCATCTCCTTCGACTTCGCTTACTGGAGCAACGGCGACACCGCCAAGATCACAGCCTACATGCAGCAATACGCCAACCACCCCGCCCAGATGCAATACAAGGGCGGCGCATTGGTGAGTACCTTTGTTGGTGACAGCTTCAACTGGGGTCCGGTAAAGCAGGGCACTTCGCATCCTATCCATGCGGTCCCTAATCTCCAGGATCCGGCCGCGTCGTCCAGCAATGGCCAGCGGTCCGCCAATGGGGCGTTTTCGTGGTACGGCTGGCCCACGGATGGGGGAAATAGCATTATTCAGGGCCCGATGACGACTATCTGGGATGATCGGTATATCAAGGACTTGAAAGGGGCGACTTACATGGCGCGTACGTCTATCTTTCTCTTATTTCCTCCGACTGAATGCTCTACTGACCCAAAACAGCCGTCTCGCCCTGGTTCTCTACCCACTTCAACAGCAAAAACTGGGTATTCATCTGTGAGAACCTGCCTACCCTCCGATGGGAGCAGATGCTATCTCTTAAGCCGAGTCTGATCGAAATCATCTCCTGGAATGGTCCGTCTCCCACCCCCCCCGCCCCCCAACCCCCCTCGCAACCACAATACTAACCCACCACCCCCACCTCCAGACTACGGCGAATCGCACTACATCGGCCCCTACTCCGCAAACCACAGCGACGACGGGTCCTCCAAATGGGCCACCGGGATGCCCCACGACGCCTGGCGCGATCTATACAAGCCGTACATCGCGGCCTACAAATCCGGCGCGGCGAAGCCCACCATCGACAAAGACGGGCTCGTATACTGGTACCGGCCCACTCCCAAGGGGGTATCCTGTCCGCAGGACAACCTGCCAGCGCCCAACGGGTTCCAGATGCTCAGCGATACGATTTTTGTGGCGACGATGTTGACCAGCCCGGCGACGTTGACGATCACGAGTGGCTCGAATGCGCCGGTTCGTGTGGAGGTGGGAGCGGGGATCGTCACGACGAATGTTACCATGGGGATCGGGAATCAGGTCTTCTCGGTGAGTCGGGATGGGAAGACGATTCTTAGTGGGCAGGGCGGGTTGGCGGTGCAGGATCAGAGTAAGTATTATAATTTCAATGTTTATGTGGGGGGGATTCAGGCGAAGTGAGTGTGGGTTGGGGGGGGGGGGGGGGGTTTCGGATTGGGTATGGGGTTGTTGGTGGATTCGAGGTGAGTGGTTGCTGGCATCTTTATATAGCCGAATAGCTGCAGAATGTCACCTTTTATTTTCTCATTGCATCATTTCAGAGACAATCGCCCTGGACTCCCACGACCGTGAGCGATACCCTCAACCCATTAGCCCTAAGACACTCAATCTCAAGCCGCACGCGTCCTCCCCCGCCTCTCCACCACCCCAGCTCCAGCTCCAGCTCCAGCCCCAGACCCCGACCCAGAAACAGTCCTAAAGACAGACGTCGACGACGGCATCGGATGCAAAGACAAAGACACCGGATTCTGCCTCGTCTCAACCATCTTCCCACGCCTCCTCAACCAAGGCAAGAGATTGAACACGGCCCCACAAACAAAAACCCCCAGCCAAAGTGCCAACTCAGTTCCATAAATAACCACACCCAGGACATCAATCTCCGGCCCAAACACTAATGACAATCACACATTAGCTAGTAGCTCACCTCTGGCGATCTCAAACTCACAAACCGACACCAGCGAAAACAAATCACCTGCGGCATCGATGCCAACAAAGTAAAAGCTAATCCCGCGCACGGTCCGATGAAGATAAATGTCCCAGTAATGCGTCAGTACCCCCGCGGCGAGAAGAACGGCGCTGAGAACAGCCATCAGAGTTACCGGCCACTTCAGGGCTTGGTAGAGGGCGTGTTTCAAGGCGAAGATCAGTCCTGCTTCGAGACCGCCGAGGACGAGGAGGAGGGTTGTCACCGCTGCTGTGCATTTCGGGGCGGGGTATTTCTGTTTTATCATCATCATCATCATCATCATTATTTTCATATATGTATGCCACGGAAGGTAAAATGATGAAAGCACGTACCTTCCCATAGTAGAGACACTGTCCCCAAGTGACAAGGCTCAAAGTCGTAAGGATCTGGGGTTGAATTCGCAATGCGATGTTGAACTCTTGCACGATGTTGTAGACGCCCAGAGGCACTCCCGCTGCGGCCCATAAGAGCATCATTGAGCCCTGGAGGCCTTCGGTGTTGTGGCGCCGGTAGTTGATGATAATTTGGGGGAGGAGCTGGGAGGTTTATTTAGCACAGGCAGGATTGTGAATTGTGAGGGGGGTGGGAATCCTTGTCCTTGACTTGCCTGGATGGACCAGCATGCCTATGGATGATGGGATTTTGTTAGTGGGGTGGATTGTATGGTGTAGAGGTTAGGGGGGGGGGGGGATGTACCGCTCCCAGAGTGCCTAGGACATTTTCTGCTATGGGTATGTCCATGTTAACAACGTAATGTCAGGGTTGGAGAGAGGGAGGGGAGGAATAATGATGGTTAACCAGATGGTCTAAAGATATGTGGGGGTCGTGAGTCTATTTTAGAGAATTCTTATTGGGTCCTGTCAGCTAAGTGGGGGTCTCTCGCAAAGTACACTGGGGATGTGGCTGATGTCGCTGCATAATTGTGGCTGAAGTAATTTTATGCGCCCCATGAATGCACTTTGATGTTTGGATGACGGTTTAATGTTGAGAGATAGTGGTTTGACATTAGATCGATCAGTAGGGAGGGGATTGTCTGGCCGTATGGTATTTGTGTTACTGGGGGTGTCCACGGACCGTTGTTTACCGCGTGTGGTTAGACTGTCGCTGCGGCTAAGTCGGTTTCGGAAATAGGGGCGTGGGGGTGTCGGTACAACGCGACCGACTTTGGAACAACAGCCATCGTCTAAACTGAACAACACCCTATGATAAGTAGTAGTAGTCTTCCCGGTTGTGCTGCAATTCTGATATATTTGACAGTGTTTTCTGCTCCCAAAGCTAATATACAACATACCCTTCCTTCCCCCCCGTGACACCAGTCACCATGACCGCTGGTCGGCCTCAGACCTAACCAGCCAGCCACTCAACAAAGAAAAATATGTACACAAGTTCAAAATGTACGTAGAAGTAAGCCCGACGCGCAGTCGTTTAAACGGAAGGCCAGCCATCGGTCCAGGTAAGCTTGTTCCAGCCGAACTGCTTGTCGTCATCAGCGTAGCCGATGTCGGTGTTGATGTAGTGGTAGTAGATGATGACGCCCTCGGTGGGATCATCGAAGATACCCTGACCACCGGGACCGTAGGTGGTGCCATGGCTCTCGAGGACGGGGGTACCTCCGCTCTCCGCGCAGGCTGTGCCGTCCTTGTCGACGAAGTCACCGGTAGCGGACTTGCTGCGGCAGACCATGATCTTGTACTCCTCGCCGGGGGAAGGCAGGTCGACGTTGTAGTCGCAGCAGGCGCCGGACGAGAAGAACAGGTAGTAGTAGTCGTCGTACTCGTACATGTAGGAGCCCTCCTCGGAGTGGTCGGTGGTGGCGTTGTAGGCGATGTTGTAGGCGGAGTCGCCGGAGGACTTCTTGGTGGCGGCCGAGTTCATCGGCACCTGGTAGATGTCGTCGTAGAAGGACCCGAAGTTCATGTAGTAGTCGGAGCCGACCTTGATCAGGTTGGGGTCGATCGAGTTGTAGAGCTTGCCGCTCTCGGACTCGACGCCGATGGAGCCGTGGTCAGTCCAGCTGTCCAGCTCCATGGTGGTCGAGGTGGCCAGGCCGATGGCAGAGTCCTGGGAGCCGAAGGTGGACACGGCGTAGAACACGTAGTAGGTGTCGTCGATGTAGTGGACATCGGGGGCCTGGGGGTGGGTTTATCGGGTCAGTGGGAGGGACAGAGGGTGGCTGGGAAGGATGGCACTCACCCACAGATCGGTGTTGCCGTCGAGATCGATGCTGGAGCCATCGGGCAGGACGGATCCGATCACATCCCAGGGTCCGGACAGGGAGTCGGAGCTGGCATACGAGATCTCATTGCCGGTGGAGAAACGGAAGTACTTGCCGTCCGATTCTCTGCGAATGAGGCCAGGGTCACTGACGACACATTCGCCCGAGCAAGACTCGGGGCTGGCGTAGGCGTAGGCCAGCGCCGGGAGGGCTAAAAGAGCGTGGAGTGCTTGAAGCATGGTGGAAAAGGAATGAACGAAGGTGGTGATGAACACCCTTCAACCAGGAGGGCACCGCTGGTCTTAAATAAGGTTTGAAACGTTTCTCCGGATGAAACTGGACCTGAGGGCAAAGGGGAGATTCACCCCCTCACCCTTCGTATTCATCTAGTCTCCTCCTGTGGATTGATTGCTGCCCGGCTGGCGAGGTGATTCGAAACATGCTAGACATTCAACCGGTGGGGTGAACATAAAGTAGTGGATCTATCGCGGAAGAGAAAACTTTCTTCGAGAGGGACAGACGCCTTGGAGTCGGATCTGGAGTCCAATTTGGATAGGTTATGCCGTCCGGGACTCCAAAACAGGCATGCGTAATTTCCCACCGAGTTCCATTATGAAAGGACGGGTGCCGCTGTACTCTGAGTGCCCACTATCATTCACTGGGAGTCACGATCCAGTCGTTCGAGTTCGAGCTTTCAACTGCGGATGCTTGATTTGGATCGTTTAAATCTTTGATCCCACCGCATAGACAGAACATACGCTCCTTATTCCTCTGTATCCTCCGAGTCCTGCGGTGGCATAGTTTAGAAATAGCCAGCAGGCCAAAACAAGCACTTGCCAGTCCAGAACCTCTTGGTCTGAGACATTCTACCGTGATCAATATGGCTCGTTGTTATGGAGTACCATAGCCATCTTAATCAAAATATTGATGAACGCAATATCCCCTGCCGTCTGATAATAAAACAGGCTTGGTTCTCTGCTGCCTGCCACAAATCACAATAACATAGCGAACCTCCACTGTTCGGACCCCTTGAGCGTGGAGTGATCGTATCACCATCCGCCAGAGCTACCTGCTCTCTGTGACAGGCTAACCACTTCTCTCCGACCCCTGCGATTTAGAGGTTTCAAAGCATGCTAGTGCACCGTGTGCCGTACGGACCCGGCAATTATGTAAAGGTGGCGCCTCCAAGGATCCTTAGGCTTCGAGGCTTCAAGTGGCAAGGTCTTATCCCGGCAGGTAGATAGACCTTTGCTTATGATTTGTTCGGGGATGTCACTACCAGGCAGTTCCCACATTGGCACAATCTATTTGTTGTCGAAGTACTCCGCATCACGCTACGAGCCAGTGAGGCTGGGTCTCAGCCTGTCACATTAGAGGGATGGTGAATAATAGGTGCAGCTATGCAGGTTAGCGCACTGACTATATCCTTGGCAAGGATGCGTGGAAGTAAGATTTTGGGGTTGATGGTAGGTGAACATCCGCCAGGGCTTTAGACACGGGGCTAGGCGCCCCAGACTCTTAGTGTTTGGCTGGTGGAGTCGGCTAGGGCAATCAGAGCGAAGCTTGGTATGTCTACCTGAATTAGCCACTCCGTGGTCATCTGGGATAAAGTATTATACTCGAGCTGTGTCTAGCCGCCCTCCAGGCCCCGAGATTCTCTCAATTCACCTGCATGGAGTACGGAGTCGATGCATCATTTTCCTCCGTCCGCCCCTCCCAAGCTGCATATGAGATTCCCCGTGTACTGTATGTAATCATAAACACACACATCTATTACCTACGATGAATCAAAAACTTGTGATCTTATGCTCGAGCGAGCCAATTGAATCGCGCAGACATTTCAGTAAGTAGTATCCACCAGCTTGATAATACGAGCTACGCGCTGCAACTAGTCATTTGGAGAGTCATTGCGGAGGAATGGTGGTTTCGCTAACCCTATATGCCCCATGTTGAAACCCGTGGCGTTCCGGGAGGCAGCCCCGTCCTCCCTTCTAGAACGACGCTTCTGAGCAGGGATGCTGGCTGTTCTATCTCACACGGTTGCAGGATCCAAGGCATTGAAGTGGTTAAAGCACCCGCTTACAACCCATCTATCGAAGTCTCAGTGTACATCTAACCTGCCCAGCTACGCCCCTCCAATCGAGCACCATACCACGCCGGAACCCCAACCACAGCCTTGCGAGTCATGGGCTGAGGATACAAGGCACCAGCTGAAACCAACCATTCATAGACTGCCCCTCCAGTAACTAGTGGCACGCTAGTTTTATCGGTGGATCTCGGGCGTTAGCGCGACATGGTGCCGTTCCACTGATACGCTGCTGCTCAGTGGGGCGCCTCGACTACCCTGCAGGAAAAACGCGCATCCGGCAGTGCCGACACGCCGTTTTATGTCTCGGTGCATATTTTCCCATGCTTTGTACGGAGTATGTTTGTTCTTTTGTCGATTCTTTCTTCTCCAAGATTCAAGTTGGTATGGGACCGGTACGTGGGTGGGAGATCAGTAGGAAGGACTTCGCGAGGTATGCAAGATCTCAAGACACACGGGGGGTGTCGAACGGTCAAGAAAGCATTTTCCATCGGCCGCGTTCTCCAAAAATATGCAGAGGTGACTTAGAAGGCAGAACAATTAATACGTCAGGTGACTCTGTCTGCCCTGCCCTGCCCACCTCTCTGGCTCTGTACCCGAGATGTCACGCATTCCTCCCTCTTCGTCCTGGGCTGAGCAACACATAGAATATATCAGAGCACTGATATACATAGTAATTAAAACAAGTTCCATCCAAATTGCCATCTCAGATTATCGGGTGATAGATACATGCCTGTCTCTCCGCGCAGCCAACAATTAACATAAATAGATTAAAGTTTGTCCGCTCCGGCTGGCCTTTCGTCTTTCATCTGATTAAAGGGGGGGGGGGAGGGGGGGGGTCGCTTTATCTCCGGGTTCCTGCCCACTCTATCTCGGTCGTAAGTCTCTATCCCGGTCTTAAGTTTCTATTATTCCGGTCTTAAGTCTTATCTGGACCGCATCAGCACTCGGCAGTTAACCTGATACAGACTCGGGCGCGGAGTCTAGGCCGCAGTGGGAAACCGGGAGGGCGATCATCCCGTGTGTAATCTTTTTGTCTGAAACGAATACGGAGCAATTGAAATAATAATCCAGCGTGTTCTTGATGATGCTTAGTTGTCTTTTTTGTTTATGCCTATGGCCACTGCTTGGGGGATCGCATCGCTCTTATTGCTGAATTTTTTTGATATGTGTTTATTTAATAGTAGGGCTGTGTTTGTGGTTAAAAATAATATGTCATCATAGTGGGTATCTAACATTTTCCATAACACAGACTGTTTGATGGACATGGGGTTGTGATCTTCAAGATTTCGGTTGGGGATCGAGTAGTGATCTACGGGATACCCCATAACAACACCGCACATCCCGATCTTCGCTGTGTTTACTTGGTACACTTTCTCAGCGTGGTCGACCCCGTAGTTGAAGGAAGAGGCTGAGATTCTTAGGTATCGGGTCATAATTCAAGAACACCCTACTCCGCCCGCAGTTCGTATTCACAATGTTAAGATCATTATTGCGTGCATATATATATAAATCTTATGTATTAGCCAACTTGAATAAAAAGGTTCCATACTATACACAGACGTTGCGAACAACAATCGTCGAGATAGCCGTGGGGTGTCTCCAGATCAGTCGTATTTTAGGCCTAAGAATTTGGGTAATTCTCCTGATGGTATATATTCCTGGCTCTCTTTTTTAGAAAAAAAAATAAAAATAAAAACTTCGACACCCAGTGTCTTCAAAGCCCATGGACCCGAATATATACAGCAGGTGAAAGGAAAGCTACAATTGATATTTCCAATTCTTACCCCCAGGAGTCTTAAACAGAAGAAAAAACAGTTTACTCTGCCCCTTCTAAATATATGCCAAATACAATACTCAGCGAAATGAACCAAATACACGTGAATGGAACTTGTCCGACCGTAAGACCTCCTCCCAAAAACCAATTCCACAGAAATATACATAGCTTCCTCATAACATTCATCTAGCACATACAACCAACCACATGGAGTGCGTGTGTCACTCAAGTTTTAACTTTAACAACTACCCCACGGTCTAGTAATTGATCTTTCTTTCACAATCAACTTCTCCCCCCGACCAACCATTTCCAAAATCTCATACTGCAGCACTATGTCCATCGACATCACTTGTGGATGGATGGATGGATGGAAGTCTCTGATTGGCCAGTCATGTTATTCGGAATCCTCCGAATGCTGCTGGGCCAATCGGAGACTTCCATTCTGGTCTGCTGGCGTAAGCGGTCTGTCTTCCTTCGCTTACAGACAAAGAGTCCCAGTTCTATCATTGATTGTTCTAAATACTTCTGGTTTCTGATTTGGTGTCAGAAATAGCTCAGTAGAGGAGAAAGGGAGAAGAGGTGCCGGTGTTTTTGGTATTAGGTATAGTGTTTCTTGAAGAGCAAGATATGAATGGTATTCGGATAGATCGGAAGGAACTTTTGTATAAGTGCTGGCTTGTGCAGAGGCAAAGCAAGGGAGGGTTGTCTTATGGCCTTTATTCGTGTTCGATGGTGGATGCCAGGTTGTTGTACCATATGTTCGCATCGAGAGGTGGTTTGTCGCCGAGTTAGTCGGGTTTCTGGAACCACAGCTGAGTTCATTCGGAGAAGAGAGGAACCATCTCTCACCATGTATTACACTTCTAATCTGCACTTCTAAAACGCTTCCAAGCTCGCTTAACCACCAACACTACTTCTCCAGATCCACGTTCTCTTCCTGCTTCGCCTCCAGCCCAAACTCCGTCTCCAGCTCCGTGCGCAGCGTGATCTCCTTCTCCAGGAACACCAGCAGGAACGCCACGCCCGAGAAGACGATCGAGATCTGCCACACGCGCTTCAGCGCGCCGACATACACGGCAATGATATCGTCTCGGAGCGCCGGATCAAACGACCGAATGAAGCTGGCGGAGGCCGACTCGTACGCCCGACCGCGGGACAACAGCTCGCGCACCTGCGCGTCCGGGATCCGACCGGACAGCTGCTCGAACCGGTTATTGAAGATGGCTGCCGGGATGGCCACGCCCCAGATATTTCCGAAGCTGCGGATGAAGGACCACGTCGCTGTCGCGGCCGCCTGGTCTGCCTCCGTCAGCCCCGCCTGAGTCGCCGGGAGGAGGGTGTTGAGCACGAACCCCGATCCTCCGCCCGCGATCATCTGGAAGATGACCCATTCAGCGGTGCTGGTTTTGCGGTCGAAGAAAGTGAAGAGGCCCAGTCCGATGGTGCAGACTGCGAAGCCGATGAGGTGGAGGGGCTTGTAGCGTCCGTATTTGGCTAGGATTAGGACGGCAACGATGGCGGCGGGCACCGCGACTACGATGATGGGGAGGAGCTGCACGCCGGATCGCTCTGCTGACGAACCGAGGACGGCTTGGAAGTATACCGGTAGGAAGAACATCACCCAGTATAATAGCGCGGAGTTGAGGAAGGTCGCTGCGAAGACGGTGGCCGAGGTGCGGTTGCTGAACAGGCGTGGCGGGACGACGGGTTCGAGGATCCAGGGGGAGTTTTCCAGGGCGACGAAGATGAATAACCCTACCAGACCGATAACGAGGGAGACGACGATGTGCCAGGATGACCAGTCGTATTTGGTCCCCCCGTAGGTGAGGGCGAAGAGCACGGACACGGTCGACGCGATGAGGACGACGTTCCCGATATAGTCGATGCGACGGATCTTCTGGAGAAAGCTCATCTCCTTGCTCGTTCGGACGTGGAGGAAGAAGAAGATCATGGCCAAGGAGACGCCGCCGACCGGTAGGTTGATGTAGAAGACCTGGTGTGCGGTGTTAGTATGGAATCGGGGGTGTTTTGGATATGCGCATACCCATCGCCAGGAGGAGTTGTCGACGATCGCACCGCCAATCCAGGGTCCCAGTGCCGTGCCAACGAAGTACACCACCAAGACAAAGGCGACGTAGTTGCCGCGTTCGCGCAAGGGCACGAGATCGGATACGATGATGTCCACGATCATGTTGATTCCGCCGCTTCCCATGCCCTGGACAGCACGGCCGGCAATCAGCATGGCACCGCTGGTGGCTCCACCGCAGATTCCGCTGCCGAGAGTGAAGAGGGAGACGATGAACAGGGTGATCCAGCGACGGCCGAAAATGTTGGCTAGCTGGCCAAATAGCGGCTGAACAGCGGCACTGTCATGGGGAGTCTGTTAGTGTATATATCGTTGGTCCACCACAAGGGTGATCGTACCTGGTGAGGAAGAAGACATTGGTCACCCAGATGTAGTTTCCGCCCATATTCAAGTCTGTCACGATGAAGGCCAAGGAGGTGGTCACGACTGTGTTTTCGAGGGAACTGAGGATACCTATGACACACAGCGTCGCAATGATGATCCAGAAGCGAAAGCCCCTTTCGAATGAAGGGCCGGGCTTCTTCTGGGAACCATCGCTGGAAGTTTGATCCAGGGAGGAATCCTTAGGATCGGGGTCAACGAGAGATGGTTTGGTCATGGCGGGAGTGGGATAGGTTGAAATTCCACGGGAGTCAAACCTGCCAGAATGCGATACATGTCGATGGACGAAGAGTGGGTGTTGAAGGGGCTTTTATTGACGGTCGATAGTGGACAGAAGAAATGACTGCGAACGAAGATCCAAAGAGTCGGACTCGGAGACTTACAGGGATCGCAGCCCTCCGAATCCCAGCGACACCCTTGAGTTAGTAACGACCTAAGGGGAGAATTAACCTTTAACATATGTCGATCCTATTGGTATTCGCTGCATTTAAATGACTTTTTGGTCTCGATAGCTTGCATTACATCCCAATCGTGCCCGACGCTTTTCCGTTCTCCCGCATCACCTGCTTGTCTGTGCATTTTCTCCACTTCGTTCTTGATTGTGATTTATATTTCCATGACATCATGATCATAGTATGGCTGGGCGCAGGATTACTAGAAAGAGGGACGGTGATGGAAAAGAATAAACGGCATTTATAATTTAGCTGGCCAAAGTAATTGGTCCAAGTTGGAAATGACAAGGGCGATGAGAGTTTGCCTTTCATATATTCGATCCAAAGAGGACCCTGTCAGATCGACCTGCAGGACTAGACCACGCGTGTCCCTACCTGACTGCTGATGGAAGAAGAAGAAGAAGAAGAAGAAGAAGAAGACAAACGACGATTAAGCAGGGGGTAGTCAGCACCAACCCCGCTTGCCCCGATTCGGAATCCCCAGCGTGTTCTGAATCCCCAATTCTGCAATTCTCCATCTTCTCCATCCTCATCCTGGATCATTGTCCCTTCGCCCAATTTCTTGATTTTCTTCGGAGTCATCCATCCACAGGTCAAAATCAGCCTTGCACATCCCGGGAGATCTGCCCTCACACCCCGCAACCCACCCCGTCGCGCCATGGGCGGCGAGGGACTGCCCCCCACCTCCGAGACGGTCGCATATCCGTCAGCCAAGCGATATGCCTGCGATCGCTGTCGCTCCCACAAGCTGCGCTGCCCACGCGAGAACCCGAGTGTCCAGCAGTCCTGTACCCGGTGCATTCGGGCGGGTGCGGTGTGTGTGACCAGCGATGCCAAACCCCTGGGACGACCGTCTCGGGGCGATCCCCGGCCACTCCCGCCCGCCCCGGCCTCCCACGCCGCAAGGCACCCTTCCCCACCGGTTCCGCGCCGTCCGCAAAGTGTGGACATGTCCACTTCTCAGCATCCGACACCGGCATGGGACCATGGTCTGTATCCTTGGAGCCAGTCGACGTTCCCGTCGCTCCCCCCGCTCGATGACACACCCATGCTAGATGGACAGATGGCCCTGTCGTTCCCACCGATGGCCACATATACACCAGCCCTGACCTCTCCGGTGGCTTGGGTAGATCCAGTGGAGTTCCAGAACCTCACGAGTGAGTCCACTCGGGAAACATATCCCAAGGAAGAGATGGCTATCATACAACCGAGGGACCGGACAGAGGCCGTCCAGCGGCTGACGTCGCTGAGTGGCTCATTAAATGCCCTCATAGACCACCTGAATACCTTTTCATGGGACACCGTGTTGGCCAGAATTGCATGCCCGAGCCCACCCGATGGTACAACGAGTGATTCTCAAAGGAACCCATTCAATGAGGCGTTGAAAGACACGGCCGAATTCGTCGTCATTCTTCAAGCCTTACATCAGGGCCCTTCAACCCCTTCCCCTCACCCAGAACAGCGAGGAGTGAGCCCCAGAGGGCCCCAGGAAACATCTACTATCTCAACACCAAACACTGGGAGTGGCCATTCCAACATGTCGAGGGGAGGAAATCAACCACGAATTCCGCCCCTATCCACGCCAATAATCCTCATGGTCATCGCGTGTCACATGCAAATTCTCCAAATGTACGACTTCATCTTCTCACAGAGCCAGGTGACTCTCCAAGCCATGCCCGAGGAGGATATTGCGGGGTTTCGAATGCTAGACGGGCTGCAGTTGGCTGGAATACCGCTGTCCCAGGGCCATCTCCAGCTGAAGATCCTCATCCAAGTGATCGAACACCAGCTACACCAGATAGAGCGACTGATGGGATTACCGGTGGAATATCGTGTAGCTGGCCGGAATCAGTCCTACCCTGGTTTGCTTAGTAGCTCCGAGTCACTGGACTTGCTGCGCGCTTCTATGAGCCAGACGGAAGGAGGCCACGGAAAAAGTGGCATGCAGAGTATTCTATCACTCAAGGAGAGCATGAGAAAAGTGCAGCAGATGCTATGAGCTTTCGTTGCTGTCTAGAGCTCGAGCGTCTCTACAAACCGTTTTCAGGGGATGAGAATATGCTCATTCGCATCTTTTGTATAAACCTCACCTCTATCCAACCCCCCGACCAACTGCATCAAGCGCACAGGAAGCCGGAAGCATGTTCATCTGCTGACGGTCTATTGCCTTTTCAGCCGGTTGATCTACTTAGATTGCCTAGTTTGCAAGTCTCGGAAGATCGGTTTTCCAGCAAGCACAGATTTTACGTCATTCTCGAGGCTGGAGAGTGACGAGGAAGGGTGGTACTAATAGTATTAACATAGCGACAGGGAATAGTACCGGATTGTGACCAGTACATACTACGATCATATAGGATTCAGACAGCAGAAGCAGAAGCAGAAGCATAGTGAAGGAAACACGACTCTACTGTTTCCATTCGCACGAGTTAAAAAGAACGAGTTGTCCATGATGAGATACTATCTATTCTCATCACCCAAATCTATATACTCAACATCACAGCCTAGTATCAGGGCTGAATACATAGAACGTCGCCCCAAAAAGAGCAACATCTACCATACATAGTCCCTGTTCCCCTCGCCCCTCCGCGTAGCCAAAGGAAGGGCAAGTACAAAAGTGCTCAAATCAACCCAAACCAAGTAAGCGTGACATTCTGCGCGCCATCGAACGGCTCAGAACTAAGCGCGACAGCCTCCGACCCCACCGGAACGGCAGAGGCATACCAAAACGGGCCGCCGTAGACACCCTCCCCGGATAGGTCTGTGGCGATGATGAAAGTCGGCTCGCCCTGTGCAGAGCACACATTAGCACCCGCACCATGTAATTCATGCGAGCGAATGGTGTGGGCTATCACTTACAGCTCTGTTGTGGGTCAATGCTTCCCAGTACGTGCCGTCCGGCCCGTGCTCATCAGTGGTAATCGTTCCTTGGTCATTGACGATGAGCCATTTGTATTGACCGTTGAACATTAAAGTTGACCCGCCGTTGAAGGCAACGGGGTCTTCGTCCGCCCATTTACCGTCCGTGTTGAGGTAGCCGAGGATGTCCGAGCCGGTGATGTCGGATACAACGAGGGCTCCGTGGCCCTCGAGCGTGTATGACCGAGCGGCGGGGGCGAGGGACAGGGCGGCTGCGAGAAAGGTGTAAACGGAGCGCATGGTGATGGGTGAGGATGGTATAATGAAGAAATGGGCAGTTGATGAGCGATGGTGATGGAGAATGAGGTACGGAAACGAGTGGGTTATCTTTTTTTTTATAGCCTGACGTGGCATTTATGCCCGTGGTGAATGGTGATGCGACAGAGAAGTCAAGATCAGTAACTGCTGTAGTTCTTAGGTCCAAAGTCTGTTAATTAGGTGGTTTCATGTAAAGATACCCCGTACCGTGGACCAATATGCAATGTAGCGTGGTGGGGATATGGAATAGTAAAAAGGTTACATTCCCCATGCAGGAGGGTAGATCATCCGAATGTAGCAATGGCAAAATCGGATATCAGGATCTTTACTGGCGGATTGTCATGGTGGGGTACATCCCTTGGGTGGTTGTAGCGGGGTACTTCCGCACTGATAACTGCAGGTTTATCACAGTATCGATTAAGTGTGCGGGGATGTGTATATCGAAGTCAAGCAGCGATTGAGGACATTTCTGGGCAAAGATGGTGGTACCCTCATCACCGTCATTCTGGGTCGCCTACGGAGTACACAAGTAAGCCAGAACCGGAAGATGATGCAATATACACTAACTATTGCTTATTAGCACATAGTACACAGGTTTAGCGCACAGGAAGTCTGAAGTGACAACCAATAAGAAACGATGCAAGAAGTAGCGTATCTCAAAAACGGGCTATTGATTTCTCAAATGGGGTCGCAGTGGTTTTGACGCTGAAGGGCTAAGGAAAGAACAAATCATGGTCACGGGAAGTAGACTCCCAGCTGGGACGACCAAGGAAAAGGAATGCTTAAATGGTGATAGTCATAGGATCAGTTCATTAGTACTAGGAATCTCCGGTCAGTGGTGGGGATTATGTGAGCCATTTCCACTCGTCTATCCTGTCGCTCAACCCCGAGTAGATCTTCATCAAAGTCCAACCCGAAACCCACAGCATAATTTGGAACCCGTTAGCAGAGCAGCAATTCGAAAGGCGGCCTTGCTCACTTTGAACCATGCAATCTCTACCACATATGGGCGGTAATACCAATTCACCAGTGCTTGCAGAAGCCCCATAGTTCGCGAGAACATTAGCATGTTTTCCCCACTATCCAAAGGTCCAAAGGTGCTTCACTTGAGGGAAGACCAATTATATAGAGCAGGAATGCTAGAGAGAATTTAATACCACAGCTGCAACCCTATAAGCGGGACTGTGCTACCTTCCATATCCGCTCCATCCCGCGTTGTGCAGCATACCACCATGCCAGCATATTCGGCAGAATCCCAATATTCCACCATTCTGGCCGATTGGAAGGATTTCCAATGGCCAGGCGCTTTTCCAGGGATGCTGACTGACCTGCAGCCTAGTGATCCGAGTTTCATAGAATATAGCTTCCCCGTGCAAGGCTTTTCGTCTTTGGACTTTCCAGCTCAGCCGCTAATAAACCAATGTACACTATGTTGGTAGGAGAGATATGTCCTCTGGAGATCAACCCACAAGAACAAATTTTAGTTGTTGCACACAAAACCTCTCATGTGGGAGATACGACTTGAAAGGATACTGGACATACTGCTGCACGCCTCTATTCACTTGCGTGGATTTGCTTTTTGTTCCTGTAACTGATTCAATCGTGTCACTGCAGATCCATGTGTCCAGTGATACTGGTAAGCCAGATAGGGAAAGGCTTGAAATGTTTCTTTTTCTTCTCTATCCAATCATCTTGCCTGCCATGAATCAGGTGAGATTATGGGGTCTCCCCCGCTCCATCAAGCCTTGCCATTAAGTCGGTCCGTATGATTTGTTTACAATAAAAGAAGACCAGGGAGGCAAAAGAAGAACTCATCGTCCAGGGCTTCCTAGGATGCTCTGACAGCTGATTATGCTGGCTCTAAAGTCGCTCCTTGGTTTCAACCCCTCCAGCCAAATCCTAGTCAGGACCTCGCGGCATGATCGATCCCGCTTTAGGATCCGACGAGATAATCAGTGGGAGATCTGCGGTGCGGCGAGCCGGACGGGAGATGGCAAATCCCGGCCCCGGCCCGGCCGGCCGCCGCTAACCGGATCGGAAATCAACACAGCGCTAGTGCATATTCGGTTAGTTCAGACGGTCTCCACCCGCACGTCATCAGCAGGGATCTCGAGCCATCGCTTCCCAGTTCCCAGTTGCAAGCATTGCCATTGCTTTAAACGGAAGGACGAAATCACCCCCCCCCCCCAGTATCCTGAAAATGACCATCGCACAAGAGGCTGCATCCTGGTTTGCACCACCCGCCGTCGAACTTTCTCCCGCACCCAAACCCGGCGAAAAGGCGCCGTCCTGCCCGCAGCTACCCCTCCCAGCCGCCAACGGCAAACCAACCATCATCTCATTCCTGCGACACTGTGGATGTCCCAGTCTGTGACCCGGCCCAACTAGATAATCCATACCAAAAAAAAAAGAAAAGTCACTGATCAAACCAACAGTCGCCGAAGCCGCATTTCTCAACCTGCGCACCGCGGCCTCCAAACACCCCGATATCAACTTCATCGCCGTATCGCACAGCGATCAGCCCTCGACTGATAGATGGGTTGAGTCTGTCGGGGACCGAGGGAATGATGGCGCTAACCAGGTTGAGGTGATTGTCGATGCGGAACGCAAGATCTATGCGCAGTGGGGCCTGGGTCTCTCGTCTTGGGGCCATGTGCTGAGTCCGTCGGGGCTGGCGTCGGTGTGGAAGTTGGGCCGGGAGAGGGGGATTTGGAATCGGCCTACGGAGAGTGGTACGCGGTGGCAGTTGAGTGGGAATTGGGTGGTTGATGACGAGGGCGTTGTGCGTGGTGGGGGGCCGGCGGAGAGGGTTGATGAGGTGATGGATTTCGAGGAGGCGGTTGGACTTGTAAAGCGGTCTTGAGGTTTCGACATATGTATAGTTTCAATTCCTAAAATATTGGTGAGGTGTGAGAGGGAAAGTTGATGTTGTAGTATGGGATTGAATATAATATAATGGGTTTGATCATTGTCTCCGAGCACCTCCGGGACACTCTGGGGGACACGTAACTCGGGATATCAGCCCAGGGAAGAAAGATGTCTCCCGCGCAGATAACATTTCTTCGTTTCACCCCCCAAGAGCCTTGCAGGAAATCATAGCCCCGATCACTCGAGAGGTTGTGGCATTGCTTGTTGCTTTAGCCGACACGCGTGAGTGCCATAATAGGCCCATGTCTCGTGTGGGGCTCAGGGAGTGGCAGAAGCGGGGAGAGAAGGAATCTGGTGAGAGGCAGCCTTTTTGCTGTGCATTGTATATAGGTTGGTCGGAGTGGATGGAAGGTTTAATTGTGCTTTGGATGGGAATGGGGGGTGATGATGGGAGGAGGAAAGTTAGAGATGGAGGAGCGCGTCTGGCAGGTCGGGGGACCGATGCCTGAGGCGACAATGGGACATAGCTTGCCAGTTGCTGCATTAGATGGGAATTCACCAGTGGTAGTTTACTACCGCAAGACTGGATGAGAAAGAGTTCTTGTGTCTATCTATCGAGCGAGCATGATCTTAGTTTCTAATATTTAAGATACATCCCAGACACCATCTCCCACCCCTATAAACATTGCGAAACAAAATCTTCCAATCTTCTCCAAAACCCACTCTAACAATGACGATCTACGCCACCCTAACCTTCACCAAAATCCCAGGCGAATCCTTCGCCTGCGCCGCGACAATACAATCCCTACTCAACTCAATATCCCTCTCCCTGCTCACGTCCTTTACATCAAAATAAAACCTCCGAAACACCGCCGCAAGAATTAGTACCAGCTCCGCCCGAGCCAGATTCATCCCCACACAGGCCCTCGGCCCCCGACCAAAGGACACCAGATAGCGATCGAGCCGCTTACCCTCGTTCCCGAGCCATCTCTCGGGTCGGAAGGCGAGTGGGTCCGGGTAGATCTGCTCGTTGCGGTGCGTGAGGAAGGAGGTCATTCCGAGCATGGTGCCCGCTGGGATGACCGTGCCGTGGCAGTTGAGGGTTTTGTCGGGGAGTTGGCGCTCGGTGCGGTGGGCGGCGGGGTCGCAGAGTCGGAGGCCTTCGTTGATGACGGCGCAGAGGTAGGGGAGTTTTTCGAGGTCTGGGAGGGGAGGTGGATTGGTGGGGTCGGGGATGGCGGATTGGAGCTCTTGATGCAGTTTTGTTTGGATGGTTGGAGAGGCGGAGATGTGGTAGGCTGTGCCGCGGAGGACGTAGGCTCTGTATAAGGTGTGTAGTTAGTTGGGCGTTTATGAAGCGAAGTTATGGTAAGGTGGGTTGGCCTTTACGTGGTGCCGGAGCCGGCTGTGACCAGGCTGAAGACTTCGTCGCGGAGTCGGTCGCGTTCTAGTTCAGGTGGTGGTAGCTTGCTTTGCAAAAGGTCGTGGATTACGGTGTTATGCCTGGTTTTTTCGTGGGACTTGTCGCGGCTGTGGCGGATGGCTTCGACCAGGAGGGAGATGTCCTGGCCTGGTTAGATTGGTGCTTTTTGTGGATGTAGGTGTCTCACCCTGCGGAAGTCGAGCAGATCAGCCATAGCTGGGGCAAGGATCTTATTGATGCTGTCCTACTGACGGTAAGTATATGGTTCTTTGCGGGACCGACGGAGCAGACTAACCGGAATGGAATGGCCCCAGCTCATAACCCAGGGGATATGGATACTCTATCTTCATCAGTATGCCGACAAGTGAATTCATTTGAGTCGCCCACCAATAAGCTAAATTCAAGGAATGTATCGAGGTCATCAAACCACTTGCGATCGAAGTCCGACTTTGCCGTACTCTGGGGCTCCATCGCGAAGCAAAAATCGTTGATGATATCCAACGTCAAGGCAGCATACATGTGCTTCATGTTGAAAGTCTCGTCGGACTTGCAGGCTGCATAAAGACGCGTGCAAAGAATGTCAATTGACTTGCGCATGGTCGGGACTAGATTCTGGACCGATCTCCTGGAGAATAACGGGTTGAGAGCGCTGCGACGGATGTGGTGCAGCTCATGAGTCTGGGTCCCCATGGCCTGGGGGTATTAGTCGCGAGTACATAGTGACACAGCACGCGAGGACTTACTGCTGGATAAGGACCAAACACTTCCGCTACGCGCTGCGGCTTTACGGCGCGTCCGTTGGTCTGGTTGTATACCTCGTCGAAGAAGTCGGGGTCGTGGATATGCACTTCGTCAGGGTTGATCCTGATCACCGGACCTTCAGCGCGAGTTAGTCCACACTCTGCAGAACGCGATAGGGGCCTTGTACCGTATTCTTCATGCAGCTCCTGTAGCTTGAAGGTTAACTGGCCACCTAGATAGAGATCGTAGTACCATTCGAACAGGTACGTCCCCTTCGCAAGTGTGGGACCGGGGATATGCGCGAGTGGGTGGTAATAGAATCGATAAATCACAAGCGCGACGGCGTAGATGAGATAGCATGCGGTGCCATATACGCCCACAGTCCATGGATCCAGTAACATTTTCGCAATACTGCTTTTGAATTGGAATAAGAGAGACAAACGTGACACGAGAATAAGTTGTCTTTCCCACGAACTGCGCTGCGAGTATGACAGACCGAGGGGGGAGGCCGATTTAAGAACCAAGTCAAGAAAGACGGGAAAACTGTACTCCATAAGTAGTCAGTCAGAAGGCCAGCAAAGACTAAGGACTCGGTGAATGAGATACTTGCAATGTACATCTACGAGTGGGTCCTGTCACACAGCCTAACGCGATATTTATACCGCGAGGTACTACTAAGTTTTGAACGCTCTCAACACATCTCGAAAACTGCCAACTTTTATTGCCTTTTTTCTCTTTTCTTGCCAATCCCAACAGTCAGCTTCAGACTATAGAGGGTCAGTGCCAACTCACCGAGCCTCCTTCCCTTTTTTTTGCCTCCGGACCCTGCTACACTAACTGACAAGTGCCCACGCAAGGCCATCTCATCTGTTCACACTACGTCAGGGGATTGGAAAGGAGATTGAGGTGTTAGTAACTGGCTGGGAGACGCTATCTGAGCTACGTACTGGAAGAAGTAAGAATGCCAGCAGCACGGCCTCAATCTCCAAACTCAAGACTTGAACAACAGGGACGAGATCTATAGCCCACAGAGGAAGGAGTGAAGGTAAAGCTAGTATACCAGGAAACATTGTTCATAGAAACCGGTCAGTAAATAGGAATGTCAAACTAAGGTTCGTGATGTCATTTAACCAAGATCCATTACAGAATTACATCATATGATTACCCATCAATGCGGATGGGATAAGGCAAAGTAATTAGGATTCAATCCGTCCGATGGTTTATCTGTCGTAGGACCTTTTCTTGGAGAACAAACCCCGAGAAGAAACGTTCTACAATTCTAACTGAATTGTACTATGATACCCCCCTAAAAGATCATTGAGGGGATCTAGAGGTCCACCAGTGGCAAACTTGTCATAGTCCTCTCTCTTTCTTCTAGAGTAATGATTTGAGGTTATTCAGCAGCTGGGGACAAAAAATAACACCAACGCCTGATTTGAGTGGACTGGCAGAATTCGAAGGTCCACCGATAAAACTAACGATCATTTGGAATCGTATCATAGTAGAACCAACAAGCTCACAAGACTTAAATCAGGCAGTTTCATGCGCGACTGTATATGACGCAGGTGTTTCAAGCGACTCGGATGAAGTCGCTGTACCACCTAAACGATAGGAAAGGCTGCTAGAATCGCTGTTCCTAACATATCGCGATGCCATATACAAGTGATGAGCGCCACTGCGGCAAAAGGTTTACTCCCCGCGCATGGCGCTCCGGAAGAGGGACACCTGCGGTGGTCCTGACAACAAGGCGAGGGTTTCCAGTTTTTGCCACAGTTCTCTAGGTTTAGATGAAGCAGACAGCAGGTCTTTAAGTCCATCTATCGCTGTAAGACCAGATGTCATTGTCAACCAACAAGATGGTCCGTTAGCTGGGATACCTGTAGGAATCCAAACCCTATCCCGTCCCCATCCGCCCCAAGAAACGGTTCACCCCGAAACCTGGATCCGGCTCGAAAGTTCCACGGTCGACAAGGTGCCAGGTTACTTTGTCCACGCGCATCCACTATTCAATGACAACGATCTGTGGAATGCCGATCAGGGCCTCCAGGAGTCCGGAGAAAGCCAACTGACCGACTGACCGACTGACTTCGGATCCGAAGGGCAGAACTAGGTCCTCCTCTACCAAGGCACGAAGAAACTCTTTCCTCATGCTCCAAATCAGACATCAAGACCATGCTCTGCAACTATTCTACTGTGGTAGGTTTGAAATACGAATTTGCTCTCTTCCGACAATTGCTCGGTCCAGATTGAACAAATCCGACGATCTCCAGCTTCTCCAGGCTCGCTAAAAAAAATACTATTTTTTGCTATTCCAACTAGAAACCGATTAGGCTCGGGAGCTTTAAAAGAATGGAGCCTGGTATGAGAGGTATAGCTATAGCTATTACAGGAGCAGTTCGGGGAGCTTTTGTATTCATCATTATAATAACATCCTTTGAAGGAATCCCACCGGGGCAAGAGGGGAGCTCCCTGCTTCGAGCTTTCTAGAAAGGCCTGAGATCATTCCTGGGAGAAAACTCATCGATAACTGTAGACCGACCATACCTCATGTATAAGACTTCCTATGCTAAACGGTAAACGGCAGTAGACCATCCGTCACAAACTTACTCACGCCCATGCATCACACCGACAACGTCTTACCAGAATGAACCCCACCCTTCAAATCCGATCCTTCCCCCTCCTCACACTTCTGATCAGGCCCGAACCCCTCATCCATACCCGGCCAGAGCGCCCTTCGAGTCAACACCGCCCAGACAGTCGAACTCGCGCATCCCAACCACAAGATGACCTGGATGATCGTCGCGGCCGAACCCACCCATTTCAACGCCCTCGAGTCCAGCAGATCCGCAAGCTTGACAGTGGCCAACGTAAACCCCGAGTTCGGGAACACTGTCCCCCACCATCCAATATCGAATCTCCACTCCCGACGAGCATCAAGGATACTAAGCCAAGCGATCATGTAAAAGAAAAACGAGAGGACCCAGAAGAATATCGAGATGAAGACGGCGATTACAAGCAGGACATCAGCGGTGTTAACATGCGCAGCTAGAGGGATAAAGTGCGCAGGGAGCTTCTCCGTCGCGACATCCGCCATGCCCATCAGCGCGAGAGCCGTGAAGGCGGGAGGTCCAGCGGCGATGAAGAGGTGCGGTCGACGACGCATGGGCGGAAGACCATGGTGGTGCAGGCCGTAGAGGAATTCGGCTAGGATGAAGATGGACATCATGAATCCGAAGCCTTGCAGGGCGGTTCCGCCGATGAGCATGGGGATGGCGAGGTGTGGGGGCTGGGCCGGGGTGAGGAGTGCGGCGGTCGTGCCGCCCAGCATGGCGGGGAAGGAGGGGAGGAGACGGACGAGGGCGAAGGGCTGGCGGGTGGCCATGCGCGTGCGGTACATGTGCCAGTTCAGGCCGACGGCTATGCAGATTGCAAGGGCGATGAAGATCCAGAATAGCACCAGTTGGGTGCGCAGGAGCCATTCACCGCAGGCGGGCACGCCGTAGGCTTCGATCCCGAGGATGATGACTGCGAAGCCTAGGGCTGCGGCGGGGATCATGTATGACTCCTCTGGGTCGTTGAGGGTGTTGATGAATGCGCGACGGAATCGACAGAATCGAAGGATGAGAGAGGCCCAGATGCATAGGTAGGTGATGATATTAAGGAGGAAGATGATTTTGCCAATCACCGAGATGCCCTGGAATTGGTAGGGGGCCATGTGGAGCAGGAGGGAAATGCTTCCAGTGCTCATGGAGATTGTGAACCAGCCCCAGGTGACGCGGCAGATTCGGTCCAGAAATGTGGGTTGTGCCATCCCGTCGTCGATCTTTCTGGTTTCTGTATTCATGGCCAAAGGTTGTGGGAGAGAGGATTCTGCCCTGGCAAAAGGACAGGTATCTGGGGGTAAAAAGGAGTCTCGGGGCGGGGGGCTTTTACGGTCGCACCACGTCGGACAGAGTGAATGCATGTGGCAAGCGAGATGTCGGCCTACCCAATGCGTGGGCTGCGGAGGTGATTTTGACAAGCTCTCATCTTCGCTTGACTGCATCCAGATCCCGAGGGCTAGACCGTTAGTCCTCGGGGAATGAACCTCGCTGGAGACTCTTGACTTACTATATCAATCAATCCCACAAGCCTGCACCAACAGCTGATTAAACTTGTAGCCACAAAGCTCTTTAGCCACACTCACATCTTTGTTCCACTGCCGTAATGGCGACAAAACAACTCCAGATAATATTTACCGATTTCTGCGGGTTCAAACAGGAGCCATCGGCTGGAAGCCGGACGGGCTGACGATGTACATCCGCCCAATAGATATTTGAGATACCGGGGCAGCATGCGAAGCATCCGGGTGGAACCTTGACAGCACCACTCGTACCCTGTCCGGAAATTGCTTCCTGGCTTGGTGATATCAGTTATGTTCCGCCATCTTCAAACGTGCAGGTACTCGACCAGTCTCATGAGAAAAATGCCTCAGTAGGCACTGATAGTCAATGTTGTGCACGAGCCCTATAACACATCCTTTTTGGTAGTGAAGAGCGTGTGATATGGCACTTGATGCAAGTGGTCAAAATACGGTGTGGGAGAACACGGTGTCGATGCAGGAAGGCAGGTACACGGAGGAATCCAGACATGGCTTCCTCTTTAAATGAGAATCGAGAACCACGTGGCCAGGGATCATCGCCTGACATGTGGGCCTGCATTTATCTGCTCCAGCCCGAATAGTGGGTAGGCAGCAGCCTAAACCATTCGAGCGCATCTAAACGCATCTGAAGGGATGGGAAAACATAACATTCGGGCGGAAGGACGGCCGTCCTTATGAAAATTAAAACCCACATGACACATAGCATTCTCCAAGAGGGACAGTGTTGAAACATGCAGCTCTATCACACCGGAAACATTGTTTGCGGCGGGTAATCAGAGTGGCCTGAAATTTGTCAGCAGGGTGGACACGGGAGCAACGCCTTGATTGATTCACCCTGCCAGCCCGCCAACTCTCGAGACAATTGGCAAGAAGACATGGCATATCAGCGGTGTCTTTCCAGTCGTCTTTCTACATCCCGAAAGCTTAGAATCAAAGGCTTCCCGCAGTCCCCGGCCTATCCTACTCTCTCGTTGCGGTTTACCCATAACCCCCCAGTTTTGCCGCGTAGAATGACTTCAACGCTATCTCCATGTGAGCCTCTCTGTTCTCTGTAGTTGGGTGCAACTCGGACTGAAGGAGATCTAGGTTTTGATCCTCATGTTTACTCAAGTGGCCGGTGGCTGTATCGTGACAAACTCGAGCGCGACGCGCGCCATGTTGACTTCAGCTTTGAAGCTTTGCGTCAGAAGGTGATCGAGCTATGTCCTGGAGCTGTGGCAATCACGGACTGTCAGAAGCTCGAGGGCGGATTCAATCGAGTCTTTATATTCACCATGGACAATTGCAAACAAATAGTCGCCAGACTGCCTTTCACCCTCGCTGGACCGGCAAGATTAACGACAGCATCGGAGGTTGCCACAGTCAAGTACCGTAAGTTCCATCGTTCTAAATGGATTATGGAGCTAAGTCGGACCTTTTAGTCCAGACCAACACTAGTATCCCCATACCGGAAATTCTCGACTGGAGTGATGACGCGAAAGATGCCAGGAATCTCATTGGACACGAATACATTATTATGGCGCATGCCGATGGCGTTCCGCTGAGTCATAAATGGCCGGCGATGGCCGGCGACCAGCGAGTCAAATGCATCGATGCTATCTATAACACGATGAAAGAAGTGATTGATCTTCACTTCCCTGTTTATGGTAGTATATATCTCACCCATAGTTTACCGATTTCCGACCCCAGGGAGTCCTTCCAGTTGGATGAAGATTTCTGTATTGGACCCCACTGCGGAACTCGATATTGGGATTGCAACGTGGGGGATGAGCGGTATTATCACAAAGTCAATCCGAATCATGGGCCTTGTGAGTATACACCCATTTTCAATATAGCATCAAGAACTGACACGAGAAAGGGTCCAACCTCAGTACCTACAGCGACGGTCTCATAGATGCCGGACTATCGCGCCTTCCGCCAACAAATACCAACTTCAAAGCCAAGCCGCCCTATCAAGGCTCCGTTCAGTCACATGTAATGCTATTACATCGCTGCAGAGCTCTGCTTCAGCAGATGTCCACTCATCAGGACATTATCAGTGCGTCTGCGCCCGTATTATTCCATCCTGACCTGCACAAACGAAATATTTTTGTTTCGGAACACAACCCTTCCATGATCACGGGCATTATAGATTGGCAAGGAAGCAGTGTCGAGCCCGCTTTTTGGTATGCGGATGAAGTTCCCGATTTTGCCATTCCGCAGGAACAAGGGGATGATGTCTGCGCTAAAGCGTACGATGTGTGTTCGCAATTCCTGATGCCCAGGCTTGCTGGCCCGAGGCTGATGGATGAGAACCTCTTTCGGCCATTTCGCTATTCTTATCGAACGTGGAAGGACGGTGCAGTTGCTCTACGCCATGATATAATTCAGACAGCCCGACAATGGAACCAATTGGGATTTGATGGACAGTGTGTGTATCCACTCCTATCAGCTGTAGAACTGGCACGCCATAAAGAAGAATATCAGCTGTTCAAAGCGGCGCAGCATTTAAAGCGCGATCTTTCAAGCTTGCTGAACTCGGCAACTGATGGGTGGGTTCCTGCAGATCGCTGGGAGGAGACTAACCTAGCCCATATTGAATTATTTCATGGGATCTTGCAGGCCGTTGTGACCAACACCGATCTGGAAGATGAACCGGTGAAAGACGCAGAGACCTTACGATCGATTTGGCCATTTGATATCGAGGAATAAGTACAACAATGTAACTCGATGGTTTATGGATGGAAACAAGATGTTTCATGTATAGTATCTGTCCCAACCAACCCACCATACCACGCTTGCGTTGTCTTTACCTAGCCGCATTCTTAGCAAGCACTCGTTTCCGGCGGAATCTATTGCTTATCACTTTATTCACTTTCTGCTCTATCTGCACGAACTCGAAGTCGACCTACTTGGCTGCGCGACTTCAACATGCTTGCGCATGGCTGGTAACTCTCGACCGGGGCGGTGTCAGATACGCCTCCGCTTAACTCTGCTCTGCAGATTAATATCCTAGACCAAAACGTTTAGAGTCCAAACTGGTGTGGCCGTAACAGAGACCACATCTTGTGACTGATCAATATACTCCGTACAGCTCACCGACTGACGGTATAGTGAGACAACAGTCATACAAAACTGTTCAAAGTTGGCAGACCAGCATGAATATCAGCATTCCCGCGGTCGCTCGATGATGGGTCTATTGACCTGCCATAATCCCATCCCTTGATATCCAAATAGGCAAGTCAAAGTGGGGTCCTGGGAACTAGATAGGGCGTAGCTTGCCGCGATCGCCTTCCCGAACGGCTGTACCGCCCCGCCCGGAATGCAAACACTGACAGGCCTTGGTTTATGGTTAAGACAGCAGGCAAACGGCCCCGCTCTCTTCGGCTTCGGCAGATATTATATTGCTTTCCCAGAAAGCGGCCTGCGACGATTTTAATGCTGTTCCCCGGTCGCACTATCCACCTTAATCGTGCAGAACACGCATCATGACTCGCACCATGCCGCCCCTCCACGACCCGTCCTTGCCGATTGGGAAGAACTAAATCAACGGGCAATGGGTCGATGCGATCTCCGGGAAGCGGTTCAGCGTGACAGGGGTGTGCAATAACGGATCCATCTGCGCGCTACCCCGATACTCATCGTTGGCACCCCAGACCCTGCATCGGCACCTGCCCCGAATCTTTCACAAATGACGCCGAGCAAGTACAGTAAACATGTGTGTTATCGATTCCAATTTTGAACTCATAGGCCAAGTATGTCAGTAAATGGTCTCCGAATTTGCCCGTGTTTTATTTTTTCATATTAAAGTCTTATTGTTTCCTTACTTGAACATCTTCCCCCGCCAATCCAAATCATCATCGCATCCCAGTATCCACACTCAACACTCAAGCAGAATACAACGCATAGTCTCACATAAAAAAAAAAAAAACAAACAAAGCAAGGATAAAGCTATCACACTAGCCATCCTAATATCTACCACTTACAAATCTCAAACCCATCTCTCTATACAACCCAAGTCTATCCCTTGCAATCTCCCCCAAACACCTCACCCCCGCCAACGCCATCGTCTGACTCAACTCCCTCTCTAAAATATATATCATATTCTTTACCTCCTGCCCAGCATACGCCAGCCCCCACAGCGCCAGCCCCCTGACCAGCACGAAATCCGCCCCCATCGCCAGCGCCTTAAACACATCCGTCCCCGACCTCACCCCGCCATCCAGAATCACCGGGATCGCGCCGCACACTGCCGAAGCTATCTCGGGCAACGCTTCAATAATCGAGCAGGTTGCGTCGAGTTGGCGAATGTATCCCAACCATGCCGTGGTTTCTCTTTACTAGGTAAGAAAAGACAAACCTCGTCTGGCATGGAAAGTCAATTTTTTGATTCAAGAAAAGCTAGAACCTATTCTGCAAAGGTTTTTACATCTGTGCATATGTTATCTTCACCTCAACTCATCAATGCGCTTTGAACATTTCCGAATAATAGGGACGATTACTGTACCACCCAACCCCATGACTGAGAAAAGAAGATTTAGAAAAGAAGAATTAAGTAAAATATATTTCAACATGAAAAAACCCAATTATAAGAAGCAAGCAACACCACAAAAGAAAAATAACACCCTTCAACACTGCCAAAATATCCCAAACAATCCTAGCATGATCTCTTTTCCCAAACATATTTATTATCATCGAAAGTCATCAAGGTAGTATATTTCGCAAAGTACCAGAAAGGTGGAGTCGTTGCAAAATATGCCGAGTCACGGACGCGACAAATATCTATCTTCTTCGTTAGTCAGTGAAGCTTTTGAAAACACATATAGTAGCAAACCATCGCGATTAAGAAGAGAACATACCATTGGTACAACCAAGACTCAGGAAGACAGAGCTTTCTCCTTCTGCGCCACCAATGGCTTCTCACCGACCAATGTATCCGCGTAGCTAATCACAGACGAGGAATCATCGTCTGCTGCCGTGGACGCGGAGGAGCCCTTCGAGCTTCGAAACTTCTGCACTTGTCCCTTGACGGCCTTCCATCCTTGGCGGATGAGTTCCAGATCGGTCTGCGGTCGCGGGCTGCCCTCAGGCCTCAGAATCATGTTTTGGCCGGCCATTGTAATGGAATCGGATAAGAGAGGTTGGTATGTAGGTGGAGAGATGGTAGTTTGTTTTGGTATCGGGGTGGGAGGGTTGTTCTTTTGTGTCGGACTCTGACTTAGGGCAATGCGAATTGGTGTAATGGATGATGACTGATGGATGCTGAATGCTGAATGAAAATCGAAACAACAGCAGCGGCGCACCACCTTCTTATATCCAATCTTGCAATCCGCGCAGGCCACATCCCTCGAAATATCTGATCGGGGTACACATTTAGCACCAAGTAGACTAGACTAGGCATACACGACGACCCACTTGGTACTCCGTGCCCGTTCTGCGTCATCGGGTTCGAGAGCAGTCGAAACTCCGTAGTGCGGCTACTCTGTGGGGCGGGCGTGGGTTCGCGGCATTCAGCGCTGGTTTTGGCTTCCTGCGGAGTAAGAACGGACATCGTACCCCTATCGAGTCATTTGGTGATATGTTTGATATGTTTGATTTGGTTGATGTGGTTGGTGTGGTTGATGTGGTTGATGTGGTTGATGCGGTGAAAGAAACTATAATATCAGGCAGCAACTAAATCACCAGCATGATACGCAACACGTGCACCTACATCGACGGCTGTATTTTGTGGTAGGGAAGCAGTGATTACAAACCGCTCTGCTATGACTAGATACGGAGAACTGGGTCCGACCCCGACAACATATTGTTGTAAATGTACACGACGCGTGGGCATGACCAGGTGTCAGGAGTCAGTCAGTGAGTCAGCCCCGTGCTTATGGAGAGGCAAAGTGTCAAAGCCAACCCTCAGGGCTCTCTCTCTCTGTCTGGGCTCAGGACTCAGGGCTCTACGCCCCACCCCGACTCCAACTCCGAACTCCTACCCCGAACCACCCCGACTCCGCAACTCCGCTCGCGGATCGAATTTTCTTTCCTGTCATGCATCATCCACTTCATTGCTAACCCAATCAATCACCATGTTCATTTCCTCGGTACATACTTAACTACATGATAAGTAGCCTACTTTCCATACAACGAATGTTCCATGAGCAGCCAGCAAAATGCATTGACCCATCTCATCCCATCCCACCCCATGAATCAACAAGTGATGAATCAGAATCAGAATCAGAATCAGAACATTGACGCGTCATCCCAGTCAGGCTTGGCGCTTCCTTGCTGACAGCGACCCAGAAAGCATCTTCCTCGTGTTTGAGTTGTTGTTTTCCCCCCCTTTCTTTTGGGCCGCTAGATGTTTGCATTGTTTGGGACGAAGCATAACCATAAGTTATGACTCATTGGCTGATGTTTTGTTTGTTTTGCTTGGTTCTGCGGTTGAGCCTCATGCAGATATGCAAATACTGTGGTGGGATGAGGCTGTGAGGACACGTTACGGACTGGACTTGGGCTTGGTCTTGGTCTTGGTCTTGGTTGTTGGCATGTCAGGGTCAGGTGTCTCGGTCGGATGGACGTGCGTATACGGAAGGGTCGGGTGAGGGCTGATTTGCTGCTTTGATTTGACTCGGGAGGAGAGGGGGAGGGGGGATGAAGGGTAGGGTAGGGCAGGGCAGGGTACTATTGTATTCTGTAGAGGAGTTGCTGTTGCTGCTGGTGGTGGCTGTTTGAGCCGCAGGTTTATGCAGACAGTCGGTACGGAGTAAGTCCTCCTCATTGGTTAATAGTCATTTTGACGAAGATGGATATTAAAGAATACTTAATACTCCGGGACCTTCTCATGAGCTCCTGTTTCCTCTCCGGCCCAACAATGAAGCGTCTAAATAAGGAAAAGCGTCCAAAGTTAATAGATAGATACCACGACGTCCATTCAAAGTAAATTCAAATTATTCGGCAACTCAAACTGCCAATTATCCAGATGACTGATATAGTAACTATAATCAACGATACTCTCCGACAGGGTGGGATCATTCGAGAGCTCCAACCCCGTGTTGCCGTTGCTGTTGCTAGTCGGCATAGAAGCAACAGACTGGTAATTCTCCGCCGAGAGCACCGCATCCAGCACGCGGCGGATCGTCTCCCGCGCCTTCTGGCATATCCCGTAGTTACCCTCGTGGGGCTCTATCACCGTCTTGATGAGAGACGCAAAGACACTCAGGTTCTGGATGACGCGGGATCGCGGGAAGGGGATCGTGGAAGTCGCAGCCACGTTGGCGGCGGCTTCAGGCGAGAGATGGGAGCAGCGACGGACGAGTTCGATGGCTAGGACGCCCGCTGTGGGGAGGCCGAAGTAGGATATCTTTTTTTTTTTTTACTGCTGTTAGAGGGTGGTTTCGGACTGTGTGGAGAGAGGAGGGTAGCGTACAACCCAGCTATTCTCGCCTGAGGCCTTCGTGGTCCGCATCCTGTTCTCGACCAGCGAGAGAACCCCGCCCAGGATTTCATGCGATACCTGAACGAGGTCTTCGCTCCAGGTGTTTGTGCGTTTGGATAGGATGCGGTAGAGGAGGAAGTCGTTGTAGAGGTAGTCGAGGTGGAGATAGATCACGGCGTTTTCGGTCGCGTTCAGCCCCGGGTGGTCTTCTAGGTCTTGCTTCCAGTGGAGGAAGGAGGGAAGACTGGCCCATACGCGATGCGAGGTCTGGAGTATGTCACTTGAACAATGTCAGTCAGTCCATGGCATTGTGTTACGAACGAAGGGAAGATCGGCTTACTTGACTTTCCGCGGCAGGTCCTCGATATGATTATTCAATGACAGTTCGAGAATATCCTCCCTGACGTGGCCCATGAGCAGGGGAATCCGAGCCCACATTGCCTTTGCTGTGCTTCCGTCGGTGTTCCACCCATTCGCGTCCAGCTTGCTAATAGCCGCGTCGCGGATACTCGGTTCAGCCACGATCTCTTCGAAGCTGAGGTCCAGAGGCAGGGTGGTGTTGCAGAATCGCGAACTGATTCGGGGCGGTCTTCCGAGAAAGGTCGCCAGCTGCTTGTCAAAGCTGATGGATGCGCCCATTAGCCGTTTGCGCATCTCCGAGAGCCAGAACGGGGTGTCGTTGTCGGATGCGGGTTGGTTGAATCCTAGGGTGAATATGATGGTCGACAGATCTCCCAGTGCTCGCCAGGAACGATGGTCTGGTGAAATGGTCAGTGAGGTCGGGTTTTGGTTGGACAGGACTGCGGAACTGACCGCCATCTCCATAGACTAATGTCGACAGATGAGTATGTAGCAGGACAAGCCAGCTGACGGGGTCGTTTACGATCCCGGCTTCTTCGCAGAACTTCACGCACGTTTCCACGGCGGACATGGCCAGGTGCTGCAGATCGTTCCTGGAAATCACCGGCCGGTCTTGTCGCTGGAATATCGCATCCCAGTCCGATGCCATGAACGTGCCGAATCCGACGAAGGCGAAGACCATGCCGATGATCTCCCATCTGTATGACATGCATGTGATGTACTCGTGAATGGTAATCAAGGGATGCACTGGGATACGATTGTTGAACAGCTGGAAAACCTCACTAGACAGAGTGAGCAGCTGCGAGAGATCGAGATCGGGCAGCCGAGCTATGAGATTCTCTTCCAGGGCCTGGAATACCAACACCATGATCGGACGGCCAAGGGGATCACAGCCATTTGTTGTTCGGAACCACATTTCCGCGATGTCTTTGTATAAATGGAAGTCTCTCAGGAGTAACAACAGTCGTGCACCTTGATGTACTTGGTCCAGTTCGATGGATGTCGCGTTCGAGGCCTCGGAGAGCGAGATAGCACGCTCCCTCTCCTTCTCTGCAGTCCCGAGCGCTGAGATCCCCAGATAGTCCCGACTGTCCTTCAACGCAGCATCATAGCTGGTTAACCCCAGGAATCCAGGCTGGGATAGCCTCCTCCTCTTCGAGTTCGTCCAGTCTGCATGCGCCCGTTCAAGCGGGTCCCCTGGCCCTGACCCCCCCGAGACCCCCGATGGACTCGGGGTCACCAACCGACTTGGACCCGCACTTACTCCCATTTCCGATACGGATCGAGGCACTTGCATCTCCTCCGACCGTGGTTGTTCATACCCAGGGTCTGTCCGCCTGGACTGCCCGGTCATCGGAGACGGGCGGTAGATGCATCGATCCTGCTTATTTGTGCGGGCGCACCGAGTGCAGATGGGAAAGCGGTGGTCACAGCGAAGTTTGGATTTGCGACATGGCTCGCAGGAGGACAGCAGGCCGTTCTTGCGCAGGGTGACCATGGCGTGGACACGCCTGAGGGGTGGGGGAATGGTTATCCGGGTTTCATGGATGGAATGTCAGACGGATTGTTCATTCTGGGGGGGATTCACTAGCGGTTGTCCGGCTCTTTTAGTGCCGGGGGTTCAGGGCACGAGGGCCCATTGGCGCCGGGTAAGTGTTTAGCAGCGGCTAGTTTATCAGATTGTGGACATTCACTTGGTACGGAACATGCAGTGTTTGGATATAGGGAATGATTTATGGGACTGGGTAGTCGATGGATTCGGGGAACGAAGTTGAAGGGCCACAATTCTTGGAAGGCTGAACCATTCTTGAAAAAGAAAAAAAACCGTCATGACTGTGTATGCAACCAAAGGGTCTCAGAGGAGACTGGGGGCCTCTCTTTGATAGGAGGGATTCGACCAATACGATCGACCTATTTGATCAAGACCAAAGACTTCAAGATCTGCTCGATTGGAAGAAATAGAGGAGGAAACAAGGTAAAAGTCAAGGGAAAAAACGATCGGAGAAAAACCGTCTGTGGCGTGAATAACATACCCAGTTTCTCGGTGAATGCCAACACTATCGACAGAGTAGACGCGCCCATGATCCAACCCTGACCCACCCTTGATCCTCGAGTTGTTCATCCTTTCTCTTGGTGAAGGACTCAGAACAGAATATTCCCTGCTTCACATCCAGGACCCTTCCACATCGACTGACCTTCTGGATCCACTTTCGGCAGCCTATTTTCTATCAGTTGGTTCCTGGTTCCCACCAAGTCGTGGCACGGGAGGGCCGTGTCAAAACAAGGTCCCTGGATTCGGATCTAGAAACGGGAACTTTGTCGTGTTCGTTCCCATATTGCCTTTCTGCCTTTCCTGGCTCGGCCAAGCGCCGTGGAAGCGGGTCCGGCGGGTCAACGGCAATGGCTAACACAGATCATCATCGCACTCTATTCCGGGCCTAGTCCGCTGTCCCTGATGGAAATTCGTCGGGTCGAAAATGACTTGATGAAGAGACTAGGCTTCAAGGAAAAGGCAAGACGGGAGAACAGAAGGCGGTTATAAATAGTAACCCTTCCATGAACCACCAGCAATGGACAGGGTATAAAGCACCCCGGTGTGGTCATCTACAGTCTAGATCTGTTGTTCAACTTTTTCATCTGCAATTCTTATCCAGCGTATCGAGAATGGATATTGTCTATCACCCCGGCTATCCCACATCATCAAGAACAACCCGTTAACACAGATCCCCAACAGGCGAAGCATCTGGCTACTACAGCCAAGCCTGGTCCCATAATTCCCGATTCGACGTCGGACCCTGGGCGATGCAAGAAATTCTCATTCTATGCGCGCCCCCTCTCATCGCCGCGACCGTCTACATGGTCCTCGGCCGGATGATCCGGTCTCTACAAGCGGAACACCACATGCGCACAAAACACCTAACCTGGGTCTTCGTGCTCAACGATGTGCTAGGCTTCTGCACGCAGCCATGCAACCATCTATACTTAAATATAAATAATTGTTCATCAGTGAGCGTAATTATATGTAGAATAAATAGAAAGTAAGACTAAAAAGTAGTATTATCTATAGAAAGTAGTAGTAGTAGTAGTAGTAAAACAGCAATACTAATAAAGCATAAAAGAGGCTCGTTCGCTTGTCGCTGCGACGCAATTCTGTGGGCCGCTGGCGTCAGATGCAGAAGTTCCGTTGAATAGATATTCATGTGATCCTGGGAGGTAGATTTGCTTGTTTCAGGTCTATATAGTTGTTTCCTTTGCTATGAATCGAATTATTTGTCTGGAAAGCCCTGACATAGTGTTGGAGCATTTCAGATGGACGAATAGCAGTGATAAGGAAATATCTTTTGGTAAGATGTTCAAGGACTGTCTCTGGTATATTATGTAAAGTATGCACCGTCCATCGCAGATCTTTTACCATCAAGATGAATAAATATTTATATTCAAGTCTATATGATTGTATGGGGCGCGCTTGCGCGCCCTCGACGGTCTTGTATTGTTTCATGCTTTCTTTTGCTTGGTAGATAGGGGCGATTGCACGACTCGCACGCCCGTGTCGGTGAACTGGACCGGGGCACCACGAAACCTTGCCTCAGCAGAGGCAATTATTCACCCCAAGTGCATCACCATTAGGAGTTTCTATCCGGAGTATATGTCGTATTGACCCTTCTCGTGGCAGTGTGATGCGAGATGATCATAGCCAATTCGAGTGAGGGCAAAAACAAACCCCCAAGACGAGCTCAATACCCACAAACGGCTAGTGCGGTAATTTCCCATACCAGTACCTGAGATTTGCCGAATTGGGGAACTCCGCTTTATATAGAACCGATAAGTTACCATAGCCCATGACTATTGGCAATGATGATATTGTTTCTTATTTTTGTTACAAATTCCGCTGCTCTACTACTCTTGTTGATTTAATTCCATGCGATATGAAACCCCCATCCCTCAAATGAACGATATTTTTCTCTACGTGTCTGCCTCCATTTCATCTCAATCCACCACAATGGCCAAACCCATACCTCCCAATCGAGGAGCCCGCACCCTCATCATCCACGCAGTTCTCCGCATCCTGCAAATCACCCTCGCCATCATCATCGCCGCCCTCTACGGGATCGACCTCGCGCACGCCACCAAATCCCACACCCGCGCGATCCCGAGCTGGGTATACGCTGAATTCGTGGCTGCCGTGTCGGCAATCACATCCCTCATATACGTATTCGTCTTTGTGAGATATATTGTCTGGATCCTTCTTGATGGGTTGATGGTGGTTCTCTGGGTCGCGCAGGTCGGCGTGTTTGGGAGTTTATTTATTTCGAATGATACGTCTTCTGGGGATGTGGACTTTACGTTGTCGGTTTTGCGAATGAGGGTGGCTGTGGGCCTGGATTTGGTGATGATGGTGTTGTGGGTGTTGACGGCTGGGTTGGGTGTTGAAGGGTGTGTTTGGGGGAGAAAGCTTGTTTCGAGGAAGGATGGGGGCGGTTGTGGGATGGAGGTGATTGTGGCGGATGGTGGTGATGTGGAGACTGGGGAGATACTATGCGGGGAGAAGGAGACATTGGCGACGGTGGTGGAGGAGGAAGATGAGGGGAAGGGTGTTTAGTTGTGGGATGAAAATGGATTTTGGGTCGGAGGGCGATGTCGGTTAGATTTATATTAGGGTTGGGATAGGGATTTCTGTGGCGTTCTTAGATTGTGTCTATTATCATCAACTAATGAGTTTCTTAGCATACCACGAGGCTCAAAGTACAATAATGCTACTCCATAGAATGGGTTTAAGTGGATTTTTCCAACCCCCATATTATTCTCAGCCTTGCTGAGTGGAACTGCCGTAACAAGCATCGGGATAAGCATGTACTTAGTGCCTTGGCTCGACTTGGCTTCGAGGTGGAGATGGACAATCAGGGGGTGTCTATTCCCCCAAGCTTTGAAAATGTCAGTAGTCAGTCTTTCCATCATCTAACTCGAGTCGTTCTAGAATATGACCAACCAACATAATCTGGGAGTTACCCGTAAAGCTAATTATTGTCAAACCTCAGTCGATCTTATATATATATATATATACTACCATCTCAGCGAGCCAGATCACTAAGTCCTCATCATGGCAAAAACATGAAAAATAGAAAAATTCCAATTCATCACTCATAAATCCCCAAATCCCACCTCCGTACTTCCCTCATCTCTACGCCTCAAACCCAATCCCCGGACCGTGGTGCGGGGAGTGCAAGGCACGGTCATACGCCCGATCGGCCTGGAAGTCATCACGGGCGATCTCATCATCCGTGGGGCGGTGCGAGTCATGCTTGTGGTGGGGTCCGTGGCTATGACCGTGCTTGGCTAGGTAACAGTTTAGCACACATCCGTGGAGATAAGTAGATGAGAGCAAGAAAGGAGAAATCGAACCTTCATGGGAGTCCGGAGGGGGGGACTGCAAATCGCGAGGCTGGGGCTCGGGGGTCTTGGAGCCCTCCTTCTTGTGGTGGTGGATGTGGAGAGCGTCTTCGGCTTTGTGTAGGAATCCTGACATGGTGGTGGATGAGTTTATTTCCGAGGTGCGGGGTAGATGGTTGTGGTGGTGGTTGGTGATGGGGTGGGTATGTGGTTTGTCTTGGCCGGTTCTGACAGATGTGTCTAGGAGAGTGCTGTGGTTTCGAATGGTCTTTATAGGGCATGGGGGAGGCAGATGACGTTGTCATGAAGGGATCGCGCGCTCTCTTGTTTCCCGGCGGTTTGACGTCATCGCGGGATGGTTTTGATATCAGGCCATGCCATGCCATTTGACGTGCCGGATCGGAACGCGCGGCATGTCGCTACTATCTACTTAGTACGGAGTATTATTCCCAGGATGTGATATCCGATATCCGATATCCGGGAAGCGCTGTCAGGGACTTTCGACGTCAAGAGGAACAGAACATAAAGATATGGTCATGGTTGGCGAGAGTGAACCCCATATGAAGGATATTGGGAAATGTGTTTGAGTTCGATGGATGGTCGGGTCTTGGTTGAGAGGCATCCAGCGCTCGTGCGGTCGCATCTAAAAGGTCAAAATGGATAGATAGCGACAGGTAGGATAAAGGATGGGCGGCGCTATACCCCTTGCAGCCTGCCATGCAGCGAACCCTGTTCTTGATCCCTCGCCAAGTGCCTCGCTACGAGCGATGATCGCTTCCTGCGCTAGCGTTCCAAGGCCATTGAATGATCTAGCCACTTGATAGTCCAGGTATCTGATGAGTGATAAGACAAAGATCATCCAGCTAATAAGATGTAGGCTGTGGAGGGTAGTCATTGACTTGGAACTACGGTCCTAGGGTACCCCCCATCACGTGGTCCGGCAACAAAGACAACGATCAAATTTTCTTCCATTCAGTATATATATACTCTCCTTTCAAATTCCGGTTATATATAGCCATAGCAGGGACTATAATGACTGCCTATCCATGTTCTCTTGAGTAGTAGTCCACGAAGATGATGAGACCCAAATTTCCAGAATGAAGTGCAGATACACACTCCTCGAGGCCAGATCGACCACAGTGTCCATCTCAGTGAATAATAGCCTCCGCCGTCTGCAGCCCCGCATCAACCAGATTACATGCCGCCATAACCCCAATGGGAATCTGTCTCGTAGCGGGATCCAAATCATTCACGGCGACGGCATACGACACGCGCGAGACATACGAAGTAAGATTCGACACCTCGCCCACGATCGCCGCAGACCGATCCGCACCCTCGGGCTTACTACTAAGCTCGTAGAAGTGCCATCCGGTCACGAATAGCGCCGGAATGATCAGGACCGTGTTGACAATCGCGCCCGTGGCACGACCATCATCCACCGCCAGGCCAGAGAATTTGCTGCCGGAAGTCTTCAGCTTGTTCTGCACGGGCCCGGAAAAGAGGACCTTGCTGATGATGCTCGCGGTGGTGGTGACGTCGGAGATCACACTGACGGCGAAATTGTCGATGGGGGCTTTGGGGACCAGGAAATTGCCGCCTCCTTCCATGGAGGCGATGAGGAATCCGAGGACGCCCGATGGGATCGAGAAGGGGTTCTCGCCTGTCATTATCTCGGCTTCGAAGGTGGTTACGAAATCGCTAGTGAAGAGCAGGAAGCCGGCCGAGGCGTGCGAGGCAATGAAGACGGCGCTCTGCACGGCTTGGGGGAGGGTAATTGACGCGGAGGTAGGTGTAAGACCTGTCCTGGCGTTGACTTTCTTGACGGATTGCGTACGGAAGAGGGCGGCTAGGTCGTCCCAGGTTGAGGCAGAGATGATCGCGTTGACGTCGCTGGTGTCGGGGAAGGGGGCTTCGTTGTTAGCGATCTTGTAGACCACGGTGTATCCGACGGCAGCGATCCAGGCGAACAGATCGAGAAAGGTGATGTCGGGGATGCCGATGGCGTTCAGGATGTCGGAGATGATCGGGATGTGCATCTTGGTGTCCAGGAGGCTGATGGCGGATTCGGCGATGCTTTGGAGGACGTCTAGCAAGGCGTCGACGACTACCTGGGCGCTGGAGAGGACGCCGTCCGCTAGTATCACTGCCAATTTCTTGAGGATGTCGCCCACGCTCAGGCTGCTGAAGTTGCTGGCTAGGTCTCGAAGTTGGTTATAGACCTGGCTGAGGACGACGCCTTCTTTGGATAGTCCATCCAAGAGCTGATCCACCAGGCTCTGGGTAGCGTCTTCAGACGGAAGATCGCCGAGGATGCTCACTTGGTGAACTTGGTTCTGGAAGTGATCTGCCAGCAGCCGCGAGCCCGAAGTTTGCCCCTTGGCTGGGTTGGAGGTACTGCCCGAGGCCGGCTCGCTGGCAGCGGTGCCGATGGGGGTCCAGTCGGTGATTCCTGCCCACTTGCCCAGTGTCTCTTCGGCTTCCGCAATGTGGGCATCGAAGGCAGCCTTGGCTCGGGGGATGGAGTCCACCTGGTTCTGCATGTACAGTTTGGCCACATTGTAGAGGACATTCTTGGTTCTCTTCACATCGCCCCAGTTGAAGAGAAACTCAATAAACCGGATGAGATCCTCAATCGCTGTTTTGATGGCGTTGAACACCCACACGACGGCCCCGACAATGGCATCCACGGTATCCAGGATCGCGCGGTATACCTTCCCGGCAATGGTGGCAACAAAGTGCCAGGCGTCACTAACGGCGTCGTAGACGATGTCAATCACGGCCTCTATTCCGGATTTCAGCCAGTTGAACAGGTCACCGGCTGCGATGGCGATGTCGTCAAGGATGTTTTTCGCGTTTCGAGAGGCAAGGAACTGCGTTGAGGGGACGACCCGTTTTGCTGGGCTTATTGAGGTGATGGGCCGTGGGGTCGGGTTGATCTGTCTGCCAAGTTGTCTCGACAGTAACGCGGTCTTCGACGGGGCCTTCGAGTACAGGTCCTGGAGATTCGTCATCCGGGAAGCGATGGTCTTGACATCGGCATCGTCAGTTGAGGCAGCCACGAGGGGCGTGGTTGAGGTGTCATCAAGAATACCCCCGGCAGTAGTATTGGTCGGGAAGCTTGCAGCGCGAAGCGAGTCCTCAGTATTGAGAGCGCTGAGTTTCTGGAACGATGTATCCATGGAATTAATCACAGTGCTCACGGCGCTTCCATCAATAGTCACAGTGAGGGTGACCGCGTTGAGGTCATCGGTTGCCTGAATCACAGATACTGATCCACTGGCGTCTGTGGTCACCTTCACTGCGTCGGGTCCCAGCACGTAGTAGAGACCGTTTATATACACGGGAGTGCGCACCTCTGCCGCAATGTTCAGAGTCGTCTTTGCGGCTGGCGCATCGTTCTTCGTATCCGTCACCTGGATAGTGGTCGTATAGGAGGTGAAAGACAGCGGTTTCTCCGTCGCAGGGGCTGCGAGCTTGATGTCCTGCGCCTGCCACACCTTCGCATCGGTGACGGTAGCCTGGGTCAATGAGAAGAGTCGTCCATTTCCTGACGCAAAGATGGTGTTTCCGCCATCTATCCGATTCATGTAGGCGGATATCCGCTCGATGCTGGTTAGGATTGGAACTGGGGCGCTCCAAGATCCAGGCTTGGTCAGCTCAGTGTTCGGGCACGAGAGGTAGTAGACCTCGTTGCTGCTATTTCTCCCCCAGAGCGTAGTGACTCCATCCAGAATCATGGACAGCAGGGTGTCGGTCCCAGAAAGGAAATCATTGGTGATAAGAGGAACAGCCGTAGACCCATCTGTCTGCGCGTTGGCAGCAAAGTAGTACAGGGATGTGTTGCTGATGGCGTAGAGATCGGTGGTTCCAAGCAGACTGGAAGACTTGTCCCCGTTGCGTGCAGTAGCGATGGCTGAAGGGACCTGTGAGCCGGGAAGAGAAAGTCGGCGAGAAGCAGGAGGTCCCGTTCCAAAGTCATTGATCACAGGCATGTAGACGAGCTGAGGAGCGCCATCGGTGGTCCCCAGGGTGTATACACCGTCGGACCAGGCGTTGGTAACTCGACCGACGCAGCTCTGGTAATTCCCGTCTTCTATGTCCACGGGGACATCGTGCTTCACCCAGTAGACACCTGTTTCCTTGGACGGGTCGATGTAATAGCGCACGATGTTCTTCACTGCGGAATCGTTCAGGCGATCGAGGTCAACGATCAAGTACTGCGAGGGGTCCGATAGTTCAGCGAACATGATTCCAGTAACGGTGATCGTCTCAGGCCATTCAGTGACAGCATCGAAGGGGACCTGGGTCCAGCGCGGGTTTTCAATCCAGGACGTGTCTCCGTTGGAGTTCAACAACGACATGAACAGATTGTCAGTTCCAGCGCATGAGACAGCCATAGCTAGACTAATCGTGCCATCGATTGCACTTTGACCGACACCAAACGTGCGTACCACTGCATCGGTCTTTCCGGGGAAGTAGGAGGTGATGACTGAGGTGGATAGGTCATGAAGTTGCCACCCGGTACTTGTCACGCCGCTCTGCTCCTCGATGACATGGAAGACACCAGACGAGTCAGTGGCAAAGAGGAGTGCATGGCCATCCTGTGTCTGCAACGCTTCGAAGTTGCCTGTCGGCGACACAAGTTGACCCTGAACGTAGTTCAACAGCATATCGGATGAGCATGTCAGTCCTAGAGTCGGCTCGGTGGACCTGAGAGCTTGTCTGGCCTTCCTTCTGGATTCTACAGTGCTGGCAGGGTCAACATAGGTAATGTCACATGCCAAATCCTGATGTGCTGAGAAGCGAGGAGACTTGTAAGTGAACACTTTACCACCTGGGAAGACAAAATTCTGAATACCACTGAGGGTAGTTGATTTCATCTGAGATGATGCGAGAGAGGTAACCTTGGACTGAATTTTGTCGCAAACCCCGTTTATACCGGAGAATGTATCGCTAAACCAGTTCAAATTAGGCTCTTGAGAGTTATCCTCTGGCACCGAGGCGGTTTGAGCAATCTTTAGACCACCGTATTGGTCTACCGAAATGGTGTACGTATCGGTGATTGTCTTATCAAAGACATTGGCATCTCCAGTAATCCAGTCCACTCGGGCATGCACGAAGATGACAAGGTGCTGCTTGACGATGATTGTATCATCCTCAAAGTACACACCGCAGTTGTAGGTCACATTCACGTCCAGTGCACAATACGTTGCCCCCCAATGACTGTCGTCGCTTCTTGCGCAGTAATAATCGAACTGGACGACTTCTGAGCCGCTGTCGGTGACCTTGGCAGTATCAGGTGTCTGGTCTTGATAGACGGTTACATCAAACTCCCCGGTTGCCCAATACCAATCGGCAAATGCATAGGGTTCGATGCGCAGGCAACAGTTCGTCGCGGCGGGCAGCAGTTGATCGAGCATATTCTGAGCGATTATGTTCCGGTTGATTGCAATGACACCGCTCTTGTCATTGATGTCCGCGGGCAGCACCCAGTTCCAATTGAAGCTCGAGACACCTGGAAGCGGCTTGTCATTAATGGCGCAGAGATAGTCGAGTGTGGTAGCAGATTTCTGCAAGGCAGTCGGGCTGGGAATGACAGCGCCAGTGCTGTCCTTGGGAGGGTTGACCTCCCTCTCGAAGCTGGTCATCTGCAGCTGGGAAGGGTCAGGGGTTCCCGTGACATCTGCAGTGACCGAGACAAGGGGCAGCCCGTGGCTATTTGCTAAGTCACTGTAGATGGAAACGAACGAACGCTGCAGGATGGCCTCTGCCTGGGAGCCCTCCGGAACACCCTCAAACCTGGGTACGGTCTCTAAGACGGCATTGCTCAGATCAAACAGCAATTGCTTCAGGCTGAAGGCCGTGCTTGACAGATTCATCAGCTGGGCTTTCAGCTGAGCCTTTAGCTCCGGGTGGTTGTTCAAGTAGGGTGTGTCCAGCTCCTTGTCGAGGTCTTTCATCACAAGATCAACATTCACCTGCACATACCAGGGCGTTCCCGATGGCTGGCTGTAGACGCTCCACACACCGCTGGTCCACGCATTGCCTGGAGTATTCTCAATCACAGTAAACTGCGAACAGAACATGTTGAACTTGACCGTCTTGGCGTCGTCTCCAAGGTCAACGATTGAAGGCAGGTTCTTGGGCAGAACACCGGGCGGCAGGCCCATCTGGATTTGAACGCCCACCATGAATCTGGCGGCAGTCACTTTGGTAATTCTGGCATCACTGTAGTCTGTACCCGCAGGGATGTCAAACGGATTGACGTTGTCCGTGAGTTTGAGCACCTCCTCCAGAGTGACCATGTTCGTGGGGTTGCCGGTGTCGTCGGCCAGGAAGCAAAGGTATTGGACGGGCTGCTGGCTCTCGCTCAAGAAAAGAAGAAGGTCCGAGTTGATGCTCGCCTGAGTGGTGGAAACCACAAAGTCATACCCATATTTGGGACTGGACAGGAAGGAGGAGTCGGCATCCATGGTGAATCGTTGCTTGTTCAAAGAATTGAAACTGATAGTCTGGTTGAGTACCACTGTCCGTTGATCAGCTTTCCCCTTTTATATTGCTTGCACAGGTACCTTTGCCATCTCTCCCAACTGGTCACGCGAAATGACGATGTCACCTTGTCTCACACGTTTCCATGGTTGGGGATGTGTAGCTGCATGCATCCTATACAGTTCCCCCATTGTTGACGACCTGAGAGTCCGGTTTGGTGAAGCAGCCCCTCGGACTTGCACCATCTGCATGGATTATTGGGGCTGCAGTATGAGGAAACAGACAATACCATGTCTGACTCGATCGCCACACATGCCTAAAGAGATGTCTCCTGGTAACCAGGAGTTGATTTCGGATTGCATGCAGATTGATGTTGCATTCCCCCGCTCTCAGGAACTTGCCACTCCAGGGTAGACCTGGATGGTACGTACTCGATGCAGCCAGGCGGATCGGGACATGATGTGTTTAGATGCAAGACATCACCCGTGAGAGGGATGGGGGGGGGGCTTTGGCCTTTGGACCTCCCACAATGCCACCGGAAGGATGGGCGCTAACGTGCTCAAGATGGAAAGGGTGCGGGGAGTCGCACCACTCAAGCGACAGTGGCAAACTGGAGATGATCTGCAGGAAAGTGGAGCCGATCTGGACAGTACTCAGGTCAGTACTAAGTATCTAGTAGTAGATAGTTAGTGAACAGCGGTCGAGGGCCCCTGCTGCAACTGCCCGCTAGGGGATGCCCGCGGGTGCCCGGTGCCCGGCTGGCCTGCCCGCCCCACAGCTCAGCTCCACGAACTGCAGCCGCTCGACGGGTAGATACTTCCCACAGATGGATTGAGAAGAGTACGCCATTCAGCTGTGCTAAAATTCGAAACAATCCTACTAGAAGGAGGAATTGGGTCCGTTTGTTTGTTGATATTGTACTTTTCATTGATATTGTACTTTTCAATATATAGTTTCATAGGTAAAAGTACTTATTGCTTCAGCTGTGGCAGTTTGTGGAGCTGAAGGGTGGGTCGGACAAACAGCATGGCACACCGCACAAGCATTGAGCAGTCAGCTAATCCTTACTAAAAGCCTGGGTTACACTGCTGCTGCAGCAGCAGCAGCAGCAGGGGCCATGCTCTGGTTATACCTGGAAGCAAACCAGTGACGTGGTTCAGTGAATAGTTGCCTCCCGGAGGGAGGTGCTACCGCCACCCCCTCCTCTATCCCAAACTCCACAGCATTGCAACTTGCAGCGGCTGTTGGACTTGGATTTAATTTCCAACAGTGGAGCTGAGCTATGTGTATGGATGAAATTGAACATGCATGACTAAGCCTGACCTGTGTGACCATACCTGTCAGAATATGCCGCCCGTTAGATGATCCCAACAGGACTATTCCTGTTTGATTACGACTACTCAACGATGCCTCAACTGGCATGCAACAATGGGGGGAGCTGGTATTGCTCCATCCTCACTGCTCGTGGTTATCGGTTGAGATGTCTCCCTGGAGAAGTCACATTTTCGTATGCAGAGACTCGTAGCCTTTAAACGTTAAGACAGAAAATACGAATTTCGGAAGCGCTCGCCTTCTATACAACTTGCGGGCGCAGAAAGCAATTCAACGCGTGAACTGGCCTTGTATATGGGAACCCCGTAGTCAATGCTAAGTAAACTGAGCCGTCGTCAACCCACACATGATCCCACTGAAACTTCTCCACAATCTCTCATGGCTTGTGATCTTCTCGAGCAAGAGATCTGGAGACAGCGGCGCTCTAAACCGATCCATCACCAAAGTCGTCGCGACATCCATCCCCACGGGATAGATCATTGATGTGACTTGTGAGATGGTATCTTCCCGCTGCGTGTCACTTGAAGTATCCCAGATTTCTTCCACGGGTAGCCCTTCGATGAAGTCCATCGCGATAACGCACTCGGGTCTGTAGTATCCATTCCCGCTCTCAATGTTGATGACGCGGTGCACTTTGGGTACGGGTATTGATGGGTTTTCGCGAACGAAGTCCAATAAAGCTGCCTCGCCGGGACGGGTATAAGCTCCGCTTTTCGGTATCAATGTGCGTGAGATCCGGATAACACGGGCTCCAGAGATGTCGTAGAGGACGGGAGCACTCCCGAGAAGGTCGAGTAGTGTTTCATCAGGGATGGTGGAGATGTCTGTGGAGGGGTCCAGGGGGGATGTCGTTTGCGGGTCTCTGCTGGTTGGCTGGAAATATGTTAGCTAGAAAATTTTGGATATTGAGATATCTGACAGAGACACGAGTCTAACATCGTAGAGTGGAGTGTTAATGCTCAATCCATCGGTTTTCAGGGGTATACCCTAAGGAAGGTGTCGTGATGGCATGAGGTCCCAAGGAAATGGAAAACTTTCTACGGGGCTGATGGATGGGCCGATCCAGAACACCCCACGAATCGCCCCTCGGCAACCCCACCACCATCCCCCCATATCTCACGTCAGATATTCACTATCCTCTGATGTTCCTGGCACATCATTTCCTTGGTACTGAATGTTCTTTTTGGTTGAAACATCTCGAATACTGGGTGACAACTTATTCCACGGCCCCTGATTATCATACCATTGAATAACTGTGACCCTGTCTCAACATGCTTTCAACCCAAGGTGAAGCGTATGCGAAAGCCAGACTGTCCAACGGCTATCTCGGGCTTCCAAAGGCCATATTTGACCGCCACACAAGACACGGCGTTGTTTCTTTCGGGAATGCCGAAAATGTCCGTGACACCGCCAGTGCTCATCCCGAGTCACCCCTCTATACACCTGGATATACTAACCCATCAGACGAAATCAGTTCCTCATGCGAGATGAAATGCTGGAATACATCCGCTCAAAGGTGACCATCAAACCATTCAATCCCTGTCTAGACACAATCACTGACCAGGAACCCAGGCAATCCAGAATCTCGACCAAAATACCCTCACCTACCACGAGGGCCCCTTCGGCCCCAACCGACTACGAACAGCCATGTCCCGCCATCTCAAGACCTACTTCCACCCAGCCACCCCAATCGACTCGAGCCACATCGTTTTCGCCAACGGCGTAACCAGCCTAAACGCCATGTGCGCCATCAGCCTGACTAACCCAGGAGAGGGCATCCTCCTCGGACAGCCGATATACGGATCCTTCGCCGGCGACCTGCGCACCCCGTCAGGCTGCGAACTCATCTACACTCCATTCCACGGTGACGACCAGTTCAGTCCCACCGCGGTTTCCCGATACGAGGAGGCATTGATACACGCACAGGAAACAGGAGTTGCGGTGAAGGCCCTCCTAATATGCAATCCACACAATCCGCTTGGTCGTTGCTACCCCCCGGAAAACTCTGGAAGCGCTCATGCGCTTTTGTCAGAAATACCGTCTCCATCTGATCAGCGACGAGGTGTATGCGTTGTCTGTGTATGGGGATGGAGGGCACCAGAAGCACTTTAGTTCGGCTCTTTCGATCGATCTGGACCAGATCGGGGTGGATCCGGATTTGGTACACGTGTTATATGGTATGTCTAAGGACTTTGCTATGGCGGGACTGCGATTGGGGTGTTTGGTTAGCCGGAGTCAGGGCTTGCTAGGGGCTGCTTTGTCGATGAGGTGGGTCGGTTTGAAGTTTCTAAGCCTGGACTTGGCCCTGAATGTGGTGCACTTTATTATTCTGACTCGGGATTTGATGTAGTCGGTTCCACTGGCCCTCAAATGTATCCTGCAGCATTGCCGCTTCTTTCCTCGAAGACCAGGTTTTTCTCCACTCATTCTTACAGAAAAGTCAACACGCTCTCAAATCGCAACATCGACTGGCTACTGCGGCGTTGGAAGAGGCGGGATCCCTTATGCGAAGGGCTGGCATGTATCTCCAATCCAGATAAAAGCCGCGCACGACTAACGAGCCTCCCAGCATAGCAGGATTCTTCCTCTGGGTCGACCTGTCCAAATGCCTCGATCCTGCAATCGTGAGAGATCAAGGAGGCTGGGCCGCGGAGCTGGACCTTTCCCGCAGATTGGGCGAGGTCGGTGTGGACATGTCTTCCGGGTATGCCTACCACAATGAGGTCCCCGGGTGGTATCGGGTCATCTTCACGGTGGATGCGAAGACCCTGGAGGAAGGGTTATCACGGTATGTCTGGACTTTCCATATCAACCAGGCGTATGCACTGATGGGAATAGGATTATCAACTTTTACCACGCGAGCAATTGATTCTTTACAGCTTTCTTTTTCGGTGGAAGAGACTACACGATAAGAAATAGCTCCGTTGATCTGACACTCGGGCATTGGCAAGGAAAGTCCAACAAAATCTATACCCATTCCTCAGACCTACCCTCGCTCCACCTTCCCTGGGTTCATGATGTCATCCCCGGCACAGAGTCATATGACTAAAGGGTCGGTAACTCAGGGGTAGAGTGTGGGACTGCAGATCTTATGGTCACGCGTTCAAATCGCGTTCGGCCCTTTATCATTTTTGTCTTTTTGTTTCCTTATCATCCACAGGCTCCACCAGGGCCCCGTTGTAAAAGCAAAACAAAACAAAAATGTTGTGTGTTGTGATTGCGGGACTAAGCGGTGGACCCGTTCCTTAAAACAAGGTTTTTAGGTATATGCGGGTTGTATACTGTGTGGTCTGTACTGATGTTAAAAACCTATTTAGCTTTGGGTATTATTATATGAAAGGTAGTAAAGCGTGGCATTTTGTTAAAACAAATCATCAGTACACTGAGACTTCCACTCACTGGATATTTCTGTGGGAGACGGAAGCCCTTCCTATCGAACAAATATTAGGGCACGCCGGGGGCCGTTCCACCATCCTGCTATCCACCACCAAAAAAGTGGTGAGCAAAAATTGAAATATCAGATAGCATGTCCTGGTTTCGATCCAGGGACCTCCGGGTTATGAGCCCGGCGCTCTTCCCCTGAGCTAACATGCTTTTTGGGTGAAAGGCCTTTCTGTTTGTTGTATAATGGAAGGAGACGAAGCAGGCCTCGTTCTTGAGTAAGTATTCTTGCTGCCCTGGCATGGATTCTGGGGCTGTGCATTGGGCCACTGTCTTTTTCAGTATAAAATAGACAATAGACTGAAATTTTGGAAATGCCATAATTTGCAAGTAACTAGTTGGTATAGTGAAGTAGAAAAGAAGAATTTTGATCTAGAATCATCAAGGTCACAAGTCCCGAGCTGGGCAGGTCTGCCTCACTCTTTAATACGGTGGATCAATGACGGGGGCAGTAACACGGGAATATGCCTCGGTGGGACGAATAGTATGAAGGTAGGGGGAAGAGATTGAAAAGATGGAAGAAGTGGAGGTGAATGCCATGCAGATAGTCAGTCACTGGGATTGCGACGAAGGAAGGTACGGAGACAAGTCTGCCCGGATCAGTTACGCATCGTTGCAAAAATAAATGGCTACACATGGTTACTAAAGCAGTGTACAGGTCGTACGTTCTTCAATTCCTTCTCTATCAAGTCCAGTTGCTAGGGGTGTTGTAGCCCATCTTCCGTGATGCATGAAGTTATCGATTAGTGGAAACTGTTACAATTGGAAGAGTCTTGTCGATTACTGCTTCTTGCCTGCTTCCGGGAATATATGTTCCGAGTCTCTGGAAGCATCAGCAAATCGGAGAATTCTTTCTGTTCGCTTGTTTAAAGAAAGGATGATACCGCCACACCTCCCTATGACCTCTCGCACCCCAATATTGACCATTTGAAACCAAAAAAAACCACCCCCTGGTCATTGATCGTCACCGACTGCACATAATCAATCCATTTATACCTCTGTTTCTGACCCATATCCTTGAGTAAACCAGCACATACGACCATAGGGTGTGGAGAACAGGGCTTCCCGTCCGCTCAGCCGTACTTAAGCTACACGCCGGGAGGTTAGTAGTTGGGTGGGTGACCACCAGCGAATCCCTCCTGTTTGTATGTTTTTGCCCTTTTTTTCTTGATGAAAAACATCTTTTATTGGAGGGGGGAGGAGGATATTGTGGCCCGGATACGGTGAAAACCGACATCCGCTAGGTGTATAAGTTAAGAATGGTGTGGCAGTGTTTGGTTCAGGTCTGGGAACCGTCAATTGACTCGATACCATGAATACACAACTCGGAGAAACAAACTGTCAGTCGCTTCTCTAGACTCCTCTGTCGACTTGATGATCGTGAATAGCTTCAGTCGCTCGAGATATCGGGTCATGTGATCGCCGCTGGTTCCGCGCGGCAGCCTTCCCGACGCTGTGAAACAATTCCCGCCCTCCAATGGTAGCAATCGCCCATGAGTCTGCCGAATCATCTGCTCTGCGCCGGCGAAAGACGTAGTTGAGTGGGAGAGTGAAGTAGAGGAGGTTTGCGTGGGGAGAAATAAAGGCCTCTTCCGCTACCTCACCCGAACCGCCTAAAGGGGAACATATAGGTGAAGGCATAACGGCAGAGCCCCTTTCAATTTCCATTTCCATCCTTGAACCTCTCCGGAAGATATATACTACCGTTTGGTGACACTATCTGTATACATCATTTCTCAAATTGACTTGTGGCCCAAAAAAACAAGACCTCTCCCCCCTCTATTTCTACATTCATCTTTCAACCTCCCCCACAACGAGTCCAATTTTGCTTGGAATCTTTAGTGGTCTACATCTGGTTTTTTTTTTTTTTCTCTTTTGCTTCTTGGTAGAGTTATGAGGGTGACAGGATTAGCTATCCCATGAAATCTTTTATCAAATGCCTGGATAGACCCTTGATGTGAGCTCGAGCCTCAACAATCGTCTTGGTGGCGCAATTGGTTAGCGCGTACGACTGTTAATTGTGAGGTTGAGAGTTCGATCCTCTCCTAGGACGTTGATTTTTTGCCCTCTCTTCCTCTGATCCTCTTCTCACTCCGCTACTCCGCCCCGCCCCGCCCCGCCCTGCTAATCCACCTCTTCCTTCGCGAGCCCCGCCAGGGCCTTGCACCTGCCCCGCCCCCTACGAGGATATCACTACATCTAGGCCCGATTGCCGTAAACATCCTATATAAATGTTGAATTGTGCAGACAACCGGCCTACTCGGCCGCTTTTTGCTTGAAACTGTCATCGTGGCTTTCATTTTGTTATCGATCTGTATATATAAGCCCGCGCTTGGCACGTCTCTATACCCCTTTGGGGGGGGCGGGGGGGGGGGAGAGGTCCTCGAGACTCGGTGATGCTGGCATTTTGCTAGATTTTAAGTAATACTACTACTGCTGAAATTGACATAAAGAATCAATAGTCAAAATCTTATATATACCAATTTAAGAAATTCTAATATGATGATTGATTGCTAAATTATTATTATTATGTATATATATATATATATATATATATATTGTAGTATAGCAAGGTAGACATCCCAATTCCAAAGTAGGCCTATACCGCTGGTAATAGGATTATACAGACTTGCGACAAAGAACTATAAGTGTGGAGCCAAAAGCATACAATACCGGAAATGCGAGAGAGATATTGCTATTCATGAGTACAAACCACAGCAATGCCTATGGAGTATCAAAGCCTCGGACTGATTGATCACTCGAAATAGTGTTCTTGTTGGAGTTGTACCCGCATGATGATCTTTTCTCTGCCGCCGAGAAGCGACACTGCTGACCCTTTCCACATATGTGTGTTACTGATTTCCAATAAATCAATGGTCGTCTAGAACAGGAGGGAGAGATGTGTCTGTATCATCCTTGTAGGGCCAGTTCCGCCAGCATATATCTCGCTCATCCTGTTCACTTTGCTGTAACATCTCCATCCTGAACTGGAGGTTTCTGTTATATGCCCATTCAAAATTTTCTGGCTCGGTGCTTCCTTCCAGATCTATTCCCAAGTGGGCTCTGATGCTAGACAGGAGCTGCTCAGAATCATTCCACTCCTTCGACTCCTCCATAGCAGTCCGTCGTTCTTGGTCTGTAAAGGACACTGGGCAAGGAGAATGTGAGATGGCACTCCAGACCTCCGGACTTGTGATTCCAACAAGAGCAGCGCGAAGGTTAATAAGATCTCCGTCCCAAGGATATCCAGTTTGCTGATACAGATACCGCCGCATGCCGAGGTGGGGAGTCTTAAGGGCGTTCATGTGGCCTTCGTTGTAAAGACCTGTGCTTGCGGTGTAGTAAAGATTCGCCTCCTCCAAGCGAAACTTGGCTTTAGCTTGTAGCTGGTCTTCTGCATTCATTCCGTGGAAGTTCTCGGGCAAAGAAGGAAGCTGGAGACTTTGAGTCTGCGACGAGTCGTGCTCACAGAACGCGGGATAGCCGGCTTGCATAAACAAAGGGAATACGATGGTATCTTGCCAGTCTATAATACCGAGGATCTGGCTTGAATCAGGTTCCAGCAGGATGTTGCTGAGACTCAGGTCCGGATGTCGCAGGATGGGAGAAGCAAGATGGGAACTCGACGGAACCAACAAAGGGGCGATTTCGATGAACTTTGAGAGCAGCGACGTATGTTCTGATGGATCAATATCATGAGTAGTTGGAAGAAGGAACGTTCGTCGAGGTTGAGGTTTCGCATGGTGCAGAGTGCAAGCGATCTCTCGCCGAGCTGCGGACATCAGGCAGTCCTCAGGCGAGTCCCCTTTACCAGTGATTAGTGTCACCACCTGTATGCTATGCTTGTTGTGTGAAACTCACAGGGACCACGATCTATCCTGGTATTGCTTCGATCCCCATGCCAGAATTGCCGCGCAGCAATAGGGCCGATACAAAAGTCCTCCACCGCAAGTGGGATCTGCTTTTCCCCTTCAATGTCACCCGTGCGATACAGGCTTCCGTACCCTGGAAATGAGTAGGTGAAAACCTTCTCTTCCATCTGCGCGATTTGCTTCATGACATTCTTTACCTCGTCGGATGTGAGGGACGACCATCGTGATGCGAGACTCACGCCCTTCACCCGCTCCATTATGATGTATTCTGCGCCGACCGGATTGTTTGAACATGCGGAATAAGCCAATACCTTGGGTACCGGAACCTGGAGGATGAGTCGTAGAAAATCCATAGTGGCAACTTCGCTGGCAGTGGTGTAGCGAGGAGGACCAGCAATGGGAGTGGGGATTCGCGCAATGACCTCGCGACCATTCTTTGCCCGTAGGAGGAAGACCTTGTTGAAGCCTCCTTCAGCAAGCTTGATCATGTGGGGGCAATCATCTTCCCCAATAGCTTGACCAGCAACGCGTTGGAGTTCTGTCGGATTGAACTTAACATATCTCTCCGCCAGCCGGTCGCTCTCGTTAATTCTGGCAGAACATTAGCAGGGGAGACATATACAAGTCACCGGGTTCACTGACATCCAACGTCGCGACGTATGTTTAAAGAATTCATTGCCGAGGGCCGCAGCACTGGAGGAGTAGGGCTTGATGGTTGAATGTCGCAGACTGAGAGACTTGCTACCAGCAACAAAGAAACCCTGGAGGACCTTGAGCATTTTTTTCACTAGAAGATCAAGTGAGGACATCGATAACTTGCAAGGCGGGTTCGCATGTGAGCCATCAGGAGGACCCAACTCGCCAGCAGAAGGGGTTGATAGAGGTGGATGGTGGATGGTGGATGGTGGATGTTCAAGCGACGACGACATACAAAAACATCGGGCGCGGTCGGTTGCCCAGGTGGCCCGTGCCGCGTGACTGCGGGTGACCTCATTTGACATTCATCATCATTGACATTCATGTTGGAAACAAAGCCACTCGACCATTCGAGGCGATTCTTTACAGATCCTCCGCAGCCGCTTTCATGCTCGCGTCTGGTGGAAGTTCGACTTCCTGGATCACTCCGTGTGGCCCATTCTTCTTGACCCACTCCTGAATCGACCTTGTATCCGATACTTCCCGAGTGTGGTCGCCCAGATCGAAATGAAATCCCGCTGAGAGGTCGGGAATGTGGTCTTGCCGGCGCCAACGGTAGGCCTGGTGAATTTCTGGCGAACAACATCCACTTTTTTTCGGGTGGCCTCGATGGCTTTTTTCCCCGACCTCTTTAATCAAAGTAAGTTTGCCGCTGGTTTACCCTGATCGGCACGTGGTGATGTATGTGACATGGGTCTGCCTTGGTTGATTGGACATGAGTACTAACCCTATTGATAGATGAAGTCGGAACAGACAAACACGGGAGTAAGCAGTAAGCATCGCATAATGAACTAGTCAGGTGGCAGTTATTTCGATTACTCAAAAGTAAGCTTAATCAGCTTACCCTTATAATTAACCTCACGAGACCTCGATAATCAATAAGCAGTCCAACATGCTTTTTCAAGCAACAGAAATATTGACCACATAAATACCGTCCCTTCCCTCCCAAATTTCATTCACCATCAACCAGAACCCAAATCCATCCAAGCTTGAACCACAAACCCAACCCCCCCCCAACACTACCCATCTCCCCACCATGCCCCCAAGTCCCAGTCCAACTCCCACAATCGTCCTCATAACCGGCACCAACCGGGGCATCGGCAACGGGATTCTTCAGCTCTACCTACAGAAACCCAAGCACACCATCATCGCGGCAGTGCGGGACCCCAACGACCCGACATCGCAAGCCCTCGTCGACCTCCCCAGAGCCTCAGACACCAGGTTACTGACGATCAAAATCGACGCGACATCCCCCACCGACGCCGGCGCCGCAGTCGACGAGCTATGCACCAAGGGAATCCACCACGTCGACATCGTGATCGCCAACGCGGGGATCGCTCTGCTCTGGCCCACGCTGGCCGATGTGAAAGTCGAGGATATCCAGCGCCACGTCGAGGTCAATGTGTATGGGTTCGTTCGGCTGTATCAGGCGTTTAGACCGCTTCTTGAGCAGGCAGGGGATCCGAAGTGGGTTACTATTGGGTCCGGGGCGGGTTTTTTGACGGTGAATATCCCCGGAGTTGGGTGATGGGGATGGATAGGTGGTTTATTTAACTGACTGGATTTTATTTGTGGTATAGTGAGTCGACCTTACCTAGCCTATTATTCATCGGTGCCAACACAGCAACAACTTGTTGTAGATTGATCTTAACCCTACCCGGACCCAGGAACTTCATCCCCATGCGAAACTCCGCGTACGCACCTACCAAGCTCGTCCAACACTGGTACACCAAGGCCATGTCCTCCGAGGACCCTTGGTTGACTGCATTCCCCGTGGACCCTGGGTGAGATATTCCACTCGCCATGCGATACGAGATACTGTGAACCTGATAAAGAATGAACAGCTGGGTATCGACGGCCATCGGGGACCGCGGCGCCGAGTCGTTCAACACCGCAAAGTCCCCCCTTACTGTGGAGGTCAGTGCGGCTGGTCTGGTTCGGCTGATTGATGCGTCTACGCGCGAAACGCACAGTGGGAGGTTGTTTCGGTATGATGGGGGGGAGGAGCCGTGGTGATGGTGATATTTCTTCCGAAGCGCTGTGGGTAGACGAGACGGGACGAGACGGGGCCTCTCTTTGTCATTTCGTTTGTGCGAGACGTATTTCGCAGATATATCGATATAATAACAAATCCACACCTCGATAACACATCGATGTCTCCCTCCCACCCAAGCCCCCGTTCCGGTGCCGGGGAGCGGGACAGCCGGGGAGGATCATCGCCACTACTACCGCAGGGTCAGACCCAAGCCCTAACTTCGAAGGATGCGATGTTCGACAATGACCTGATGGACCAACACATCCACATCCGACACAAACACCAGAGAACCCCCCCAACTAGCTATCATGCTGAACTTTTAATTTCATGTTCTTGATATAAGTGCCAGTCTAGTATATTGAATGCTGAATGTATAGAACCCGGGTAACAACCCAAAGACCCACCAAACAGAACAAGATATAGATAGAATAGATAGAACTTTGATATGTTCACCAAAATCAAACTTAATACCCAAACTCCAAAACCACCCATCCAAAACATCATATGTACCAAAATATACACCCCCTTATAGTCCGGCAAGCTCCCTCCTCATTCGGCATCCTCTACTCCCCCCCCCTCCCAGGCTTAACATCATACTCGACATCCGACCTCACAATATACTTGGCGCCCTTCCTCACGCCGGTCCCCTCATGCAGAAGCGCACCATTGGCCTCTCCATGCGGAAAGATGGCGACGGAGCCCATGACCGGCCGGACGGGATACGCATTCAAGACGCCCTCCCGAGCGGCAGGCATAAAGAAGGTGGTCTCGCCGCCCTCGAACTCATCGTTCAGATACAACAAGAACGTGTACATCGAGGACTGCCTGTTCTCCTCGGGCGACGCATCATAGACGTAGGTATCGTCGGGGAGGATTCCCGAGGGGGGCCAGGCGCCGTCGATGTGGCATCGGTATTCGGCGCCGGGGACGTAGCGGTAGACGCGGAAGCGGCGGTTGATGCCGCGGGCCAGACGGCCGTTGATGGATTGGGGCACGTAGGGGCGGATGCGCGACCAGAGGATGTCGTGGAAGGCGGTGTCGATGATCCAGTAGAAGTTGTGGGCGAGGATGCTCATGTCGGAGGTGTCGGGGCGGAGGGGGATGTCGGGGGTGAAGGTGACGGATTCGCCGGCCGCGATGATGGACTGGCATTCGGCGGGGGTGAGGATGTTGGTTGCGAGGGCGAGGCCGGGGACGGCGGGGTGCGGGTGGTGGGTGCTTGGTTGGGGGCCGGGGAGAGGGGGATGGCGTTGGGGAGGGTGGTGTAGAGGATGGCGGGGTGGTGGTTGGGGGTTTGCGGAGGGGCCGGGGGTGGTTTCGATGATGCGGAGGGCGGAGGGGGAGGAGGGCGCGTGGCTGAGGATGGATTTGTCCAGGACGGAGGCGTAGACGGGGAGAGACGGGGTCGGGGGGCGGAGGTCCCAGATGGATTGGAAGGCGATGGGGGAGGGGAACGGGGCCGGGAGAGCGCCGGGGCTGCTGTCGATGGGGGTGCTGACGCGCAGGACGGCGTCGAGCACCCCCAGCAGTTCGAGGGCTTCGGGGGTGCGCGCCGGGGGGACGGCTTGGGCTTCGGGCTGCGTGGAGAGCCCGCTGACCACGTCCAGGTCGCGCACCCACCGGCATAGGGCCCCGATCTTGGGCTGTTCCCCCCGGAGGCGCATTTCGGCCAGCAGGATCTTCGCGTCCAGGTATTGTTTATCGGCCAGGGCTCCGGTGATGCGTGCGGTGAGGTTGGCTCCCTCTGGGATGGTGGTGGTTAGTGGGTGGGATTTGAGAGAAAGGAAGGAGAGGGGGGGGATATTAAGGGCTGCCTACCGGCATTGTTGACGCCTGTGGTGCAGGCCTGGCGGAACTCATGTACCGCAACACGGAGATCCTTGCATGCCTTCGACTTGATCAGGCTGGGGTACTGGGCGAGGGTGTTGAGGGTCTCGATGGCGATGTCGAGCTCGTCGTCGGGGATGATGGTGGCGAGGTTTTTCGGCTCGAGGGCGGCATCGGGCGGCGGGGTCAGGATGGTGGCAGAGGCAGCCTTGGGGTGTTTCTGAGGCAGGTCGGCCTGGGCGTTGCGCTTGCGCTTGGCGGACTTGGACTTGGCCATGGTGGGAGACTGGCAATGGCAGGGGATGGAGAAGAGATGGAGAAGAGATGGAGATCTGGAGATTGTGGGGGGGATTGAGAACCTCGCTTTTTGCCCGGCGGTCAGGGCTGGCTGTCTTATGTAACGCATCATGCCATGCTGATCAGTATATCCTTATCCAATATCCTAATGAATATGTGCCAATGATATCATCTCAATCATGATTATAGAATGATTCTTGACAGAAATACCCAGAAGTAGAAAAGTGTCCAATGCAGTCATGGGAGTGTTTGGATAGGTGTGACAAGCTGCAACCCGACAAGAACATATTCCCGCCAATCGACTCCATCCATGGCACTGGCAACGAAAAAAAGGAAAGAAAAAGAAAAAAAGGAAACCAAGAATAGACAAAGAGAAGATCTCCAGGAACAACTCTCACGCAGTACCATCCTGGAAAAAAAAAAAAAAAAAAAGATCTGTCCGACCTGAGATACCAAAAATAGTACGGAGGATATACTCCATATTCCACGTCCACAGCATCTCGACAGCAAGCACACCCACAAGCAAACAAAATTGACGTAAACACCACATCACAAAAACAAACAACCCCAATTGACTTTCCACAAAGCCACCAACATATCCAGCAGTCACAGTCATCCTGAAGATTGGCATCGAGCAAAGAAGAGGAGGGCGGACAAAAAAAACAAAAAGAAACGTCAGCGACAGGACTCGAACCTGTGCGGGCGAACCCAATAGATTTCTAGTCTATCGCCTTAACCACTCGGCCACACTGACTGGTTCATGTCTACGGTTCCTACTAAGGGTTACTTGGCCAGTCAAAACCAATAGTAGCACCAAGACTAGCCACTAGTCTGCACCACTTGTTCTCTACTCAACCGAGCCTACACCAGCTACTACCAGGAAGAATATATCGATCAGCAACAAATTGATAGGATGTCCTGGTCCTCGATCCTTGGATCGATCGATTGGATTCCATCTCCCTTCCGTACGATAGCTATCGACATCAACATCAACATCACCATCCATATCGGACAACACACCAGGCCCAACCAGAACCAGACCAGCCAGACGCCGCGCTCTTAAAGAAACACAACAGTAACAACTAACGTCGTAAGCCCGTCCCGGGCAATCGCAGTCCCAGCCATCCATCCCATCCATTCGTCACCGTACCGTGCCGTGCCGTGCCGGTCAGCAGCAAGGGCGCCAGAAAGTCAATTCAATCACACCACATCACATCAGAAACACAAACAGAATCAGAGAGAAAAAGGAAGGCTTGAGTCCTCCCCGTCGCGAGCCAATTTTCCAACCAAGACCCGTGTCCGAAAAGGAATTGCCGAAAAAAAAAAAAAAAAAACAACTAGAAAAGAAAAGAAAAACGAAAAAAAAAAGAAAACGAAAGAAAGGTAATCCCGCAGTCGCAATCAGAAAGTGTCGCGTGGTCTCGTCAGTCCGCCGAAGCGCGCATACATATTCATACAGGAGCAGTCGCACACAAAATAATAGTACAGACGAAGGATCGCTCAATCATCAGCAAGGAAGGGAAGGTGCGTGAACAAAGGGAAAAAAGAAGAGAGCAAGGCATGCATCAGCGGGCGAATTCGGTCCACACCGTGCTGAGCCACCCGGCGGGCACACCGACCTCGGACGGAACCATCGCGGGGAGCTGGTCGTACTCGCTCCCCTCCAGGAAGGCCAGCACGTCGTCCCCGCCGAGGCTGGTTGACCACAGCCCGTTGCTGTTGACGCTGTCGAGTCCATCGACCGTCACGGGCGGGGATGCTCCTGGGTGGCCAACGGAGCCGGGCGGAGGCAGCAGCGGCAGGGTGTGGGAGGTGGCCGCGTTGATCGGGGGCAGAGATTGGGAGTAGGGCGGCGGAGGCTGTTGGCGGTTGTTCAGCCACGAGTTCAGCGGCTGCAGGCGGTTTGTGGACTGGGGTCCGCTGTATTGCGAGGACGCCGGGGTGGTCGATGTCGGGGGGACGCCATATGGCCCGGGCGGCCCTAGAGAGGGAAGGTTGGGAGGAGAGGCGTTGTAGAGCCCCGGGTCGGGGTGGTGCTGCAGCGATGGCAAGGAATACGGAGACTGCGACTGCAAGGCGCGGTTGGGTGGCAGCGGCAGACTGGGCCGTCGCTCGCCATCCGGGCCTGGCAGCGGCATGCCCGGGCTGTTGATAGGCACCCACGACTCGCGTCGTCCGCCCGCGCCATCCAGCGGCTCGCCGGTGTCGCCGGTCTCGCTGCGAACGGCATGGCTGCCCGCGTCGCTGAGGTTCGTGGCCCGATCGCTTGTCGCCGCCAAGACGTCATCATCCATATGGGTGTCGGGCAGTTGGTCCTCCACGATGCCAAAGTCCAGGAAGAGCTTCTCAAGTAGCTTGAACTCCTCGGCACCACCGCCTTCGCGCACCGAACGTGTCCCGTTCATATACGTGTCGAGGGTGTCACTCGGGTCGGGCTTACGGGAATGGCGTCGGAAATCGCGTTTGACCTTGGAGAAGTAGCTGTGCAACCGGTTGAGTGTGCGGAACCATCCCCGGGCCATCCGCAGACGGGTCCGCATGTCACGCAGGATGTCCAGGGCTTTGCGGGCTTGTGCTTGGCCCTGGGCGTGGCGATCTATGGACGGGCGGGATGCCAAAGCACCATCTGGGTCCATGTGTGGGAAGTGGGCGGCGTAGATGCCGATGAAAGCGGCGTTGTAGACGGCGAAGCCCACGAGGGGGTTTTCGACTAGAACGCCGCGGTCCTGGCAGGTCACCGCGAGGTCAATCACCTGCCGCGCAGCGTTGAAGAGCTCCCGCGCGCTCTCCCGCCAGAAGCTCTCCATCCCCGGCTTCTCAACGGGGAACAGTGGCTCATCCAGAGGCCCGACGGGCTCTGCGCATCGCACCGGAAGAAAAGGGATGTACGAGCGGTGAAGGACAATCACAGATAGGAAGTAGACCACATGCATGACGGTGTACGGGGGAAGGGTGTTCTTGTACATGATGTGGGTATCGGTATTCCGGGGGGAGTACTGCAGGTTACGGGACAAGCCGTCCTGGAACTCGTTCAGCATCGACCGCAGTTTAGCGAAACGCGAGTCGGGGTGCCACGGCGGTAACTGCTCGGTCCTAGAGATCTGTTAGCGGTACGGCACGGCGACATCAACCTGACAGATGGCATACCTTCGACCTCCGGCACACGACCACTTGGCAATGCTTCCCCAGATCCGGATGACCCGGATGACCCGGCTGAGCACGGACTCTTCCGCGCCAACTTCCCACCGGTCGACTTCATCTTCACTGGAATCCTTCCGGCGCGAGACCGGCGACCAGGCCTTGGTGTCTGGAGCCCCATTGCTGGGCATCCGCTCGTCCCCTAGGGCGCCGAGACTCTGCCGGATGCTCGGGATCTGAACTCCCTGGGCCCCGAAGCTTTGTGGGCGACGCACCAGCGGCTCACTCAGGCGGGACGTGCGGACCCGTTCACCGAACGCAAAGGCATTGTCGCTGGGGAGCTGGATACCCAACTCCTTCACACGGATCATGCGGGGGCGGTATTTGCCGCTACTCAAGCAGCGATCCAGAATGAAGCATGCCCAGAAGGTGCGACGCTTGGTTTCCTGGGCAATGATATCATCGGAGGTCTGTTCTCGGGGTTCCACCTGGCGTCGGGACATGCCGAAGGGATCGGCCTCGGTCCTGAGGACGGGCGACCGGGGATCCCGGTACGCCATTTCGTTTTCCAGCTCGAAGGGCAGACCGATGGCTTGGGCCAGTCGCACCGCCATCCCGACGTATAACCACGCGCTTTTGCCCCGACACATGCCCCATTCGTGTAGCGCCAGCATCAACCACGCTTGTACCCGGGTAAGATCGGTGACGGCGAGCCCGGCGCCGTCGACGCCGGCCAGCCGGCTGCGCAACGCTGTCGCATAGAATTCGGAGGCCACGAGAGGGTTGGAGGGGTTGCCTGGAGAGGACGGAGAGTGGTGGGTGACCAGTTGGGGGTGGAATCGAGCGGTGAGGGCGAGGACGCCGAGCGGTATCAGCGGATTGGGGTCGGGTTTCCCTGCTGGTGGACTTTGCGCGGGCTCGCGAGAGGATTCGGGGATCGTGGACGGGTGGGAGGGATTCGAGGCGAGCTGGCGAGTCTGGCCGATGAAGGAGGCGGGATGGAGGAAGGGGAGGAGGGTGGCATAGTGCGACTGGAAGAGGTCGAAGACGGCATCCCAGACCTTGGTGGTCAAGACCGAGGCATCGAGGGCGTCGAGGGCGGCTCGCGAGCCATCCTTGGCGGTCGACGAGGACAGGCCGACCGTCTTCCGGGAGCGCTGTCGCTTGGGGCTGTCCCAGTCATTGTTGCGGTCGTCGCCCTCGGCCAGAGCGGCGAGGTCTCGTTTGGCGGCACCGCCGCCCACGCCGATAGCGGGCGCGGGATAGACGCATTCTCGTCCGGAGGATTCACACGCGCGACAGGTGGTGTCGATGCCGGCGTTGACGCACTTGATCTTGCTTCGACGGCAGCGAGCGCAGGCGATACTGGATCGCATGGTGAGGGTAGGGGCGGGCGCGAGAGACGGGACACCCGTCTCTCCGGCGAGGAGGGTAGAAAGGGATGATGCAGAGGGGGGGGGGGGGAAGGGGGAGGGGGGGATGACGGAAGGGGAGATGGAGAGGGAGGGGAGGGGAGGAGGAGGAAGAGGAAGAGGAAGAGGAAAGCAGAGTACGAGACAATGCCCGAGAGAGCGCAGCCCGTCGAGGGGGGGAGAGCCTGAGGTGGTTATGGGAGAGTGCGGTGGGCGGGTTGTCCTCAGGCTGCCAGCTCCCGCCGTATTTCTCCGGTGGTTTTCCCCGGGATTCCGAGCAGGACTCCAGACGGTCTGGTCTGGGTCGCAAGGGCGACAGACGGACACACAGCGATGCCCGGCCTCCCACGGCTGTCGTATTTCCCCGTCAGTCCAACCGGTTGTGGAGGGTGGAGGCAGGCTCCACCCACGGGAACTCACCACAGGGCACGAGAACTGACTGACCTTGACCTTGACCTGGACCTGGACCTGGAACTTGCCCTTGACGATGGGATGGAGATGACCTGGATTGTTTGGGGGCGATTCTTTGTTCCCGAGCAGAGCAGGCTCGCTCCCCTGCTGCACAGCGACAGCGCACCGGACAGGCTAAGTGCAAACGCACCGGGACGACGCAAGGAGAGGGCGCGCGCGGAAACAGACTCGCAGACCCGGGGTAGTCGGGACTAGGGACGGAGCAGGACGGGGTTGCACTAAGGGCGCAAACGGAGAGAGAGGGAAAAACAAAAGACCAGGTGGAGAGGGTGGGTGGGAGCCAGATTCGTCTTAAGGCCGACGGCGATGGCGACGGACGGGACGCGGGAAAAAAATGGCAGGCAGGGAAGCCGAATGGAAGGATGGGGAAGGGAAAAATTAATTAATTATTTAGTTTTGGAAGGGGGGGGGGGGGAACACTGGGGAGTGAGACCAGTCGGTAGCAGAAGGGAGAAGGGGAGGATTGGGATTGTGGAGAGGCCTGGCTGGATGAATGAATAAGGAGGAGAAGTGGAAAGCCAGAACGGAATACGCGGAGTGTGGGGGAGGCCGAGTAGCGTCAGCCCAGGGTCGGGGCACCGGTCCGGGAAGCCTGGGAGCCTGGGAGCCTGGGAGCCTGAGGAAGACAGGCTGGAGGGAGAAGGTGGAGGAGGAGGGACGGACTACGGAGTCGATACCGACGAAGGAACGAGGAGGAAGGAGAAGAAATAAAACGCGGGATCCCCTGGAGGAGAATGAAAACTGGTGACTGACTGACTGACTGACTGACTGACTGACTGACGCTGAGCCCGGCCGACAGCGAGGCCGCAACCCAAAGGGGGCAAGGCCCGTCCGCATTTGCGGAGGCCCGACTTCCAGGCAGTTAGCGGTGGTTAGCCCGGCTGGTCCGGTTAGTCCGCAGCGGGTTAGTGCCGCTGGGCAATGCAAGGACGCGACCGAGCGGCCGGACACTGGTGGAGCCAGATTCCGAGTGCCGACCTGGGGATTGGGAGATGGGGGTAGACATCGATTCTGCTGTATCCTCAAGTATCTATCATCCGGCATGTCCCCGTCTGAAGAACCACCCGTGAACCACTTAGGTCCACGCAGCGAACAAACAATAGCAAACTGCCAGGGAAAAGGGGGGAACGGGGAACGGGGAACGGAAAAGGGATGGAAGGCTGCAGAGGAGGAGGCGGAGGAGGAGGAGGAGGCAGCAGGCCAGCGTCGGGTAAATTACCTATACCACCGCGCTGCCGCCAATACTGGGGTTCCGTCCGGAGTGGCTGCCCTCGTCACGCTGACGAGGTCATGCTGCGTATTCATTCTTACGCGGGCTCGGCTGCCCAGCTGTTGGTGCGGAGGGCCCGACCGATCCCCTCGATCTATTACTGCCTCTCTCAGTCACACTCTCATGTTCACGTTCACATCCAAAGTCCACAATCTCCCCCCCTCCAAACCACCACCCGAGGGATCCCCCTCAGGTGTCCCGTCCCTCGGACAGATTGTCCTTGTACCAGGGGCGCCTGTGCTTGCCTGGTCCCTGTACCGACCGAGATGCCGGTTAGCAGCAGCCGTGTGTGGAACGTCACTTGACCGCCATCTGCCCATTCCATTACCTAACTTGACCTGACGGTCCTCTCTCTTTTTTTTTTTTTTTTTTTTTTTTTCTTTCCTTTCTTTTCCTTTTTCTGTCTGTTTGGTATTTGTTTGTTTGGCCCTCGGGTTACCAACACCTTCCCTTAGCTCGCCGATACGACCGTCCCCGGGCTGGCATGGCCAGTTGCTACCCTACCCTCCAGCCGGAGCACGCCTGTCGTCGCCAGGGACTTAATTAAATCACCGGCCCCTTTATACCTGTTTCCCCCTAGCCACCGAGCCAGGGTATGGAGTTCGCCCCGTAAACCGTTACAGAATCCGGGGATTGCATGACGCGAGGTCCCCCCAAAACGAGCATTCCCCCGACCGGATTCCTGGCCTTGCTCCCCCTCCCCTTCCCCCTCCCCCCCCAGGCCGTCATTCCACCACCCGATTGAGTATCTCGGAGGTCAGCTACAAAAAGCAGGCGGCGGTACCCCGGAAATTCCAAAGTCTAACGCGGACCCCAGTCCAGTCCAATCCCATCCCATGCCTCGTCCTCGTCAGACAAGCCAAACGGACGAGGGGAAGGAAGGGATGGCGTCGGCAAATGATTCTCGCCCCGAGCCACCACCACCACCACCACCACCACTGCTGCTGCTGTTACCACCACAACCGACCCCATGACGAACCTCGGGTATCGACACGCAGCTGAACGGGAAGGGAGGCTGACCGACCTGTCTGTTTTCGTGGACGTGAGCCGTGAGGAGCACCTTTCCTTCCCCCCCCCCCCCTCCCCCCCTGCATCGGATCTCCCCGCGGGGGGAGAAGCGAGATGAGATCACGATCATCCACCTGGACAGTGTGCCGGGCTGGTCTGGGCTGGGCTGGGCTGGCAGCGGGCAGACTGGCTCGGACGCCTCCGTGTCCAATTTGGGGCAGGATTGGCTTCGGGGCAGGGATATGCTTCCCGATCGACACGGGGCCGATGGGATGGATGTCTGGAGGGAGAACAGTCGGGGGGGGGGGGGGGGTTCGTCTTTCTCTTCCTTCCCTTTCCCTCCCTTATGATGCGTTTTGCGTGCAGTGTGTATTCTGTCTGTACAAGGACTCCGGACTCCGTACCAGGACGGCCACACCGTCGACTGTCCCCTCCAGTCCTTCCCGTGATGCAGACCAAGTAAGCCGACCGATCGGTGGCCGCCGGCAAGTCCCCGCGCGCATTTAACCGGACGACCCGTGGCCGCTGGTCGGGCCAACCGCGGGCCCTGATTGGTCTCCACCGCCACCCGAGGCCCCAGCGAACCGACCCCGCAATAATCCCCCTCCGGACATTCTTCCTGCCTGTCTCCCACGGCCGACTCGGGCATCCCCGGAGCCCTGGCCCTGCCCGATGTCATCAGTACTTTACTGCTGTCGTCAATCATCACACGGTTACTCCATCCAGTAAGTTCCCCCGCTGTCACTCCCCCTTCTGCTCTCTCTGGGGGAACTGGGAACTGGGAACTGGGAAAATGAAAATGAAAAATGAAAAATGAAAACTGGCACGGTCGGGGAGGATCGCGGGGTAAAGAAAGTCCAGCTACTGTGCATGTATGTATGTACGCCATGGTCGATCCTGTGTGAGGTGTCATCCAGCCATCCATCAGCTGGTCTCCCGTCGTACAGCCCTTCCCATCCCTTCCCTTCCCTTCCCCTACCATACATTCATTCGACATTCATATACCCTCCCCCCCCCCCATCCCACGGATTCCCGCCGAAAAAAAAAAAAAAAAAAAAACAATGTCATCCATGTGACCACCCGTTAGCTATGCCAACCGGGCAACCCACACGACCACGCGAAACCCCCGATCCACCCCGCCAAGCTCGCCCAACGTCCCCTTTTAGTAATAGTTGCAATCCTACAGGGTGGCTCACTGGCTCACTGGCTCACTGGCTCTGGCTCAGTCTCGGTCGGGACTGGTCTTTCATCACGGGAAGACAGACGGCTATTCGTCCCTGCCGCGCCACGTTGGGGTTTTTTTTGGGTTTGCTTCCCGTCTGAGGGACGAGGGTAGGTGAGTGAAGTGAGATGCCACGCGATGGGCCGGAGTTGGAGTTGGATCATAACACGACCACCTCCACCACCACCACCACACCCACACTGAGAGTGAGACTGAGAATAAGGGTCTGGGTGAGAACATCACGAACACCCATACTAAGAAGAGATGAAGAATCGTAATAACTGGAATAAAATATTATTCTTCGTAAAATAATCTTAGTGAAATCATAATAAATAATAATAAGAAGAAGAAGAGAACCCCCCAAACCAGCCTAGCCCCGACCGGAGTTGGAGAAGAGGGCAAATGAATGAATGGAATGGGCATAAGTCTTTTCCGGGGTTGGGTTGGACTGCCCCATGTTTTATTTAATGTTTATCCCGGGTCCTGCCCTGGGCTGGACTGGGCGTGGGCGAGCGGCTGTCGCAAAATTACCCGCCGGGACGGACGGGACTGGACTGGACTGGACTTTCGTCTGCTCTCGGCTTCTAACCTACCTGCCTACTTACTTTACTTACTGTGGACTGGGAAGTACATAGATACTGTCGTTAGCCTGCGGTGCTGCTTGTGCTGGGCTTGTTTCCGGCTGGCTGAGGCCGTTCGCTAATATTTTCTTTCTTGTCTGTCTGTCTGTCTGTCTGTCTGTCTGTCTGTCTGTCTGTCTGTCTGTCTTGTCTGTCTTGTCTGTCTTGTCTGTCTTGTCTGTCTACTTATGCAAACCTATAAAGAATGAAGCTACTATTCATATTTTCAAAATCGGGTCGGTTCGATTTCGATTTAACTTTGCTATTAGTTTTTGTTTGATTTGATCTGGTTGGATTGGTCCAGCTGGTCTGGTCCGATTCGATCTCCCCAGACTGACTCCTAGTTCCCCGTCCTGTCTCGTCTCGTCTTATCGTCTCCCTCTGACTTACTTACTCCATCCTCTTAATAAATTAGTATTTTATCCATATTGTGGCTTGTCTGGAGTTTGGGGTCAGCGCACGTGGACTAATCGCTTCCGGGATGGTGGACTTGCTCCTTCCCTCCTTCCCTCCTTTCCTTTCCATCTGTCTTGCCACATGCCACATGCCACATGCTAGATACTTGCTGGGTAGATACGTATGCTTTTTATTAGTCCACCCAGCTATCTATCTATCTTTATACCTACAAGAATAGATAGAGAGATAGAGAGATAGAGATAGACAGGCCTCGACCATCCATCCATCCATCCATCCATCCATCCATCCACGCACGGGAACTAGATACCAACCAGATAAACTGTCCACAATCCCGGAAGTAAATCTTTCCGGAAGGATTCGTTGTCGTTGGTCAGCACGTGGAGTTGTCTCCGGCTCCGGCTCCCTCTGTGACTGTGCATGCTAGGGCCGAGGTTAGATGGATGGGAGATGGATCTGGAAGAGGTACTTATGTCCGTGTCCGGGGCCGGGGCCGGGGCCGGGACTCGTTCGGTTGATGGGACTGGGGGGACGGGGGCTGGTGATGAGGCTCGGGGTATTTCGTTCCGAGGGCGATGGGGGCGGTTTTGGGATGGGATGGGATGGGATGGGATGGGGTGGGTGGTTGGTTGAGGGGGCATAGTTCAGTTCACATCTCAGCCCAGCCCAGCTTAGCCCAGCCCAGCTCAGCTCATTAAGCTCTGACCTTCCTGGGAGTTTAGGATAGGAGTCGATAGATTATACTGACGAGAGATGGGCTTGTCTATCCATCTGTCTACCTGCCTACCTACCTACCTACCTGCCTACCCATCTGGCTACGGCACCGGCCACGGAGACAGTAGGCAGACATGATAGCCGACCATCCGGGATGTCCCTGTGCCCGAACCCTCACTCCTTTCTGAGTCTGGGTCTGGGTCTGGGCCTGGGTCGCTCTCAGCGAGCACGATGGCATTCTGCGTGTGTCGATGCCATGTCTGTTGTTTCCTGGCTCTCTTTGGTTTGAAGACGAGCTGTTCTTCTTCTTCTTTTTCAACAAAGGTCTGGTTTCTTTGTATTCGCTCATCTAAGCCGGGTATACCCCATTCCATAGTCGAGAGAAACTCGCTTCTTAACCAGTGGCTTTCTTTTTTGGCAGAACGACATAGCAGCTTGTATTCCAGCGGGATGCAGGTTGGTAATATTGTGGTGAATATGCCAAGTGGAATGAATATATTTAACTTGAGGAGATGTTTCATTTTTGATAAGTGTCCGTGTTATGTATGATGGGGGCGCTCGATTTGCGTCAGAATAACCGGGTTTTTGCATCCATCATGATTTAATAATGGCACACCATCATCACGCATAACATCAATATATATATATATATATATATCGTGCCATCAACCTCCTATACTATAATTCACTTCACCAGCGAAACCATTACTTCTCCTTACCGCATCCAGATCCAAACCCCCAGCAGTAATGTAAACCTCCACCCATAATTAATAATGAACTGGATCACAAATTGCAACCTCATAATTATCCACGGCGAGAAAAAGCATAATCTCATCCTCACCGACGCCGTGCTCGTCCTGTCTAGAACATTACATACATACATACATACAAACATACATACCGGGACGCTGCAGATCGGGAACGCCAGGAGCGGTAAGCCGCCCGCTGTGAGCCGGCGCCGGACAGCAACTGAATGACCGACTGACCGACTGACCGAGCCGGCGGGATCTAGAAATAAATTTATCTTTGGCGAAGTGACTGATGGGGGGTTCATTCATGAGGTCGAGGATATGGAGTTGATTGGATGGGGCGCGTGTCTTTGTAGTTTGTGCTATGGAGTCGTGTTTCCACGGGGCTGGATGGTTTTTTGGGGAGGGGTGGAAGGGGGTTGGTTGGAGCTGGAGCTGGAGCTGGAAAGGTTATGGTGAGGTTAGATAGTAGGGCTTACGGGTTGGTACTATAGGTAGTCTGGATGGGCATTTCGGGAGGATCTGGGAGCGGTTGAAGTGTTTGGCGCTATTATAAGGAATATGTGCAATTCAATATCAATTATAGGCGGTAACGTGCGGTCTTGACTCGTCCCAAGGAGAAATCAAATAATCCGAGGACATGGTGATGAGGACTACCACCACCCCATGCTCCCACTAACTACCACATTAGGCATCATACTGATACTCCCCCCACCACCTAATCATCAGTCCCCCCCCTCATAAACCCCCGCGCGATTCTCCCTCCCCCAGACCTTCTCCTCCTCACTCCCCGACCTCGGCGGCACCAACCCATTAATCTTCCACAGCCTCCTCTCCGTCTCATCAACATGATACTCAAAATCATACCCCTTGTTCAGCAGATGCGGATTCAGGATACGATCCAGCCGCGCCGTCGCACCCCGATACGCCGCGTCGGTGTCGGGCGCCCGGATCGCGATGTGCGTGATGACGACCCGGACGAAGGGCTTCTCGGTGGCGGAGCGCGTCGCGCCCCCGATGAAGACGTTCTCCAGCGGCATTTCGGTGAAGTGCACGACCACGTAGAAGGCGGGGAGGCCGAGCGTGGTGTACATCTCTGTGATGTCGGTCGCGAGCGATTGTTTGGTGGTGGCGCTGAGGGTGTTGGGGGGTGGTAGATTTGCCAGAGGGGCATTTTGGGGGTGGGTTGGTGGTGGGTGATGTGTATCGTGTATAGTGTATAGTGTATAGAGGGTGGAGTTTGTGAGGTAGAGTTGGTTTGTGAGGGGTTGGTTGGTTGGATTTTGTGTTGTTTGCGATGGGATGGGATGGGATGGGATGGATGGATGTTGATGCCGAAGATGAAGCCCGGGTTTAATATGCGCTCGCTCTCGAACTAACCGCCATCTCACATTGTACGCGATGCACGTCGCAGCACCACATCGTATAGCAGGAGGCCAGTCGCACAGCGATTAGTGAACAAGACTCAGTCAGCCAAGAGCGAAGCCCCGAGGGGATTTCTCACCCGCCAGGCCCGTTTCGAATGGCGGAGAAACAGGGATGGAGCTGACTGGAAGCGGCCGGACGGGAGCTGCATCATTATTCACTGATCGGAATGATCTGTCATGATGATGGCTCATCGCTCGGAATGATTATACGATCGTCCCGAAAGCTTGTTGGGTGTGACCCTTTTTCTTTGTGATTATTGAAAGTCCCGAGCCGGCGATTACTGATCAGCCAGCGTAACCCTAAATACGAGGTGGGTGTCATTGCCATTCTTGCCGTACGGTGTTTGACAAAGCATCTCCTACGAGGTTCGTGTTGATGGCGACTGCGACTGCGACTGCGACTGCGACGGCGACTGGCGACGGGGATATAAATGGGGCGTTGGGACCAAAGGGGGGGGGGGGGGGGGGTTTCTGAAGTTGCAAATCAGAAGCATACACAGCAATCAACAAAGCATCCAAGTCACGAACTTCAAGTCAACAACATCGCAATTAGGAACATTGAGATTAAATCAAACCCGAACTAACATCACATCACATCCAAGCAACCCACCATGTCCCGCCCCGTCGTCTTCATCACCGGCTCCACCGGCTTCATCGGCACGCACGTCGTCATCGCCACGCTCAAAGCCGGCTACGGCGTGCGCCTGAGCATCCGCAAAGCCGAGCAAGAAGCCGGCCTGCGAGAGCGCCATGCCGAGTTCAACGACAGAATCGAGACCGTCGTCGTGTCCGACATGTCGAAGCGGGAATCCTTCAAGGCGGTTCTCCAGGGCGTCGACTTCATCTTCCACCTCGCGTCTCCCATGCCCGGAAGCGGCTCCGACGTGAAGAAAGACTACATCGAGCCCGCCGTCAACGCGACAGAGTCAATCCTCTACGCCGCCCTAGACTTCCCGCAGATCCAGAAAGTCGTCATCGTATCGTCCATCCTGGCACTGACGCCCGTGACGGCGCTGGGATCCAAGGTGGTGAAGGTAAAAGGCAAGTGCCCCTCCCTCAGTCCCCCCCCCCCCCCGGGTCCAAACGCACCAGAAACTGATATACACAGACAACACCGGCGAAGTCATCCCCGTGGACCTGAACGCGCCATTCCCAGACGGCGTCCGCGGCCACGGCATGAAATACGCGGCCTCCAAGATCTTCGCGCACCAAGCGACGCGCGAATTCATGAAATCCCACCGTCCCCACTACGCCCTGATCACGCTGCACCCGGTCTTCGTCCTAGGCGAGAACCTGCTCCAGACCACCCCGGAGGAGATCCACGGCATGAACGCGCTTCTCTGGGCGTCGATCAACTCCGAGCAGCCCCAGATCGCGAACGCGTGGGTGCATGTTCGCGACGTCGCGGACGCGCACGTCAAGGCGCTGGAGACGAAGATTGCGTCCGGGACGGAGTTTCTGCTCTGCAGGCCGCCGGTGTCTTGGGAGGGGGTGGCTCGGTTCGTGAAGACGGAGTATCCGGCTGTGGGGTGTAAGTTGGAAGGGCCGTTCGAAGGGGGGTGGGAGATTGATACCTCGTCTGCGGATCGGATTCTGGGACTGAAGTGGAGGTCCGAGGAGGAGATTCTGAGGGATGTTATTCGGCAGCAGGGGTTTTAAGAGAGGGTTGCATCTGTGGGATAATCTGGTTTGATTGGGATATGTTCGGATTGGATAGTGTTTCATATGATGTTGATAGTAATGATGACCATTGTTGTATGTGGAAGGGCTCGGAAACTGTTGGGCTAGAAGTGATGCAGCAGCCAAGACAGTTCGCATCTGGGATATTGCGAGCGGTCAAGCAACAACGCATGTGCTTGATTGCCATTCTGGGGTGGTCACTTCCCTCCTTTTCTTGCCTATCGATGACACCTGGACTGGCAGGACCTGCTACACTTTGTCTAGTGACAAACCAAAAAGACCACTCGGCTAAAAAGGCGTCCAGACACCTAAGTAGGTGTGATGCTGAATGATACTGGCTGGGTTTTGACATCTAGCGGCCACGAATAGGTGCTCTATAATGAGGAGAGAGTACTTGCTTTTCCGGTTCTTTATAAACCCCGCGTGGTACACATGATGGGAGACTGTTGCATTGACCAATGGATTTGGGCTGTGCCGTTCAACAACCCTAACCGCCAACCAGCTTACTGAGTCCACTGACGAGGAGGAATACTCTGGCTTGTGCTGGTGGATATGGCGATGGTGATGGTGACTTGCTATCTGGACACTCCATTCAAAAAATCGTTTCCTACGTGGTAGTACGGTGGGGCTGTCTTGAATCGGGTGAATATCACCTAGCACTCTTCCTTCCTTCATTGCTAGCTATTCAAGTTTACAGAGTGCTACGAATCTATATACCTCCCTTCCTTCCTCCCTCGCCCACACAGCCCCAGCCCCAGCCCCATCCCATCCCATGCCACCCCCCCCCCCCAATCCACCAAAAAAAAATCCACAATCACAGCAACACTATCCACTATCCCCCCGAACCCAACCCACCTCCTCCCTCCCTAATACCCACACCCCCCCAAATCTAAACACCACTCCCCACAACCACATCAACAAACCCATCATACTCGCACTTCGTCTCGCCGACGCCCTCCTCCACGCCCCCACAGATCCACGGGGAGTCACTCGCCGCCGCATCCAGGGTGATATTTGCCGACTCGCTGAGGATATTCTCCGCGGTGGTTTCGATCACGAGATAGATGTCCGCGATGTCCGCATACAGTCCGTCCGGGAAGGAGAGGGCGTAGGCGGCGTAGTCGCAGGGGACGACGGTGCCGGGGGTGAGGCCGGGGGTGGGGGTCCTTTGTTGTCCTCTTTGTTAGTTTCTTGGAGGTGGAGGGGGGGGAGGGGGGTTGGGTTTGTGTTTCTGTTTGGTGGGTGGGTGGGTGGGTGTATGTATATGTATATGTGTTTGATTAAGCTGGGGTTGGGGTGGAGTATAGAGAGGGGAGAATGGACGCTGTGGGATGGATTATGGGGTAGAAAGATGATGGGAAATGGGGAAAAAAAAGGGGGGGCTACCAGGTAACATTACACCCCGTCGCGATGTCATGCTCATTCGTATCCACGACAATCAGGTACATGGAGCCGGTGTTGGTGGTGGTCGAGACTTGGGCGCTGATGTCGCTGAGTTGGAAGGGTCCGGACGCGCGGGGGAGGACGACGGGGGAGGCTGCTGCTGCTGCCGTTGCCGCGGTGGCGAGGAGGGTTGCGATGGTGGTGGGTTTCATTCTGTCTTTTTTTTTTTTTTTTTTGTATTTGTTTTAGCTGTGTTGGACTGGCGGGGTTGATGGGAGGGTTGATGGTTGGTTGGATTACTGGGATTGAAAGCTGCGGAATGAATGCTGAAGACTGAGACTGAAACGAAAAGAGGATTGAAATTGTTAGTTGTTGTGGTTGAGTGAGTTTGGGCAGTGGGGGTGGTGATGGTGGTTTACTTATATCCTCTCATCTCCCGGGTAATTGTATAGACTGCAGACTGTAGACTGTGGACTGTACTCGTCCACCTGAAGTAAGACGCTTGCGTACGCAGCCAGTACCAGAATAGCAACATCCAAGACATGCATGGCCACTGGATCTATCACACGCAGTGCTTGATCTCATGCATCCACCCGCCCAGGGCATCCGATCCGGGTATCCCGGCACTCTCCCATCCAGTCCCCGTCAGCCCAGTAGCCCAGTCCGCCAGTCGAGGTCTCCTGCGCTGAGAGATGAGGCTGAGACATGGACATGGACATGGACATGGACATGCAAATGCCTCATATACCATCCAAGACAGCTAGCGAAGTGCTCAAGTAAGCGCAATCAGGTGCGCGATCGAGATGACGCGCGAGACAGCACGGCCGCGGAAGCTTGAATGCCGGGTGTAAGACGGACAGCCGGGCTGTCAGAGTGTCGGAGTCATGCTGGGGGCCTGATGGGTAGGAGCCCTGAGTAAGCCATGGGAGAGGTCTTTCAGGCGTCCCGTCCGGGTTGGGCTCATTGGATGGTTCGGGTTGGGCTGGGTTTATTGGATGCTTCGTGTACACATGGTGTTTGGTGATATTCTTAGGGAAGATGGGGAGAGCTGAGAGCTGCACTGCAGTTCGTTGGCAGTGTGAGGCTGGATTGGATCGGAGATGCGGGGCGAAGGATTAAGCCTTCTTGGTCTAACCCCGGATTAATATAAGCGGTGGAGTACTGGAGTCAGCGGATGCTAAAAAAAAAAAAAAAAAAAAAAACAAATGAAACAAAGAGAAGGGAGAAAGGAGTGGCAGAGAAAGAAAAGAAAAGAAAAGAATAGAAAGGAAAGGAAAAAGGAGTCATCCCAGGACAAACACAACCTGTATAATATTAACCCACTAATGTAAGCAAGCAAGCAACTCCACAAACCCAGCCCAGCTCCCCAACCAAACAACGCCTATAACATATACTCAGATACCATCCATCCAGCCAGGTCAATCATAAGCCACAATAACCTGCCGACTAACCAAAATATCCGCCTCCCCCGGAGAAGACCCACCCCGAGGATCTGCTTCTGACTATCCCCATCGCTCATCCTCCGATTATCATTCACCGTGGACACCACCCCGGTGTTCTTCCCATGTTCGGCCAGCTCGTACGTGCGCAAGAACCCCCCCGGCCCGGTGCGCTGCGAGCCCGGCAGCCCGCGCGAGCGAGTGTAGTAGTTATCCGAGGTTTTGCGGTCGCGGAGGATGCGGAACAGCGGGCGGAGCGTCGCGACGTTGCCGACGATCATCCCGATGGCGTTCTCGGCGAAGCCCCAGATCACGACGTTGGCGACCCCGTACAGGTAGTCGGATTGGCTGGTGAGGGCGACGGTGTATTTCAGGCGGACGCAGGCGGAGAGGGAGGCTCTGTTTGGGACGTTGGTCAGTTGGGTGAGGTGAGGTAGGCTGGGCTGGTCTGGTGAGAATGGAGAGCATACAGAATACCCAGGCCCATAAGGCCGACGATGGAGATTTTGGTGTTGCGGTTGATTTGCACGTTCCAGAGGAGAGGGACCGGCCTGGGATGTCAGCGAGACCGCTCGTTGGGTCGAACTCGGGTCGGCGCCTTACATGATGGCTGTCACCCAGTCGGTCAGGATGTTCACCGCGGTGCAGGCGTAGTAGACGTCGGCCAGGACGTACGATGGCCGGCAGTGACCCTCCGAGTCGCCGTTCCAGGCAGCGCTGTCGTGGTCAGTTACCAGTATGCCCGGCGTATGGTCTGCTTACTCGATGGGGATGCAGTTGATGAGGATGAATATCAGCGCGATCACGTTCATGATGGCGAAGATGGCGATCACCAGATACTGGCCGTACAGGTATGCCTTGCGCCGCTCAGCGACGCGAATCAGCTGCCAGCTGATGCTGAGCTTGATCGGGATGATGGCAGAGCAGTAGCCGACTTCGAAGATGAGGAAGAACTGCCCGGTCAGTAGGATCCAGGCACCAGGAACGACTGCCTACCTTCTGTCCCTCGGCATAGTACTGCTCCTGGCCAGGCACTTGGAACCTCCACTGGTGAATACCAATCCCATTGAACGCGCCCCCGATACATCCTGCCACCAGCACGGCGAACGGCAGCTACGCGGTCAGCCAACACGTCCATATCTTCTTCATCCGTAGCCCACTAACCAGTGCCGCGGTCATGATCCAGTCCTCCACGCCCCATGACTTCCTCGTCAGTCTGCAGTACACCCGTAACCCGTACGTCAACAAGCCCAGACAAGTCAACATGATGACACTGCCCGCCAAGGACGGTGCCGCATCGGCGTAGATGGCCATGGCGTTGGTGGGAGTCGCAATTCGTGCCGTTCACATCTATCTAAACCAAACAACCCGAAGGAAAATGAACGCGGCCGGGGGGGAGTGGGGTAATAGGAATGTTATACTAAGGGTCTCTTCAGTTCGCCCCCTGCAAACTCAGCGCCCGCCCTAGCCCGCGTGCGTGCAGTCCATGCTCAACTGCCGTTTGAGGCAAGTCGCGGCGACACGAGACGAGGGACGAGGGGGTGGTGGTGGTGATGATTCTGACTCTGTGGCCTCGGGATTACCAGCCCCGAAACAGAGCTTAAGATGATAGGAGTTCAGATGCCGACTCAACGGGCGCTGCAGACCCACCCAGCCAACGTCAGAGAATCCATCCCGGGTGGGCGTGACCTCTGGTTCGCCTGCTGTCGGGAAGTGATGCTGATCCGGACGAGTCAGGGTGGGTGCGGGACTCCAACTGCGAACAGCCTAACTTGATAGGATCATGATTGTCTGTCGAACCCTGACTGAATCAACAGTTGGCAGTCATCCACACGGGGGATTGGCAGTCGGTACTAGCCCCCCTTCTCGAGTCCAGCTCGTTCGTTCTACTCCATGCCAAGCAGCCGGACCTGCACGATGCATTGCCTATTGAATCAAACGGGGTCATCCTCGGAGGGCTGAATCGAGAAGGGACAAGCACGTAAACAAGTTGCAGGTGCCCGATGAAAACTTCTAACGCGCTAACGCAGGAACGGGGCTGCTGTCGCGGCACGAGAAAACACCGAATCAACGGCGACAGCTTGCGGGGACATGACTCGTCGCCAAGCTGGTGCTCTTCAGTTCCAAGTTAGATAGCTATACATTCTGGCGATCTGGAAAAAAAAAAAAGAAAAAAAAAAAAAAAAGTCACTTCCCCTCCTGCCCTGTGACCGAGCGTTAGGACGTCTTCCGATCCGATTCTTTGCAACGAAACGCGTACCAATCCGGTTAGATGCGATCGGGGAGATTGGACGACCTCGTATGGGTAGGATGATTGTAAGGTTGGAGCATCGCCAGCGACTCGGCAGGATTTGGAGCAGGTGTCGATCGCGGGGATAGTCTGTAGGCTAATGTGCCTTCGGTTCCGAGTCAAGCGGTCATTTCGTCGGGCGGACGTGACCCTCGCTCCTCACCGTCGTTTATCGTCATTAGTTAACCCTGCCAATCTGTTGGTCGCATTCCACCATCCAAATATAGAATCGGGATGCCTCGGGAGTCAGGGGCTGCCTCGCACCACTCACCACATAGCCATTGTTCCCCTTATCTCAGAATAGAGTTGTCCCGAGGGCGATCTCTATTTAAAAATTCCCAAATGCAGACTCCGTGCTTCCACTAAGGCTGCTGCGATGTCTTCTCCAAATGTATGTTCTGACAGCATCGTCGGCAGCATCCGGCCAGGCTGACTGCTGGCGGGCTGGACTGTCACTGTCACCATTTCACCGGTTTGAAGCACAGTCCAGGCATAACAATGTGTCTGGGTGATTGTCGAGTATCGAGTGTGATGCTGGAAGCATCGGAGTCCCAGTTGGAGTCGATCTCAATCGGCTTTAGCTTTGGTCCACAACGAAGCCTTCTATAGCGTTCCTGTCTTGTTGATCGTGCATGTGCTGCGTCGAAGAGTCCCCAACAGAGAGCCACGCCAGCAGCCCACGCATATTAGTCTTCAACCATATCCCACCTCACCCGTGCCAGAAAGTTATAAAGACAAGATTATATAGTAGTCATAAGGGTACATCATCCGCCAAGCAGAGAGCGACCTGAACAACTCCCGACGCATCGGTACCTGTAAATTGTAAAAGCCGAGGGAGAGTGGGACCACCACCACCCTAGCAGCTGCAGATCACCCCCCGACGTTTTGCCATGGATGATCTTTCCCGGTGGGGGGTAGTCTGGCTTCTGTCATCTTGTTGGACTTGGGGGTTTCGTTGTCTGCGCGGAGAGGAGACAGGAGGATTGTCATCTGCGTGAAGGTGGTCTACGCACAGGATTGAAAGCGAGGTCACTGTCACCAGAGAGCGTTGATCATTTCTAGAAAGAATGCTATAAATATCTGTTTACCCGGGCTTTATTATCTGACGAAGTTGATCAAAATATTCTCCGGTGCCCTTCATCCTCATTGGAACTGTACGAAGGAAAGGAGGGCGCAGAAGGTTGATCATATTCAAATTTCAAACTAGCTACGGGCGGCTGCCCACTAGGGATGCCGGCAGGGTGTTGAGTCAAGTGATCAATAATATAATATCATGTCATATTGATCAAACACCCCCCTGGCTATACTCTTTCTGTAAGACACCAACCTAGGGGAGTTGTTGCCACTGAGCCAAAAGGCTAACATTACCCGCAGTTACCTGCGGACCCCTAGAATCCCATATATTAGTATACTCAAGTACACCCGGGAGGAGGTGGGCTTCACCCTTGTAAGTATGCATATCCCGCGGATACCATATCATCCCTTACAAACAGCAAGTTCTATTATAAAATCTAATCAGTATTATTTAAAGTTCTATAAAAAAACCAATTAAGATATATTAGATTATTATAATAAAAGTTTTTATAGAGATAATGAAGACCAAGTAAAGTACTAATTATAAATAATAATAATTTATCATAAGGCCCTTCCGATCACTGGCCGGCCCGCCCAGCCAACGCCGCCGCCGTGGATACTGACTATCATCTCAACCTCCCTCATCTACCATCCGACATCCCCCGGCCAAATGTTTCTTTGGTCGCGGCCTTCTGCACCGTTTGCACGAGCATCGGCCGGAAAATCCACGAGAACATTCGTATCCGTGAGAACCTCCGTCCCCCTCTCCATGCGAGAGGAGGACCAAGCCCCGGATTGCGATCCGGCGAAATACTATCCGGCTCGCATCGGCGAGACCTTGTCCGGACGATACCGCATGATCTCCAAGCTAGGCTGGGGGGGCAACTCCACCGTGTGGCTGGCCAAGGACACGACTCGGTGGGTGCAGCCATCCCTTCGGGCACGGGCACGGGCACGGAACATGAACACGGAACATGGAGGCGGACTCGGGCGCATATATAATGATAATAACACCTCCAAAGCTGGCCATGACAATTCGCCCGATACATCACCCTGAAGATCACGAAGGGTGGCGAGGCAGAACAGAGATCCGCCCGGGAGGAAGTCGATCTCTCGCGGCACATCAGGTCCAGTCACCAGGGGGGAGCCTATATCCGGCTGGTCCAGGAGTCCTTTGCCATTCCAGGTCCGCGGGGGGAGCATCTCTGCTTGGTGTATGAACCCCTCCGCGAGCCACTCTGGCTGCTGGGAAGACACCTGGGCCGCAGCAACGGGGTGCCCCCCCGCCGTGCTGAAGCCCTTTCTCAGGTCCGTCCTCCTGGGGTTGGATTTCCCCCATTCGGAGTGTCACGTCGCAGCGCACATGGCTCAGATGATCCGGCTTCTGGGCCTGCCTCCTCGGCAGTTCCTCGAGAGGGCCGATAGGGAGGTTTATGGCCAGCTCTTCTCCAGTCAAGGCCTGTCTGTCTGTCTGTCTGTCTGTTTGTCTGTCTGTGTTTCTTTCTTTTTCGGTCAATTAACCGCCCATCCAGGAGGGTTCCGATTCCCGGATCTGATTCCCTCGGAGGAATTCAACTTCTCGAATATAATGTCGTTCCTCGAGGGCGAAGACCGGCGGCTGTTTCGTGATTTTGTCAGGAGGATGCTTTGCTGGGTGCCGCGACGGCGAAGGAGCTTTACGAGGATCCCTGGCTGGAGTCTGGGTCTTCAGCAAAGGGGAATTCGCATCGGTGATCGAAAAAGAGGCCCACGGGCGCAGGGATTCTCCGTCTTTGGTTTGATCTAATCAACGTCGTGCATATCGTCCTGGGGCTTCTTACATATCGGCTCATCTCCGGGCGTGTCTTCTAACTCTCCGTCTACGGTCAAGGAGAGGTGAGTGCGTATGCCCTGGGGTTGGTTGGTGATTATCAAGACAGCACGTCAGTATCCATCTCCTCACGTAGAAGTCGTTATACTTCCCAGGGAAGCCTGACATGCGGCCAGGTCAGATCCTCCCAGCCAATCGTCCGATCGTGTTCCTGAGCGCATCGGCTATTTTCCCCCTGACGGCTGGCATCAAGTGGGGATGCGGCCGCCACGCGCAACAATCCGGGGAAGAATTGGCGACGGCCTGCCCAATGGATCGAGGATTATCGAGGGAAAGGGGGATTTCCTCTGCTTTGATTTATTTCTCTTGTCCGTCTCCTTTTTTTTTTTTTTTTTTCCCATGACTTCCGTTTTATTACTACCATTCCACTGTCATTCCACTCTGTTGATTCTACCACTCCACCGCTTCAGTGATCAACCAACTAGATAGTATGGCTGCGCGCATCACCGCCGTGGCAATCGGCCTGCTACTGGGCCATGCAGCGGCCACGACCCTCACCAGCAGCACGACGCAGACGGCGAGCTCGATCCCATGCCGCACGCTGCTGGGAACCACCTCGGTGGCACTCGTGCCCACGAGCACCGTCACCTCGACCAGCACGGCCGCCGACCCGGTGGTGGTGACCTCGACGACGCTAGCGATGGTGACGGTCTCGCTGACCCCGACGCCCGTCCGACAGACGCAGCTGGAGACCGAGTACGCGACGGAGACCGTCACGACCACGCAGTCCGCAGTGACCGACACCTTCTCGACGACGTCGACGGTGATGGACACCACCACGCAGACCCTCACCCCGGCCGTGACCACCACGACCGTCGTCTCCTCGACCTCCGTGCGCGTCACCAGCACCTCCACCGTCGCCACCTCGTCGGGCTTCTACCCGGTCATCGACACCTTCTCGACGGGCCTGCCCGCCGCAGCCAAAGCCAAGCGATCACTGCCACAGCTGCACGACAAGCGGTCTTCCCCCCAGAGCGCCAGCGACCTAGACTGCAGCCCCCGTCTCGACGACTTCCAGTACGCGCAGGCCGTCGAGTGCACGGTGCAGGTGCTCGCCGAGACGACGGTGATCGAGCGGGTCACCAACACGCTGACCACCACGGCCACAGGGTCCGCCACGCCCATAACCCTAACCATCACCACGACCCGCACGCTGACCACCACCTCGACCGTCCTGCCGACCGACGTATCCACGACCCTCAGCTTCACCACCACCGCCACCCTCACGGCCATCACCACCGCCCCGACCCCCACCAGCACGGTGACCAGCACCCACACCGTGGCCACCACCAGCACGGCGGCCGTGTACGCCGCCTGCGCCACCACCAACATCACCCCGAACCCGATCACCTCGGAATACAGCGCCTCGCTGGCGGGCAAGTACGTCTACTTCCTGAGTCTGTACTACGACGGCAGCTACTCGCTGTCCTCCGGGTCCACGACCTCGGCCTACGACTGCTGCGTCAGCTGCATCGAGAACGACCTCTGCGCGAACGCCTACTACGACTACGTCGATGCCGACATCTCCTATTGCTATCTCGTCGAGGTCGAGACCTGCTCGTTCGATAGCCATTATACCTATGGGGTTGTGAGTAGCTCGGATGATGCCGGCATTAATATGTTTAATGGGAACTGTGGATATGTGCGGGGGATTCAAGCATAGATAAATGGGTTGTTTTCGGGTGGGTTTATTGGGGTATAGTTTGTCTGCCGTATAATATATTTTAATTGAGAGTTGATATACATGTCTTGCCATGATGTAAATAACCCCTTTGCAGGCTCTCAAATAATCACCGTCGCTGCAACGTCGACACGCCAGTCCTCGTCCGTACTATCCATCCCGCAACACATATATATTTATATATATATATAACCATCCACCCTCCTCTCCCCATTCCCAATCGATTGAAAACAATGAAAACAAATCCCACAATAAAACTACCATTCCCCCCCCCCCCAAAAACCCCCTCCAATCAAATAATATCCCCCCCCCCCCATCACCCATGTCTCCCTCGTCATACACGACTATCCCATCACGCTCCTATCCCAAACCCACCAACCCCATGATTCTCATTCAAAAACGACTTGCCATCCAACTGGGGTTGTGGTTTAGGGGTATAACATTCCATTTGCATTGGAAAGGTCCCGGGTTCGATTCCCGGCGACTCCACATCTTTTTGTTTTTTTTTTATTTTTTTTTAATCTTCGGGTGTGCCATGCGGAGTACATGCGGGCGGGATGCTAGCGGAGTTTGTTTTTGGTGTATGGGGACGGGGATGGAGGCTTTAGTAGAGGGGAGGGGTTGGGATACCCGGAAATAAACCAATTGAGATACAGTCATGGGATTTGTGTCTGGTTGGGGATGCGTATCTGCCTATATGTCTAATTTCCCATCGGGATGCGTGGGTAGTTGTGTCTAAAGTCCTCATTGCATTTGCTTTCTTGGTTGTATCTCTAAACTCCCACTCTATCCCAAAGCTGCCAGAGCCAGAGTCAGAGTCATTCAGACAAAGAACCACCCTCGCCCCTCCCCATTCATCCCAGCTAATCTCCCCCCGCATTCCCTCTTCCCTCTTCCCTCCCCTTCCTTCCCCCAGTGAACCCCACGAGTGACAATCACCAATTCACCCCTCCCAGGAACATTGCCACCTGCAGTTTGGCCACTTGGCAAGAATAGCGCTCACGGAGATTTTCTTATCTGCGGAAATTCCTGATCGCGCTGTTGTCTGACCGTGCATCTCCAACCTCTTCATTTCATTTTGCACGGGTGTCTTCTGATACCTTGGCAGGCAGGATGATACTGAATTTGGGAGAGATCAGCATGGGGATGGCTTGGGAAAATGAGGGATATATTGATATGGTATGGGGATTCTGGATATGGGTTGTTGGGATGTTATAGACTAACTACCCACTCCGATGCACTCTGCGCTTTACACCTGAGCGAGGATTAGTGGTGAGCGCATCTCTGCTTCGGATGCGCCATCTCAACACAGCTGCGCGGGTGCTCGCTGGATTTATAGCGGGTGCTACGGTCGGGATCGGGATACTCGCCTCTGCTGTTGCAGTTACGCAGGATGGTGTCTAGGCTGGTCTGCAGCGGATACTATCGAAATGGGGCATTCGATCGCGCAGAGATACGATACGAATATGGATATTTCTTCGTGGATACATCTCATGATACGTCCCTCCATGTCGACTATCCCGTTCTAACTTCTGCAGGTCTCCCACCTGGCCACCAGTGCATCCTCTGCCCGACTCGTCGCGGAGTCTAGATTCTACGAACTCCTGCTGGATAATCGAGAGCCTTCGCTGTCTGCACAACCCCCGAAGGGGGATATACACCGGAGAGGAGGGCAAGGGGATGGAGATCTGGGTACATTGAAGATGGACATGCGGTCATCTGGTATCATAGAGCGCATATCGATGGAGACACTCTGGGTAAAGGAGAATCGTCCCAGGCCTTCCAGGAAGGTCGTTATATGGCCACACAACCCCCCCTGGCCCGCGAGGGGTGGAGCATCCCGTAGCAAAATCAAAAACAACATCTCTGTCCTCGTTGATGTCCAATCCTCGGCTGTGCGTGTAGGCATTCAATCCAGCCATCCGGCTTCAACGCCATGAACCACAGTACGCGTATGCAGGATCCATGCCATGGCGCGTCAACACATAATCTGGCATCTCTGGCGCGCCATCCATCGTCTACTTCCCCAGCGACCAGTATCTCGAAAGCGCCGGTCGCATCGAATCTCCATCGTTGGATCTGTCGCCCTCCTCGACAGCGCTGTCTGAGCACTCCACCACCAAGAAACTGCGCATCGCGGTCGCTACAGCCTTCTTCTTTAGCTTCATTTCCACCACCACCTCGGACTCTACCCCCTCAATCATCACTCCTCTCGAACAACCAAACCCACAGAAACCAGATCCTCAACCCCCTCCCTGTGCAACCCCACCCATCAAATGTCCATGTTAGGATTTAACACTTCCCCACCATTTACAAATCACATACCCACTCCCCGCCCCTCCCACCAATAAACAAAGAGAATCCAACCAAGACAATGGATAAAAACACCCCCAAACAAGCCCTCCAGCGTGCAAACCCCAGCTCCCAAGCCCCCCACGTAGTGCTATCTACCCGCGTAGACTGCGGCGCGCAGCGCCTCCTTGAACACCCACTGCAGCCACCCCTCCAGCATAATCCACACGGGCAGCCCATTGAATAAGAATGTCGTTCACCGCCCCGGGGCAGCAAGAGAGCCCGGCTGTAATGGAAATTGCACGTCGGGGATTCGACCGTTCACTCGTCGCCTGAATGGTCAGGCAGTCGTTCACAGACTGTTTCGTTCACCTTTGCCCCCCCCCCCCATGAGGGGGTTATAAAAGGGCCCTGCTGGGCTGCTCTGCTCCGTCTTTCATATTTATTCTTCTTTCATGGCTGCCTCGCCTGGCTGGTGGTTGGTTGGGTGGGTGGGTGGGTGGGTAGGGAGGTCGGCTTTTGCCTCAGGCCTCAGTTTGCCTTCATGTGTTGGGGGGGTTGGACTTGAGTATACTTGACTTGACTTTTCTTTTGCATGATGCTTATACTAATGGTGTATAGGTCATGTCGAGTCATACGATCCTTCGATCATATACCTGTGTCACGGAATCAATATGACCTTACCGTCACCTTAGGATTACCTCACTGCATACATCGGTCGGATACACCCACAGCGAGTCATAGTCACACCCAGCCAACAGTCAACAGTCAAAACCGCGGGCAATCGATGGCATATATCGCTGCCTGCACGATTAGGATACAAACCCGGTATGGCCCGGTGGTCACCAAGAAGATGAACGAGATCAACTATCTCGACTGGTTTTCCGTATCTCGCGCAGCGCAACAGATTACAAGCCCGACTAGCTTGCTCCCCGGTTTTCGAAACCGAGATAAACGCGCTTTGCTGGCTCAAGCAGGCTTTCATCTGCCGAACAAGCCCTCCAGGTGATGTGATGGGTCGTGTCTCGGTGTTTTATCTGCGAGATATAGTATTCGGCTTCGTCGACTCTGTTCACCACCTCCGGTCGGTTCCGGGTCTCATACCTATGGCACGGTATAGTATGTCATGTCATGTCATGAACCCGGTATGGGTATGCCTCGGCTGTCTCGCGATACCATTCGCGTCGTATCGTGGCCTCGCCCAATGGAGCGAGCGTACACTGCCTCGCATTGACAAGAATCAGCGCGTATGACGGTTATGAGCATCATATAGCTTGTCTTGGCCTCCGGTTCGGTTCGAAGAAACAGTCCACGGTTTGACGATCAGTTCTTTCTTGTCTTCTTGTCTGGTCTCACTCGGGCCTCTATTTACCTTGCTCGATCGGGTGTGATGTGATACCCTCATGTGGTCCGAAATGGACAAACCGAATGACATCCCTAGACGTGCTGTCACCTCATACAACTACAGCTGACAGCTGTCATCGACGCGACGGAATGCTCGCGGCAAAATTGTCCGAATGATGTGTGATCTGTGACGAAGGGCACTGCGCAAGCAGAAGCAAGACTCTCGTGGCTGCACGCCACCACCAGACCGGCTCTCCGCTTGGTTAAGTCAGGTATCGTTGTAAAATAAACAAGAGAAAAGAAAAGGAAAGACAGCGCGATTTAGACGACAGTCGGTACTTTGCGGCATCTCACACCCATCTGGCGTTGTCACCGCGATGGAGTCTTTCCACCTCAGTCTCAGTTTTAGTTTCAGTCTCAAATTTGCGGTGCTGCACTTTGCGCTCGGCTCGGGGTCCGATATCTACCGACCTACTTACCATGTTGTTTCTGGGACTGGTATTGGTATTGGGTCTGATACTGGCATTGCAAGACAGGGGGATGCTCGCGTGAGCTTTTGAAGCTTGACGTTTCGTTTTACGCATCCTGCTTGACTGCGTCTTGCTACTTTGCGAATGATCGGTCGATGGACTATTGTTCAAAGGCCAAGAAACACAGACAATATGGTCAAGAAAGAATCTGGGCTTCGGACCCCCAGTTTCTGAATTACTGGTGTCGGCCGGCTGTTCCACTCCACCCACTCCCATCGACACCGATGCATACTTTTCCCACCACCATACCACCGATGCAAATCAGTAACCTGGTCCTCTCTGATTCCAACAGCAATAGCAGAAACAGCATATGGACAAATAGCGTACTGTATGTCCCGAGACGGCATTTCCCACCAGCGTTTCGTGTGGTCATGTCGCGCCTGTTCTTCAGGGGGTGGATCCAATACCATATTATACACATTCCCAACTGTCATTGTTCAGGGAAAGGTTTATCTGGAGATTTATACTGTCTGCCCTGGGCAGACAGACTAGCAATAACGCCGAAAGCTGTCTTTACGGGATCCAGTATATCCCGAGGAAGTGAAGCATGATGTGGAAAGATTCAGTGTCCACAGATGATTTACGCGACAGCATCGTCGGGCAGTCAAACGAGTGTTTGCTGTATACCGTTGGTGTCGACCCTTTAGGTCTGTTCTGCCACGGTACTTTGATATACCGTTAGTTTCGACCCTTTAGGTCGTTCTACACACTGCCACTCGAACATATGCAGTGGAGAGTGAGTGTCAAGACACCAGCTCCAGGAGGTAGTGGCATCTCGCGCATCTGAGACGCGCGGGACGATGGTGTCCTCCTTTCAACCCTATCGACGCAGAGGCAGTATGTCGGAAATCGCAGTGGGGTTCATCCTTGCCTGGCAGGTACAGCCGCCCATAGACTGGCTGGGTCGGATATCGTTCGCGTGGTGGGCGAATCAATCAACATT